CCTTGCATTACTGTGATCAGTGTTTTGTTCGTTTGTTCATTTGCAATATCTGTAGCCGGCTCTTCATTGCCAAAAAGGCACCGCAGAGTCCCGGGCAACCCGCAGGATTTGTATTTCTGCAAAGTGGGGCAAAGTACTTCTTCACACAGCGCATGGACTGTGGAACTCTCTCCCACAGGAGGCAATGGGGCCACCCCAAAATCCAACTATTCTGGACAACCACCATACGAGAAATATGCAAAATAACTAAGCAAGTTAGCCCAGAACTGGCCCTACTAAACATCTTCCAAGGCAATAATGCCCACTTACATCACAAAGAACTCATAACCCACCTACTTTCAGCAGCCAGAAACATCATAGCCAGACACTGGAGAGACCTGTCAGGAGTAAACATGGACCAATGGTATCAAATAGGGAAACAGCCTTACTAGAAAATTAACCAATAAACTGAAACTGACATGGGGACAAATAGAAGAAGACGCCTTCACCCTGTTATGGCTCCCCTTTATCACATACACAGCCCAACAATAGTTCTAGTTACAGGTAGGTAGCCATGTCAGTCTGCCGTAGTCGAAACAAAATAAAAATAGAAAAAGTATGCATGCACACGAAAGCTCATACCAATAACAAACTTAGTTGCTCTCTATGGTGCTACTGGAAGGAATTTTTTTATTTTGTTTCGACAGCCCAACAAGACGATGACAAGAATCCACCAACAGCATACAAATCAATATGGCTAACCTGATTCAAACACACACACACACACACACCATCCACACATGAAAACAAAGTTCACCACAGCCAATCACAGATGAACAACCACACCTTGGCCAACCCCAACCTCACTCACCACCAAAGGATCACAAGCAAATAGCAGAGAGAACCCGCACAAGCGACACTGACACAAAACCCCACACATGCATTAAGTAAAATAGAAACATTGCCCCCCCGACTCCACCCCCACCCACCATGCCCCCCTCCACCTCTTCCCCCCTTTTCTTCCTAATGTAACGCTCATGTCTCAACCAATGAAACTGATCTGTAGAAAATGCAGCTTGGGAAAAGAGACATTGCACATTCCGTATTTTTCACTCTATAGGACGCACCTGACCACAGGACGCACCTTGTTTTAGAAGAGGAGAACAAGAAAAAAAAATTCTCCCCCTCTCTGCTCAGCGCCCCTTCAGCGAAGTAGCAGGAGAAACGGAGCCCCTTCCATTTCTCCTCCCGCTTCGCTGAAGAGGCGCTGCGCCTTAACTGAAGGGGCACCTGCCCTTCAGCGAAAGGAACCTGAAGCCTCCGGAGCGCAACGGGAGCTCCTGCCATGCTCCGGAGGCTTCAGGCGGCTATCTGGCGAGTGATAGGGGTCGATGCACACCGACCCCTCTCGCTCTCCAGGATTCAGCGAAAGCAACCCGAAGCCTCCGGAGCGAGGCGGGAGCGCTCCCACTGCGCTTTGGAGGCTTCGCGTTGCTCCATAAGACGCAGACACATTTCCCCTTAATTTTTGGAGGGGGAAATGTGTGTCTTATAGAGTGAAAAATACGGTACTTTGGTAAACCAAGAAATCTTTAATATAAAATAGGATGGGGCATTCATAGAGGAGGAGACGCGGCCAGGAATCCCCCCGTGAAGCCCGCAACCCCACCTCCTCTGAAGTGCGGAAGTGGCTTTGCGTGGCAAGTTCCCCCAAGTGGAAATAACGACACAGGTGTCGCACTGCTTGCCCTTTCCGCACAGCTGAGACTAATCTTTAACCGAATGTTCTTTGCGATTCCCCTGCATGTTAGGCTTGCTATTCCCCGGGAGCTGGGCTTGCTCTTCCCTAAATGTTGGGCTTGCTGTCCTTTCCTCTTTATCCCCCAGCACTCGCTGATGTGTCTGTCTTGCTGCGATGGCTTAAGCGGCGCTGTTTGTCTGCATTACTAACTGTGACGTGCTGTTTTGCAACAGGCTGTGTGTGAAGTGTGTCCTCCTTGCCTTCTCTCCCTAGGCCTTGCTTCCGGAGCAGAGATCGGTTCACGCAGATACGTACAGACGGATCGGTCACCTCTGACTTCCCTTGGCTGCTAAATCCACCTCATTCCTTACTCACAAATACTGGCATAAGCGGAGAAACCCAGGGATCAAATTGCTTTTTCTTCTTTCTTTTGCTTTGTTTTTTTAAAAAAACAAGTTATTTTAATTTAAAACCTCTCCAGTATTATGTTTTCTTCTCCCTTATTTATTTTTTCCTCATAATCTATTTTTGTTTCTTTTTGTGCGTGGGGGGAAAAAAGAGAATCACGCGTTGTTGTCTATTTTTTTCCCTTAAATTTCTTATGAATCAATTTTTTTTAATTTATTTATGTTATTTAAAAATTGCTTATCCAGGGGAGTTTGGAAAGAGAAAGGTTATTTTTTTGCCCTCAAATTTTATGCTGTAACTATTTTTTGAACGAAAAGGTACAAATTTTTTATATATTGGATTTGAAGGAGAAAATTTGGGTTATTTATACAAAGTTTTGTACAAGATGTATCAATACTTTTTAAGCGGGGAAAGAGCTACACTTTTTTATTTTAATTGGACAAATAAAATACACATTTTAAATATGTGTGTGTCTTCTTCTCTTACTAAACCATTGGGGGGGGGACCTCCAGTCCAGCGGCTCAATCTGGCCCTCCAGCGTAGCTGTCAACTTTCCCCTTTTCTTGCGAGGAATCCTATTCGGAATAAGGGAAATTTCCTTTAAAAAAGGGAAAAGTTGACAGCTACGCCCTCCAGGCCCTTGGAATTCTCCTCAGGCCTCCATTTCCAAAATATGATAAAAAACAAATAAAATACAACTTACATGGAGCAACAGTGTTTTGTGTTGTGTAGGCTCCTGTGATGTAAATCATGGGCCCCACCTGCTAGCCTGCTCCCTAAAACATCACTGGTTTGCTCCTATCTATATACAGTGGTACCTTGGTTCTCAAACTTACTCCGTTCCGGAAGTCTCTTCCAAAACCAAAGCGTTCCAAAACCAAGGTACGCTTTCGCATAGAAAGTAATGCACAACGGATTAATCCGTTACAGACTTTTAAAAGCAACCCCTAAAACAGCAATTTAACATGAATTTTACTATCTTACCGGTAATTGTATTTTTGTGCAAATGGCTTTAGATACCTGTTAGCTCCTTTGTTGGCCAACAATTACTTTGATAAAATACATATTTTGTTATGTGCAAATGGCTTTAGATACCTATTAGGTCCTTTGCTGGCCAACAAAGGAAGAATGGCAAGCTAAGCTTATGGACTATGCGGAACTGGCTAAACTGACAGGATACATGAGAGAGACAACACTGATTTCATAAAAGAGTGGGAACCATTTATAAACTATATACAAAGACAGTACAGTCATACTTCGAGTTGAATGTGCTTCAGGTTGAGCGCTTTTGGGTTGTGCTCTGTGGCAACCTGGAAGTAACGGAGTGCGTTACTTCCAGGTTTCGCCGCTCGTGCATGCGCAGACGCTCAAAATGATGTCATGCGCAGAAGCGGCAAAACGCAACCCGCGCAGACGTGCCATCGAGTCTTACATTCCGTTCAGAATGCGAACGGGGCTCCGGAACAGATCCCGTTCGCATCCCAAGGTACCACTGTATAAAGATTTTGACTTATTGGCAGATTTTGACTAAACTTTCACAACTGTATAAGAGGCAAAATCAGCAGGGTACAGAATTTGTTTAATGACTCAATATGGAAATACGGGGGAAGCCAAAGAGGGAGGAGGGGAGAAATATGGATATATAAATTATTTAATTAAGATTTGTGGGAAATTTGTTGTTATAATTTGAAAATTCAATAAAAAATTTATAAAAATAAATATACATATATACCTATTAGGTCCATAAATGACCATATAGCATATATTCAACACAAAAAACGGGGACAATTTGTTGTTAACAAAGGACAGCTGGACATAGAAAGGGCCCCATTACCTTCAGTAGATGAGGGCCGCATCAAATTTAAATCCGGCCCTGCTCAAATGGACAGACTAAGTTCAGATATCCGTGACTTATGAGGAAACGGATCTTGGGGTCGTGGTGGGGGATAACTCAGTGGAAACATCAGCCCCACCTGCTTCAGCTGTGAAAGGCAAATCCCTGAATGGGGTAACTGTGCCCCTGAAGGACCAGGTGCGTAGCCTGGGAGGCATTTTGGACTCACAGCTGTCCATGGAGGCTCAGGTCAATTCTGTGTCCAGGGCAGCTGTCTACCAGCTCCACCTGGTACGCAGGATGAGACCCTCCCTGCCTGCAGACTGTCTTGCCAGAGTGGTGCATGCTCTGGTTATCTCCCGCTTGGACTACTGCAATGCGCTCTACGTGGGGCTACCTTTGAAGGTGACTCGGAAACTACAACTAATCTAGAATGCGGCAGCTAGACTGGGGACTGGGAGTGGCCTCCAAGACCACATAACACCGGTCTTGAAAGACCTACATTGACTCCCAGTACGTTTCCGAGCACAATTCAAAGTGTTGTTGCTGACCTTTAAAGCCCTAAACGGCCTCTGCCCAGTAGACCTGAAGGAGCGTCTCCACCCCCATCGTTCTACCCGGACACTGAGGTCCAGCTCTGAGGGCCTTCTGGCGGTTCCCTCATTGCGAGAAGCAAAGCTACAGGGAACCAGGCAGAGGGCCTTCTCAGCAGTGGCGCCCGCCCTGTGGAACGCACTCCCGCCAGGTGTCAAAGAGAAAAATAACTACCAAACTTTTAGAAGACATCTAAAGGCAGCCCTGTTTAGGGAAGCTTTTAATGTTCAATAGGTTATTGTATTTTAGTGTTTTGTTGGAAGCCGCCCAGTGTGGCTGGGAGGACCCAGCTAGATGGGCGGGGTATAAATTATTATTATTATTATTATCCCACACCAGGGATAGTAGAAGCATAGAATTGAGGGAACCCGGCGGTCATCTAGTCCAATGCAGGACTCTCAACCGAAGCAACTGCCTTTATTGTAGCCCCGCCTTGCTGGAAGTGCTGTGGCTCAGTGGTAAGAGCATCTGCTTTGCGTGCAGGAGGTCCCAGGATCAATCCCTGGCAGGAACTGGAAACTCCCAGTTTCTGGAACCCTGGAGAGTCGCTGCCAGTCAGTGTAGGGAGTACTGAGTTAGATGGAGCAGTGCTCTGGCTCTGTATAAAGGCAGCTTCCTCTGTCCTTATGGTGGAACCACACCTGGAATACCACATGCGGTTCTTATCACCTCAAAAAGGACATTATAGCTCTAGGGAATGTACAGGAGAGAGCAACTGAAATCATAGAATTGGAAGACAGACCCCCAAATGTCATCGAGTCGAACCCTCAGCAGTGCAGGAATCACAGCTAAATAATCCCTTGACAAGCGGCCATCCAACCTCTGATTAGAAGCCTCCCATGAAGGGTGATGGGACACCGACAACAGCATGATAGAGGTCAATTATTATTATTATTATTATTATTATTATTATTATTATTATTATTTATACCCCGCCCTCCACGGCCAGAGCCGGGCTCAGGGCTGCTAGCAGCAATAAAATCACAGTAAAAACATAATAGGGGGAAAAGAGGGGGGGACAAATTTAAAATACAGGTTAAAATGCAATTTAAAATGCAGCCTTATTTTAAAAGTAGCCGATAGATCAAGACCATAAGGGGAGGGAAACATAAGGGTCAGACTGAGTCCAAACCAAAGGCCAGGTGGAACAGCTCTGTCTTGCAGGCCCTGCGGAAAGATGTCAAGTCCCACAGGGCCCTGGTCTCTTGTGACAGAGTGTTCCACCAAGACGGGGCCAGTACTGAAAAGGCCCTGACCCTAGTTGAGACCAATCTAACCATCTTGTGACTTGGGACCTCCAAAATGTTGTCATTTGTGGACCTTAAGGTCCTCTGTGGGGCATACCAGGAGAGGCGGTCCTGTAGGTACGTGGGTCCTAGGCCGCATTGGGCTTTAAAGGTCAAAACCAGCACCTTAAACCTGACCCTGTACTCCACTGGGAGCCAGCGCAGTTGGTAAAGCACTGGCTGAATGTGCTCCCATGGCAAGGACCCTGTAAGGAGCCTCGCTGCAGCATTCTGCACCCGCTGGAGTTTCTGGGTCAGCTTCAAGGGCAGCCCCACGTCGAGCGAATTACAATAATCAAGCCTGGAGGTGACCCTAGCATAGATCACTGTGGCCAGAATTATGCATGGTGTAGTTGTTGTTGTTTAGTCGTTTAGTCATGTCCGCCTCTTTGTGACCCCCTGGACCAGAGCACGCCAGGCACTCCTGTCTTCCACTGCCTCCCGCAGTTTGGTCAAACTCATGCTGGTAGCTTCGAGAACACTGTCCCACCATCTCGTCCTCTGTCGTCCCCTTCTCCTTGTGCCCTCCATCTTTCCCAACATCAGGGTCTTTTCCAGGGAGTCCTCTCTTCTCGTGAGGTGGCCAAAGTCTTGGAGCCTCAGCCTCAGGATCTGTCCTTCCAGTGAGCACTCAGGGCTGATTTCCTTCAGAATGGAGAGGTTGGATCTTCTTGCAGTCCATGGGACTCTCAAGAGTGTCCTCCAGCACCATAATTCAAAAGCATCAATTCTTCTGCGATAAGTCTTCTTTATGGTCCAGCTCTCACTTCCATACATCACTACTGGGAAAACCAGAGCTTTTACTATACGGACCTTTGTTGGCAAGGTGATGTCTCTACTTTTTAAGATGCTGTCTAGGTTTGTCATTGCTTTTCTCCCAAGCATGGTGTAGAGAAAGCGGATAGAGATGTTTTTCTCTTCTCACAAGGCCAGGGATCATCCAGTAGGATTGATTGGCAGAAAGACCTTTCACGCAGAGCATTATGCAAGTTACGGCATTTGCTGCCACTTCCTGAGATGATGTCCGCCAGCTCAGCTGGCTTCCAGAGGGGGACTGGGCTAATCCATGGGAGAAAGCTCTTTCAGCCGCTACGAACCACCACAAGTTAAAAGGAGCTTCCACGTACAGAGTCAGCCTACCCTGAGATAACATTCTGGAGGGGCGAACGACAGGGGAGGGCTGCTTTGGGTTTCCCATCATCTTTTGGCTGGTCACTGCTGCAGACGAGATGCAGGACAACACACATGAGAGGTGGGGGGGGGAACCTGTGGCTCCCTAGATGTTGTCGTACTACGACTCCCATCATCCAGCTACCAGGACCCTGCGCAGGCAGGCAGCATCGGAAACACTTGCTGCCCCCAGCTGGGCGCTGGGGCAGCTCTATAAAGCCTGCCTGCCCTAGGGGAGGGGCTGCCACCAAAGGGAGTTGTCCCTCTTGGGGGTGGCACATTGGGAATGGAACGAGGGCATGGGCCAGCCCCCTTGTGCTAAAATGATGGTTTTAGCGGGAATGGGACAGGGATGTAGCCAGCGGGTGCAGGGAGGCAGCTGCCACCCAAATCAAGTAAAAGGATGAAAATACTGTACTTACTGTAACTAAATGACCAGTCGCATTGCAGAGACCCTAACCCCCCCGCTGCTGCCTGCCTGCCCCCTAAATTCTGGCTACACCCATGGAATGGGGTTTCAACTTGGGTTGTTGTTGTTGTTTAGTCGTTTAGTCCTGTCCGCCTCTTTGTGACCCCCTGGACCAGAGCACACCAGGCACTCCTGTCTTCCACTGCCTCCCGCAATTTAGTCAAACTCATGCTGGTAGCTTCGAGAACACTGTCCCACCATCTCGTCCTCTGTCATCCCCTTCTCCTTGTGCCCTCCATCTTTCCCAACATCAGGGTCTTTTCCAGGGAGTCTTCTCTTCTCATGAGGTGGCCAAAGTCTTGGAGCCTCAGCTTCAGGATCTGTCCTTCCAGTGAGCACTCAGGGCTGATTTCCTTCAGAATGGAGAGGTTTGATCTTCTTGCAGTCCATGGGACTCTCAAGAGTCTCCTCCAGCACCATAATTCAAATTCACCTGGAGCAGGAACCGGCAAGCCACTCCAGTATCCCTGCCAAGAAAACTCCATGGACAAAGACAACAGGCATATCAAAATATTTACTGTAACTAAATGGCCAGTCGCATTGCAAGAGCTCAGTTCTGCCCCCTCCCATGCCTGTCCGCCCCCTAAATTCTGGCTACACCCATGGAATGGGGTTTCAACTTGGGTGGGTGTTGTTTATTTGGGGTGTGTATTTTAAATTGTTCTTTTCCTTGTTATTTGTTTTGCAACACAAGAAAATCTTTAATAAAAACTAATTTTGAAAAATACCAGTTAATTGCCCTGCAGGACTGAGTCGTCATAAAGTGCCCTTATATTCCATTTTAGGGTGGACAAGAGCATCTGCTCCAAACCATGGAAAAGCGCATGATGGATGTTGAACAGCAGCTGAGGCTGGTGAAGAGGCTGCTCCAAGACAAAGTCAATCAGCTGAAAGAACAGGTGAGCCTTTGCCCTCGATCTGGAGCAGCTAACCTGTGGTTGCAGGATTCTAATTCCCATCATCCCTGACCACTGGTCATGCTGGCTTCTGGGGCTGATGGGAGTTGGAGTCCAGCAACAACTGGAACGCAAAAGGTTCCCGCCCCTGTTTCAGTCATCGAGCGATGGTTCCTCAACAGCTCACGGAATCACCAATATGTGGGATAAATATCAGCCGCAAGTAACCAGCATGCTTAGTTCTAGTAAATGCATGAAGGGGTTAAGACCACAGAGTAAGCCATCCTCCTAGGCTTTGCTAGGTCACCCGCCACCCCTCACTTTGGGGGAAAAATTTGGCAAAACTGGGTGAATTGTCTGGGCTGAATGATCTAAGCCCAGACCATGTGGCTTTACCAAGTCATCTTTGTGTTTCTATACAAATAATTTAGAAACAGTTATCAATTTTGAAACTAAGTTTTGCTGCCTGTGTTATCTTGCTGCTGTATGGAAAAGCATATGAGTCTGACCTTTGAAGAGTTAGTAAGTAAAGAAGCATTTTTAACTTACCAAACAGGTGGTCTCTTTCAATGCTAAGGGAAGAAAGGGGAACTTTGGAAAGAAACTTAGAAGGGGATATTGTAAAGTCTAACAAATTATATTTGCACACTTTTCTTTGCTTGCCTCTCATCAAGGGAGTACTTGTCCCAAACCTGGATCTAGAAATGTGAGGAATTTCCCTTTTCTTCTTTTAAGCCAATTACAACCAAACATTTAAAAAGCGCACAACATGAATATTTCGGGTTGAGTTGGGATGAGCTCCTGGGGTTGTGGGGTCAGGGCAGAGCATTACAGATCTTGTTTTTGCACCCCTGGGGAGCAAGCCCTCATTTGCTGCCTGTGTTTTCCAGCTTGCCAAGAACACGAAAGCCGACGAGATGGTGAAGGACCTCTTTGTGGAGAACGCCCAGCTCCTGAAGGCCCTGGAGATGACCGAGCGGAGGCAGAAGACCGTGGAGAAGAAGAACTACTTGCTGGAAGAAAAGATTGCCAACCTTGGCAGGATCGTCAAGAACCTGACCTCGCCCACCTTGGGCTCCGCGGCTCAGTTGGGGTCTTAGCAAAGCCATATCTGTCTCTGCACAGCTGGGGACACTGCCTTTTCAATGATGCCTTTTCAATGATGCCTTTTTAACATTAGTGACAACGGCTGCCCTTTGGGCTGTTCCTTCTGTGCCCCAAAGAAACCCTGATTCTGTTCTCGGGTGCACATTATCCCCACACGCGTTGTGGCGCAATGTTGCTCTGCCAGCCCTAGAAGGTGGCCAGACCGAGGCTGATCTTCTCATCAGGGGGTTCAGGAAAAGCCAGAGCTCTTGGAGCTTCTCGTTTCCTGATCTGGCGGGGCAGCGGAGGTGAGAAAACACATGGGACGCGGACAGAGCAGAGAGGACCAGCTGAGGACAAGGGAGATTTGAACCTCAGGCTCTTGGGGATGAAGGGGAGGCCTGGAGATGGATCTCTTCAGGGAATCTCAGGGCCAGGATCCAAACGTGGACCTCAGGGCGCCCGGTAGCCCACAAGCATCACTGCTCAAAGTTGCTCAGGCAGGTGAACCAAGCCTGGAGAACGTTCAATCAAGGGTGAGGAGCCACAGGCCCATCCTTGCACCCCATCCTTGCCTCTCTAGATGCCCCTCCGGCCACAGCCCCTCCCCAGCCCTGCTCCACACACCAATGGTCTGATTCAGTATAAGGCTGTGAGGTGCCTGTGTGCATCTCAGAGCGAGAGAGAGAGAATATATCTGGCTTTCATGTGCCTAGAATGAACCTACAGTTGTTGTTGTTGTTGTTGTTGTTGTTGTTGTTGTTTAGTTGTTTAGTCGTGTCCGACTCTTCGTGACCCCCTGGACCAGACCACACCAGGCACTCCTGTCTTCCACTGCTTCCCGCAGTTTGGTCAAACTCATGCTGGTAGCTTCGAGAACACTGTCCCACCATCTCGTCCTCAATCATCCCCTTCTCCTTGTGCCCTCCATCTTTCCCAACATCAGGGTCTTTTCCAGGGAGTCTTCTCTTCTCGTGAGGTGGCCAAAGTCTTAGAGCCTCAGCTTCAGGATCTGCCCTTCCAGTGAGCACTCAGGGCTGATTTCCTTCAGAATGGAGAGGTTGGATCTTCTTGCAGTCCATGGGACTCTCAAGAGTCTCTTCCAGCACCAGAATTCAAAAGCATCAAATCTTTGGTGATCAGCCTCCTTTATGGTCCAGCTCTCACTTCCATACATCACTACTGGGAGTACCTACTTTACATAAGTGTAATGGCTGCATCCAATGCTCTCCCCGCTTTTTTGCCTCTGAGATGCCTCGCCCACTGTCCAAATCGCCCTGCAACCTTTGGGTTGAAAAAGGTTCCCCACCCTTGCCTTTTGGGATTAAGGGGAGCCTACAGGTGGATCTCTTCACCTCAGACCACCTCCCCAACCCCAAAGTCAGTGTGGCAGAAAGAGGAGAAGCACATCTTGGGGTTGTGGGGTGGTTGTGTGGGCGAGGGGAGATGGTTGCCCACCACAAACGGAAGCCAAGCAGAGGTCCTAAGGCCCTCCTTTCTGCAGGTGGCGCCCACAGAATTCTGCAAACTGTTCGGGAGGGGGGCATAATTGATTTGCAGATCGGAAGGGGCATCACTGGGTGGTCAAAGGCACTTGGTGCATGCAGCCAGTTCCTGCCTCAACCTCAAGAATCTCAGGGAGCCATAGTCTGTATATGGCAGTTTCATATCAAATGACCACTCATGAACAGCAGTAGCTCCCCCTTCACAAATAAAGGCTTTATTGAGCCTGTCTGGTTTTTAAGGCATATCTGACCATTTTTATTCATCTGCCCCCAAGTGAATTGTGATCCCTGCATTGCAGGGGACTGGACTAAATGATTCTCAAGGGTCCCTTCCAACTCTTCAATTCTGTGAATACCAAAATTCTCAATAACCTGAATTCCAGTTAATGTGGTCCGAGTGTTTTAAATGTGTGGTGCGCCCCCTGGAGGGCACATTCTCAGCCTTGCTTTCAGTTCCTGCCATTCTCCATGGGTTTCTTCTGCAACATGCCATTGACGCAAAAATAGTGCATTTGTAGTGGATTAACATTGGACCACCCACCCATCCTTCTGTGTTATTATTTTGCAGTGTTTCCCCAGTGTTTTATTGCTGTCTGGAGGGGCACTCTAAAAAGTTAGAGGACTGGAGATAAATAAGTATGCCTACCTCCAAAACTTCTGCAGGCACAAACAATATGAAAGCGGGCTTGTGTCTAACCGCCCCACTAGGCATCATATGGGCAAATAAAAATTATGCCTGCATTCTGGGTAGTTCCTGAGAGTCACGGCTGATCATTGTAGGCCAGGCTAAACAGTCCCATGACTCCGTTGGACACCATCAGTCCTGTGGGTTTTCTGGGAAATTTTCCGTGCAAATTAGGGGTCAGTTGCATCTGAAAGTTTTCTGGTGACCTAAGTGATCTCACTCAGCCGGTTCATTTCACACATTTTATTTTACGAACGAAGCGGACAACTTCGTAAAACGCCAAGTTTGCCCGATACTTATTTGCAGCTGGCGCCTGGTCGTCATTACTGCCAAAGGTATGGCAATTTTCCGTGGGAAAACGGAGCTCTAAGAGAAGCCTTTCCACCCTCAGGTTGCAGAGAGTCGTTGGCCACCCTGCCGTGGACCGCAGCTTAGAGAGAATGAAACTTGAACATGCCTTAACTTGTGCATTTAGCTGTGGCCTCACCTCTGCCGTGTCAACGCCAGAGGGGAATGCTCAGGGAACAGCACATGGATCCTATAGCCATGTAGCTTTGCGTGAGTCCTTTCTTCTGACTTTACGTGAGCACCAAACCCTCTACCGAGTTGCTGCTAGGGAGACCCATCGCCAGCCAGCCAGAGCAGGGAGCCCTCTGGCCCACGTCCAAGGCTTGTTAGTCTAATACTGCACAATACTTCTGTACCCTGGAGGATGTGAGTGCTGAAACCCACCAGTTGCCTTAATACAGAGACCAGGCACCAGTTGAGATTCCTACATTGCAGAGGGTTGGACGAGCTGATTCATGGGGTCCCTCCACAATTCTATTATCCCTCTTCCTGCAGTTGAGCTGGTGCATTTCCCTAACCCAGGGGTCTGCAACCTTTAAGACAAAAAGAGCCACTTGGACCCGTTTCCGAAGAAAAAAAAAACTGGGAGCCACAAAACCATTGCATGTGCGCCGCTGCCCTCCGATCTGACAGCGGGCGGGAAGGTGACATCGGGACGGTGCGTGACTAACGCACGCACCGCCCCCATGCGAAGTCACAGCCAGTACAGCGCCCGCCACAGTGGGGAGTGTCGGGGTGCACAATGCGCCTCCTCCCCTCGCTAGTATCCGCCCCGGAGCCGCGGCAAAGGTGTAAAAGAGCCACATGCGGCTCCGGAGCCGCGGGTTGCAGACCCCTGCCCTAACCTGTTTAGAGGGGCAAGTCCCACACACTCCTTGGGGATGCCAGTTTTAGGGGAATCAAGCCATTCACCATCTATGGTTCTTTATTCCCATGAAGTGATTGAAACTCTAGGGGCCTGAGAAACAGCCTCGTGGTGAAAAAATGCTCCATAGAGGCTCAGCAAAGTCCTAGCCTGAGTCTCTTTTGGAAGCACTGCAAACCTAGTTTTCGTTCACATGGACTATCTTGGGTAGGGTTGCCTCTGTGTGTTTGGGCTATGCTAGGTCCGCTGGGACTAATTTTAATGGTAACGCTCATGCATGTTTGTTGCCTTGTTATCCCATCCTGAGCCCTTTGGGCAGGCAATAAATATAAATCAATAAAATAAAATGAGGCAAGTGTTGTCATTTTTTGAAAGTGCAGATTCTTTCGGTTTTCAGTCACGGCTGCATATCATTCCATAAAAGTTTGCAAAATGTGTAAAACACCTTGAGCCTTTAACAAACGAACAAAAAAAGTTCAAAATAACAAAAACACAAACCATTTTGCAAAGAAGCGTTGCTGTTTGTAAAACTGCTCGTGCGAAAGGGGAAAGTGATCAAAGAAAGAGGAAGGAGGTCCCAGCCTCTGGCTCAGGGCTATTTCTCGGTCTGAGATTTCCTCTGAGTAAACTTGAAAGCCTCTTTATCACCGTCAGAGCAAGGACGGTCCATCAGTTGCCCCAGTGCTCCAGCATATGATGGTATAGCTCCTGCTCAGGGGGGCAGGGGGATGTCCCAGTTTTGCAGTCCTCCAAATCCCTTTGTTATAAGAAAAAACTGCTCCTTTTCCCTAATGGGGTGTCCCAGAGCCCGTATAGAGTCCTCCTGTAGGTTCTCTATCAGTAGGAGAAAATAACAGAGACCAACCAGAGAATGTTGAGAAGCAAAGCAGCTAGTAAGCCTGCTCTTTATTAAACTGTTGCAACAGGGTCCTCACTCACCCCATGCGGGAGGGAGGGGGAACCCAGAACAATGGTGTGCAAGCCCTTATATAGACTTTTGGAATTGCCACCCTGTAGCTCAAGACCACCCCCCAAAACATCATACATACATCACAGAAGGAGGTGGGTCTACAGCAGAAATCCTGTCTGCCAGAATACTTGATAATGGTCGCTGATTGCATTACCTGGGCAGCCCGGTCACCCTTTTGTGATGGTTAATACTTTAGTTCCTGAATCCAGGTCACAGGCTCACTCTATTCGTGCACATATACCCCCTTAAGACAGGATTTGTGAGCAAAGAGACAATGGAGACAGTGGCGGAGCTTCAAGTTCCGGTGGGGGGGAGGGGCGGAGAGCAGGTGGGGGCGTGGCTGGCGCGCATCCTGGGGGCGTGGCATGCTGCCTGCAGGGGCATGGTGTGCATCTTGGGGACGTGGCACGCAGCACGTGGCATGTGTCCTGGAGGTGTGGTGCGCCGCCTGCAGGGGTGTGGCGCCCAGTGGCATGATGGCACCCCACCGGGATCGTGCCGCCGGGGGTGGTACGCTCCCCCCGCACCCCTGTTCCTCCGCCAGTGAATGGGGAGGCTTTTCCCATTTCCTTCCTCACTGCAGAGAATTATTTGAGGTCACTGGAGGAGTCAAAATGGCTTCAGGATTGCTCTCCTGTACTACTTCAGACATGTGGTTTACATACTATGTATGTATTTGCCTTGTACATTTATGAACATATGATTTATATATACTGTGGTACCTCTGGTTGCGAACGGGATCCGTTCCGGAGCCCTGTTCACAACCTGAAGAGAACGCAACCCACGTCTGCGCATGCGCGGGTCACGATTCACCGCTTCTGCGCATGATATCATTTTGTGCGTCTGCACATGCACGAGCGCCGAAACCCGGAAGCATAGCTGTCAACTTTTCCCTTTTCTTGCGAGGAATCCTATTCAGAATACGGGAATTTCCCTTAAAAAAAGGAAAACGTTGACAGCTATGCCCGGAAGTAACCCTTTCCGGTACTTCCGGGTCGCAGCGGGACGCAACCTGAAAAGACGTAACCTGAAGCTAACATAACAAGAGGTATGACTGTATGAGATACATATATCTCAGAGACCTTAGAATTCCTACAACACCTTCCACTACATCACTGCCAGTGCAGAGAAAAGGAATCACATTGTGCTCAGAGACATGAAAAGCCTCCAAAAGAGAGAGGCTGGGTCTTGCTTTCTTGCCCAGGCTACACTGCAGGCGCTACTCAGAGGTGCAATCCCACCACTGCTCAGCACGGGAGCTTTGGCCTGCTCTGTCTCCAGCCTGGGCCGGTTCGCCCCTCCTTAGGCAACCTGGTGGCCCCTGGCTCCCCAGAGAGCCCCCATGTTGATGCTGACCTTGGCGAGGACACCTGCTCCACGTAGCCCACCGCAGCCTAGAACTCCTGGACTCAAGCAATCCTCCAGCCTCAGCCTCCCAAGGAGCTGGGATCACAGGCAGGAGCCACCATGCCCGGCTGGCGCTCAGCAGCTGAACAGCAGGATTACAAAACCCAGATTGCCCATCAGCCAGGAGATGGCAGCAGAAGAACGCAACGCTGTACTAAATGGATATTCGCATTATTTACAGTGCTAAGAAAAATAGCAACAACGGTCTAGTTCAAGCCAGTGCACTAAGGGGAAGGAGAGTAGCTCAGAGGCAAAGCACCGGCTTTGAATGCAGAAGGTCTGGGTTCAATCCTCACCATCTCCAGGTAGCAGCTGCAGCCTTGACTTGACTTTTTCCCAGGTCCATGTGAATCTCCACCAGGGCAATTGTCTTGCTTGTGTCGTGTCCATCGTGGGAAGCGGACCCTCTGCGGCTCGTGCCTTGGGAATCGAAGGCCAGACTTCCTGGCTTCAGAGATAGCAAAGGACAGGGATCATAGCTGTCAACTTTTCCCTTTTCTTGTGAGGAAAACTATTCGGAATAAGGGAATTTCCTTTAAAAAAAGGGAAACGTTGACCGCTATGACAGGGATGGATAACGGACCTGCAATAAGGAAGAACGCAAAATGGATAGTTAGCTGCCTCTCTGGAGGTGCGTCGTCTTCTCCAAGGCAAGCTGGTGTGCATTATAACCTGTTTGTGTATTTAAAAAAACAACCTTTTGTGCTTTCTTGTAGTGTTCTAAAGAATGTTTTTCTTGATTTTTGCTGTCTTTGTTGTTTATTCATTTAGTCGTGTCCAACTCTTTGTGACCCCCTGGACCAGAGCACGCCAGGCACTCCTGTCTTCCACTGCCTCCCGCAGTTTGGTCAAACTCATGCTGGTCACTTTGAGAACACTGTCCCACCATCTCGTCCTCTGTCGTCCCCTTCTTCTTGTGCCCTCCATCTTTCCCAATATCAGGGTCTTTTCCAGGGAGTCTTCTCTTCTCATGAGGTGGCCAAAGTATTGGAGCCTCAGCTGCAGGATCTGTCCTTCCAGTGAGCACTCAGGGCTGATTTCCTTCAGAATGGATACGTTTGATCTTCTTGCAGTCCATGGGACTCTCAAGAGTCTCCTCCAGCACCAGAATTCAAAAGCATCAGTTCTTCGGCGATCAGCCTTCTTTATGATGTCTCTGCTTTTTAAGATGCTGTCTAGGTTGGTCATTGCTTTTCTCCCAAGGAGCAGGCGTCTTTTAATTTCGTGGCTGCTGTCACCATCTGCATTGATCATGGAGCCCAAGAAAGTAAAATCTCTCACTGCCCCATTTCTTCCCCTTCTATTTGCCAGGAGGTGATGGGACCAGTGGCCATGATCTTCGGTTTTTTGATGTTGAGCTTCAGACCATATTTTGTGCTCTCCTCTTTCACCCTCATTAAAAGGTTCTTTAATTCCTCCTCACTTTCTGCCATCAAGGTTGTGTCATCTGCATATCTGAGGTTGATCTTAATTCCGGTTTGGGATTCATCCAGCCCAGCCTTTCGCATGATGAATTCTGCATAGAAGTTAAACAAGCTGGGAGAGAATATACAGCCTTGTCGTACTCCTTATTACATTAGTATTATTAATATGATATAATATAATTATTATTCTATTACGGTACATATAATAGTACAGTACAGTATAATCCAGCAGCAGCAGCTGGGCGCAGAGCAGTCCTCCTCCCTGCCGCGGGGGGCGCTGTTCCTCGGAGCCCTCCGTCCTCTCTGCGCCGCCGCCGCCGCCGCGCCCTCTCCGTCCTCCTCCTCCTCCTGCTCCTCGGGGCCCCTTTTCGGCGCTTGCCTTCCCAGCGGCCCTCGCGCGGGCCAGCCAATCGGGCGGCGCCGGGGCGGTGGGCGTGGCCAGAAAGTTTCCTCGGCGGCCTGAGGGGCTTCGTGAGGCGCTGAGGGGAAAGCGAGGAAGGGAGCCGGGAGGGCGGCGGGGCGGGCGTGGCTGTTGGCGGCCCCTCCCCGAAAGGCCCCCACCCCGCGTCTTGACCCCCATGGCGCCCCTCCGGGAGGGGCCCGGCTCCGGGGGCGGCGCGGCGGGCTGAGGGAGGGAGGGGGGAGGGGCGTCGGAGGGGGGAGGGGGAGGGGATGCTGTCCCGGAAGAAAACGCGCGCCGAGCTCTCCAAACCGGGCGAGGTGCAGGGCAAGTACGTGATCAAGGAGACCAGCCCTTTGCTCCGCAGTGAGTCCGCAAGCCCTTCCTCCCCCCGAGGCGGGTGGTTTGGGGGTGGGGGGGTCAAATTAACCGGGGGGGGCCGCAATTCAGTACCGACATCACCTGGTCTCCAGAGGGGAAGGAGCTGCCTGGTGGGGGGGGGGGGGGAGGCTGGGTGCTAACTTGATTAAAATACAGCGGTACCTCAGGTTACAGACTCCACTAACCCAGAAATAGTACCTCGGGTTAAGAACTTGGCTTCAGGATGAGAACAGAAATCACGCACTGGTGGGGCAGCGGGAGGCCCCATTAGCTAAAGTGGTGCTTCAGGTTAAGAACAGTTTCAGGTTAAGAACTTGGCTTCAGGATGAGAACAGAAATCGTGCTCCTGCGGTGCAGCGGCAGCAGGAGGCCCCGTTAGCTAAAGTGGTCTTCAGGTTAAGAACAGTTTCAGGTTAAGAACGGACCTCCAGAACGAATTAAGTACTTAACCCGAGGTACCACTGTATTGACATCACCTGGCCCCACCTGGTCTCCAGAGGGGAAGGAGCTACCTGGGGGGGGGGGGAGGCTGGGTGCTAACTTGATTAAAATACAGCGGTACCTCAGGTTACAGACTCCACTAACCCAGAAATAGTACCTCGGGTTAAGAACTTGGCTTCAGGATGAGAACAGAAATCACGCACTGGTGGGGCAGCGGGAGGCCCCATTAGCTAAAGTGGTGCTTCAGGTTAAGAACAGTTTCAGGTTAAGAACGGACCTCCAGAACGAATTAAGTACTTAACCCGAGGTACCACTGTATCGACATCACCTGGCCCCACCTGGTCTCCAGAGGGGAAGGAGCTGCCTGGTGGGGGGGGGGGGAGAGGCTGGGTGCTAACTTGATTAAAATAATAATAATGATAATAATAATAATAATAATATCTTTATTGTCATTGCCCCCTTCGGGGACAACGAAATTACTTGACTGCTCCATAAAAACACTAATTAATCAATACAGTATAATACAGCAAGGGAGATTAGATGACTTTCAAAGTCCGGGCTTCCCATTCAGGGCCAAGATCGCTCTGGAGAAGAAGCTGTTCTTAAGACAGCTCGTTCTTGTCTTCATCGTCCTGTATCTCCGTCCCGACGGCGGTACCTCAGGTTACAGACTCCACTAACCCAGAAATATTACCTCGGGTTAAGAACTTGGCTTCAGGATGAGAACAGAAATCGTGCTCCGGCGGCGCGGCAGCAGCAGGAGGCCCCATTAGCTAAAGTGGTGCTTCAGGTTAAGAACAGTTTCAGGTTAAGAGCGGACCTCCAGAACGAATTAAGTACTTAACCCGAGGTACCACTGTATCGACATCACCTGGCCCCACCTGGTCTCCAGAGGGGAAGGAGCTGCCTGGTGGGGGGGGGGGAGAGGCTGGGTGCTAACTTGATTAAAATAATAATAATGATAATAATAATACATATCTTTATTGTCATTGCTCCTTCGGGGACAACGAAATTACTTGACTGCTCCATAAAAACACTAATTAATCAATACAGTATAATACAGCAAGGAGATTAGATGACTTTCAAAGTCCGGGCTTCCCATTCAGGGCCAAGATCGCTCTGGAGAAGAAGCTGTTCTTAAGACAGCTCGTTCTTGTCTTCATCAGTCCTGTATCTCCGTCCCGACGGCGGTACCTCAGGTTACAGACTCCACTAACCCAGAAATATTACCTCGGGTTAAGAACTTGGCTTCAGGATGAGAACAGAAATCGTGCTCCGGCGGCGCGGCAGCAGCAGGAGGCCCCATTAGCTAAAGTGGTGCTTCAGTTTAAGAACAGTTTCAGGTTAAGAGCGGACCTCCAGAACGAATTAAGTACTTAACCCGAGGTACCACTGTATCGACATCACCTGGCCCCACCTGGTCTCCAGAGGGGAAGGAGCTGCCTGGTGGGGGGGGAGGCTGGGTGCTAACCTGATTAAAATATTGAGGGGGGGGGACAGGTAAGCCCCACCTACCCAGGGGCAGATTTAGGTGTGATGAGGCCGTGGCTGGACCTAACAGTCAAGGGTCCCTTTAAGCTACTGGAGGTAATGGGGCCCTTTCTATGCCCAGCTGTCCTTTGCCAATAACAAATGGTCGCTGTTTTTTGTGTTGAATATATTATGCCATATGTCTAGTTACAGGTAGGTAGCCGTGTTGGTCTGCCATAGTCAAAACAAAATAACAATAATAAAAAAAATCCCTTCCATTAGCACCTTGGCTTGACAACCATATGTCAGGAGTGCTCTGATGGTGTTTCCTGCTCGGCAGGGGGTTGGACTCGATGGCCCTTGTGGTCTCTTCCAACTCTAGGATTCTATGATTCTATGATTCTTAGAGACCAACTAAGTGTGTTATTGGTATGAGTTTTCGTGTGCATGCACACGAAAGCTCATACCAATAACAAACTTAGTTGGTTTCTAAGGTGCTACTGGAAGGAATTTTTTTTATTTTTTTATTTTGTATATGCTATAGGGTAATTTATGGACCTAATAGGTATCTAAAGCCATCTGCACATAACAAGTAGGAGCCTGAACAACACAAAACACTGTTGCTGTATGTAGGCTTTATTTTTATTTTTTTTAACTTTATATTTTGGAAATGTACATCCAGTTTTTTCCCCTTTAAATTTTTTTGGGGCCCCCAAGAGAGTGGGGCCCTAAGCTAGAGCTTGTTTAGCTTATACGTAAATCCAGCACTGACCCCACTCCCACATAATCGATCTCAAAGACGCACCCCATTTAAATGGTCATGTGCTTTGGGGAGGGCTGGCCCCCCTCACATATTTTATTTGGGGGTGAAGGGGCCTTGGCCTCTAGGAGCTGGCTGCTATAGCTTGGGAGTGTTCTCCCCTCTTCCCCATGAATCATTTTTATTACTGCATTTACATCCCACTTTTTCCTCGAAGGAGCTCAAGGCGGCATATACGTGGTTCTCTTCCCCCCACCCCATTTAATCCCCACAACAAACCTGCGAGGTAATTGAGGCTGCATCCCCAGCTGCGGCGGCACCAAGGGGTCATCTGGCCCAAACAGCCACCGTCGCAGTGCAGGGCTGGCTGCAGCTGGAGCAGCCATGGCAAGTGGCCACCCAACGCCTGTGGATCATAAACCTCCAACAGAGGAGAGCCCATCCCCTTCCCATCCTAGGAAACTGTGGACACCCAAGGGCTCATTAGCCCCCTCCCCCAGCCCAAAGAAAGCATCCATGGCAGGTGACCGTCCAGCCCCTTAGCACAAAAAAAACTCCCATGAAGGGGTGTGTGCATGAATGACTTCAATCTGTGGTGGTGGGTGGGTTTATTGTTGGTGGCAGTATGGAGACCAGAGTTTGCACCGGCACTCGGAAGATTCAGGTTGCAACCATAGCCCTGCTAAATTCAGTGGGGTTTGTTCCCAGGTTAAAGGAGGGTTCTGGTTATCTGCAGTGTTCAGAACCTGTTTTGAATGTGTTGCAATGGTTAAAAGGAGTTAGGAATTCTGAACGACGAAGGGAGCTGAAGGTGAACACATGTATGTGCACACACACTCATAGACTCATAGAGTTGGAAGAGACCACAAGGGCCATTGAGTCCAACCCCCTGCCAAGCAGGAAACACCATCAGAGCACTCCTGACATATGGCTGTCAAGCCTCTGCTTAAAGACCTCCAAAGAAGGAGACTCCACCACACTCCTTGGCAGCAAATTCCACTGTCAAACAGCTCTTACTGTCAGGAAGTTCTTCCTAATGTTTAGGTGGAATCTTCTTTCTTGTAGTTTGGATCCATTGCTCCGTGTCCGCTTCTCTGGAGCAGCAGAAAACAACCTTTCTCCCACATGGCTGCAAGGCAGGCAGTGGGGGACAGAGAGGGAAACCAGAGGGGAGCAAGATGCAGAAGGGCAGTTTTCCTTCCCTAAAAGCCGGATAGTGAGCATGGTAACACATACACCTCACCTTTCACTATTTTGCTTTTTTGTACTTTTCACCGTAGGTTTATTTTGCATTTGATTTCCCTTTGTATTTTTTCCATTATTCATTTACATACATACATACAACCCCAGTGTAATTTACACCATAGGGCAGGGTTAGCCACATAATGTGGTGTCCTCCAGATGTTTCAGACAACAGTGACCATCATTCCTGGCTATTGGCCTTGCTGCCTTAGGCTGATGGGAGTTATAGTTTCCAGCATCTGGAGATCACCACATTGGAAGCTAATGGAATGGGGTGAAGGAGGTTCCAGGGAGTGGGGATTTTGACAGGGCTGGGAGATCTTTTTTGGGCCAAGGACTTACCTTACCCTAGTGGAAAGCTATTGGGGACCACATTCTGGTTGTATCCTGAAAATTGCTTGACTACTTTTTGGATATTTGCAAGAAGAGATTTCTGCCGAGATATTTCCCCTCTGCTTTGAACCTGTTTATAGAACTTACTAACCAATTCCTAGATGAAATGCCTCCCAAAGTCAGTGTACAATAAAATCCTGTGAAGAGAATTGTTACTGCCTCACCCAGTTTCAATTCTTCCTCACCCAGACACGGAGTAATTTTAAAAATTCAATGAAATAATGTGCCTACTTTGACCTACTTTCAATTTTTACTGCAATGCTCTGTTGCAGATCTGATGCCTTCATTCATCCGTCATGGTCCAACCATTCCAAGACGAACAGATCTCTGCCTTCTGGACCCGGGTTCTTCTGCCTACGCTGCGGGTGGGGATGGAGCAGTTTCCAGAAACCAGAGCTTCCTTCGGACTCCAGTGCAGAGGCCCCCTCATGAGATAGTGAGGCGGGAAAGCAACAGACTCTCTGCCCCTTCCTACCTTGCCAGGAGCCTGGCCGACGTCCCGCGGGAATATGGCGTATCTTCCCAGTCCTTTTTAACAGAGGCAAACTCTGTAACTGAAAACGGCGATGCCGGATCCCGTCACTATTATGACCACCACTTTTACAATGGTCAGAGGCGGCACCAGCTGGGGGATCATGGGCAGGAGGAATACAGATACTATGAACATAACACAGACCTTGCCCAAAGGATGTCACAGAATCAGGGAAGGCATAGTTCAGGCAAGTATCTGAGCTTATTTTCCAGAATTGGCCATTCCGAAGTACAGCTTATGTGTGTACATGTGTCATACTGGTGGCAGTAAACAAGGATCTATGTGTGCATAAATACCTTTCAGCATCTCAAGCTGCCTTGAAGAGAGTGGAACTATTGGTCCATATAGGTCATTATTGTAAGGTGTGGGGGATTTTTCCTCCAATCATGTTCCAGAAGCTCCTCCTCAGAGAGAAACCAAGCTGTCTGCTGACTTCTGAGGCAAGGCCATGGGAGCATTCACAAATGCCTGGTGACCTGTGTGTGTTTCTGTGTTGTCTTCTCGAAGGGTAATTCTGTGAATGGTTTTTAAATACAGCCAGGGCAATGTTTGAAAACTTGCAATTTGCAGGAAAAGGAACGTGGGCGAGAGAGATGGAAAAACACAGGCCTTTTTTATATGCAGTTGAAATGTTGAGCGTTATCTTAGTTTCCTCAGAAAACTGGTGATTTTGTTCTTGAATTGAAGAGTGAGGGGGCATTTGGCCTTTGAAGTCGAGTGAGAAGACATCAGATGTTTGCCTTGGAATGTGACTCTTCCTGGGCGTGACAGCATTCCGGATCACATTTTTCATGTGGTTTACTTGTGTTTACTGAAGGAAGCTCATCAGACAAAGTGAAATTCTTGAGTAGCGCTTGTGGAATCGCAGTACTGGGCACAGCATAAAGACTCTCAAGCTCTAAAATGTGGTATTTATGTTGTAAACATAAACAGATCAATATGTAAGCATGTCATACTTTCCCCCAGTTTCCTTGGTTAAGAAACGCATTGCAGTCAAGTTGACCATCTTGCGCAGATTGCAGAGCGGGAAAATAAATCTGCAGGCAGGAATGTCAAAACTTTAGGGTTACTGACCTCAAATATGAAACTCTGCTTTTGAGAAGGAGATGCTTTTCTCTCAGAAGGCTTTTTATTATTAGAAGAAGAAGAGGAGAGGCTGAGCTCCAAAGAGTTAGAGACTGGTTCTGTGCTGTGGAAAATTAAATGCCTGTGCATTTGACTGTTCTATAATGTTTAATTTTGGTTTGTTTTAGGAATGATACTTGGTGTATATAGCTTATTCAGATTAGCAGGGGGGAATGTCGAGTCTGCAAACCAAATAACCCCTATCTGTTTCCTGTGGCCTCCATTAATCTGCCACCCCACCAAACTCCTGCTGTTTGGCAGGAGAGAAGTTTTTGAAGAACATGAGCTCATAGGCCTCTGCTGGTGGGAGTGGCTTGGTTGTGGAAATGGAGTTGGAAGCTGCTAGGCTGCCTGGCTGCCAGCCACCATGGAGTGTACATGATGGCAGAGAGGGGGAAAGCCAAGCCACAGATGACGCAGCTTCTTGAAGGCCTTCACCTAAAGCAGTTTGTTGGCATGAGAGACAGTAATATCCTCTAGTGAGGTAGCAGGAGGCTGTGCTGGATGGGAGATTTGGGATGCAAGCCCCACATTTAAGGAAAGGAAATTTGCGTCCTTTAGAGGAAGGAGTAGGTTGTTGTGTTTTAGCGTTGGCTGAAGCAATTGTGTATGAGCGGGCAACAATTTGGCTTTGACGGCAGCTGAAAAATTATAGGTCTACTCCAAAGAAACACAGAACAGGTTAGAAGTCAATGAGGAAGCAAAGGGAAAGGGCTGCAGCTGGAGCTTGCTGGAGACAGACGGGGGTGTGTGGTGATCCCATTAAAGACATTCTTGGAAAAGTGTCTTATCCGGATCCATTGCATTCGGATGCAGCACCAAAACTGACTTCTTCACGTGGTTGGTGACCTTTGTTCAGAGGGGGCAGGGAGAGTGCAGCCCTTTTGGTTCTTCTTGACCGCAAGTTTCAATACTGTTGACCAAGTCATGCTCCTGGAGCAGCTCCCGAGTCTGAGAACTTGTGGGCACTTGGTTAAAATGGTTCCATTCCGGCCTTTATATCTGATTTCAGAGTGTAACAGTTGGGGGTCTACCCCTTGGGAGCTTGTTTTTACAGTTCCCCCAAGATTTATCTTGCCCCTCTGCATGGAGCCACTGGGAGGTGTCATCAGGGTATTTGGAGTGACATGTCAGCTACTATACTGATGATACCCATTGCTATCTCTTGGTGCATCTGAATCAGGAGAGGCAGTGGTAGTGGAGGTGGTAATGGGCTGGTTGTGGACCAATAAATTGAAGCTGAATCCAGCCAAGATGGAAGCACAGCCTCTTGCAGGTTCTTGAGCCTAGGAATTTGGGAGATGGCTAGTTCCCTTCAGGGTTGCCGTGCTCTCGGTGGAAAAGGCTATTTCAAGCTACAGTTGGTTCACCATCTCAGAAGCTGCAACTCGTGCAAGATGCAGCAACAAGGCTGCTGGCAAATGTTTCTAGCTGGGTACGTACCACACCGGTTTTGGAAGAGAAACCTTAGGAAGAACTTTCTGACAGTAAGAGCTGTTCGATAGTGGACTACCTGGGAAGGTGGTGGACTCTCCTTCCTTGGAGGTTTTTAAGCTAGAGGTCCAGGATGCTTGAGCTGTGATTCCTGCATTGCAGGGGGTTGGGCTAGATGACTCTTACGGTCCCTTCCAACTCTACCGTTCTACGAATCTGTGATCTGCATTGGCTGCCAATTCACTACTGAGCCCGGTTTAAAGATGCTAACATTGAAATATGAAGCCCCAAATACAGTGGACCTTCTGGATACAAAATTAATTCGTTCCGGGGGGTCCATGCACACCCCGAAAAACCCGTATCCAGAGGCGCCACTTTTGCGCACACGCGCAGTGCGATAGAGCGCTTCTGCGCATGCGCGAGTGGCAAAACCTGGAAAAATACTTCCCGGTTTACCGCTTTCGCAACCCGAAGTTTACGTTACTTGAGAATAATGTAATCCGAGGGTCTGCTGTATCTGAAAATATGAACATGTATCTGAAAATATGAACCTCCCAAATGAACCTGCTTGCCTGTTAAGGTCAGCAGGGGAAGCTCTGTTGGTAGCACTGCTACCCTCTGTCGTTTGAGGGGCACTTGAGAGGGAATGACCTCCCCTCTTATGCCCATCACTCTATGCTTTCCAACAGTTGGTCAAGATGCATCTCTTTACCCAGGCCTCTCCCCCACCCCCCATTGCTGTGCACTGTATTCACACGAACCATTCAGGCCTCCTGCTTGTTCACATCAGGGCTGTGGAATGCCAGCTCTGCAAGCCAAATAGTTTTCATCTGCTTCCCCTGGGCCCCTTTATCTTTCTCTCCTCCCCACCATTGAGGGATCATAGCTGAAAAGCAGAGCACATGCTTTGCATGCCGAAAGTCACAGGTTCAGTCCCTGGCATCTCCAGCTGGAAAGACCTGGTAGGAAGTGATGTGCAATGCATCTGCCTGCATTGAGAGCTGGAAGGTTGCTGCCTGCCAGAGTAGGTGAACCCAGTGGTCTTGAGTCAGGGTAAGACAGCTTGCCATGTTCCCTGGCAGCCTTGCCTCTTAAGCAGGGCTTAATTCATACCTAGAGAACGCCCTCCCACTTCCATAATCTGTCTCTTGATTTATTGGGAGGCTGGGGCTGAAAACTTGAGGCTTTCATTCCAACATTTGCTCTTGGATGTCCTGGGAAACAGATTACACAATCAAGAACCATCTTTTTTTCTGATAAGCAGCCGTGTTATGCAATAGCTATGGGTCAAGTGTCTGTGTTTTGTCAGTCTTGAAAACATGGAATACTTCCCAATTTGAACTTCTTTGAATACTGCTCTTTCAATTGCTTATCCCCTTATCTGGCTTGGCATGTCTGTTATGTTTTGGGGTATGTTTTGATAGTTGCTATCTTCACTCTGCCTTCCATGATACCGAGTCTTCCCATTTTAAAAAGTTCTCTTTGGAGAATAGCCTTCTGTTCTGGGAGGCTGGTTCTTATGTGTACAAACCTGTGCTGAAGTGAGCTGGGATTTAGTAGCCATGTGGCACGGAGGCAGCTCCCCAACTACTTCTGACTTTACTAGCTAATGAACTTCTGCAAGCAAAAGGAGCATATTGCATAGAAAGCATCAGTGTTCTCTCAAGGCAGGAATGTTTGTGAGAGGAAACGATAAATCTAGTCACTGAGAAGGGGGTGTATTGTGGAATTGATGACAATCTTTTGCTGCTTTTCTGAGGAAAAGAAGTTGTGTAACTTTGTAAGAAACCTGTTAAATGAGTGTCTGCTTTACTGATGCTGTTGTGGGTTGTTTTTTCCCCCCTCCAGGCATCGGGCGGGTGGCTGCTACATCGTTAGGAAACTTAACAAACCACAGTTCGGAAGATTTACCTCTCCCTCCTGGCTGGTCTGTGGACTGGACTCTTAGAGGAAGGAAATACTACATAGACCATAACACCAACACAACACACTGGAGTCACCCACTTGAGCGAGAGGGGCTGCCTCCAGGGTGGGAGCGTGTGGAATCAGCTGAGTTTGGTGTGTACTACGTCGACCACATCAATAAAAGAGCACAGTACAAACACCCCTGTGCCCCCAGGTAAGTTGTCTGTGGGCTTCCCTTGGGAGTTTCAACCAATGCCTTAGGCTGCAATTCTGTGACCTGGGACTTATCCCCATTGAACTCTGTCAGGCCTCTGAATAACCCTGTAAGAGAATGAACCTCAAATGCCTTACTGCTAGCACGCATGAAGGACTTTCACTGGTTTCCAGCTCCTAAGGAAGAGTGGAAAAGAACCCAACATCAGCTCACCAATCGCAGAACTTTGAGCCTCCATTAGCAAAGTCTGCCAAGGGTAGATGACAGAGCACACAACACATAGGTAGTACTCAGCACTTGCTCTCTACTTCCATGACAGGCAGCGCAGAGCCATTGTCTGCTTAAATCCTTAGTTTTTCTGGCTCCTCACCTGTTGAGACACACCCCAGAGACATGGCTAATCCCAGACTGGCAGATACAAGAATTTATACTACAAATGCATTGGTGTTCGTCTAAGTGGTGGAATTCGCAAGATTTAACACACCCACCTTTTAAACAGAGATAAGCTTTGTGGCACAGATCTCTCCATCCAAATCTGATAGACTAAACTCCCAAGTATGGGTATGTGTGCTTTGAAGTTGGCTTTCAGAGTGTCGTCAAGCTGTATTCAGTCAAATCGTTGCACCAGCACTAGCCAGCACAGGGATTCCTTTTAACGCAGTGGGACTTCCCTCCTCTCTTCCCCCCTGCACCCTTCCCAGATTAGCCCTGGAGAGTTGGGGGAACTCCAATACAACCTTTTGTATCAAAGTATGGGTTGATCCCTGGGCTGGCACTGTTGTGCCTTGCTCCCCATTTCCTAAATCAGGAACACCAAAAAAAAAAAAACCAAAAAAAAAACCTGCAATGGGAATTTGCTCACTCCAAGTTTCTGCACCCCAGCCTAAGAGAGCTGCTGTTACCATTTTTGGTGTTGAAGTGACTCATTTGATCTTTGCTGTATCTCTGTGCAGCGTTCCCCGTTACGATCAACCACCTCCGATGACGTATCAGCCACAGCCAGCCGAGAGGAGCCAGCCTATCCTTGTGCCTGCGAATCCATACCACACTGCGGAGATCCCAGATTGGCTGCAGGTCTATGCCAGGGCTCCTGTAAAGTGAGCATTAAGCACTTGTCTTATGAACTTCGAATTTTTATTTCTGCCCAGTGGTGGGCAATTCATTGACTATAAGCATGTATTTTTTAAAAAATGGAGGCATATTGTTTGGGACATCTTGAATGTATCCAGAACGTTAAGCTTAAGTTTGTGTAGCATCTTAAAAATAAATGATATGCTCTTAATATAATCGGTATTGGCTGGTTATCCAAAGTAGCATAAGAACATAAGACCTCTGGATTAGACCAGAGGTTCATCTTGTCCAGAATCCTGTTCTCACAGTGGCCTGTTTTAAGGTAATGTCCAGAAAATTCCTTGTTATTGTTGTCTACTGGCCAGGAGGGCTCTGTTGTGCCTCCACCGTCAGAGACAGCAATGCTTCTTAATACCAGTTGCTGGAATCCACAGGAAGGGAGGGAGAATGTCCTTGTGCTCAATAATAATAATAATTTATTATTTGTACCCCGCCCATGTGCCTGGGTTTCCCCAGCCACTCTGGGCGGCTTCCACAAAGACCAAAAATACACTAAGATGTCACACATTAAAAACTTCCCTGAACAGGGCTGCCTTAAGATGTCTTCTGAATGTCAGGTGGTTGTTTATCTCTTTGACATCTGATGGGAGGGCGTTCCACAGGGAGGGTGCCACCACCAAAAAGGCCCTCTGCCTGGTTCCCTGTAACTTTGCTTCTCGCAGAGAGGGAACCGCCAGAAGGCCCTCAAAGCTGGACCTCAGCGTCTGGTCAGAATGATGGGGGTGGAGACGCTCCTTCAGGTATACTGGGCCGAGGCCGTTTAGGGCTTTAAAGGTCAGCACCAATACTTTGAATTGTGCTCGGAAACATACTGGGAGCCAATGTAGGTCTTTCAAGACCGGTGTTATGTGGTCTCGGCGACTGCCCCCAGTCACCAGTCTAGCTGCTGCATTCTGGATTAGTTGTAGTTTCTGGGTCACCTTCAAAGGGAGCCCCACATAGAGCGCATTGCAGTGGTCCAAGCGGGAGATAACTAGAGCATGCACCATTCTGGCGAGACAGTCCGCGGGCAGTCCGTCTCCCAAAAACAGTACTTCTGTCTTGTCAGGATTCAACCTGCTTCCAAGTTTTTCTCATGACAGGAGGCTGGGTTAGATGGGCCAGGCTCTGATCCAACAGGCTCTTATTTATTTATTAAATTTGTGCACTGCCCTTCACCCAAAGATCTCAGGGCGGTTTGCAGCATAAAGCTCTCCTTATTTTTATCCAGTGCTCGCTCAGTCGGTTACGTTGTTCTCTTGTCTCTTGCAACAGATACGACCACATCTTGAAGTGGGAGCTCTTCCAGTTGGCTGACCTGGATACATACCAGGGGATGCTGAAGCTGCTTTTCATGAAGGAACTGGAGCGGATAGTGAAGCTGTACGAAGCCTACCGCCAGGCTCTGCTCACTGAGCTGGAGAACCGCAAGCAGAGGCAGCAGTGGTATGCCCAGCAGCAGCACGGCAAGAACTTCTGAGCTCCTTCCCTTTCGCAGCAGACTCTGAGGGCTCTTGGAATCTGAGGGGACTCTTTAAAAAAAAAAGGAAAAATCGTGAACAAGTGCTTTGGTTAAAAAGGCAGCTTCTCTCTTGTTGATCTTGCACCTTTTGTAATTACCTTCTTGTGTATCATGTTTATTGAGTACAAAAGATGTTTGTTATATTGTATAAAGAAAGTTAGTTTCTTATTCTGAGAGCCAGTGTGGTGGGAAAATTCAAGAAAAGCCACGTTTTATATTATTATTATTTTGTCTGATAACCTTTTTTTCTAGCAACGGTTGTACCTTGGAGAAGAAATTTTATTTTCGAAGGATGTCAGTGCGAGAAGCGCCCTGAAAGTTAGATGAAGCCTGTTTGCTGCCTTCCGGCTGCTGATCTTGCGGGCTGCCTTGCCTCCAGGGGAAAAGGAGGTTCTGCTTTTCTGCGGCAGCTCTGTGGCCGTGGACACAGCTTTAATATGCAAAAGGTCCACATGATCTTCCATTATAAAAACATTGCAAAAATACGGTTCTGTTGGACCCAAGCAATGAATAAACAACTGCCTTATTTTGACTGTTGAGCTCATCCTTCTAGTTTGCTGCAGATCCTCTCAGGAGCGTTTTGCCATATGCAGGCTGGCGCAAGTGGGCTGCCTTGAAAAGCAACTGGAGAACTGAGCCGCCTGCCTTAGCCATTTGGAGAAAGTTTCACCCTAATCAAACCAGCAAGGAACGATTTTGTGAAAACTTCCATCCAGTGGTAAAGTTGCCTTTGTATCTCATTTCACATTTTGATCTGTCATCTTGCAATGTGTATGAAAGTTCTGTAACATCTGTGTCCTGTAAATCTCAGCAATCAAATAAACTTGTTTTTGTGTAAGTGGCTGGAACAAATTTATCTCTGGTTTCCACATGACACTAAGCTGCAGTTGAACGCTGCCTAGTGGCCTAACCATGGTTTAACTTGCTGCTAACAAACCACAGGCTGAAGACATGGCTTGTTGCTGGCTTATGGACCCTGGCTTGTTTTAAGCGTGGCTTGGCATTGTGTGGAAACTCAGTAGCACCCTTACTTAACCATGGTTTGGTTGTCCTGGCCCAGATTGCTTGTTGTTGTTGTTGTTGTTGTTTAGTCGTGCCCGACTCTTCGTGACCCCACGGACCAGAGCATGCCAGGCCCTCCTGTCTTCCACTGCCTCCCGCAGTTTGGTCAAACTCATGCTGGTAGCTTCAAGAACACTGTCCAACTATCTCATCCTCTGTCGTCCCCTTCTCCTTGTGCCCTCCATCTTTCCCAACATCAGGGTCTTTTCCAGGGAGTCTTCTCTTCTCATGAGGTGGCCAAAGTACTGGAGCCTCAGCTTCAGGATCTGTCCTTCCAGTGAGCACTCAGGGCTGATTTCCTTCAGAATGGAGAGGCTTGATCTTCTTGCAGTCCATGGGACTCTCAAGAGTCTCCTCCAGCTCCAGAATTCAAAAGCATCCATTCTTTGGCGATCAGCCTTCTTTATGGTCCAGCTTTCACTTCCATACATCACTACTGGGAAAACCATAGCTTGAACTATACGGACCTTTGTTGGCAAGGTGATGTCTCTACTTTTTAAGATGCTGTCTAGGTTTGTCATTGCTTTTCTCCCAAGGAGCAGGCGTCTTTTAATTTTGTGGCTGCTGTCACCATCTGCAGTGATCATGGAGCCCAAGAAAGTAAAATCTCTCACTGCCTCCATTTTTTCCCCTTCTATTTGCCAGGAGGTGATGGGACCAGTGGCCATGATCTTTGTTTTTTTAGTGTTGAGCTTCAAACCACATTTTGCACTCTCCTCTTTCACCCTCATTAAAAGGTTCTTTAATTCCTCCTCACTTTCTGCCATCAAGGTTGTGTCATCTGCATATCTGAGGTTGTTGATATTTCTTCCGGCGATCTTAATTCCAGCTACGGATTCATCCAGCCTGTATAAGTTTGCTACTAAGGCTCAAGCCAAAAGCAGATTGAAAACAAACCATGGGTTAGCATTGGGGACAAACGAGGCCACTGTTTTGTTACCTACTAGAGTGGCTAGTGCCTGTTAAGGGCAAACAGGCAGAATCGTGGGATTGTTTGTCCAGACAAACACACATGCTGATCCCATGCTTGGGTGAAGTAATTTGCTTTCTAGCCCTTAAAGTTGGAAGGTTATAGGACAGAACCTGATCATGTTCTGGCACAATGAAGCCTATCTTATAAACTTCCCCTTGAAGGCGTACCATGTAATTTCCTGCTGAAGCTAAATGTACAGGCACTTTACTTTCCAAAAGTAATTTGAGCAGACGCCTGCCACCTTGCAATGAGAATACTATTTGAGCTGTATAAGGACAAGCACCTTTAATTGCAATTGGCGTTTAGCAGTGTGTGCACTGAAGAATTGAGGACCCTGATCCAAATACAGTGGTACCTCGGGTTAAGAACTTAATTCGTTCCGGAGGTCTGTTCTTAACTGTTCTTGACCTGAGGTACCACTTTAGCTAATGGGGCCTCCCGCTGCCGCCGCACCACAATTTCTGTTCTCATCCTGAAGCAAATTTCTTAACCTGAGGTACTATTTTTGGGTTAGCAGAGTCTGTAACCTGAAGCGTCTATAAACTGAGGTACCACTGTATGTCAAGCGGATTTTAGGCTTGCTTTTCTTAAACTCTGGACTCGAAAACTTCTTTTAAAAAGCAGCTTGTAATATGTAATAGCTATTCAAAGCTAGAACCTGGTTTTTTTAGTACAGGTGGTTCAAAATACTTTTTGCTCCGGTGGAAGGGTCTATTGCATATACCGTATTTTTTGCTCTATAAGACTCACTTTTTCCCTCCTAAAAAGTAAGGTGAAATGTGTGTGCGTCTTATGGAGCGAATGCAGGCTGCGCAGCTATCCCAGAAGCCAGAACAGCAAGAGGGTTCGCTGCGCAGCGATCCCTCTTGCTGTTCTGGCTTCTGGGATTCAGAATATTTGTTTTCTTGTTTTCCTCCTCCAAAAACTAGGTGCGTCTTATGGTCTGGTGCGTCTTATGGAGCGAAAAATACGGTACATACAGGTGCTTTCTCCTGATGCTGAAGGAAGCTCTGAAAGATGCATAAGGTGACAGGATCATGTCCATCTGGTGCTTAGCATGTAATGGGAAGGAGACGGGGTTCAGTTGGGAGTAGGTGATAATGAATTAGGGACAAATGAGGTAATTGTCTTAGGAACCAAACTTTTAATTGACAATTAAATAATAAAAACTTGATACACTCTTTATGCACTAAACAAAAATATATACAGTGAAACTCTCAAATACATGTACAAAAAAAAAATACTTCCCATCTCTTTTAACATACCATAGCAAAAGAAATATTCTTTGTAGCTTCTGAGAAGGCAGTCTTAAAGTGAATAAATTATGATTCACAGCTGCATGAAGGGAATGGTGTTAAATAAAAACCTCTTGAGTACAAATTTAAATATGTGAATGTGACATGGTGCCTCCTGAATAAGAGCCACATTCCTTTTCAGAATACTGGCCGTTGGATTAATGGCATGGGAGCTTGGATCCAGAGGAGGCTATGAATGCGTACCCGGGGATGGCAGGAGGCCACCATTGCAAAAGGAAGGTAGCAACCACTGCCTTCTCTGGCTCCAAACCTCAGTCTTGAAAAGTCCTGGGCCAGGGCCAAGTGTTCTGGAGAACCAAACCAGTAATGTTTCTGCAGCAAAATTAAGTTTTAAGAAAACGAAAGTCATGCTGACTCAGTCCCCCTTCAAGCAGGGCATTGTCCAAATTAAAGCAGCCACACTTAAGCCATTGGTACAAGTGAATGGGTTATCTGTTTTCCTCCGTCTTCGTTTCAAGGAGTGGCAGAGTCTCGTACATGGATGCAAAATGATTAACATGTTTTAACGATGTGTTTTCATGCACCTCCGTGGAAAACAGCTGGGTTTACATTGTCTTCTTTTCCGTGCCTTCGGTGGGCTCAGCCTTCTGCGCCGTGGGGAAAGCGTGGTGATACAAATGTCTGTGTGTGGCAGCCGCACTGTAAAGTTTGTACAAAGCCTGCACACAAAAGCACAGAAAGGTTAGTGGAAAGGAGGGGGGGTATGTTTTAAAAGATGCTTTCAGGGCTCTGGAGGTGCACCTCGATTCTGCAAAAGTGCCAAAAAGTCCTACACTCTTGGCACTGGTGGCAGAATTCAGCTCTCCTTTAAAAAAAAAATAAATACAGTTTCAAGTCTGCATATACTGTCATACCTCAGGCTGAATGTGCTTCAGGTTGAGCGCTTTCGGTTTGCGCTCAATGGCAACCCGGAAGTAACGGAGTGCGTTACTTCTGGGTTTCGTCGCATGCGCAGATGCTCAAAATGACATGCACAGAAGCGGCAAAACGTGACCCACGTCTTACGTTCCATTCAGGATGCGAACGGAGCTCCGGAACGGATCCCGTTCGCATCCCAAGGTACCACTGTATATGCTTTAGTGTTTGTGTGTGGCCAGATAATATTGCCAATGGCCAGGGATTCAGGTTTGCTTGGTCCCTGCAACCTTGCTCTCATTGCTGGCAGAAGCAAAATAATTAATGCAAAACATGTAAAGGGACCCCTGACCCTTTACATCCAATCGCGGATGACTCAGGTTGCGGTGCTCATCTCGCTTTATTGGCCGAGGGAGCCGGCGTACAGCTTCCGGGTCATGTGGCCAGCATGACGAACCAGAGTAGCGCACGGAAACGCCGTTTACCTTCCCGCCGGTACCTATTTATCTACTTGCACTTTGAAGTGCTTTTGAACTGTTAGGTTGGCAGGAGCAGGGACCGGGCAACCCCGTGTCGGGGATTCGAACCTTCGACCTGATCGGCAAGCCCTAGGCTCCGTGGTTTAGACCACAGCACCACCCGCGTCCCTATAAAAACATGAAAAAGTGCAACATAAATAGGGCAAAGCGAGCCAATCCATTATATAATCTGCGTAACTTTTAGTAGCTGCAGAATTCTGTCCTTGATTGAGTTTGGGTTATAACTCACTTAATATTTTCAGCTACGGTGTGGAATCTGTTTGGAGCCCTGGCTTGGTTTAAGCTGCTAGAGCTTATTCCTGCCTCTGCATGGTCTCCCAGCTGTCACTGTAATTCTAGGTGGGCTTCTCCTCAACAGCTTGGGAATGCGCCAAGGAAGGCAGGGGTTTCCCTTCAGCTAAAGGTAGGCACACAACATGCCAGTCGACACCTCAGGTGTGGTAGGAGGGAGAGAGAACCTGCCGCAGTTTAGGATCGAGACCACGTCTATGGATCAGACATCTGATACTCTGTGCCACGATTCTCATTTCAGTGAAAACAGAAATACAGTTTTTGCACGGCAAGCTTCCCCAGATGCACCCAGGGTTCAGTCCCGCAAAAAGCCACCATCTCACACAAAGCAGCACACTCAGCAAGCGTGGGTTTTTGGATTTCAACTCGGGTGCGACAGCCCTGAGATCAGGCAGTGCGAACCTGGTTGTGCTCGTGGTTGAGCCTAGGCTGAGAAAGGAATGATTTCCCCCTGCCTGAAGCAACATGGCCCACTGCCGTCAGGGTTAGCAAACAAGCAACCTCTTAACTGTGGTGCATAAGCATCTATCAGCGAATCCCAAAGGCAGAAAAAAGAGCTCGAGTGTCCTTAATCTGAACTTGTCTTCTTAAAAGTTGTTCCTCTGCCCTCCTGCAATGTCCCCAGTTGTCACATTTTTCTGGGGTTTTCTGCAACAGCGTCTAAATGATTGCTAGAAACTTGCTAACTACCAAAAGCAACTAGAGTAGCCTTCCAAACCTGGTGCCCTCCTAATAATTTAGACTACATCTCCCATCAGTCCCAGCCAGCACAGTTCCAGCTGCTACTGCTAGAAGGCACCATGCACACTTATGGTTAACATGGGAAGGGACTGGGTCAGGCCAACGGCCCACTAAGTCCAGCATCTTGTACTCACAGTGGCCAATCAAAGGCCTCTTCCGGCAAGCAGTTCTCCCCTCCTGTGGCTTCCAACATTCATAAGTATCGCTGCCTCCAATACACAATTTCAGCTTGGTTTCAGCTACCACTACCTGGGAACAGCAGTTCCCATTCAACATTGAGCCCACCAGAGAACTTGAGCCCTCCAGGATCAGGCCAGCAAGAAGCTTGTTCAATGCTGCTGAAGGATCATAGGATGCTTTCTTATCAGAGCACTGTCAAAGTGGCTCTCCAGGCTTTCAGACAGGAGACAAACCTCAGCTTTACCTGGGAACTGGGAACCTGGGGCCTTTTGTATGCAAGCAGAGCCTCTACCACCGAGCTATGGCCCTTACCCAAGGCCTGCCTAGAATTGCAGGAAGCGAGAAGGGAGGCTGCCAAGCCCTGGACAGGTCGCAGGAGATGCACGATGGGGCTGTGCAATCAACGCCCTGGGCCAAAAATTGTGCAGGAGGCGCGTCTTGCAAGCCAGGAAGTCCCGAAGCAAAGCAAGCCTACCTGCCTCTCCTTCCCCACTTGGACAAAGGAGGCAGGAAGTTGAAGCATTTAAGCACCCCAAATATAGCACAGTTTGCACACACAGACTGACACTGGCAGAAGGGCAGCTGCTGCTACATAAAGAGTAATGGGCTTACCTCATTCGTATTTCCCTGCAGGTAAGGCAGTTGAAGGGGGAAAAAACACAAGGTGAGAGAAAGAGGACATGTGCAGTCTCCTCTAGACCTCTGTCAGCTTAAGGGCACCCTGGCGGAAAATTTTGACACCCCTTCCTCCATCCCCTCCCTGCTACCTGAACCCTTGTAAAGAGTCATGCCATCAGCCCAGGTTGCACAGCCTTCAGCCAGCCCTGTGCCTTCCGGGCAGGATTCGGACTACAACTCCCATCAGTCACAGCCAGCACAGCTGTATGATGCTGTAACTGCTGGAAGCACAGCTGTACTGCCTGGGATGATGGGAGTTGTAGTCCAAACCATGCAGAAGGGCACCAGGGTTGGGGAATGGCTGACTGCGCTGAAAACAGGCCTCCTGGCACAAATTCTGCCACCTTTTTCAGTGGAGGTTTACTTTTATTCATTCTTGTTTTGGATATTTTTTGTGGTCGCTATAGACTGTCATGGTGATTCCACTTTCGGACATCTGATGCTTCAATTGTCAGGAAAATCAGGAGACAACAATTTGTCAAATATACACAGATGTTATAAATACTTCTATTAGTTCTGGGCAAAGTTTTGTTGGCATTAATTTTGCAGCAGGTGTTGGTGGGGAGGCTTCTTTTTAAAAGTTCATTTTATCTTAGGCATAAATACAATGTGGTTGAGAACTTCTTTTTTTTAATGAGGAGAGGGATAACCCTCCCACACACAATATCAATAATAACCCCGGAGACTGTGTTCTATCATTGCAAAACGTTTTCTCCAGGAACGCAGACAGAGTTGGTGTGGCTTTTAAAAGGGGGCAAAGAATCTCTTGGCCACCTCTGACTTAAGCCTAAGATGAAAATGCTTAGAAATTTGCTCCCCACCCTCCAAAAATTCAAAATATTTCCCCACCAACTCTCATGGGAGCAGAATGGGAAGTGGTGGGGAGGCATTTATTCCAGTTCTAATTTATACCCCACCTTTTCAGGAGTCATGACCAAAAGCACATGAGCAACTGAACCGCTCTTGGTGTCTGAAGTGAAAAGCGTTTTAGAAGCCTTTAATAAACATGAGACCTTCTGCATGCAAAGGATGTGCCCCTGACCCATAGCAGCTCCAACCTTTCAGACTGGAGTTTCACCCAGTGCCCCCTGGAGATGCCAGACACTGAACCAGGGCCTTCTGCATTCAAAGCAGGTGCCCAGCGCTGAGCTACGGTCCTTCTGTTGGCGATGAGTATTGACTACCACCAGCCACTGGCAGGCAGCTCCTCCTCCATGGATTTGCCTGGTCCTTCCCATCCCAGCCTCCCATGCAGATAAACTGATTCCCCATTGTAGAAGTGCAGCCTCCTTGTGGACATCCTAGTAAATAAGGTTCACTGTCGGCCTCTGCCCTCCCCGGTCAAAGCTGAGTTTTTTCCCCTTGTACTTAAACCTATCTCCCTCCCTTCTTCCTCCTCCTCCTCCTCCTAATCCCATGGGGGGCTTCCAGATGAACCATTTATTGAGCAGGGAGATTAGACCACATTGGCTATTCAACGAGCAATTATTCTGATCTGTTTGCAGGGAGGTTAGACAGCGTTTCATCAAAGCAAGCATTACCCCAATGCATTCCAGAGTATTTCCCCATCACCTTCCTTCCTGCAAAAAAAATTCCAATCTTTTGGGGGAAGCGGGTTTGTTACGCAAAACTCCTCCCCAATCTACTATTTATATTATTGCCTGTCTGTACAGCTGTCCTCTATGCATTCGCGCACCTCTTGGGACACCGTTGCCCAACGTGGCATGGCAGTGCCCAAGATGGAGCAGAAGGCTTTTGTCTACATTTGAATGCCCTTAAGAAGCCATTCTGAAGGTAGATGGCGGACCAAACCTCTAAAGATACCGTCGTCCCATTTGGCGGGACGGTCACCAAGATGGAGGAGCGGGTCTCGGCCTATATTTGGATACCGTCAGGTGCCATTTGGAATAAAGATGGCGGACGGAACCATGTAAAACTGCACTGATTTTAAAAATGCACCGACTTACTTTAGTTTCTTAGACTTCCCATGCAACGCTGGGCACTTCTCTCTAGCCAGCTATAAATGTGGAAGCTGAATTTGTTGGTGTGTGACTGAATCCCCCCCCCCCCCCCGCGGAAACAGAGGCAGCCTGGAAGTGCCCAAGGCTACCTGTTGCTGGCCAGGGGCAGCCTGTTCTGCTGTCAGGGACTGGGCAAGGAGGAATGGTGGAGATGGCCTCCCTAGCCTGAACCTTCCAGGGAAGAAGGAGACAGTTCAGAATTACAACAGGGGTTTGAGGGAGGTTACAGCTCAGAGGCAGATGAGGGGGGAAACCTGGGAAATAACGGGAGAGGAGGAAGAACAAGAAGCACCAGGGGAGAGACAGCTGATGGACTCAGTGTCTTTAGAAAGCATTCCAAACCCCCTGCTCTCCCAGAACACGGCGTGCCTTGAAAGTAGGAGAGCAGAGGGCTCAGAGGCAAAAGGTGCTTTTCAGCACCGTAGCAATGACTCATGAGAAGTGGGAGGGACGCAGGGAGTGGGGCTACACTTGGAGCAACGCCACTGAGGCTGCATTTCTAAGCCTCTCTCTGTGACTACTGAATAAAAAGCAACAGGTAAGAACTCTCCTGTCTTGTCCACTCCTGGCAACCTACCGTGGAGGGGTTTGGATACTCTGACGCCTGACATCTGCTCACCTGGTCCCAGAGCGCTGCGGCCACTTGGTCTATGACGGCGCCCAGCTCCCTGTACTCCCCTGAGTACCTAATGTAGGCCCAGGTGCAGAGGGTGATCAGGGTCAGGCCCATGATCATATTGCACAGGCTGGCTATGATGTCCAAGCCGATGAAGCCGGTCACCCCGGCAATGACGTAGGTGATGAAGATGACCACAAAGAGCGTGGCGGGTGTGCGGGCGGCGTGGAAGATGTTCTTGCTGTCGTTGTGCTTGATGTACTGGACGTAGAGCTCGTCGATCTCGGCTTCCAGCTGCTGGAGGTAGCGGCGGCTGAACTCCTCGCCCCCCATCTTCTTCACGGACCGGAACTGCCGCACCGCCTCCTCCTTCAGCTCCAGGTGTTTGCTCTGGAGGTCGCTGGGCGCCAGGAAGGGCTTGTCGCCTCCACACACCTGCAGGTTCACGGTTTCTGCATTAATTCACAAGGCCCTGAGCTACAGGGGCCCCAAATATCTAAAGCAGCCTTTCTCAACCTGTGGGTCGCCAGGTGTTGTTGAACTACAACTCCCATCACCCCTAGCTAGCAAGGCCAGAGCTCGGGGGTGATGGGAGTTGTAGTCCAATAACATCTGGGGACCCACAGGTTGAGAACCGGTGATCTAAAGGATTGCCCGATTCCTTACGCTGCACCCCAATAATAATATAACATACCCCGCCCATCTAGCTGGGTTTCCCCAGCCACTCTGGGCAGCTCCCAACAGAATATTAAAAAACACGATAAAACATCAAATGTTCAAAACATCCCTAAACAGGGCGGCCTTCAGATGTCTTCTAAAAGTCAGATAGTTGTTTATTTTCTTGACATCTGTTCCACAGGGAGGGCGCCACTACTGAGAAGGCCCTCTGCAACCTCACTTCTCGTAGAAGGCCCTTGGAGCTGGACCTCAGTTTCCAGGGTGAACAATGGGGGTGGAGACACTCCTTCAGGTATACTGGACCGAGGCCGCTTAGGGCTTTAAAGGTCAGCACCAACACTTTGAATTGTGCTCAGAAACGTACTGGGAGCCAATGTAGGTGTTATATGGTCCTGGGGGCCACTGCCAGTCATTAATCTAGCTCCCCACCTGCCTCTGAGCAGAGGCGGATTTAGAGCAGTGAGATCGGTTCTGCCGCGCTGGGCACTGAGTCTAGGGGTGCCCCACGGCCTAGTGCAATGGTCCCCAATGAGCTATGTACTGCAGACCCCCTATTTTTGAAAAGCCAAGCCATAGACCCCCATATTTGAAAATTTTGATATGGTGACACAAACGCTTGGGACCACCAGTTAGGACCCATTGATGTAGTGAATTGAGCAGAAGAGAAGGCAAGATGCAGTGGCACACATTGAACTTTGCCCTCGCATGGGGCGCTGCTGAAATTTGAAAGACCAAAGTCCGCCTGTGCCTTGGGGCTCAGTTGGCCTTTATCAGGGACCCAGCTGGCAGCATAGCAGGCACTCTGCAGTCGTTGCAGCATCCGGGCGATGAAAAGAGGGCATCCCCACACAAGGGGCATTGCAGTAATCAAGGCTCAGGGTTACGCATGCATGGATCACTGTGGTCAGGCTGCCCCCGTCTAGAAATGGCTGCAGCACTCCTAAGAAATCTCACTTGGGTCTCTAGTGGGTCTCTGAGAATCCTCCAGAAAAATAATCTCTCAAAGGACCTGTTGATGGCATTTTACCATTTACTGTGGAAAGTGTATTAACTTATGGTCTCTGTGTGTGGTTTGGGAGCTGCACGGTCAGGGGAAAAACAACGCTGTCCAGGGTTGTAAAGATTGTGGAGAGAATAACTGGGTGCATTCTTCCCACGCTGGATCAGATCTATGCTTCCAGGTGCCATAAGAAAGCTGCAGAGATAGTGCAAGATAGTGCGCACCCCGGAAATGATCTCTTTCAGCTTCTGCTTTCTGGAAGAAGGTACAGGGTTATAAAGACTAGGACTAGCCGCCTGAGAAACAGTTTCTATCCAAATGCGATTTTGGTTTTAAACGCAGCGTAAGGTAGTCTCTGTGGGAGTATATTGTATTTACTTATGGGGTATCAGAATTTTTAGGGGGTTAACCAGGCTGGCATAGCAGGCTTGTTGGTTTTTGAAGGTCTGGTGTAGATTTTTTTCAATTTTGTTGTTCTGTATGGGACAATGACAATAAGGATTATCGTATTGTATCGTAGCAAAAAGAAAGGAGCAAGGAGTGCTCTCAAGTTGAGGACCTTAAAAGCTGGCGTAAGAGCTGCTGGATAGTGGAACGGACTCCTTCAGAAGGTGGTGGACTCTCAATCATTGGAGGCTTTTAAGCAGAGGCTGGCTGGCCATCTGTCATGGATGCTTTAGCTGAGATTCCTGCATTGCAGGGGGCTGGACTAGATGTCCCCCAGGAGCGCCTTCCAGTTCTGTGATTTTATGACTCTTATGGCCTGCTCCTTCCATGGAGTAAAACCCCACCCAGAACGGAGTTGGGCCATCCTGTCGCACAATTTGAACTCTCTGCCCGCTGAATCTCGCCCAGTTCTTGCACAGAGAGGGCTTTCCTGCAGCCCAAAGGGGGCCTAGTGGAATCGTGGAGGGGCCACGCTCCTTGGTGGAGGACGCAGCATCAGGCTTACCTCTTCCATTCTTTTGTTGTAAGTGTCTTTAGCCGTGGCAACAGCTGCAAGGTTGTTTGCTTCTGCCGTGGCCTGCAAGGGATCAGGAGGAAAGGTCAGAAGAGGGAACCAGAAGAATAAGAGAAGAGTTTGGATTTGATATCCCGCTTTATCACTACCCGAAGGAGTCTCAAAGCAGCTAACATTCCCCTTTCCCTTCCTCCCCCACAACAAAGTGAGGCTGAGAGACTTCAAAGAAGTGTGACTAACCCAAGGTCACCCAGCAGCTGTATGTGGAGGAGTGGAGACGCGAACCCTGTTCACCAGATTACAAGTTCACCGCTCTTGACCACTACACCACACTGGCTCTCATGTTGTGTTCTCCTTTTCCTTCCTCCCCCACAACAAACTCTCTGTGAGGTGAGTGGGGCTGAGAGACTTCAGAGAAGTGTGACTGGCCCAAGGTCACCCAGCAGCTGCAGGTGGAGGAGCGGGGAAGCGAACCCGGTTCCCCAGATTACGAGTCTACTGCTCTTAACCACTACACCACACTGACACCACCAGGAGGAGGGAAAGGGGTCACTGGGCCCAAGGAAAAAAACACACCAAGGAGAGGGAGTGGGGAGGAGCATCTTTAAGGGCTCCTCCAAACACCTTTTCCATTGCGCATCCACAATCAGTTGTGCTCACGGTGGCATCAGAGCAGTTACAACACTCTGCCTGGAAGACGTTACGCTATGTTTCCAATCCATTCACATTCTGTAGCTTTCTGCTGAAATCCTGTAACTTAGCACAGCTCAAATGTCCCAGTTTATTTCTTGTTCCACTTCTGTTTTGGTTTTTGGTTTTTGTTGCACTGCTGCAGCACTCTAGCACACACACCCACACACCCCGGAGCAATGAAGCCCGGGGAAGCATTGCAAAACAATGAAGAAAGTGGGATTGTGGTAGTGGTCCAAAGGGCCATAATGAATGTGATAGTGTGAACCCCTATAAATCCTTGAATATGCTTCTAATAGAGAAGTTATGGTAACCTGTTGCTTTAAGAAACTGTTGATTTTGCAAGTCGCCGTCCCCCCACTGGGACAGAAGGACGGTTAATACGTAAATCACGAAAATACAGTTTATAAACCTGGTGCAAATGGCTACACGTAACACGGGTTCCCAATGTGCATACTAACACAACGTAACTGATCACAGTGAATATCAAAGCTTAGTCAGCAATGCTTATTGTGCATGTGTATTAAACAGGAAATGAGGCTGCAGTTTTGCGAAAAGATTCTGGGTTGCAGTTTTGCGAAAAGATTCAACTGTAACCTATTGCTTTGCAATAAACAAGAATGGACTCCTAATTCCTCTTGTCTCTGAGTTTTAGTGGCGTAAACTCAGAAGATAAGCCGTTTTTGGCTTACAACAGGTTGACATGTGGACCATTTAGCACAAATGCATCTCTTTGTTGTTGTTGTTTAGTTGTTTAGTCGTGTCCGACTCTTTGTGACCCCCTGGACCAGAGCACGCCAGGCACTCCTGTCTTCCACTGCCTCCCACAGTTTGGTCAAACTCATGCTGGTAGCTTCAAGAACACTGTCCCACCATCTTGTCCTCTGTCGTCCCCTTCTCCTTGCGCCCTCCATCTTTCCCAACATCAGAGTCTTTTCCAGGGAGTCTTCTCTTCTCATGAGGTGGCCAAAGTCTTGGAGCCTCAGCTTCAGGATCTGTCCTTTCAGTGAGCACTCAGGGCTGATTTCCTTCAGAATGGAGAGGTTGGATCTTCTTGCAGTCCATGGGACTCTCAAGAGTCTCCTCCAGCACCAGAATTCAAAAGCATCCATTCTTCGGCGATCAGCCTTCTTTATAGTCCAGCTCTCACTTCCATACATCACTACTGGGAAAACCATGGCTTGAACTATACGTACCTTTGTTGGCAAGGAAATGCATCTCTAGTGCACAGCTATTGCATCAGTTATGTTGCAGGTGGCACCTGTAAAAAAAACCCAACAAACCCCACCAGTCGGGAGAGCCCTAACCCACTGTGCAGAGAACAATCCAAGTTGTGTAACGTGAGTAAAAATAAATACACCTCAATTTGTTTAATAACTGTAATCAGTGCCGTGCGACTTACCTGCAGCATCGATTTGGGGTGAGGCAGCTCCTCTCCTTGGTAGATCTTTATATAGGCCTGGGAAGAAGACAAGACAAGACAGGCTGAGTTTATGCATGCACAGAAAAGTCCACAAAGGTCTGTAAAAACTCAGGAAAACAGGAAGCTCCAACTGGCTGACCTGCAAGGCTACCAGCTTCTAAGGACCAAGAGGCTTGCTTCTGGACTCACAGCTGTCCATGGAGGCGCAGGTCAATTCTGTGTCCAGGGCGGCTGTCTACCAGCTCCATCCTCTATGCAGGCTGAGACCCTCCCTTCCTGTGGACTGTCTTGCCAGAGTGGTGCATGCTCTAGTTATCTCCCGCTTGGACTACTGCAATGCGCTCTACGTGGGGCTACCTTTGAAGGTGACCCGGAAACTACAACTAATCCAGAATGCGGCAGCTAGACTGGAGACTGGGAGCGGCCGCAGAGACCACATAACACCGGTCTTGAAAGGCCTACTGGCTCCGAGTACATTTCCAAGCACAATTCAAAGTGTTGATGCTGACCTTTAAAGCCCTAAACGGCCTCGGACCAGTAGACCTGAAGGAGCGTCTCCACCCCCATCATTCTGCCTGGACACTGAGGTCCAGCGCTGAGGGCCTTCTGGCAGTTCCCTCGCTGCAAGAAGCCAAGTTACAGGGAACCAGGCAGAGGGCCTTCTCAGTAGTGGCGCCCTCCCTGTGGAACGCCCTCCCACCAGATGTCAAAGAGATAAACAACTACCAGACTTTTAGAAGACATCTGAAGGCAGCCCTGTTTAGGGAAGCTTTTAATGTTTAATAGACTATTGTATTTTAATATTCTGTTGGAAGCCGCCCAGAGTGGCTGGGGAAACCCAGCCAGATGGGCAGGGGTATAAATAATAAATTATTATTATTATTATTATTATTATTATTATTATTATTATTCTATGTTCACCTTCAGGTGCTGGCTTTGACATTTAAGCTCTTCTAAGCCACCAAGGTCCAGGGGTGCTAGACTACAACTTCCATCATCCCTGACAACTGGCCATGCTGGCAGGGGCAGATGGGAGTTGGAGTCCAACTCCCATTGGAGGGCAGAAGGTTCCCCACCCGCTGCTGTATGACCTCCCAACACAGGGGCTACGAAGAAAAAGGCCCTGCCCTCCAGCTTTTTACAAAGGACTCCCTTTTCATGAGGCCGAAGAGGAAGGAGGCATCCTGCCCAAGACGGCCCAGCAAGAATGGGGTTCCTGAGTCCGCCTCCTGACAGCTTCAGGCTCACCTTGAAATATTCCACGAGGCCTCGGCAGGTGATCTGGTTGCCGTTGATCTCCTTGACGTCCAGGCTCTTGGGGCTGAGCAGCCAAGGGATCAGCACCTTCAGGTTCTTGATGAAGTCCTCGTCTATTTCTGTGGGGGAAGGCGAGTCAGTGGAAAAAGCAGTCCTCGCAAGCAAGCGGATGATGTCAAACGCTTTGGAGAATGACGTCAATCCTACTGCTTATACAGAATCTAGTGCTTATGTTACTATCAGCAGGCAGGTGGCTAATAGCCTGTCCTGGAAATCATCAAAAGTTCCTATGTGGAAGACATGGTTCACTAATGTAGGAAACATTCATTTACCGTATTTTCCGCTCTATAAGACACACCAGACCATAAGACGCATCTAGTTTTTGGAGGAGGAAAACAAGAAAAAAAATATTCTGAATCTCAGAAGCCAGAACAGCAAGAGGGATCGCTGCGCAGTGAAAGCAGCAATCCCTCTTGCTGCTCTGGCTTCTGGGATAGCTGCGCAGCCTGCATTCGCTCCATAAGACACACACACATTTCCCCTTACTTCTTAGGAGGGAAAAAGTGAGTCTTATAGAGCAAAAAATACGATATTTATCAGATTGTCTAGTTAGAAGTGTAGTCTGGGGCGAAGCCAAATCAGGGTTTTGATGGAGACGGAGACAGACTAGTCTCCATTTTTTATTTTAACGACGACAACAACAATTTTATTTATTAGTTGCCCCAGCCACTAGGGGAGCCATGCAAGTGCTCCTCACATTTTGTATTTTTATTCTGTGTTTTTATGTTGTGAACTGCCCTGAGATCTTCGGATGAAGGGTGGTATACAAATTTAATGACTATTTTTAATGTATAATGATGATGCGCGCCTCGTTGTGGTTGTGCTATATGGACTCATCTTAATAACTTGGCTATATGTAAGTGCATCTCTGTGATTTGTTTTTTTTATACGGAATATGTGCTATTTATGGTTCTCTTATTGTTTCTAAGATTATGCACTAGTTTGTCCATCTGTTTGTGATAAATTAATAAGAAGAAAAAGAAAAAGAAGAAGAACAAGTGGCAGGCGCATGTCTGGTTTTGATGCTTTTGTCATTTCAGCACCAGGCAGAGAACTACCATAGATGAGAGGTTAAACGTAAAGGTAAAGGGACCCCTGACTGTTAAGTCCAGTCGCGGATGACTCTGGGGTTGCAGCACTCATCTCGCTCTATTGGCCGAGGGAGCCAGCGTACAGCTTCCGGGTCATGTGGCCAGCATGACTAAGCCGCTTCTGGCGAACCAGAGCAGCGCACGGAAACGCCGTTTACCTTCCCGCTGGAGTGGTACCTATTTATCTACTTGCACTTTGACGTGCTTTCAAACTGCTAGGTTGGCAGGAGCAGGGACCGAGCAACGGGAGCTCACCCCGTCACGGGGATTCGAACCGCCGACCTTCTGATCAGCAAGCCCTAGGCTCTGTGGTTTAACTCACAGCACTACCCGTGTCCCTTGCAGATGAGAGGTTGGTTGCTGCTAAAAATTGTAGGATTGGATTTTGTTATGTTTTAACTTTTCTCGTCAGTTCTGGAACTGTTGCTTCGATTGTGTTTGAGATGCAGCTTGGGATCTTACAGTGAAGGGTGGAATACAAATACATTTGAATGAAATAAATCACGGATGAGGAAATGGATCAGGCCAGCAGGTTGGAGCCACATGGCCTTGTAGTCCAAAACTGGAGGCACGGGGTTGGGAAAGGCCAGTTTAGAGCATAAGCTTGCAGGTGCCCTGACGGGAAGAGAGGAGTTTGCAAGAGCTACCGGGAGTCAAAATGCAAGGGACCCGTATCTGGGGGGGGGGGGGGCGAGAGAGACCTGGCACACAGGAGGCAATCGGAGAAATGAAGCTTGCAAACGAACCCACCTTTGAGTTTCCCGTCGAAGTTTGGGTTTGTGGCCACTTTCAAGCCCGGGTGAGGTAAGAGGAAGCAGGAGATGTTGGTGAAGCAAGAATGGATGTGTTTCCGGACGTTCTGCAGCTCTTCGTGCTGGTTCCCCGAGACCTGAGAGCAAGTGGGAGGGCGGATTAGCAAGGTCGCTCTTTAGAGGGGGACCAACGGCTTGGGAAGTCATAGAATCGTAGAGCTGGAAAAGGACCCCCAAGGGCCATCTGTAAGCAGGAATCACAGCTAAAGAAGTCCTGGCTGGTGACCATCCAGCCTCTGGGAAAAACCTCCAGAGGGAGTCCGTTCCACAGTCAACAACCTTGCTCCTTTGGAGTGAGGGAGCTCTGCCAAAACGGCCTCAGACCAGATAGAAAGGCTCCCCACCCCTGGCCTAAAGGCAGGGCCGTCTTACGCATAGACCTAAGTGGCGCGGGGCACCAGGGTGCCAGATTTTGGAGGGCACCACAGGCTGAGTGTCCGGGAAGGAGAGTCAGGGCGCGCTCCCTTCCCCGCTCTGGGGCAGCCCACTCCCCTCCTCTCAGCCACCCATCGGAGCATGCTGCGTCCGGCTCAGGGAAGCCCCTTCGCGTCTCCTCCTGCCAGGGTTGCCTGGGTGCCTGATGGGCGCGATCGGGGGCAGGGACAGGGCACCCCTCTCTGGCCACGTCGCTGCCTGCGCGCCTCCCTGCGGAGTCTGCGAGCGGAGAAGGGAAGCGCCCTGTGCGATCCCAGTGCACAGCGAGGATGGCACAGCTAATGAGGCATCTGATCTGCTTGCTGGCCCTCCTGTTGTTGCAGGAATTTATGTATAGGTTTGGGGGGGGGGTTGTCCCTCCAGCAGATATCATGCACCTGCAGCCCACTACCAAAATCAGCACAATCGCTTTTGTGACTTGTTTTTTGCCCCCACAAAACACTTCATCACAGTTTCTTCCTATCTATTCAAAGGGCCTTTGCTGCACGATACCAAATGTAAGCATTCACTGATAAATGTATCTATGTACTGGCTCACTGGGAAAACTTCAGAAATTCATATAGACGTGTGAGCTCAGCTACTCAGCAGCCCCTCTGCCTGAGGGATAATGCCTGGCATCCTGATACCTGAGTGCCAGACAGGTAGCCATTCCAGAAATAACAAACCCAGACGAAGACAAAAGGATGTGATTCACTTGGCTGGGAAACAGGGAAATGTAAATATCTTTTTTGTTACACTTGATGGGTGTTTGGTGGAGGGCAAGGGGAACCATGGGGCAGGGTCCAGGATGCTCAGATTACGGCCACCAGACCTCCCCTTTCATGATGTAACCGTGATGTATGAGTGATGTAGTTTGGGGGGTGTAACATGGGGATTAGCAGCTAATAAAAGTTTGGGTTCTCTTTTGTTTGGGGCTTCCATCTTGTTCCACCTTGTGGCAGGTGGGAGTCCTGTCACAACAGTCTTCAATCAAGACCAAGCCGACTGGCTGCTGTTTTGCTCTGCTATTCCTGGCTGGTGTCCTTGTTTTTTGTCCAAGGGAGCCCTTAGATTTCTCCGTTAACACTGTGGTGCAGACTTCCCCAGACGGGGACAGGGAAGGGGCACCGGGCTTCGTGGGAGGCCATCTGGGCTGCGATCCGGGCGCCCCTTTCTTACATGCAGCGCCGAGCGCGCATCGGACCACGCGATGTAAATGAGCCGGATCGAAGTGTCGTTCCCCCCCCCCACTTTAAAAAGGTTGACAACTCTGGGAAATGGGGGTGGGTGGGTGGGTGGGCACCGGAGAGATATTTGCACCACGGTGCCGGTTATGCTTAAGACGGCCCTTGCCTAAAGGCACAAGGAAGCGCTACCACCTCCTTCTCAAACTGGCTGAGAATGCAGCTTTCAAAAGGGGGGTGGTCCCCTTTTTGCATCTCTTATCCAGGCCCCGCCCCACCCACATCCAAAGGCTCCCACACAAGGATGCTCCATTCATCGTCACCTGACTGGCCAGCTGAGTCACATGACACACCTGCAATTGACCAGGTGCCTCCTTTTAGCAACAGTTAGTTGCAAGTGTGGTTTGTTCCACTTCCCACTTCAATTTGCTCATTTTTATTTTTTACTACTTGATGGGATTTAAATTGTTGGGAGTTTTGAGCATGAAAAAAAAAATAGGAGGAGAAAACGAAAGCGTTAAGACCAACCTTGAGGCGCTTTTCCAAAAACCTGGCTCCACCATCTGCCCCGTAGGAAAACTCGTAAGGAAAGCTCCAGTCGCGAACAAGGAAAATGAGAGACTGCAAAAGGGACAAAGAGAATTACTTGTGTGCAAAGTGAAATAAGTCGCCCCAACTACACAGCCAAGCTCTGTCCCCAACAAAACACTGAATACGCCACCCTAATCTCTGAACACTGAAGGACTCTGGGGGGTTCCATGCGCTTCCCCAGGTTTGGTTTCCTTGGATTGACAGTCAGTGGAGACTGTGCTGTCTTTTGGATATATGGCTTTATTTACACACATATAAAGGTAAAAGAGGGACGCGAGTGGCGCTGTGGGTTAAACCACAGAGCCTAGGACTTGCTGATCAGAAGGCTGGCGGTTCGAATCCCCGCGACAGGATGAGCTCCCGTTGCTCGGTCCCTGCTCCTGCCCACCTAGCAGTTCGAAAGCACATCAAAGTGCAAGTAGATAAATAGGTACCGCTCCAGCGGGAAGGTAAACGCCGTTTCCGTGCGCTGCTCTGGTTCGCCAGAAGCAGCTTAGTCCTGCTGGTCACATGACCCGGAAGCTGTCTGCGGACAAACGCCAGCTCCCTCGGCCAGTAAAGTGAGATGAGCGCCACAACCCCAGAGTCGTTCGTGACTGGACCTAATGGTCAGGGGTCCCTTTACCTTTTTAAAGGTAAAGCACCCCTGGATGGTTAAGTCCAGTCAAAGGCGACTGTGGGGTTGCGGTGCTCATCTTGCTTTCAGGCTGAGGGAGCCGGCGTTTGTCCACAGACAGCTTTCCGGGTCATGTGGCTAGCAGGACTATACCGCTTTTGGCCCAATGGGAAACCAAGACGGAAACCAGAGCGCACAGAAACGCCATTTACCTTCCCACCGCAGTGGTACCTATTTATCTACTTGCACTGGTGTGCTTTCAAACTGCCAGGTTGGCAGGAGCTGGGGCAGAGCAACGGGAGCTCAGCCCGTCACGGGGATTCGAGCCACCGACCTTCTGATCGGCAACCCCAAGAGGCTCAGTGGTTTAGACCACAGCGCCACCCTGAGCATAAGATGGAAGGGCTCACAGCATCAACACCCCAGCACATATTGCCTCTCTATTAGCTTTGGATCCAGCACAGAGCAAGCAGGTCTCTGTCTCTCCAGCTTCCAGCCTGTTCCAGCTCAGCTCTCTCTCACACACACTCACTCTCTCTTGTTCTCCTGGCGAGGTGAAGGGGGATGGAAGGAAGACCTACCCATTTGTTCTATGGCACAGAGCAGCTTATTTGGTTATGCTAATTGTGGTTAGACTGGATGACCCTCAGGGCCCCTTCCAACTTGACAATTCTATGATTCTACGAGCTAAAGTCCTTGCCGAGACAAAGGGACTAGTTGGGAGGCTTGTTCTCATACCTTCTACCCCCACAGATACAGGATCCCAAGAGCTGGAAGGGACTCAGGGCTGACCTTTCAAGCCCTAAACGGCCTCGGCCCAGTGTACCTGAAGGAGCGTCTCCACCCCCATCACTCTACCGGACGCTGAGGTCCAGCTCCGAGGGCCTTCTGGCGGTTCCCTCTCTGTGAGAAGTGAGGTTGCAGGGAACCAGGCAGAGGGCCTTCTCGGTAGTGGCACCCGTCCTGTGGAACACCCTCCCATCAGATGTCAAACAGATAAATAACTACTTGACATTTAGAAAACATCTGAAGGCAGCCCTGTTTAGGGAAGTTTTTAATGTTTGATGTTTTATTGTGTTTTTAATATTTTGTTGGAAGCCACCCAGAGTGGCTGGAGAAACCCAGCCAGATGGGTGAGGTATAAATACAGTGGTACCTCTGGTTGCAAACGGGATCCATTCAGGAACCCCGTTTGCAACCTGAAAGGAACGCAACCCGCGTCTGCGCATGCATGGGTCGCAATTCGCCGCTTCTGTGCATGCACGTGACATCATTTTGCGCGTCTGCGCATGCGCAAGTTGCAAAACTCGGAAGTAACCCTTTCCGGTACTTCTGGGTTGCTGCGGGATGCAACCTGAAAAACGTTTCATGAAACAAACGTAACAAGAGGTATGACTGTAATAAATTATTATTGTTGTTGTTGTTGTCGTTGTCATTCTGGAGAACAGAGCTGAGAATACACAGATACTGCCCTCTGCACCATCACGGTCTCCTCCAACCTGTGGCCCTCCAGAGGTTTTGGGCTACGGCTCCCATATTCCCTGGCAATCGGCCACACAAGCTGGGGCTGATGGGAGCTGAAGCCTGGCTTTTAGATCATCTGCCACCCAGTTTAGGGAAGCTTTTAATGTTTAATAGGTTATTGTATTTTAATATTCTGTTGGAAGCCGCCCAGTGTGGCTGGGGAAACCCAGCCAGATGGGCAAGGTATAATAAATTATTATTATTATTATTATTATTATTATTATTATTATTATCATTAATATCATTATTATTATAGCAACACAGATGGAGTGGGGTGCTCCCTCCATCTCCCCCCTTACCTGAAAGGGCTTCAGGAACGTCTCCTCCATGGCCAGCCTCCCATATTCTGTGAAGAGCTGAAACAAGAAGCAGACCAGGGCAAAAAGGGTGAGCTTTTCTTTGGGGAATTATAGAGACAGAACTACCTAAATTGTGTAGAAATTTATTCATGTATGCTACTACAGCAGCAAGAATGCTACCTGCACCAAAGTGGAAAGAAGCAGAAGTCCCAGTAAAGGAAGAATAGATACATAAACTTTTGCAATATGCAGAAATGGTGACACTTACCGGAAGAAATAGAAATCAAGATAACAAACTTATTTTATATAAAACAACAGAAATGGTTTATTGAATATTTACAGATAAATTGTAAACAGATAAAAACATTAGCAGGATTATTGTAATAACCTGCAGTTTTATAAGCGAATATATTTACAGTAGATAATTAAATGAGCAAGTAAATGAACTTGGATATGCAGAAGGTGTTAAAAGATATTTAAGGAACCACTGAAAGAGGAGGAAGGAACTCAAATTCTGAAATGTTAAATGGACTGTAAAACTAATGAAATGTATTAATTTGAAAAGTATATGGATATAAAGAATTCGAGTGAGATGAATGTGTCAGAGAAGGGGCTGTGTTGAAAGGGGGCAGAATTCAACAGAGCACAAAGTGGGGAAAGCGTGGGGGGGTGAGGTCTGCTCAGGCCATGCTTCTTGCCCCAGAGCAGATTTAAGAGGTGTGCAGGAGGCACAGAGAAGGGAAGTCCAGTTGCGCTGCCAGACCTTGTTCTACACACACACAACTTCAGTTCATCCAGCCCTTTGCACTAGAACGTTTGTTTCCATGGTCGGACGGAGTCAAACATTCTTCTCATCATTGCAAGTTCAGCAGGTGATATCCAAGTAAGTCATACTAAAGAGAAGACCCGCGGCAATCAAACGCCCATTTATTTCAGAAGATCTATCTACTCCAAGTATGACCAACTCTGGATAACAAGCTGTGTCACTGGAAGAGCACCCACCCTCTTTTGAACTATATATTTTAATATTTTAATCTGGGCTCCATGATCACTGCAGATGGTGACAGCAGGCACGAAATTAAAAGACGCCTGCTCCTTGGGAGAAAAGCAATGACAAACCTAGACAGCATCTTAAAAAGCAGAGACATCACCTTGCCAACAAAGGTCCGTCTAGTTAAAGCTATGGTTTTCCCAGTAGTGATGTATGGAAGGGAGAGCTGGACCATCAAGAAGGCTGATCGCCGAAGAACGGATGCTTTTGAATTCTGGTGCTGGAGGAGACTCTGGAGAGTCCCATGGGCTGCAAGCAGATCCAACTGATCCATTCTGAAGGAAACCAGCCCTGAGTGCTCACTGGAAGGACAGATCCTGAAGCTAAGGCTCCAATACTTTGGCTACCTCATGAGAAGAGAAGATTCCCTGGGAAAGACCCTGATGTTGGGAAAGATGGAGGGCACAAGGAGAAGGGGACGACAGAGGACGAGATGGTGGGACAGTGTTCTTGAAGCTACCAGCATGAGTTTGACCAAACTGCGGGAGGCAGTGGAAGACAGGAGGGCCTGGCGTGCTCTGGTCCAGGGGGTTACGAAGAGTCGGACACGACTAAAAGACTAAACAACAACAACAATTTTAATCTGTAAAGGTAAAGGTAAAGGACCCCTGGACAGTTAAGTCCAGTTGAAATCGACTATGGGGTGTGGAGCTCATCTCCACTTTCAGGCTGAGGGAGCTTTCCAGGTCATGTGGCCAGCAGGACAAACCACTTCTGCCACAATGAGACACCGTGACGGAAACCAGAGCTCACAGAACACTGCTTACTTTACCTTTACCTTTTTAATCTGTAAAAACAAGGAGTCTTGTGACATCTTATAGAGGTTTCTGAAATCATACATGGCATGGAGAAAGTGGGTGGAGTGAACTGCTAAAAGCAATAGAAGAAGCATATCTAAGCAATATATAAAACACACTTAAAAGTGCAGAACCAATAAAACAAAGCAGTAGCAGAATAAAACCAATTTGAGCGTTATTTTAAAGGAGCCTGGAAACAAGTCAAGGACCAGAAACCTCTTTTCCTACAGACAAATAAGAGAGATTCCCAGTGAGGTTCATTCAGTGTCCATTCTGTGCTTTGTTGTTGTTGTTTAGTCATTTAGTCGTGTCCGACTCTTCGTGACCCCATGGACCAGAGCACGCCAGGCACTCCTATCTTCCACTGCCTTCCACACTTCAGTCAAACTCATGCTGGTAGCTTCGAGAACACTGTCCAACCATCTTGTCCTCTGCCGTACCCTTCTCCTTGTGCCCTCCATCTTTCCCAACATCAGGGTCTTTTCCAGGGAGTCTTCTCTTCTCATGAGGTGGCCAAAGTATTGGAGCCTCAGCTTCAGGATCTGTCCTTCCAGTGAGCACTCAGGGCTGATTTCCTTAAGAATGGATACGTTTGATCTTCTTGCAGTCCATGGGACTCTCAAGAGTCTCCTCCAGCACCAGAATTCAAAAGCATCAATTCTTCGGCGATCAGCCTACTTCTGCCCAAACCCAAACACCATAAATGGGGGAGGGGGGAGAGAGAGAGAGAGAGAGAGAGAGAGAGAGAGAGAGAGAGATATTACCTGCAAGTGCTGGAGGTCGTCTTCTTGAACATTCTGGGACAAATTGTACACCTGGATGCAAAACAACCCCACAAGCATGTAAGAATGACTGAAAGCAACCCTGGCTTCTCTTTCGTTGCCAGAATTCCACCCCACTATGGCGAGTGATCTCCCCCCTGCATGTGATCTTGTGCCTATTTCCCCAGAATCAGCAATTTTCAGAAGGGGTGAGGAGAGGCACCCCAAATCAGCTCTAACCACTGAACTACAGACCTTCCCCTAGAAATCAGTTTACTAGACCATCAAGTGCGCCATCAATTATGCTAACTAGCCAGGTCTAATGACGTTGAAGAACTCTGCTGGAAACGGGAAGAGGAGCGGAAACTGTCACAATTCACGAATTCAGCAAAGGTCAGGAAGGGAAATCACACAAGCAAATATGAGCAGTACTCGCCAGCACTGTTTAAGTCCACAAACGTTACGTAAAGAGTTACGTTATTTTCTGCATTCTTTTGGGCATGGATTCCCTTCCACTGAAATGCTCTGGAGTTTATCATGTGATTGTCTAATGAATGACGTTCATTGCAGCCACAGTGGATTGTGAGACCATACAGGCAGGTTTTAGCAGAAACCAAACTGCAGCCGAGCAGAAACAGCTCTGGTTGCAAGAAACACAGGACAGGGCAGAAATCACGACCACCTTGCGTCCCTTGCTGGGGCTTAGGGAGGCTGGCGGCTGCTTGCATCCTGCTTACTAAGGTTAGCTGGTTGAACACAGAGCACAGCCCATCCTCTGCTCATGCCGTCTTCACCATAGCTGTCAAGCGTCCCTTATTTGGCAGGACAGTCCCTTATCCCAGCGCCATGTCCCGCTGCTGATGATTTCCCTTAAATTTCCCGGGTTTCAAAGGAAGCAGCTCCTCTCCCTCCCTCCCTGCCAGCCAGGGAGGAGGGAGGCTCCAACTGTGTTGCTTGGCTGCGTTGCTCACCCAATAAGGAGTCTAAGAATGACTGGGGGGTGGAGCTTGCATGCCTTGTGCCGATCAAATCGGCCGTGTTGTTTGGGGACTCGCCTTTGCTCAGCGCTTCCCAGCGGAGAGGTGACAGTGGTTTCCCTTGCTGCATCCCCTTTGCCGGGTTGCTGCGGTGTGGGAACCACCGCTTGAGGCTTCATTTGGCTGCTGGTTGACTAAAATCCCTTATTTTGGCTGCTGATCCCTTATTTTCGAGGCTGCTGGTCCCTTATTTTCAAATCTAAGTTGACAGCTATGGTCTTCACACACAACCCCCCTCCCCCCCCATTCCCATCATCGCAGTTACCTGGATGGAACTGATCATGGTACTGAGAGCAAAGACGGTAGCTGAATCTCGCAGGGTTGACTGGCTGTCAAAGGTCCCCTGAGTGTCCATCAGCAGCACAGCCACCTGCAGGAGACGGAAAAAAGGTTTCCAGGATTGTCCTATTTATTTATTTATTTATTTATTTATTTATTTGTACCCCGCCCATCTGGCTGGGCTTCCCCAGCCACTCTGGGCGGCTTCCACAGAGACCAAAAATACATTAAAATGTCACACATTAAAAACTTCCCTGAACAGGGCTGCCTTCAGATGTCTTCTGAATGTCAGGTAGTTGTTTATTGCTTTGACATCTGAAGGGAGGGCGTTCCACAGGGCGGGCGCCACTACCGAGAAGGCCCTCTGCCTGGTTCCCTGTAGCTTTGCTTCTAGCAGCGAGGGAACTGCCAGAAGGCCCTCAGAGCTGGACCTCAGCATCCGGGCAGAACGATGGGGGTGGAGACGCTCCTTCAGGTATACTGAGCCCATTTAGGGCTGTAAAGGTCAGCACCAACACTTTGAATTGTGCTCGGAAACATACTGGGAGCCAATGTAGGTCTTTCAAGACCGGTGTTATGTGGTTCCGGCGGCCGCTCCCAGTCACCAGTTTGGCTGCCGCATTCTTGATTAATTGCTGTTTCCGGGTCACCTTCAAAGGTAGCCCCACGTAGAGCGAATGGCAGTAGTCCAAGCGGGAGCTAACTAGAGCATGCACCACTCTGGCGAGACAGTCCACGGGCAGGTAGGGTCCCAGTACGTTTGGGAAAAGGGTTTCCAGGATTGTCCTTTATTTATTTAGAGCAGCGGTTCCCAAACTTTTCCAGGCCACTGCCTCCTTGTTTCCATGATCTCATCACCACTGCCCCCCGCCACCCTGCCCTATAAAAAGCATTATACACTGCCAACCTATTCAACAATTTTGGAATGAAACATATGAAGAAATCAAAAAGATGTTCAAAATATCTTTTAGTAAAAAACCAGAGGCATTCCTTTTAGGTATAATCACAAACCATATTCCTGGCAATCAAAGGAAAGTATTCCTCTATGCGACAACAGCTGCCAGGATGCTCATTGCAAAAAATTGGAAAGGGGGGGGGAGAAATCCCATCAATAAAAGAATGGCAAATCAAATTTTGTGAATATATATATCTGGCAAGATTCACAGCATTCTTAAGGGGATAATTGGACCAAAAATTAGTAAAAGAATGGGAATGTGTTAAAGAGTATATGAAAAAACATTGTTCTGGAGTAAAGGTTAAAGAAATTGAAAAATGGTGCAAGAGGTATAAAAGATAGAGGTAATCTACACTAGACACAACAATATAGAAAGATTAAAAACTATGAGGTCTCAGAACAAAGGAAGGAAGTCAATATGTGTATATGTACGTAACGATTAGTATGACAATATAGTTTTCTTTGTAGGTGTGATTTTTCTTTTCGTTTTCTTTTTTGTTTTGTTTTTATATTTGTTTTGCTTTGTCTTGTTTGTTCTGCTTTGTTTTGGACTTTATGCTTGTAATCTATTTTTTAAAATAATAATAATAATAAAGCATTATGCAGAATATCAGTTTGCATGACTCACTAAGGAAGATAATAACACAAGAAAATCCAAACCAATAACAATTAATTGCACATTTCTTCAAAATCCCAAACTATGTAGTTTAATTGATTAAACAAAATGGATGAACTTGGTCCAGTGATACCAGCTTTCCAAAGTCTGAGTCATTTGCATGGAAGAGCGCAGTCAAACATAACTATGCACGACTGCTAGTTAGTGCACGAAGGGGTTAAGGACCACAGAGTTATACTGCTAGATAGACTCGGTTAGGTCATGCCCCCTCTCCTCTGGAGAGGAAGCAAAGTTTCTTTCTACTTCCTCTCTGTTCTGTTTGGGCCAGCGAGGAGACCAGGGGAGAATTAGCTGTGGGATCCCAGAGCGAGTAATCTTCATAAAAAGGGGAGAGGGAGGGAAGGAAGGGGAAATAAAAGATCAGGCTAAGTTCAATTTGAAAGCCGGGCGGAATAGCTCTGTCTTACAGGCCCTGCAGAAGGACGTTAAATCCTGCAGGGCCCTGGTCTCATGGGACAGAGTAGCACCAAGGAGCTGCCTACCTTGTTCCCGTCGGGCTTGTCCACGAGGAAGACTTCGCTCCAGATCTGGATGCCTGTCGTCTCCCGCTCCGAGCCGCCTCTCCAGGAAAAGCCCGTCAGAGGCTCATTGTAGTCGCCAACCCAGTCGGCCAACTCCTGCAAGGTGAAGAGATGGCAAGCGGTAGTTGATTCTGTTAGTTCCCGTAACTGGTGGGCCAAATCAGGCCAAGATTAGTATCCTAAAGGTAAAGGGAACCCTGACCATTAGGTCTAGTTGTGGCCGACTCTGGGGTTGTGGTGCTTATCTCGCTTTATTGGCCGAGGGAGCCGGCGTCCAGCTTCTGGGTCATGTGGCCAGCATGACTAAGCCGCTTCTGGCAAACCAGAGCAGCGCACGGAAACACCATTTACCTTACCGCCGGAGCGGTACCTATTTATCTACTTGCACTTTGACGTGCTTTCGAACTGCTAGGTTGGCAGGAGCTGGGACAGAGCAACGGGAGCTCACCCTGTCGCGGGGATTCGAACCGCCGACCTTCTGATCGGCAAGTCCTAGGCTCTGTGGTTTAACCCACAGCGCCACCCGTGTCCCTTATTAGTATCATACCTAGAGGCTAAACCAATCTCCCATTTTTGCTACCTGTCAAGAGCTTGGCACAGGCCACAAAGCATGGCTGGAGAGTCGCTTTGGCCCAGGGTGTGCGTGTCACTAGAGATGCAAGCCTGCATGAAGGGGTGAGGGAGAGGGACTGCAGGGTGTGTGTCATCATACGGGGCGTTATTCCATGAAATTTGCACTAGGAAAAGGATTAGTGTTAGTGCAATGGCATCTCTCCTCCCCATGAAGCAAGCCCAGATCTGCTCTGGGGAGCGGAGGATCCCCCAGAACAGATTTAGAGGGAGCACTGGGGAGAATGTCCCGCTGCTCAAGGAGAAATAAGAAATGCCTTCCTTAAAAGGTAAAGGTAAAGGGACCCCTGACTGTTAGGACCAGTCGTGACCGCCTCATCTTGCGGCACTCATCTCGCGTTATTGGCCGAGGGAGCCGGTGTACAGCTTCCGGGTCATGTGGCCAGCATGACTAAGTCGCTTCTGGCGAACCAGAGCAGCGCACGGAAACGCCGTTTACCTTCCCGCTGGAGTGGTACCTATTTATCTACTTGCACTTTGACGTGCTTTCGAACTGCTAGGTTGGCAGGAGCAGGGACCGAGCAACGGGAGCTCACCCCATCGCGGGGATTCGAACCACTGACCTTCTGATCGGCAAGTCCTAGGCTCTGTGGTTTAACCCACAGCGCCACCCGGTTCCCCCCTCGTTAGTGCTGTCCCAAGTACAATCCATAGGGCTTACTTTGGAGGCTTTTTCAGTGGAAAAGTTGGGAAAAGCAGGAAGCATACCAGATCCACCATATTCTTTTAACTGGATTTAATATTGCATCTTTACAGTGCTGTAACGTGTCCTGGGACCTTACGGTGAAAAGATCCTGGTAGGCATCTCTGTTGCATTTGAATGGCTTTTAGACGTGTGTTCCTGTTCTTTTTGCTTTAAATTGTTTTTATAGATACCTATAATGGCTTAAATAGATGCAAATGTTCCAGCAGCCTCGCTTCAAGCGCACAATTGTTCTGAGCATGCTTTTATTGCACCGTAAATTGTTCCGGGATGCCATGTGGATATTGATGGGTAAAGGAAATAAATCAATGACAATGAAAACACACACTGCTATTATGGCTGGGAAGCTGGGGCTACACGCAGATCAATAGCTCTCAGGATCTTGGCAACGTGTCTGCTTGGGGTGCCAAATGTCTGGGGCGTCCCCGGAGCTGTCAGAACAGCGCGCTGTGTTGCATTTTGGACGCTGGACGGATCCCCTCAACATTAGGACTGGCCAGACATTTATGTGAGTTCTGGGACAAGGAGCTGGCCCCTAGCCCACGCCCCCTAACCCAAAGGAGAGAGTCAGGAATTGTTCCTTACAGCACCTTCCCTGCTTAACACCCAAGTGGCAAGGGCACGGTGTTAGAATTCCTGCTCCGTGATTGCAGTCATGGGATTGTTGTCTTTCACATGACGGTGTATGTTTTGACTCCACAGAGTGGGAAGTGACGGAGACAGGATGTTTGTGTTACTGTGTTCCGTGAAGTGGGACTATTGTCCTTTGTTCTTTCTCTCTTTGCTGTCTGATGCTAGAGAGAGAGGGAGCCATGTTGCAGTGCTCCGTGTGTGTTGATATGTAAATAAAGTAGATTAGCCAAAATGCTGAGTTGCTGAGGTCTGTTATGCAACTGCGCAAACTCTGCAGATCCCTAACATAGCTGTCAACTTTTCCCTTTTCTTGCGAGGAATCCTATTCGGAATAAGGGAATTTCCCTTTTAAAAAGGGGAAAGTTGGCAGCTATGATCCCTAAGTGTGCCGGTCTGTTGGCATCGGTCGCTGTGATGTTCGGGCTGAAGAAAGCTTCTGAAGCTCCTGAACGGAAGACCAGGAGGGAGGGAACATGCTAGTCAGGCATGTGTCTCTACCAGGATCCTACTCGAGTGTAGGCTGAACTCCTGACACACAGCTCACACTTCGCCACCACCCCAGCAGGAGAAAGCCAGTTCACTGGCCTCCCCATCCCCACCCTCCATTGCCTGGAACCCTTAAAAGGAAGAGTTGTTGTTTCGGTACTTACTCTTGCTCTCTCTTAAATGTTTTAATGTGGAATAGTAATCCTGCTGTCTTTTTGGCAGGAAAACAAAATGCATTTTATTGCTTCTGAAATGTTCAGATTTAGCATTATTTTTATTGTTGTTATTATTATTACTTTAGTATTTATTAAATGTATATGCCACCCTTCATCCAAAGATCGCAGGGGTGGTTTACAGTATAAAAGAAATTCAAAATTCAAAGCCTAAGAAAACAAACCAACCCCCCACCAAAATATTATTACTTATTACATTTATTTCATAGCAACACGGAATTGTAGCGTTATAAGGAATCCCAAGGATCATCTAGTCTGACCTCCTGCAATGTAGGAATGTCAACTAAGGCATCCATGGCATCCATCAAACCTTTGCATTGGTTTATTTCTATTTGCATTTTTCATTTCATTTCATTTATTAGTCGCTCTTCCTTGCCAGCCTGACTCAAAGTGGCTTACACACGTACACAAACACATACCACACCCTAACAAACAAAAGCCCACATACGTTCATAAATAAAATCAAGAATTCATTGTAACACATTAAAGATAAAGGCCAACGGTCCGGTGAAAGAGGAATGTTTTCGCTTGGTGCCTAAAGGTGTGTAGTGAGTGAAGGTGCCAGGCAAACCTCCCTGGGGAGAGCGTTCCCCAAGCAGGGAGCCACCACAGAAAAGGCCCTCCAAGCTGACACAAATTTGCATTTGCACTGTTTGTCAGCCGCCTTGGGGTGCTTTTTTTTCTGCCGAAAGGAGGCGTATGAATAAATAAGAACAGAACATCTGCCCAACCTCGCCTATTGAAATTGAAATTCTTTATTGTCATTTGTACAACTTGTATACAGTGAGATTACACGAGCACCCATAGCTGTCAACCTTCCCTTTTTTTGCAGGAAATTCCCTTATTCCAGCGCCGTTTCCTGCTGCTTCCCACATTTTTAGATATCCCATAGACTGTCCCCAGGACAGGTGAGGCTGCTGATCCCTTATTTTCAAATCTGAAAGTTGACAGCTATGTGAGCACCCCTCACTCAGCTCTCTTAGTCTTAATTCCCCTCGTTTACTGACGCACACCCACCAAACCCAAAAGCCAGTTGCCCTGTTGTTATCTTTTCATTCAGCAGCCTAACAGCCCACGGATAGAAGCTGTTCTTTGCCCTGTTGGTGCAACTAATCCTGCTTCTATATCTTCTGCCCGAGGGCAGGAGATCAAGAAAGTGCTGGCCAGGGTGTGAATCATTCCTGAGAATTTTCCTCACACTCCTGAGGCAACGTTCTTCCGCTATTTCACCCAGCGGATTCACGGGACAGCCCATAATATAATATTGCGAGGGAAGTGGACAGATCCCAAAAGCTGATTTGCTCCTGCCCTTGTGGGGAGGCCCTGAAGATGCGGAACGTGACCATGTGAGGCCCACCTACCATGTTGTACATGTATCTCAGCATGAAGTCCATCAGGAACGACTTGCCCTTCCGGAAAGCCCCGGCCACAGAGACGGCCACCACCTCACGGTCTCGGACGGCTTCCGAAAGCAAGATGCGGTTGAGGGCCTCTTCGTCCAGCTCAAAGGAGTGGTCATCCTTCACGATGAGCACCTGCACCGGGCGGGCCTTCCCGTCGGACTCCTCCTCCTCCGAGCTCCACTCGTAATTCTTTTCAGAGAACCCGCCTGTGTCGGAAGAGAGCAGCCCCCAGGGTCAGGTCCCAGCAGCAGAGGGTAGAGCTGAATCAGGCCCCTTCAACCACCGCCCTCCAGCTCCCATCAGCCCCAGCCATCATGCCCAACGGCCAGGAATCATAGAATCGTACAGTTGCGAGGAACCCTCAAGAATCATCTAGTCCAACCCTCTGCAATTGTCATACACTGGAGGATGGATGGCGGAGGATGGAGGATGGTTGAAGGATGGATGGCAGCTAACAGATTGAGGTTGAATCCTGACAAGACAGAAGTACTGTTCTTGGGGGACAGGGGGGCGGGCAGGTGAGGAGGACTCTCTGGTCCTGAATGGGGTAACTGTGCCCCTGAAGGACCAGGTGCGCAGCCTGGGAGTCATTTTGGACTCACAGCTGTCCATGGAGGCTCAGGTTAATTCTGTGTCCAGGGTGGCTGTTTACCAGCTCCATCTGGTACGCAGGCTAAGACCCTACCTGCCCGCAGACTGTCTCGCCAGAGTGGTGCATGCTCTGGTTATCTCCCGCTTGGATTACTGCAATGCGCTCTACGTGGGGCTACCTTTGAAGGTGACTCGGAAACTGCAATTAATCCAGAATGCGGCAGCTAGACTGGTGACTGGGAGCGGCCGCCGAGACCACATAACACCGGTCTTGAAAGACCTACAGTGGCTCCCAGTACATTTCCAAGCACAATTCAAAGTGTTGGTGCTGACCTTGAAAGCCCTAAACGGCCTGGGTCTGGTATATCTGAAGAAGCGTCTCCATCCTCATCGTTCTGCCCGGACACTGAGGTCCAGTGCCGAGGGCCTTCTGGCGGTTCCCTCCCTGTGTGAAGTGAGGTTACAGGGAACCAGGCAGAGGGCTGTCTCAGTAGTGGCACCTGCCCTATGGAACGCCCTCCCATCAGATGTCAAGGCGATAAACAACTATTTTACTTTTAAAAGACAACTGAAGGCGGCCCTGTTTAGGGAAGTTTTTAATGTCTAATGCTGTATTGTTTTTAATATTCGGTTAGAAGCCGCCCAGAAACCCAGCCAGATGGGCGGGGTATAAATTATTATTATTATTATTATTATTATTATTATTATTGACACAATGCAGGAATCTCAACCAGAACATCCTTGACACATGGCCATCCAGCCTCTACTTAAAAACCTGCAAGGAAAGAGCGTTCACCACCTCTCATGGGAGTCTGTTCCACTGTCTAACAACTCTTACTGTCAGAAAGTTATTCCTGATGTTTAGCTTGACTCTCCTTTGTTGGGATTTGTAGCCCAGAACACCTGGGGGAAGGTTCTAGATTCAGGTAGGTAGCTGTGTTGGTCTGACACAGTCAAAATATTTTAAAAAATTAAAAAAAAATTCCAGTAGCACCTTAGATACCAACTAAGTTTGCCTTATAGAAACCACCTAGGGACGCGGGTGATACTGTGGTCTAAACCACTGAGCCTCTTGGGCTTGCTGATCAGAAGGTCAGTGGTTCGAATCCCCGTGACAGGGTGAGCTCCCATTGCTCGGTCCCTGCTCCTGCCAACCTAGCAGTTTGAAAGCACACCAGTGCGAGTAGATAAATAGGTACCACTGTGGCGGGAAGGTAAATGGCATTTCTGTGCGCTCTGGTTTCCATCACGGTGTCCCGTTACACCCGAAGCAGTTTAGTCCTGCTGGCCACATGACCCGGAAAGATGTCTGCGGACAAACACTGGCTCCCTTGGCCTGAAAGCAAGATGAGCGCCGCACCCCATAGTCGCCTTTGACTGGACTTAACCGTCCAGGGGTCCTTTACCTTTACCTTTAGAAACCACCTAGCCCAGGTAGCCTTCCTGGACCAGAAGTGGCTCTCTGGGATCTCAGACAAAGAAGGTCTTTTGCACCAGCTGCTACCTGAACCTTCTTTTAAGGAGAGACGAAAGACTGAGCCCTGGCTATTCTGTATGCAAAGTACATAGACACTCGTTTACTGAGCTATGGGCCCCTCCATCCTTGCCATTCAATCTGGTTGCAAACTCACTGTCAATTATCGGTGAATTTGGCAGCATTTTAAGGCTGCTTTTGCACTGCGAGAAACCAGCCCCCGCCCTAGCATGAGCCAGCACAGAAACTGACTTCCAAGAAAGCTATTTCTGGCCCCAACTGATTCTTATTTGCCTGGAAATAAAGGGACTTGGTCCATCACACAACCCAAGATGTGCTTTCAAGCCAACCTGGTCTTCCTTTGCTTTGGCAACATCTTAGGGAATGTCACCTCTGCAATTATATCGCCCATTAAGCTGTTTGGTTTAAAAAGTCATCGGGGAAGTTTTCCTTAAATAATTTAAACAACAACAACACACCAAACCTGTATTTATCACATGTGGAATTCACCACAAAGCTGAACAGAAACTTCAACCATAATAGTTGGGCATCTTTGATTTATTCCATTTATATCCCACCATTTTGTGGCACACAAAGAATCACAGAGTTGGAAGGGACAACAACCCTGCGAAGTAGGTTAGGCCAAGAGGCAATGGAGCTGGCAAAACATTTCCAGTTGATGCCAGCTTCCGGGCAGGAAGGAAATACTGTTTAATCTAAGCTGTCTTCCGGGAATATTGACATTCCATTTTAGTTGCAGCTGCTGCCAAAAGGAAATTAGCTTTGGTGAGATCTTAGCTAGCGTCCGTGGTCAGTGACAGTGAATTCCATCATTAAGTCATGTCATCATACAGTTGTAGAGTTGGAAGGGACATCGAGGGTCATCTAATCCAACCCCCTTAAATGCAGGAATCACAGCTAGACAAAGTTAATGGACTATGCAGAACTGGATAAAATGAAAGGAAGGATTCAAAACCTGTGGGACCAGAGATTTACAGAGGATTGGAAGATGTATATGAACTATCTGAAGAGCAATTGTAATCAACAAATTACGCTTAGTAGGACTACAAGAAGTTTTGTAAGGAGAAATATATGAAACATTACAAAGTAGAAAAAGAATAGAGATATTAGTTATCAGATTTAAATGTAATAGGGAGAGTAATAAATGTATACTAAGAGATTAGATTGGATTTCAGATGAGATTGACGGAAGTAAAAAAAATTGTATAAGATATAAAAGTATGTTTAATTACTGCTGAAAATGATATGTGAAAGAGCTAATAAAAATTTATTAAAAAATTAAAATAAAGCGGGATATCAAATCCAAAACTCTTCTTCTCCAAGGAAGAAAAGCTCACCACTTTCCAAGTGAGACTGTTCCACCGCTGAACAGCTCTCACTGACATTCTTCCTGGTGTTTATGCCCAAGAAGAGTTTAAGAAGTGTTTGCCGGATCAGGCCAATGGCAAATCTAGTCCAGCATTCTCTTCTCACAGTGGCCAACCGGGTGCCTCTGGGAAGCAGGCAAGCAGGACTTTCCCCTCCCATGGTTTTTGGCAACTGGTATTCAGAATCAATGCTGCCTTTAACTGTGGAAGCAGACCACAGCTACTGGGACTAGTAGCCATGGGTAGTCTTATGCTCCACGAATCTGTCTAATCCTCTTTTAAGGCCATCCGAGCCTTACCTCTTTTTTTAATTATACATTAAGATACCTACTAATGACAAACCTAGACAGCATCTTAAAAAGTAGAGACATCACCTTGCCAACAATGGTCCGTATAGTTCAAGCTCTGGTTTTCCCAGTAGTGATGTATGGAAGTGAGAGCTGGACCATAAAGAAGGCTGATCGCCGAAGAATGGATGCTTTTGAATTATGGTGCTGGAGGAGACTCTGGAGAGTCCCATGGACTGCAAGAAGATCCAACCTCTCCATTCTTAAGGAAATCAGCCCTGAGTGCTCACTGGAAGGACAGATCCTGAAGCTGAGGCTCCAAGACTTTGGCCACCTCATGAGAAGAGAAGACTCCCTGGAAAAGACCCTGATGTTGGGGAAGATGGAGGGCACAAGGAGAAGGGGACGACAGAGGACAAGATGGCGGGACAGTGTTCTCGAAGCTACCAGCATGTTTGACCAAACTGCGGGAGGCAGTGGAAGTCAGGAGCGCCTGGCGTGCTCTGGTCCAGGGGGTCACGAAGAGTCGGACACCACTAAATGACTAAACAACAACAACAAGATACCTACAAACCACCTTGAACTATTTTGAGTTCCAGCAGAGTTTGTTCTACATCCCTGCAGTATTTAAAGGAAAAGCCTGCAACTCAGCCAGACCCTTCTCTCCATCGCAGCTGCGTGGCTAAGGCAGGGAGGGAGGGAGAGCAGTATGGGAAGAGCTCTGTCACTCTTCACAGCTGCTCCGGAGGAATTAGCATCGGAGGACTTGCTGCAAAGACAAAATTTGCTACTTGGGGTTTGCAGTTGCTTGCAAAGTAGAAGAACATGAGTGAGGCAGGGCTGGGAGAATGGGCGATGGAGGAGTCACTCTAGCTAGCATAAAGGCCATTTTGTTTTTTTAGGAGGAAATCATTTTCTAACATTAAAAAAAGATGCACATGGCACTCGGCAGCCATATTAAGAAACACGGTTGGTTACAAATAAATCATAACCCCTTACACAACACATTTTTTCAGTCTTTGAAGGCACTTCACATACTTGATCTCAGCACTCTCTACAAAAACAACAGGCCGACATTACTATTTGCAGGTTGCAGATCATAGAAAATAAATAATAATAATAATAATAATTTATTTATACCCTGCCCATCTGGCTGGGTTTCCCCAGCCCCTCTGGGCAGCTTCCAACAAAGTATTAAAATACAGTGGTCTGTTAAACATCAAAAGCTTCCCTAAACAGGGCTGCCTTCAGATGTCTTCTAAAAGTCTGGTCGTTGTTGTTCTCTTTGACATCTGGTGGGAGGGCGTTCCACAGGGAGGGCACCACCACCGAGAAGGCCCTCTGCCTGGTTCCCTGTAACTTGGCTTCTCGCAGTGAGGGAACCGCCAGAAGGGCCTCTGCGCTGGACCTCAGCGTCCGGGCAGAACGATGGGGGTGGAGACGCTCCTTCAGGTATACTGGACTGAGGCCGTTTAGGGCTTTCAAGGTCAACACCAACACTCTGAATTGTGCTGTAGAGTTGGAAGGGATCCCCAAAGGGCATCTAGTTCAACCCTCTGCAATGCTGGAATCACAGCTAAAGCATCCCTGACAAGCCAACCTCTATTGAAAAACATCCACCCACTTCCGAGGGTGTCCTTTCCACAGTTAAATAACTCTTGCTGTTAGAAAGTTCTTCTTAATGTTTAGTCGAGATCGTTCTTGTAATTTCAATCCATTGGTTGGGGTCCTACCCTCTGGAGCAGCAGAAAACAAGCTTACTCCATCTTCTATTGTGACAGCCCTTCAGATGTTTGCAGGTGGCTATCCTGTCACCTCTCAGTCCACTCTTCTTCAGGATGAACATACCCAACTCCTTCAGCTGTTCCTCATAGTGATGAGTCGGGTCAAGAGTCTACAAACTGTGCTCCAGGACCTCTCTTGGGGGAAGGCTGATCTGTTGCCTTTGAAAGCAGCTGGGTCTCCAGCCACATGCAGCCTTTGTGGTACATACTGAGGGTGCTCCAGGGTCCATTTTCACTTTGGAGGAGGCTGGAACAGGGAAGACTAACTGATCTGGTCAGCCTTTCACATGATCCAGGCCATAAGGTCGTAGCCAGTGGTGGCTGGTGGTTGTTGGAGCTGGTGGGACAAGGGCAGGGAGACCCACAATAGGCAGGCAGTGACCGCCAGAACTACCCCATGAAAAGGAAGGCAGGCAAGCCAGACTGAGATTGATGGGGCAGTGCCCCATTTGACCTAACCCTAGGCTGTATGTACCATTTTTTTTAAAAAAGAAAAGTTCATTTGGCTGCTTTTGACACAGTTAATGTGAACCACCCTGGTCTACGACAGCAGCTGCATTTTAAAAAATATAATACCATAGCTATTTTCCCAGTGCCTGTTCATGGAAATGTACAGAAATGAGTAATGGTTTCATATGCATTTTTTAAAATTGCAAATAGATTTTTAAAAAATATATATATGTCTTTTTAAATTACCGTATTTTTTGCTCTATAAGACTCACTTTTTCCCTCCTAAAAAGTAAGGGGAAATGTGTGTGCGTCTTATGGAGCGAATGCAGGCTGCACAGCTATCCCAGAAGCCAGAACAGCAAGAGGGATCACTGCTTTCACTGCGCAGCGATCCCTCTTGCTGTTCTGGCTTCTGAGATTCAGAATATTTTTTTTCTTGTTTTCCTCCTCCAAAAACTAGGTGCGTCTTATGGTCTGGTGCGTCTTATAGAGCGAAAAATACGGTAATAAGGGTGTTTGCCAATTCTGGATAGAGTGAACTAGACAGATGAACCATATGCAACACTTTAGAATTTTCTTCAGCAACCCACCCCATCCCACTAGCCCTGGGGATTTGCTGTCTGATATTGTTCCCTAGCTGGTAAATCCTGGTGAGGGGCGGAAGAGAGAGAGAGACTGTTCCAACTGGAAAACACCACAGTGGCCTTTCCCCTTCTTCATTCTGCTTCCCCTCCTCTCACCTGGACAGCTCCTCCTCCTCCTTTGAATGCAACACTGCACAGTCACGATGAGTCGCTTAAACTCAACTCACCTTCCCCGCTTCCTACTTTGTTCTGCAAGCACAACCAGATAACATATCTGGAAAGCTACTGGGTGAAAAGGGAGGGGAATCCCCAATAAAGCGTTCCAATAACTGGGTGTGTGCCCCCCTTTTAAGGCAAACCCCCACTACACTCCCAGTTCCAAACCCACAATCCCACACACCGGATCTATTCCACGTAAACCACCCCCTTTGTGCACAGCCCACCATCACCATTTTAATCAGGATTAATTAATGGGGCATTTACAACAAGTTCAGTGGTCACCACTATTGATATGGTTTGGAATCTTACCTACAACGGGTATGCGTCATAAGTGTGCATGGGATAAGGGTGTTGTGTTGTTGTTGTTTTAAATGACTGGGTGGCTGAGGGCTAGAAGATGGCACTGAGTTCCCTAGATCAAGAAACCCCTTTTTTCCAGCTGCACTGACTACCAATTCATCCCTGGGCTCAGTTGTCTCAGTCCTGGACTTTACATTTAAAGCTCTGAATCACGGTTGGGGAAAGTGGTACCCTGTAGAAGCAGCTGGACTCCCACTTCCATCATCCCTGACCACTGGCCATGCCAGGTGGGGCTGCTGGGAGTTGGAGTCCAAGAACATCAGGTGGGCCACAGGTTCCCCACACCGATCAATATCCTCCTTACAGCACCCAGAACAGGAAACAGCACTCCAGACAAGGTCCGACTAGTGCAGAATTAAGTCAAACTCTTGTTCCTCGTGACTCAGAAACAAAGCTTCCCTTAAAGCAGAATTAAAACTGTGTTAGCTGACTCATGTTTGACTTGTGATCAAGTGCAACCTCCAATACACCCTTCACATGAACACATCAGGGATCCCTCGTCATGTTTGTTGCTTCCTCCCCAAACTTTGCATTGGTCTCTGTTGGGCCTCTGTTTTCTACTCCTTTCTATCAAGGTCTGTTTTGAGCTTTATCCCAGACTCCTGTGGTGTCAGGTGCTCCTCCCAGTTCTGTGTCATCTGGTAGTTTCACAAGGATTACGCGATGCCCAGAATTTCTACACAACGCTACCTTATTCCGTTAGCTGCCTGCAGCAACTCTGGATGGGAAGGCAGCCCACAAAATGCAGTAAATATACACGTGCATTAAAATTCACCCCCTTTCCTGCTGATTCAACCTCCTAGCAAACACACTCGGCACCACACCTTTTTGGCTTCGGAGAGGTCCATCAGTTCACACATTATCACAACACGCAGACACCCTGCACAAAACTCCCAAGCCTGGGGAAGGGGGCTTAGAATCCGGTGCCTCCTTGTGCAGGAAGATCACGCCTAAAATTCGCGATTTAATAAGCATCGGGATGCCCCCACTCCTGCAAAAGCAACCATCACACATTATTCTAAACAGGTGGGGGGTGGGGGAGAGAAACACTACCTTTGGCCACCAAGGAGTGCTAACGGGCTACTAAAATGCATCTAACAGCCAGACACCCCCTTTTTTTTTTTTTTTTTTTGCAAGGCAACCCTGTCTCGACCACCGTCTTCCAATTCAGGGTTTGTTTACTTCTGACCAGGGGGAGGAGGAGAAACAATGGCTCCCCGCTCCCCACCCCTTGCATCTCTTTGGCCCCATTGTTCATCCTCTCCCTCTCCCTCTTCCTCCCCCCCCCCAGCCCCACAATCTGCCAGCCGGCGGGGCTGCATCCATCCATCCTCCCTGCGCCCTGCGAGATGCGCCCCCGGGGTGGGGCCACAGCCGGGGCCGCCTGGGGGAGCAACATTGGGCGCAGGGACGGGTGGCTCCTCCTGGCCTTCCTGCCGCGCGCCCCGCTCCAGGATCGCCGGAGAGAGCCGGGGAAGGACGCAGGAAGCGCGGCCGGGCCAGACCTACCCCAGCTGGTCCTCTCCTTGCGGTGCTTGGCCATGATCGCCGCGCCCGGTGGCGGCGGCTGCGGCTGCGGCGTCGCAGGAAGGCGGTGGGGAGCCTGGGCCGGGCCTGGGGATGCTGCGGCGGCGGCGGCGGCGAGGCGAGGACGAGCGCTGCTGCCGCTGCTGCCTGGCCGAGGGACGCGGCGCTCAGCTGCGCATCTCCGGCGGGAGGGCGCAGGGAGTGGCGGCGCAATCCGGCTGGGGCGCAACCGCGGCTGGGCGGGGACGGGGCGCCCCTCCGCCGGCGTCAGCCTCCGCCTGCTTCGGGCGCGCGCGCGCGTCGGGGATCGCGGGGAGGCCGCAGCGCGGGAGCACCTGCAGGCGGCGGAGGCGGCCGCGGCCACGCGCGCGCGCGCGGCGGAGGCGCCGCTCCCGGCGCGCAGCCGGCACTGCAAATGCGCCCAAGCAGCAGCAGCAGCATCGCAGGGCGCGCGGGACCCCTCGAGCTTCCAGGGACGCCCCTTCGGGTACCACGAGAGGCGCTTTGGAGCCGGATGCAGCTCAGCTTGGCTTTTGGTTGGGAAAAGTCCCTGCCCCGGGCAGCTTACAATCTGCGGTGCGCTGCCCTACCGGATAGGGAGGCTGGGGTCAACAGGAAAGGACGCGCGCGCACGTGTGAACGGCACGCGCGTGTTTCTGGGAGTGGGGTCCTCTGCAACAGGCGTTGCCCGGACAACAGCCGTCTCCGCATCTCTGCAGGTGGGTTAAAGCGCAACAGGAGCTGCGGAGGATGCGGAGGCCAGTTTTGGGTACCGGAAAAGCAGAGGACGCAGCGTTTCTTAAGGACGGGAATCTCGTTAGGTGTTCCCAAACCTTCACGACCAAGGCACGCATGCATGCATTTATGTTGTATACCGCCCTTCATCCGAAGATCCAGGGCGGTTCACAACAGAAAAAAACACAAAATGAGAATACAAAATACAGTACGCAATAAAACAAAAACACAAACTGGTGAATGCCACACTTACAACCAGTTCCTTGTCTGGATGCAGTACACCTAGGCTACAGAGAAGGCAGGCAGACAAGTTTCACAGATAGCAAAACATATTTCAATTTCTGTAGTACAGTATGGATCGTATGGTCAAGGGTGCTGGCCCAGGTGGGCCTTTTGGGCGTGATCCAGCAGGTTGTTCTGTCTGTCTAGTTAACTGGATAACTTTGGGCCAATCGCTATCTCTCAGCCTAACCTACCTCACAGGGTTGTTGTGGGAAACAAATGAGGAAGGGGGTGAACCAGGCACGCCACTTTGAGCTCCGTGGATGAAAGGGTGGGATATGAATGCAATAAATAAATAAAATAGTTCAGTGTTGTTTACAATGCCTGGCAGTGGCTCTCCAGGGTCTCAACCTGGATTCTCACCCAATTTTACCTGGAGAGGCCAGGGATTCAACCTGGAGCTTCTGGGGGCAATTAATTGAAATATACCGTATTTTTCCGTGTATAACACGCCCCCATGAATAAGACGCCCCCTATTTTGGGGGACTAAAAATTAAGAAAATGGGGGGAGATTGCCCAGAGTTGTTGAGCTTATTTTAGGAGGGGGATGCCGCAAATCACTCACCCGCAGGACCGATGCTAACACTTGTGCATGTCGCAACAGCCTCCTAACCTTTGTCTGTCCCCCTCGCCAGCAGAAGCAGCCTGCTGCCCACCCAATTGCCGCAGCAATACCCAATCAACACCACCCCTTGCCGCAGACAAAACCTAGTCTTATACACGGAAAAGTACGGTATCTACCCGCCGCACTGAACTCAATAGGACTTCCAGGTAAATGTGCAGGTGATGGCAACCCTACGAACGCTTCTCTTGGAGTCAGTCCCGTTGGCTTACTTCTGAGTAGACACGCACAGGATCACACTGTTCCCAGGCTAGCACAGTGAAGATGGCAATGCCAGAATGGCTCTGCTCTGCTTTCACAGTTGGCGGCAGCAATGGTTCTAAATATCATCTGGGAACTGCAAGAGGGGAGAATATTATTGTTCTGTGTTCAAGGGTTTCCAACAGGCACCTGGTTGGCTGCTGTGAGAACAGGATGCTGGACACTCTTGTTATGTTCTTCATAGGCCTGGATCCGGCCTGTTGCTGCCATGATAGCAACTCAGGATGTAGCAGAGCCAGTTCTGCCCCGAAAACGCTTCCACTGGCAGCCACTGGTGAGCAGAGCTCGGTGGAAGGATACCAAACCCCTTCAACACACCAGACAAAGAAGCAGGTCTAGATTGCTCTGTTTGCTGGTCTTACTAACATAAGAAGATCTGGTCAAGGTCCTATCTAGTCCAGCATCCTGTTCTCACAGTGGCCAGCGATACGATACGATACAATCATCTTTATTGTCATTGTCCCATAGAGAACATCAAAATTGAAAAAAATCTACATCAGACATTCAAAAACCAACAAGTCTGCTATCCCAGCCTGGTTAACCCCCTAAAAACTCTGATACAATATGCTAAATATATAAATTGATATATATATAAATATATACAATATATTAAATACAATATACTCCCATAGAGATTACCTTAAAGGTAAAGGGACCCCTGACCATTAGGTCCAGTCGTGGCCGACTCTGGGGTTGAGGCGCTCATCTCGCTTTACTGGCCAAGGGAGCCGGCGTACAGCTTCCGGGTCATGTGGCCAGCATGACTAAGCCGCTTCTGGCGAACCAGAGCAGCACATGGAAACGCCATTTACCTTCTCCCCAGAGTGGTACCTATTTATCTACTTACACTTTGACGTGCTTTCAAACTGCTAGGTTGGCAGGAGCAGGGACAGAGCAACGGGAGCTCACCCCATCGCGGGGATTCAACCTTCCAATCAGCAAGCCCTAGGCTCTGTGGTTTAACCCAGAGCACCACCCGCGTCCCGAAGAGACTACCTTACACTGCGTTTAAAACCAAAATCGCATTTGAATAGAAGCTGTTTCTCAGGCGGCTAGTCCCAGTCTTTATAACCCTGTACCTTCTCCCAGAAGGCAGAAGATGAAAGAGATCATTTGCGGGGTGTGCACTATCCTGTACTATCTGTGCAGCTTTCTTATGACACCTGGAAGCATAGATTTGATCCAAGGTGGGAAGAGTGCACCCAATTATTCTCTCCGCAGTCTTTACAACCCTGGACAGCATTGTTTTTTCCCTGATCGTGCAGCTCCCAAACCACACACAGAGACCATAAGTTAATACACTCTCAACAGTACAATGGTATAATGCCATCAACAGGTCCTTTGAGAGATTATTATTTGAGAGATTATCACCTGTGGTCTCCAGCAAGTGGTATTCAGAAGCCTGATCCCATCTAAATTACTTCCCCAGCATATCTACTTAACATGGCAGAGGTAAGAGCTTGCTGGCAGGCGTTACACTGGTATAGAAGGCCAAAAGGGGGGATTACGCCATGGGCAGGGGACGGATGTGTTGGAGGCAGGGCGAGGGGTAAACAAAGCGACTATTCCCAGAAGAGCCAATGAGCTGCCCTCCAGATGCTGGACTGCAGCTCCCATCTCCCCTGTCTGTTGGCTATGCTGGCTGAGGCTGATGGGAGTTGTAGTCCAACAAGATCTGCAGAACACCACATTGGTCAGCCCTGCTGTACCCTAACTCCCTTCACTCACTGATCCTGTCCACATACCTCAGTGAAGCCTTTGCTGTCAAAAATGCAGGCGCAACTGAATTTACAGGAGTTGGGGTTCAGTCAAGTTGATGCAGGAAACAATCAAAGTCCGCTCACACAAAGGGACGTTCTCTCACCCCACCCCACCCATCCTAAATCTGCTTTGGATGGGCTAGGGAAATTCCACACTGTGTGTAGTTGTGTCTATTAACTTCACTGGACCTACTCAGAGTAAGACCAGCATTGAAACAATCCGAAAAAAGCATTTTAAGATTTATGCAAAGGATTAGAGTGCGTCATTAAAATGGGTGGGATTCCCTTCCTAACCAGCCCTGCTTGCTTTTGCAATAGGGCTTTCCCCCTCCCCTCCCCCCACCAGGTACCCCCAAAGTTGCTCTTGATGGGTTGGGAGGGCATGGGGTGGAAAAGAAGGGGGGTCAATCCGCCTGGATGCTCAAAGCAGACAGAATGACTGGAAGAGTGCAATATTTAATTCCACCCTCTGTCTGCCTCATTGGCACAATCTTGCGCTTTGCTTTCTCAGAAGTAAAGGAACAGAGGCAGGGGGATCTGGCCCACTCTGGTCTTTGCATGTTAGAGATACAATGCGGCAGCGCAAGCAATATGTGTGTGATTGTGTGTGGTTTTCTGGGCAGGCTGTGGCGGAAGAAGCCTGTTTTACTGAACCCATGTGCAAGAACAGATTTTATGAGCTTCACCCCAAGAAAGTGACTTCCAAAGGCCACCTGATGGGCAGAGAGTGTTTGTGCGAATTGGCCGGTGGAATGAGGTCTCAGAGAGGAATGATTGCCCATGCCTGCTATGTAGCAATGGTTCAAAATCATTTGTACATGAGAGACTTGCAGCAGGATGGGGGAACCTTTTTTCTGCCCAGGGGCCGCATTGCTTTCTGGGCAATCTCCTTGGGGCCACATGCTGTTAGTGGGCAGAACCAAAAACGGGTGGCACAACAAATGTAAATGTTATCTTTGTACAGGAGTCTAGTTTGCATACACATTCACCCCCGCCCCTTTGTATCCTCCTCCATCCAGGCAAGCAAAAGGCATTATCAATAATAATAATAATAATAATAATAATAATAATAATAAATTTACTCATACCCTGCCCTCCCCAGCCAAGGCCGGGCTCAGGGCAGCTAACAACCAATAATAAAAATGAGTTGAATGAATACAACTTAAAAACAAGATTAAAATACAACATTAAAACATTAAAACAATTAAAATGCAGCCTAATCGCAGGAGGAGAAAGGAAAAAGAAAGAGAGGGTGGGAATCAAATTGACTCCAAGCTGAAGGCGGAACAACTCTGTCTTGCAGGCCCTGCGGAAAAAAATCAGATCCCGCAGGGCCCTGGTCTCATGAGACAGAGCGTTCCACCAGGCCGGAGCCAATGTTGAAAAGGCCCTGGCTTTGGTTGAGGCTAATCTGACTTCTTTAGGGCCCAGGACCTCTAGGGTGTTGCTATTTATGGACCTTAAGGTCCTCCATTGGGCATACCGGGAGAGGCAGTCCCATAGGTACGAGGGTCCTAGGCCGTGAAGGGCTTAAAAGGTCAAAACCAGCACCTTGAACCTGACCCTGTACTCCACTGGGAGCCAGTGCAGCTGGAAAAGCATTGGGTGAATATGCTCCCATGGCAGAGACCCCGTGAGGAGCCTCGCTGCAGCATTCTGCACCCGCTGGAGTTTCTGGGACAGCTTCAAGGGCAACCCCGCGTAGAGCGAATTACAGTAGTCAAGCCTGGAGGTGACAGTCGCATGGATCACCATGGCCAGGGCGGGGCGGGAGTTCTAGCCAAAACTACACAGGATGAGAAGTAGGGTCAGTGATGAGTGTGGCCTGGGGAGAATTCCAAGGGCCAGTTAGAGAGGCTTGGGGGCCGCATCCAGCCCCTGTGCCAAAGGCTACCAGGCCCTGGCCTAGAGTTTTAATTTTTTAAAATTATATTGCTGACACTTCTCCACTGCTGTTTTACGGTTCATGGAGATTCATATTTATATTATATGTTTACTTATGATTCCATGACATCACGGCAGCTGAACCAGTAGCATTCCATAGTAAGCAACAGCCCTTTTGTTAGCCCATCGTGTAGATAAGACGTGATCTAATTATCAGCTTCAGTGATAACCCACATAATTGCTTTCTGGGTGGTTGGAGTCTTACATTACATTACAGAACCACTTCCTGTATTTCGCAGGTGGGTTTTTAATGGTTTCTGATGAGAGTACTGATTATATTTGTGGTGGGGATGTATTGCCACAGGCCCTGCAGAGAATGCCACTGCTATATCGGGGGAGCAGCTTATTCTGCTGCTCCCCCAACAGCCCCCACCCCCATTGAGTTAATGCAGGATTTTCTCGGCCACTCACAAACACTCATCACGAGACTAAAAGCACTCATTTCAGTGGTGTTTTTAAAAATATCTGATCCTGCAACAATCAAGAAAAAAGCTAATATCTGAGTGGTCAGTTGGTTAGTTCCAGCTTGGTACAAAATCATGCCATTATTATTATTATTATTATTATTATTATTATTATTTGCATTTCATGACCATTTAGTTTCACTGTTATAATCCCCACCCATGAATATGTCTGTCTGTTGGTATAGACTTGCATACATACAGCATATCTGCAAGATGACGGTAGCACTTCATTAATCTGATAAACTGGGCTCTAATCTACTTATGCCAAAATAAATCTGCTACTTTTTAAGCTTCTACAAGTCTCTTTAGAGGGGGGAGATACAGGCAGGAGCATCCGGCGTGCAGATGAGTTACACACAGAGATTAGCCATTTAACTTTATCCACATTGTAAGTGGAAAGCATAATGGACTTTCTCCTTACCCCCTACCTTGTGCAGGAAACGCACTCATATCAAGCTGGGTAGTCAATCGGGCTTCCAGTCCAAGGAAGTGTTTGTGTGAATACAGAACCAGAGGAGTGGTGTTTATACAGGGCAGAGCTACAACGTGTGTTGTTTTTTTTTAATGATATTTATTAAATTTTCAGAAAAAAGAGTTACATAAAAAACAAGAAAAGCAAGAGCAATAGACAGAAATAAAAATACAAGAAAATACAAAATACAGAATAAAAGAATAAACAACACTTCAAAAAAAAAGAAAAGATAAATCTTTCCATACCTTACATTCATATCCTTGTTTCCCTGACCTCCTCATACCTCCCTCTTTTGTATTCCAATTCAATTTGTTAGTCCAAAAATTCCTTTCCCTCCTTTTTAATCCTAATCCTCAATCTTGATATATTGTAACATTAGATTTTTACAAATTAAAAACCAATTTTTCCATATTCTTTTGTACCTATACAGCTAGAAACCACTTAACTTCAATCCAACATCATTCTAACTTTCATTTATTTTGCAATATTCCTGTAAATAGTCTTTAAATTTCTTCCAATCTTCTTCCACCGACTCTTCTCCCTGGTCCCGGATTCTGCCAGTCATTTCTGCCAATTCCATATAGTCCATTAGTTTCATCTGCCATTCCTCCAGTGTGGGTAAATCTTGTGTCTTCCAATGTTTAGCGATGAGTATTCTTGCTGCGCCACAACGTGTGTTTAAAGCAAGGCACATTTAAAGCACATTACTTCACAGTTTCGCCCCAGAGAGCTACCAGCCCTCTTAACACACTACAGTTCCCAGCGTTCTTTGGGGAAAGTAATGCATGTTCAATGTGGGCTGGATGTGCTTTAAATGCACGGTGTGGCCTTTATATTTGTGAATATAAAACCTTTTGGTGCACAGGTAGTCTTTTCATCACTCCTTCCTGCTGAAGGCCGTGGCCCAAGAAGAGTGAGGAAAATACTTGAGGTGAACCACTGGCTTTTGGCTTCTTGGATCATGGTCTCCGCTTCCTTGAGGTAGGACTTCTGGCGAGAGATGGGCTGCACCTCACAGCAGTTGGCAAGGATGTGTTTGTCAAGAGTCTTGAGAATCTGACCAGGAGAGCTTTAAACTAGATCTTGAGACGACAAAAGAGCTCCTGGGACTGGGGGCAACAGCTTCATTGATGCACAGGAAAGTGAGGGGGTGTTCCAGAAACCCGCTAAAGGGCAAGAAACCAAGGGAAGGAACCAGCTCATGGTTTCAGTTGTCTCCGCACAAATGCACAGAGTATGGGATGAAGGAATTGAGGGGATGCTCATCAAATTTGCACATGGCAGCACCGAACTGGGAGGGGTAGCTAATGCCGCTGAAGACAGAATCAGAATTAAAAATGACCTCCACAGATTGGAGACCTGGGCACAAGCTAACAAAATGAATGTCAATAGGGACAGATGTCAGGTTCTGCCCTTAGGAAGAACCAGAAGCACAAATACAAGGCGGGGGACACCTGGCATACTAGCAGTACACGTGAAAAGGATCTAGGGGTCTTGGTGGACCACAAGCTGAACGTGAGTCAATCGTGTGATGCAGCAGCAAAAAAAGCTAATGCTATTCTAGGCTGTATCAACAGAAGTCTAGTGTCCAGATCAAGGGACGTAATAGTGCCACTCTCTTCTGTCTTGGTCAGACCACACTTGGAATACTGTGTCCAGTCCTGGGTGCCACAGTTTAAGAAGGAGGTTGGCAAGGTGGAAGGTGTGCAGAGGAGGGCAACCAATATGATCAAGGGTCTGGAAACCAAGCCTTGTGAGGAATGATTGAAGGAGCTGGGGATGCTTAGCCTGGAGAAGAGAAGACTGAGAGGAGATATGATAGCCAGCTTCAAATATCTTAAGGGCTGTCATATGGAGGAGGGAGCATGCCTGTTTTCTCCTGCTCTGGAAGGTAGGACTAGAAGCTTCAAGTTACAGGAAAGGAGATTCAGACTAAACATTCAGAAAAACTTTCTGACAGTAAGAGCTGTTTGGCAGTGCAACAGACTCCCAAGCAAGGTGGTGGACTCTCTCTTTCCTTGGAGGTTTTTAAGCAGAGGTTGGATGGCCATCTGTCATGGATGCTTTAGCTGAGATTTCTGCATTGCAGGGGGTTGGACTGGATGACCCTCGGGGTCCCTTCCAACTCTTAATATTCTATGATTCTATAAGAACATAGGAAGAGCATTGCTTCCAGATCAGGCCAACAGGTGCCCTCTCCCCATTGGTGATTCCTCCCAGTACCTGGCATTCAGGGACAAAATGCCTCTGGTTCCAGAGGCAGGCATCCAGCCCCGCAGTTTGTGCCAGATTAATTATCCCAAAGAGGTGTGATCATATGCTTGTGTTTTTAAAAAAGGGAGGCAACAATTGGTATCCACACATTGAAAGCATTATCTGAAGGAGTGTCTCCACCTCCATCGTTCTGCCCGGACACTGAGGTCCAGCTCTGAGGGCCTTCTGGCGGTTCCTTCCCTGTGAGAAGCCAAGTTACGGGGAACCAGACAGAGGGCCTTCTCAGTGGTGGCGCCCATCCTGTGGAACACCCTCCCAGCAGATGTCAAAGAGAACAACAACTACCAGACTTTTCGGGGACATCTGAAGGCAGCCCTGTTTAGGGAAGCTTTTAATGTTTGATGCATTACTACTGTATTTTAATATTTTGTTGGAAGCCGCCCAGAGTGGCTGGGGAGGCCCAGCCAGATGGGCGGGGTATAAATAATGAATTATTATTATTATTATTATTATTATTATTATTACTATGAGCTTGCCCATTGGGCTCATGTGTGCATGAGAGATAAAGATTGCCTGCTACTCCTTCTGAGTTAATCTGGAACATTACAAGAACCTGCCAATGGCCCCTCTAGTCCAGGATCCACACAAGAGCAGTTCTCTCCTGGGTGGTTCCCAGCAACTGGCCTTCCGAAAATGCTTCTGGCCGTGGAGGGAGAGCAGAGCCACTGTGGCCAGTAGTAGCCACAGGCAGCCAGCTGTCTTCTCCACAAATTTGTCTCCTCCTCTTTTGAAGCCTGTTGTCTTTGTCCATGGAGTTTTCTTAGCAGGGATACTGGAGTGGCTTGCCGGTTCCTGCTCCAACTGGATCACGTTTAGTCAAAACTCTCCACTATGACCTGTCCATCTTGGGTGGCCCTGCATGGCATAGCTCATAGCTTCTCTGAGTTATTCAAGCCCCTTTGCCATGGCAAGGCAGTGATCCATGAAGGGGAACAACTGATTGATTCAAAATTGGGAAAGGAGTATGACAAGGCTTATTTAGCTTGCTTATTTAACTTATATGCAGAATTCATCATGCGAAAGGCTGGGCTGGATGAATCCCAAGCCAGAATTAAGATTGCCAGAAGAAATTAAAGAACCTTTTAATGAGGGTGTAAGAGGAGAGTGCAAAATATGGTCTGAAGCTCAACATCAAAAAAATGAAGATCATGGCCACTGGTCCCATCACCTCCTGGCAGATAGAAGGGGAAGAAATGGAGGCAGTGAGAGATTTTACTTTCTTGGGCTCCATGATCACTGCAGATGGTGACAGCAGCCACAAAATTAAAAGACGCCTGCTCCTTGGGAGAAAAGCAACGACCAACCTAGACAGCATCTTAAAAAGCAGAGACATCACCTTGCTGACGAAGGTCTGTGTAGTTAAAGCTATGGTTTTCCCAGTAGTGATGTATGGAAGTGAGAGCTGGACCATCAAGAAGGCTGATCGCCGAAGAATGGATGCTTTTGAATTCTGGTGCTGGAGGAGACTCTTGAGAGTCCCATGGACTGCAAGAAGATCAAACCTATCCATCCTTAAGGAAATCAGCCCTGAGTGCTCACTGGAAGGACAGATCCTGAAGCTGAGGCTCCAAGACTTTGGCCACCTCATGAGAAGAGAAGACTCCCTGGAAAAGATGGAGGGCACAAGGAGAAGGGGACGACAGAGGACGAGATGGTGGGACAGTGTTCTGGAAGCTACCAGCATAAGTCTGACCAAACTGCGGGAGGCAGTGGAAGACAGGAGTGCCTGGCGTGCTCTGGTCCAGGGGGTCACGAAGAGTCGGACACAACTAAACAACAACTTTTGAAGCCACCCAGTTGGTGGCCACCGCTGCCTCCTCCTGTGGGAGGGAGTTCCACAGGTTAACAACGCACTGCTGCGCGGAGGCGGAAAAACAACAGCCTTCATTTCCTCTGCCTTGAATCTCCAGGGTTGTCCCCGAGGGAATGGGAGACACTTTTCCCTTTCTCCTTTCCCATAGTTTTAATCCTGTCGCCTGTCACTTCCCCCCATTAAGCAGCGGCGGCGGCGGCGGCGGCGGCGGCGGCCGTGAATCCGGATCCACCTGGCGGGCGAGGGCCGGCCGCGGCTAATCCCTGAGCGGCGTTAATCCGGATTCCTGAATTCGGAGTGGGAAGGAGGAGGAGAGCGCGGGGACCATGGCTCCTCCGAGGGGCAGGCGAGCCCGAGGCCCGAGGAGGAGGCCGGCTGGGCGGCGGAAGCCCCGCTTCGGGGCGCTGTGGCTCCGCCTCAGCCGGGCGGCGGGCGAGGAGGCCGGGCCGAGGGCGGGACGGCCAGGCGAAGGCGGCACCGGCGGCGGCGGCGGCGGCTGCCTTGGTCTGGCGTGGCCCGGAGAGGGTTCGAGCGGCGGCGGCGGCGGTGTCGGGCGAGGCCGCGCGGGCTGAGGAGACCAGGCCGAGCCTGAGGAGACCAGGCCGGAGTCGCGCGGCGGCGGCGGCCCCCGCCCCAAGAGGCCGCCGACCCGCGGCGGGACAAAGAGGGGCCTCCGCCTCCTCCGCCTCCGCCTCCTCCTCCCTCAGAGGCCGGCTGAGAGAGGTAAGGACCCGGGCTGGGCCTGCGCGGGGGGCAGCCGGCCTGAGGAGAAAGGCGTGAGGGGGGAGAAATTAGCTGGGGGGGAATGGGGGGGTTCGGAGCCCCCCAACTAGAGGCCTTTCAAGCTGGGGGGTCAGGTAGACTGCGAGGCGGAGGGAGGCTCTCCTAGCAGGCTAGACGGGAGGAGGTGGGTGGGGGGAGTCCATTGCCCCCCACTTCAGAGGTCACAGGCTGACCGGGGTGTGGGGGGTCTTTTTGTGGGGGGCAGCTGGGACACCCCCCCTCTGGCCCACTCGAGGTGGGCTGGTGAGGGAAGGGCGGGCGGATAGCGAGGCTTCTTGTGCACGCGTGTACACGTGTGTTTCCTTAACACGCACCACCAGAGAAAGGATGGTCTCCAGATAGGTGGAAAGTGGATCTGCCTCTCCTGGAGGATCTTTTCTGGGGGATCTGCAGCAGACGCAGCTGTCTCCAAAACAGAAGGATGCTGCGACCTGGAGTGGGTTTTGGGGGGTCAGATCCGCTCACTTCTGCTGCTCAAGACAAACCCCTGGACTCTGGAAATTTAGATTATAAGTGCCTGTCTTGACCACCAGGTTCTGAGCAGTGGTTCTTTGGGGGGTGCCTAGCAAAAAAACACACAAAACCACACACACCCCCAAAACAGACCCTGCAAGCCTGAAGTCTGCCAAGATGGAAAGATGCCTCCCCAAGATGGTTTGGAGTAAGGTGGGGGAAGCCCCCAGCCCCTGCCTTTATCCCTGGAGTTAGGGATGAATGACTGTGTTTGGTGGGTTCCCACCTCCTCTTGCTTTTGAGACCCCTTGAGATCCTTTTGCTCTCTCCTCCAGTCCGTCCTGCATGTAGTCACAATCTCTGGTGGGCTGGATCTGGACACGGCCCATCTAGCCCAGCATCCTGCCAACCAGATGCCTGTGGGAAACCCACAAGCAGGACCTGAGAACATGAGCTCTTTCCCCTCCTGTAGTTTTTCCAGCAATCTGGTACAGTGGTACCTCGGGTTACATACGCTTCAGGTTACATGCACTTCAGGTTACAGACTCTGCTAACCCAGAAATATTACCTCGGGTTAAGAACTTTGCTTCAGGATGAGAACAGAAATCGTGCTCCGGCGGTGCGGCGGCAGCAGGAGGCCCCATTGGCTAAAGTGGTGCTTCAGGTTAAGAACAGTTTCAGGTTAAGAACGGACCTCCAGAACGAATTAAGTACTTAACCTGAGGTACCACTGTATTCAGAAGCAGAACAATGGAAGCAGACTAGTGACTAGTAAAGGGTAAAGGGACCCCTGACAATTAGGTCCAGTCATGGCCTACTCTGGGGTTGCGGTGCTCATCTCGCTTTATTGGCTGAGGGAGTCGGCGTCCAACTTCCGGGTCATGTGGCCAGCATGACTAAGCCGCTTCTGGCGAACCAGAGCAGCGCACGGAAACGCTGTTTACCTTCCCGCTGGAGTGGTACCTATTTATCTACTTGCACTTTGACGTGCTTTCAAACTGCTAGGTTGGCAGGAGCAGGGACCGAGCAACGGGAGCTCACCCTGTCGCGGGGATTCGAACCGCCAACCTTCTGATCAGCAAGTCCTAGGCTCTGTGGTTTAACCCACAGCGCCACCCGCACCCCTAGTGGCTAGTAGCCATCAACAAATAGCTTTCTCCTCCATCAATTTGTCTTATACCCTTTTAAAGCTATCTAGGTTGGTGGCCATCACTGCCTTCCCTGGGAGCAAATTTTGTAGTTTAAACTGGTGCTGCGTAAATAAGTACTTTATTTTATCTGGCCTAAATCTTCCAACATTCAGCTTAATTGGATGCCTGTGAATTCTAGTACTGTGAGAGGGAAGGAAACTCTTATCTCCTTTCTCCTTGGCATGCATAATTTTCTAAACCTCCATATTGCTTCTGACTTGCCTTTTCTCTAAACTTAAACGTCTCAAATGCTGCAACTTTTCTTTGTCAGGACATCGCTCCATACCCTTAATTGTTTTGGTGGCCCTTTTCTGAAGCTCCGCAATATCTTTCTTGTGATGAGGCTACCAGAATTGTAAACCGTATTCGTGGTGCGGGAACACTATAGATTTGTATAATGCCATTATGATACCAGCAGTTTAATTTTCAATTCCCTTCCTGATGATTCTTTACACGGAATTTACCTTTTTTATGGCTGCCACACATGGGGTCGACATATTCACTGAGCTTTCTGCCATGACTCCAAGATCTTATTCCTGGTCCGTCACCTCCAGTTTAGACCCCATGAGCATAAGTGTGAAACAGTTATTTTTGGCCCCTCCATGTATCTACCCCTGTTTACATTGAATTGCACTTACCATTTTACTTCCCATTCACTCAGCTTGAAGAGGTCCTTTTGGAGTTCCTTGCAATCTCATTTTAAGAAGTGACTCCTAGCTCTAGATCGTTTATGAACAAGTCAAAATGCACAGGTCCCAGTCCTGATCTCTGGGGGACTCCCACTTCCTACTTCTTTCCATTCAGAGAACTGTCCATTTATTCCTGCTGTTTGCTTCCTGCAACTTAGCCAATTCCTTATCCACAAGATGACTTCTCCTCTTATTCCTTGACTGCTAAGCTTAATCAAGAGCCTTTGGTGAGGTACTTTGCCAAAAGCTTTTTGAAAGTCCAAGTAAACAATGTAAGCCGGATCACCTCTGCTGATATGCTTGCTGACACTCTCAAATAACTAGCTTCGTGAGACAGAAGCTGTGCTGGGTTAGAAAACCCTGGTCTGTACATGTTGGAAGCGCTTAAGGAAAAGTCTACTGCCCAGATTGAAATGCCACAATTTCCAGCACAACCCCTGGTGACAATTAAGTTTGACAATTAAGTTCCTGATGTTTTGCTTTTTAATCTGCAACCCCAACTGGGCCTGTGCTCTTCTGATGCCATGTGACGTGTTTGAGGAGATCTGACTCCCTCTGATGGAATCTTCCTGGCTCAGGGTCTTCCTGCTCTCAAGGGGTTTATCTTCGGCCTCCTGTTTATATGGTTTAGTAAGAGACTGTGCAGGGATTCATGTGAAAGCAATTAGCTTTGTTGCAAACCCCTTTAACAGGAGCAGAGTAAGCTCCGTGCTAAGCGAATCCAAATTCAGCATCCGTGCTGTCTGTGCCAGGCAAAGCTGGAGGCTGCAGCAGCCTCTCTTGGTCAGCCAAGCAAGCAAATGTGAGTTATGTCTGCCCCTTGTATCCAAGTCTGCTTTTGTATTGACTCGTGCCTCCTGATTGCTGGAAATTCAGCTCTGGCTCTGCTCTTGCAAGTTTAATTGGTAAAATCGTCAGCTAAAGCTCTAATTGCCTCCTCAGTGGTGGAAGACCAGGAGTGAAGGCTCTGAAAGTTAAGGGCAGGCACACATTTTTGGTAGGTGGGGGGTTTTTTGGAAGCGATTGCAGTTCAATTGGATTGTGGTCTGTTTGGCTGACAGCGAATGGTTGCTTTTGTTTATTGAATTCTGATTTCTTGCATGCCCTTTTGTGTCTCAAAAAGGTGTCTGTATTGAAGTTTCTGTAATACTCAAATTCGTTTAGATAGGAAAGGCCATTAATAAACTAAAAATGTTTTTGACTTATTCAGTTCTGCTTTGTTAGATCTCACCAAACCTTTTACTGTACGTATTTTTCAAGCCCACCTTTATGGTCTTGAGGGCTACAAGCTTCATGTGTTTGTAAAAGCTGAAATTCTCAATTCTCTGCTGTGCATGAATTCAGCATTCAAGCATCCTGCCATAGCATGCTTGGCACCCTGAACATAAACTGTATTTTGCCATTCTAAAAAGGGAATTTCTGGTGAATTTCTCTTTGATATTAAACATTCTGAGGGCTGAAATAGATCCTTTGTTATGTAAATAGTTTTCTTTTCTCCTTTTCGGTTACTATTTTTATGGGGAAAACACTTTTTGAACCAAAGTGCAGCAGCCAAATAGTTTCTCTTGCAAAAAAAACGTTTAGCCTTGGTCACTGTGAGAGATTTTTCCACTGGCAAATGTAGGGCTTCCTCTTGCGGGAGAATCCATAGCAGTCATCATCCTTATGGGGCCTGCCAGCTTGCTCTGCCTCTCCCCTGACTGTTTTGTCTGGCATTTGGAAAAGCAGCAGCTAAAGGCTTGGAACATGGAGAGTACGGAAGGCAAACCTGTAGGAGACAGTGTGTGCAAGGGTACATACGTTGTGTTTCATTTCCCCAGTCTTCACTCGGGTGAGCAATCTGTTACTTTCATATAATATATTTATAAAATATAATTCAAAAATACCACAGATGCATCCAAACATAAAAACCTAATAATTGTAATGAAACATTATCATCCCGGGAGCTACCTACCTAATTGGCATTTGCATTTCTATTTTTTGGTAAATACGGACATGCGCAGGATAATGCATTAATAAGCTTGGCAGAGAATACCTGGAAGGAATACTGTATACTTACCAATATCTCTGTTATATTGCTTCATCTAGTTAATAAGTGGTACTCTTAGCTGCTCAGTATTGCTTATTTTATCTGCCATATATATATATATATATATATATATATTCTGGGCCTTCAGTAATATCTGTTGCAGCTGAACATAAAAATCAGAAAATGATAAAAGCATCAGATAAACCACTATAAATATAACACATGGGTGGCTATTTAGACCCCTGTGACATGCAATATCTCCTGCCGGTAACTGACAGCTCCTGTGCCAGTTTATTTCCTGGTCAGAGGAAAGACCTATAGGCATGTCAAGGCAGGGATGCAAACATTAAAGACAAGAGCCTTCTGGTTCCTGGGAATCCAGTGATTGTGCATAGACAATCCCATGCCACTGCCTGCAAGATCAGATCACCATCTGGGGCCGTCTCCCAGTCTTGGTATCTGTTCTCCAAAGGGAGCCTTAATGCTCTCTCTTCCCCATCTCTCCAGCTATCAAGGGTTATTAGACTTTTCTGCTGTTCAGAACCAGGCAGCTGGCACTCCCCTGTTGTGGTCATTGACTTATTTGTTTGCTTAAGGTGTTTCTGCACTCCCCCCCCCCCCGGAGGGGTTTACAATGTAGTGCTTTTTGTGTTTCTGTCTGCGTAAGGCCCAGAGCTGGGTTCCGTCATCCGTCGTTCCATAGGCAGCTTTTAACAGCCATTGCACCATTTCCCCATTGCACATTTCCTTGGTGTGTCCAGAAGATCAAAAGATCGCTGTGGCCCAGATGCCCGAGTGGGCATGTAACCTGCCTTGGGACACTGCAGTTGGGATGCTTCTGAGCTGACTGATGTTTCTGTCCCTGTGCCTTCAGGGAGGGGCTGAACACAGCCAATGCGCGTGGAAACCTTTTGAAGGGACCTTGATACTGCAGCTGCTATTATTCTTTTTTTTATACATTTTTATTAATTTTTCAACATATCATTTCCAACAATCATTTAACATAACTTCTTATCTTATACAATATTTTAGACTTCCATCAACAACCTCTGAAGATTTTCCGTTCTTTATCACTTATTCTGCATTTCTTAATTTCTCTATTACTTTTAATTATCATTAACTAATAGTTCTCTTCACAGTCTTCGTTGCAATATTTCACATAATCCTCCTTACAGAACTTCTTGCAGCCCTACTAGTGTAATCTGTTTATTACAGTTGCTTTTCAAATAATTCAAATATTTACCCCAGTCTTCTAAGAATCTCTGGTCCCGCAGGTTTCGAATCTTTCCTGTTAATTTATCTAATTCTGCATAGTCCATTGCTTTCATTTGCCACTCTTCTTGCTTCCATTTTTGTGCCAGTAGTAGTCTTGCTGCCGTTATTGCATATAAAAACAATTTACAGTCCTGTTTGTTAATGTCCTCACCTACAATGCCAAGTAAAAATGCTTCTGGAAATATAAATGTATATTTCAACATCTTTTTCATCTCATTATATGTCATTTCCCAGAAGTTCCCTGCAGCTGTAATTATTCTCATCCATGTACAGTAATCTTTGGTAGGGCTGCTTTCATTCATGATTTCACAGTGTGTGGACAGAAGAAACTGATATGTAACACCTGCCAGGCTAAGAATCTTGAGTTGCATTTAAGAAGGACCCAAGTTCCTAAGAGATGTGCTTGCAGCATTTTATAACAAGATTTGCATCTGTGTAGGAAATAGATGTTGTTAAGTAATGGAATATCAACTCCAGTGTGGGTCAATTGCTATTTACTCTCCCAACATTATGAGGGATGTTCACAAGTGTCTGCCTTCTCTTGCTCCAGAGGGAGCTCCTTGCAATTTGTCCCTCTGGACAATTAGTATTTTATTGGTCTCATTATGTTCCTATTTCATTTAGGCTTTGAAAGTGTTCAAGCATCAGCTGGCACACTCTTGAAGTGTAGTTGGTTTGGGGTACCACATGAGTTCTAGTCACTGGGGGCAAAGTGACCCCCCCAAGACAATTTCTTCCTGGAACTAATAGAAGGATGGGTATATTCCCTTCCAGGGAGTCAGATGTATTCTGAGAGAAGAAAGATGAGCTTATAGATATGAGAAAAATAAACAGAATCAATGATGAATGCAGCAAAATTCACAGAGGGCACAGAGTTTCATTTATACAGAGACTTTGAGTTATGTGGCGCAGAGTTTTAGCTGTTCTTTAGTGCATGTCTTTTTAATTTGGACAAACGAGATGTTGTGATGGAGCCTAGCCTGTGCTCCCAGTACCCTCATAAGGCTCTGTTATTTTGGCAGATGAGTTTGGCCTTGTTTGGGCGTGACATATGGTGTCCCATGATGCTGGAAGTTTAAGTCTCGCCTCAGCTGCGAAAGTGGCAAGGTTTTTTTCTCTCCACGTCAGCCCTCTCATTTGCGATATGCAGATAACGCTACTGGCATTGGGTTCTTGTAGTAAGTCACGGGTTTCCAGCCTTTTTGGCCCATGGGCACATTTGCAAACTGGAGAAACTGTGGTGGACAATACTAGATGTACATGCATCCTGTGACCAAACACACCCCACAGCTACCATAGGATGCTTCTTTCAAGCCTAATCTCTGGGGCAGGGAAGGGAGGGCACCAGGGAAGGCCTCTGTGGGGATCAGGTTGGTAGCCCATGTCAAGCGTTTGAAATACTATTATTTATTAATTTTATATCCCGCCCTTCCTCCCAAAGGAGCCCAAGGCGACACCATGCACAGTAGCGCTAAAACAATACAGCTAAAAATAGGAAGCTGAAAACCACTTTAAAGCCTCTAAAACATTTAAAAGCAATCACATACCCCTCACAGCTAGTAATCTCAAGGTTGCTAGGAACAGTATCTTTGCCATCAAATGCCTGGAAGACAGACGTACCTCACCAGGGTGGGCATCGCAGAAACTGCCTCCAAGAAGGCTCTGTCGCGGTCAGTGCCAACTGGGAAGCAGCCAATGGCAGCACTGCGCTTGCCACTGACTGCCTTCGAAGACAGAACCGTGGCTTAGCTAGCCTGGGTTGGTGAGGCTGTTTTTTGTGACATGAGGCCAGGTGAGGGGACCCTCCTCTGCCAGTTACAGACAGCAGGGCAGCAGTTTGTCATCCGAGGCCCTTCTCTATGTCCCTTCTCCCTGAGAGGTTTGGAGGGTGGCAACAAGAGAATGGGCCTTTTTTGTGGTCACCCCCTGTCTGTGGAATACTCTCCCCAGGGAGGCTCGCCTGGCACCATCATTACATGTCCTTAGGCACCAGGCAAAAACGTTCCTCTTTACCCAGGCCTTTAGCTGTTAAATAATATTTGCCCTGTTAAAGCTATCATTAGGATTATTTTATTGCTATGCTGTCTGTTATTATGCTTTTTACAGTCAAACCTCGGTTTTCAAACGTCTCAGCTGCCAAACACCGGAAACCCGGAAGTGAATGCTTCTGTTTTTGATCACGCCTTGGAAGTCAAATGGCTTCCAAGGCGTATTTTTCATTTTTTTCTGTTGACTTTGCAGCCAGCCCCTTGATCCTCGGTTTTCAAACGTTTCAGGAGTTGAACGGACTTCCGGAACGGATTATGTTCGAAAATCGAGGTTCCACTGTATTATGTTTTTATTATTGATGCTCTGTAAAATGTGTTCGTAATGTTGTACAGCACCCTCGGATCTTTTGATGTTATCATTGTTACTATTACTATTTATTTGATTTATAATAATTGTTGGAAAGATCCAGCCCATGGGCCACAGTTTTTCAGATTTTTCTCTTGCGCAGGCCCATTGAAGTGAATGGAATCTGTGCACAGCAGGGTTGCCCCGTGTTAGCTAGCAGGGATTCCATTTGGATTTTCTGCCTGAGCCACCGGAGTGCCTTGACTACCTTTCAACAAGCTCTCATGCATGTTCCTTTCCCCCCTAAATCTTCTAGGTCCGAAGAAGAGTGGACAGAAGCCATGCCTGCCGCCAGGGGATCACCTTGCTAGGACCTTGCTCGTGTTGCTTCCTCGGTATCGCAAAAGCCAGAAGCAGGGAAGGCAGAGGCGGCTGCACACCATTCCTGTTCCCCCTCGTGGAGGGGGGGCAGGGAGGAGGAAGTGGAGGCTGCATTAACGGACAATGGATCCTCTGGCCCGCTCGAGTGGGGATATTATGCGGCGGAATCCACAGCAAGACTACGAGCTGGTCCAGCGTGTGGGGAGCGGCACTTACGGAGATGTCTACAAGGTGAGAGTCCAAATGCCAAGGCCTTTTCTGCAGCAGTCATTTCCGTTGCAAATTGGGATTTCTATCTTCCTGCCTCATGTGGCAGCTTGGGCTGCTTTACCGTTAAGGAAGGGCAAAATCAACATACGGTCATACCTCGAGTTGAATGTGCTTCGGGTTGAGTGCATTAGAGTTGTGCTCTGCGGCAACCTGGAAGTAACGGAGCGCGTTACTTCCGGGTTTCACCGCTCGCGCGTGCACAGACACTCAAAATGACGTCATGCGCATGTGCGGAAGCGGCGAAACGCGACACGCGCGGACACGCCATCGCGTCTTGCACTCCGTTCGGGATGCGAACGGGGCTCCGGAACGGATCCCATTAGCATCCCAAGGTACCACTGTAACTGCTTCTGTGGGGAGAGTCGTGGGCATGGTAGCTGGTCTCTTCGCCCCACTTTTGCACTGGAAGTCGCATTTTCACCAGCCTACAGAATTGTTACAATATGCAGATTCAAGCAGCCTTCTTAAATTATACAAATCAACCCTTTTTGTGTGTTGGGTGGGCTTCACCTAGCGAACCCCATCAGTGGAAGCCCTGCGTGAGGATTTCTGCTTGCACAAGGGAGTTGCCCCCCTCCCTTTCATCTGCTCCCTTTGCCCCCTGAAATTGGCTCAGCACCTCCAGAACAGCAGGTTCAGGGCGGGGGCTCATCGCTTCATCTGACAAGCTGATATGCCTGTGCAGACAGAACATTGGTACACATCACAAGGCTGAATTCCACCCGCTGCTCCCCAGGTTTTGTCACAGGATTGGTTGGCATTTCTTAATGGGGCTTTTGCTCATTGTTCTCTCCACCCCAACACTGTAAAACAGTTTGAAATGGAGGAAATGAGAGCAACTTGGATTAAGAACTCTGCAAACCCGGAAGTAGGTGTTTTGGTTTGTGAACTTTGCCTTGGAATAAGAACATGTTTCGCTTCCTGTTGAGTGTGTTCCATTTGTAAATTGAGTCCCCCGCTGCTATGGGAAAGCACGCCTTGGTTTAAGAACGCTTTGGTTTAAGAACGGACTTCCGGAACGGATTAAGTTCATAAACCAAGGTACCTCTGTGCTTGTTCAGCATTAATTTTGAAACCCTGGCTCTGGCGCAAGTGAGGATTCTTTATTCAGTGCTGATAAATGAGGCTGCTGTTAGAAAGCTGGAATGCTTTTTTCTGACTAGCGAAGAGAGGAGAATTCCCCATAATTTTTCTTTAAAAAAAGAATGGTTTGCTGCCTGATTTAGCTCCGAGGAAAGAGGCAATTGGTCGGAGTTAGCCTGGTGGACTGGGCAGGTTGGGGGTAGGAAAAGAAGAAACTGGATCTGCAATGGGAGGGGTCAGGGTTGTTGGAGGCGGAGATCATCCATGCTTGTCTAAGAAAATTGTGACATCCCTGAAATCTGCTCAATTGCCACAGGTCCCCTTCCATCACTGCAGCGCGATTGACCTCAGTTTTGTCTTCTCCTTGTGCCCTTCACTTCTTCATGAGTATACTCAGTTGGACTTTTGACTTGATTTTATATGACTAGGTATCGTCCCACATTAAATGTGATAGTCAGAGGCTGTGAGGCAAAGTGAAGTGGAGACATTTAGATGCTTTGAAGAGCAGCGGCAGCAGGGCAGGATACAAGCTGGATCCGTCCCATGAGTCGCAATCCCCTGGGAAGTTCTCCTGCACAAGACCCAGTGGGAAGGAGCAGAAGGCTGCTCACTAGACTTGTGCAGGGGTGAATTTCCCACTGAATGAAGGAGGAGGCATGGTTGTGATTTTTCACCTCTGGCTCCAAATATCTTGGATCTGATCTGGTCCATGTTGGACTGTGGTCACAGTGACTGCTGCCCCAAAGGTTTGCTCCACAAACTTTTAATAAACTTGACCTACAAGTCAGCTAAGTGAAGTGCAGCTTTAAACGCTGATTAATTCTGCTTCTTTTATATCATGGGTAGGCAAACTAAGGCCTGGGGACCAGATCCGGCCCAATCACTTTCTAAATCCAGCCTGCGGACAGGAATCAGCGTGTTTTTACATGAGTAGAATGTGTCCTTTTATTTAAAATGCATCTCTGGGTTATTTGTGGGGCATAGGAATTTGTTCATTTTCCCCCCTTCAAAATATAGTCCGCCCCCCCCCCCAAGGTCTGAGGGACAGTGGACCGGCCCCCAGCTGAAAAAGTTTGCTGACCCCTGTTATATGCTTCAAACTGTTACGGTGTTCTGTAAACAGTCCTTTGGGCTCTGTGAATTCAATGCTTATTGCAGAATTCCAGAATCCTCAGAAATGCAGTTTTCATTTTAAAAAACAAATAAATTACAGTACTAACTAAATTTTATAATCCAGCTTTTGGCTCAAGGAACATCAGGGTGGTGAATGAAATAAAACCACCTTTAAAATATCAAGACACTGAAGCAATGAAACACACAAATAAATTCCCATGTGTGCCAGCAGCAGAGATGGGGGAGAGCGGCTCCTGTAGCCTTGGCCTTAGGCCCAATTGGCAATGCTTCCATAATGGTGAGGTTGCCTTTGCTATGTGGCCCCTTCCCTTGCCATTCAGATGATGGTGATGATATTGATATTTGTATATTGCCCATCTGACTAGGTTCCCCCAGCTGCTCTGGGTAGCTTCTAGAAAAATATAAAAACAAATTAAAACATCAGCCATTAACAACTTCCCTAAACAGGGCTGCCTTCAGATGTCTTCTAAAAGTCAGGTAGCTGTTTATGTCCTTGACATCTGCTGGGAGGGCGTTCCACAGGGCAGTCGCTACTACCAAGAAGGCCCTCTGCCTGGTTCCCTCTAACCTCACTTCTCACAGGGAGGGAACTGCGAGAAGGCCCTCAGAGCTGGACCTCAGTGTCCAGGATGAATGACTGGGGTGAAGACACTCCTTCAGGTATGCTGGGCTGAGGCCATTTAAGATGAGCAGAGGAAGATAATATTGGAGACAGAGAGAGCAGGTTGGGAGGAGCCGGTGATGTGGTTGATATTGCCCCAAAGGCAGGAGACTTTGGTGTTTGGCACAGCCCCAGAGGCCAACAGATAAGGTCAAGTTATGCAGATAAGTTATAGTTTCGCTTTGTGGGGGGGACGGGGTGTGTGTCCGTTTTTATGTCTTGGATGATTTTAAAGTCTTTTGGTGTTTTCCGTTGTGCTTTTTCTATTGTTATGTGACATTCTTCTCTTAAAAAGCGGGATAAAAATTGGTTAAATAAATAATTCAGATAAAAGAAATAGGCTTTTCCTTGGCATGGAATTAGAATTTTTGTAGTAAGCACTGCTGCCCTTAATTAACTGGCTGCTTCATATGTGCTCATTTTAATAAAGGAATCCTTTTTTCTTTTTTTTTTAAGAGTGGTTACATTTTTACTTTGTCGAAAAGAGGCCCCTGCATCACTTTGGCCTAAATCAGCCTGAACTTGATTTGGTTTTAAATTGGTGCACGTATCATTCTAAATGAAGAAACATTGTGTTTTAACACATTGGGTGAAGCATTACAAAGTATTAAAAAGCTGCAGAACTCTTGACTAAAAACTGCTGCCTTCTGTATTCCTGACCCTCTCAGAGCAGGTGACTGTATATTTGTCTCTCTCTTGTGGGAATGTGGCATTTATAGGGTCAGATTAAAAGGACACAAGTTGATCCCTAGGTTAAGAATAGCTCACAGGAAGCACATTAACGTGCACAGGCAGCTTGCAGCATGACTGGAGTTCAGATACGCCCAATTCCAGGGGTGCTTGTTTTGGTTGCTCTAATTCCATTTCCATCTTTGCTCAGGATTGTTCATATGGGCTGCCCTGGTTCTGGAACTGGTACCCAGTGGGACACTTCTGTTAATGCAAAGCCTGCTTGCTGCTCCTGGGAAGAATGCACAGTGCTTCCTTACCTTGTGCTGTCCGTTGAGGCTTGCAGCACTTCTCCAAGGTCTCAGGCAGCAGAAAAATGTGATTTTCTCACAGGAAAGCAGAGCACGCTGGCCAGATGACATTTCTGGTATGGAGAAGCATTGTAGGGATAGGATAGGCAGAATAAGATCCAAGAGAGGCAGTGCGATGGGTGCTTTTCATGGTATTCTTATTGATATTGTAAACGTGGTCCTCAGAAAGTTTTCAGAAGAGCAGGATGTCAGTGTCTTCATTAAAAGGTAAAGGAACCCCTGACAGTTAAGTCCAGTTGCGAATGACTCTGGGGTTGTGGCGCTCATCTCACTTTACAGGCCAAGGGAGTCGGCGTTTGTCCACAGACAGTTTTTCCGGGTCATGTGGCCAGGAGGACTAAGCCACTTCTGGCACAACAGAACACCCACACCAGAGCGCACGGAAATGCCGCTTACCTTACCGCCAGAGCGGTACCTATTAATCCACTTGCACTGTTTGGCGTGCTTTCGAACTGCTAGGTTGGCAGGAGCAGGGACCGAGCAACGGGAGCTCACTCCATCACAGGGATTCGAACCGCCGGCCTTTTGATCGGCAAGCCCAAGGCTCAGTGGTTTAGACCACAGTGCCACCCGCATCCCATGTCTTCATTAAAGCAGGCTGCAATTGATGTAACCTGGCATCATGGCTAAAAGCTGAGAAGCGTTTGGTTCATGTCACCCTGTTGGGTGTGCAGACGGGCTAGGTGGCCACAAAAGTCAACTCCTCATTCAGACCCACCATTGCTTTCCCACCATCTGCGGTATCGATATGACAATGCCAGCGATCTGCTTTGCAGCACTGTTGTAAGGCTTTTTGGCCCTTGGGGAAGGGCTGTAGCTTAGTAGCATAGCATCTGCTTTGCATGCACGAGGTCTCAGATTCAACCCTGGTAGCATCTCCAGGTAGGGCTGGGATCAGTGTTAGAAACTGGGATAGAAAAGCAAGGAGCCAAATGGCTTTTGGGACCTGGGTTGTGGGCGCCAAAACAGAATGTCTAGTCGCCATTGGGGGTGGGGGACGGCAACACTTTTTATTTATTATTTTTATAAGCATGAACTAATATGCAATTCACGTAAGTCACAAATGCAAAGTATTTGTTAGTTCATTGTCCCTAGTCCTGTATTCAAATGTAGGCTGAGGAGGTGGTGTGGTTTATGGATGGGTTTGAGTGCCATGCCTCCTCTCCCAAAGATATGTTTCTCCATATGTTAATTCTGCCCTGTCTTTTCTGGGAATCAAATCAGGCTGAGGCATAGGAAATTACGGAGGAATGTGTTTTCAGTGCAGGTGTCTTGGTGCTGAACCATCAAAGTGTCTCAAAGTGTGAAAGGAGCATCTTTGTTGCAGAGAATGTGTTCTGAAAGCTTTTTTGGATTTGACTCTGCATACATTCAGTTTGCAGGGAGAGAGTCATCTTGGCTGGTTCTAAAATCCTCCCTTCATCTTTTAAGCCCATAGAACCTTGATTTGGAAGGGAGCAATGGTCTTCTGGTTTAAGCCAAGACTGGCCTTCAGAGGCTGAATTATGTTCTTGTGTCCCTGCTGCTATTCCCAGAGGAGGTGCTTGGGACAGCCCCAGTTTTATTATTTATTATATGCATTTGTTGAGTTGCACACCAAAGTGTCTCAAAGTATCTGGATTGATAAAAATAGAAATAATGAAACATAGTAACACCAAATATGAAAACAGCAGCACAAGGCTCATCTAAAAACATAAAGGGAGCTAAACTTTCCCATCTCATTTAAAAGGGCGAGCACAAATATAACTAGTTGTCCTCCCAATGAAAAACCAAAGGCCTGGGTAAGCAAAGTTGTTTTTGCCTGGCACCTAAAAACAGACAGCAGTGGCTCCAGGCATGCTTCCCTGAGGAACCTACCACGGAAAAGGCGCATTCCTGTGCCACCACCATCCACATCTCCCTCGAGGAGGGCACACAGAAAAAGGGCCTCAGTTGATGACCACAGTGCCAGGGTTCATGTGGGGAGAAGCAGTCCTTGAGATGTTGGCGGCCGTGAGTCTCCAAACCAGCACTTTGAATTGTGCCTAGAAACTTAATCGGTAGCACGTCCAGTTGTGCCAAGATTGGGGCTATAAGCCCAGGTCTGCTTGCCTTAGCTAGCGGTCTGGCCACTGAATTCTGCACCAGCTGCAGTTTCTGAGGAGTCTTCAAATGCAATGTAGAACCTAGAGGTGACCAGAGCATAGATAACCTAAGTTAGGCTGTCCCTATCCAGCTAGGGGCATAGCTGGGCCACCAGCCGAAGCTGATGGAAAACACTCTGTGCCACCTGAGGCTCATGTGACAGTGATGGATCTGGGAGTAACCCCATGCTACGCACCTGCTCCTTCAGAGGGAAGGTAGTGTCACCCAGAACAGTCTGAACCCTGCCCATCCAGTCTAGGGAACCACCCACTAACAGTGCCTTTTTCTTAAATGGATTAAGCTTCCATTTATTGGGTCTCATCCAGTCTTTTACCAAGACCAGCCATTGTTCTACAGCAGGGATGTCCAACAGGTCGATCGCGATCTACCAGTCGATCACGGGGTGTCTTTGGTCGATCCTGGTCGATTGCGGGACCCCGACCCCCCTCCAAAATGCTCAACAACTCTGGCCCCCTAAAAAAGCTCAGCAACTCTGGTCAGTACAATGGGTATTGTGTTTTTTTAGTGGGAGTAGATTGCAGTCTCTCGGAAGTTGGACATCCCTGTTCTACAGCATCCGCTGCCACACCTGCAGATGTAAAGGAGAAATAGGACTGCATATCATCAGCATATAGGAACACTGGAAGCTGCCTTCTACTGAGCCAGACCATTCTCCCATCTAGTCAGGGGCAGCGGTTCTCTGAGGTTTCAGACTCAGGGACATCCCCAGCCCTACACTGGGCTAGGAGCTAGAGCCTTTGCCCTGACAATGCCCGCCATTGAACAGCACGAGGGATAAGATCGGATTCTGCAGCACCCAACACGAAAGCTCAATGGTCCTGAACACCCTCCCTCCGCACTACCCTTTGGAGACAGCCATCCAAGTAGGACTGAAACCACCACAAACCAGCGCTGCCACTTGGGGAGAATGCTGTGGCCGATGGTATCAAAAGCTGCAGAGAAATCAAGGAGAATTAACAGGGACACTCTCCCCCTGATTTTCTCCTGACAAAGGATATCAAGCAGGATGATTAAGTCAGCTTCCATGCCAAGACAGGACCTGAACCCTGATCGAAATAGTTATGGGAAATCAGTCGGGGAAAGAGGTAGGGCAACAGATAGCCTGTGGAGGGGGGAGGAAGAATGGGATTGGCAGGCAAAAGAAAGGGTGGGAAGCTGCGAGTTATAGATCCAACTTGGTTCCTGCATAGCTTGTTTCTGGGTGCATTTTTACTACAAAAGGCAGGTGGGATTCTTACTAGGAAGAAGAAGAAGAGTTTGGATTTGATATCCCACTTTACCTAAGGAGTCTCAAAGCGGCTAACAATCTCCTTTCCCTTCCTCCCCCACAACAAACACTCTGTGAGGTGAGTGAGGCTGAGAGACTTCAGAGAAGTGTGACTGGCCCAAGGTCACCCAGCAGCTGCATGTGGAGGAGCAGGGAAGCGAACCCGGTTCACCAGATTACGAGTCCACCGCTCTTAACCACTACACCACACTGGCCTGTGGGAAGCAGGGAAACAGTCCAGATTTGCTGGCCCTGAAAGTAAAACCATTCCCCCACCCCCCAAGAAGATCATAGCTGTTCAGAGAAGGGAGAAGCACTTTCCACCAAACATCTAACATGACGGGAGCTGTCTTAGCTGCTTAGTCTCCCCCCCCGGCTGCACAGGCAACCTGTCGTCTGTGATTAGAGACTTTACTCTGGAAAACCATGTCACACGCTCATCTTAATGCCTTTCTTTTATCATTGTACTACCTCTCTGTTGGGTTACTGGGTAGAGTTTAGGTAAGGGGCATCAGGCTTGAGCTTGTCCACACAACTGAGAGTCGTCGTTTGCACTCAGGAGCAAGGAAATGCATGCTTTTGGGGGCATGCCTTCTTGCCAGTGGCTTTCAGTACTGGGCTGTGCACAGCTGAGCACTTAAGAAGAATCCTGCAGCTGCATCAGACCAGTTGGCCTTTTAGTCCAGCAACCTGTTGGCATGGTAGCCAACCAGATTCCTTGTGGGAAGAGTGCAAGCAGGACCTGAGTGCAACAGGACCCTCCCCTGTGGATTCCAGCAACGAGTATCCAGTTTGTGTTCGCTTGTGTTCCCCGGTATCTGGTATCCAGAGGCTGTGTATCATAATGGAGGTAGCCAGTGGGCTTATATAGTATCTGTTGAGTAACTCAGCATTGGGCCAAGAGGCTTCTGGTTGAGTTCTGGCTAATTTCGATGACCACTCTGAGCCCTAAATACCTGTTGCTTTTGACCAGAGAGCCGGACAAGCACCTTTTCTGGACCTAATATAACTGAACATGATGCATGGGGTGCTGCTTGCCATCACGGTCCTCTGCATCTGGTACTGAGCACAGAATTCTGCTTCCTAAGGAATTCAGTTGATGGTTTGGTGTTGGGTTGGGTTGGATTAGGATTTTAATCAGGTTTTTAGCCCTTCTAGTTGCAGAGGTAACACATGCTGTCAGTCACTGCTGGACGAGGAAATTCTTTTTTTTTTTTAAATAAATTTTTATTATTTTCCTTATGCATACTTTTACAATACATTACAATAAATCACTTAAATACTTTTAGCTCTGCCGAGCTTGCGACTTCCTTCCATCTCTTCAGCGAGTATCCCTTATTTTCTTAAATAGCGTATTCTATTTGTTTTAACCCTTATATCTGTCATACATTGTAAGAGCTATTTCAGTCCTGCCAGTGTTCTTAGATTTTTACAAGTATCCTTTATATACACCATAAATTTACTCCAACTTTCTTGAAACCTCTGATCGTCCTGATCCCGAATTCTTCCCGTCAGTTTGGCTAACTCCGTGTAGCTCATCATTTTCGTCTGCCACTCCGCAATAGTAGGAATTTCTTGTAGTTTCCAATTTTGGGCAAGCATATTTCTTGCCGCTGCTGTGGCATACAAAAAAAGTATTTGGTTCACTTTCTTAATTTCCTTCCCCATCAAACCCAGCAAGAAGGCTTCTGGTTTTTTGGGAAAGGTGTATTTAAATATTTTCTTAAGTTCATTATAAATTAGTTCCCAAACGTTCTTAACTTTGTGACAAGTCCATCACATGTGATAAAAGTCACTGTCGGCCTCTTTGCATTTCCAACATTTTTTGTCCTTTAGCTGGGTGAGGAAATTCATGTCTACTGTGGAGTTCAGTCCCACACAGGCTATCTACACAGTCTTCCCTGGAGCAAAGCCAGGGGACTGAGAGCTTGGTGTGACTCTGGGTTGCCATCCCAGTTCAGGCAGAGGCCTCGCTAGGTGTCTGCAGACTTCTCAGTTGCTCAACTGTGTAATAATCAAATGCCGAGAGTGGGTGTGAATATGTGATGCATTGCACAACCCTTTTTGCTGGTGCATAAGTGCAGCTAAGAATAATCAGGTTGCCTTCCCTGCCCCCCCCATCTGCCAGCATGTAGTGTTTTGTGGACTGGCAGATATTTCTGACTTAGTCTTTTGATCTCAGAACTGGCTAGCAAGCACTGTCTCTGCTATCTGCTCCAGGTGATATTCCCATGGCAGCAGGGTTGAGCAGGAGATTCGCCACCCAAGTGTGGCCAGACCGGAATGCTTTGCAGTTCAGTGGCCCCTGCCTGTACGTATCAAGCAGAGGCAGAATGAATTGTGTGCAGAAGCAGACAGAAAGCTGGTATATAGTATTGGTTGGGAGGCTGAGCTAGGAACCAAGAAGCCCATTCTTCAAACCCCCACTGTAGCAAGAACTCATGTGTCACTTTAACCAAGGTTAGGGCTAACCAGGGTAAGATGCTTGTTAACAACCCTGGTTAAGGGGGGAACCTAGTTAGCCTTATGTGCAATTAACAGTGCAATGCTCACCATGGCGAAGACCAAGGAGGTTAATTTGTGCTCCAAAGAGGAAAAGTCTGGGAGAAGAAGTGTGCTGCTTAACCATGGATTAGCAGGCGTACTGGGTGTCTGTCTTGGATGCTTTAGTTGATATTCCTGCACTGTACAGGGTTGGACTACATGACCCTCAGGGTCCCTTCCAACTCTACAATTTTATGATTCTGTGTGTCTGCCACTCCTGAAATGTCTTAATGGCTGCTGCTCAGACAGTTCAAGAGTCAAATCCTGCTTCCTTGCTTGCTGGATCTGGAGGGCTGCTAGTTGTTAGTGTTAAATCAGAAGATACCTTCTTTTCATGTTACATTTTGGCTAAGCTGCTAGGATTTTTCAAATCATTTCTGGATGGCTAGGCCAGAGACCTAGAATTGCGTTTGTTGCCTCTGGCTGTCAGAGACAGGAGTTTGCCTGCATTTAAGATACTTAACAGAAAGGCCCGGTGGTTGTCAGGCTCAATATGGAAAAGTTAGAAGAAAGATTCCTCTCTGTTGGGCTCTTTTTTTTAAAGCTACATATGCAATTTATCTTTTGGTAACCAGGCTGTTGAGAAGGGCATAGTATACAGTATTTGTATCTGTTCCACTTGTGCAGCAGAACCTACACCCCTACGCTTTGTGCACCCCCTAAATCTGTTCTAGGGGTTCTCCTACTCTCCAGAGCAGATTGGGGGAGGGCGAGGGGGGGAGAGGGGAGAAAGTCCCCTTGCACTAGTGGTAATCCTTGCACTGACAGAACAATTTAGTAGAATACCACCCTTTTTATTATTATTATTCATTAAATTTTTATCCCACCCTTCATCCAAGGATTACAGGGCAGTTTACAGTATAAAAACATAAAAATATATAACATAGTAACAAACAAAAACAATATGCCCCCACAGTTTAAAAAGGCCATAGATTGTTTAATTAGCCAAATAAATCTTGATTCCCACCCACCCTCTTTTAGGACTCACACAATTAAATACGTGTGCAGGGTGGGCAAGGGGCAGGAAGACAGAAGCCCCCTTGTGGGCTAGTATCACTTGTAGACTTATTTGCAAGGCCAATTTGAAGATAAGTGGTTGTTGTTTTAATTCGTTTACTTAGCTAATCAAAATTGAAATCTAGGTGTTTCACACTGGGTATTAGTTGCCCTGCTGTAGTGTACAACAGTGTTTGTGCAATCATATTGGTGAAAAGCTATACAAAGGGGCTACTTCTGGGTGGAGCTGAGGCAGCAGTCGGGTACAATTCTCTGGCGTTTGACTAAGCATCTGTTGCATAATGGCTTTGGGTTCGCTCCAAGCATTTCAGTGCTGTATGCACATGGCAGTGGCATGGTTTGTGCAAAGTTTGCAACTCTGCAGCTTATATGTCCTCTTGAAAGATTTTTGTGTGCCACAATGCAACTCTAATCCCTCACAGGTTGGGAAGTCACCACTCCCTGCCCCACTTTGGGGTCTTTCCATGACTCCAGCTCACCCCATGAAAGCAAATGTGCTCAGGAAGGAAGAGGAAAGTGAAAGGAAAAGAGCAGCCATTGGAAGATGGTAAGAATGAGAAAGATGGAAGCTTAGATGAGAGAAGTGAGCATAGGGAACATTTCTGCTTGGGAATAATCTTGCCTTTTTTATCAGATTGTAGTAGAAATTTACACTTGCCCACTTACCTTCCTGGAAAATGTGCAATCTTGCAGGCGTAAGATAACCCCACAAATAAGTTTTAGCTTACAAAAAAGGACTAAGCCACCATGTGTACCCGTGTCACTCATGTGTGTGAAGCCTTTAAAAGTTTCTTCACCATCAGAGGCAACCAGCTTGTTAAAGCCCTGCAACACAGCTGCAGCCGAGGGCAGCCGTCCCCAACCAAATGCCCTCCAGTTGTTTTGGAGCACAACTCCCATCGGCCAACTCTCCTCAGCCCCGGGCTGGTGGAAGTTGCAGCCCAAGACATCTGGAAAGCTTGGCTTAGAGTGGGAGGGAGAGCTCAATTCTGTTAATCATCTAATGCTCATTCGCCACTGGGCTTTGCTGCCAAACTTGTTCCTCTTGCACCAGCCATGCCCAGCAGGCAGTTATGTAAGGGACCTGAATTCAGATTGCTGGATTTGGGCACTGGCCCCTGCAGGTCTCAGAAAGATAAAGCCTTTCTCTACTCTGCGCAGCTCTTGACGTCAACAAACTACCTGTTGAGGCCTGCAGCTTGCTAGGTGGCAACTAGGTCAGGAGCTACCTGATTATTTTGCCGGAGGGCAAAGTAAGACTCCCGTTAAGGGCTTCTGCACAAAGACAGGCATGACTTTTGAAAAATTGCAATGCCATAAAAGAGACGGTGTGGGCTTGGATGTGGCAAAGTGGGGCCAGCGGAGGCCAAGGTGGGACCCTCTCTCACTAGGTAGCGCACCTGCTTTGCAAATGGGTGTGGATGTCCTAGGCTTAGTTTCTAGCATCTCTGCTGGTGGGGCTGGGAAACATCTCAGCCAGATCCTTCCTTGAGCTGTTGTTGGGCAGAGTAAGTTGTGTTGAACTGTTGTTCTGATTCAGCTTCATGGGGTCAGGTCACAGACTCTCCTTGAGCTTCTCAGGGAAAAGGTTCAGCTTCAACCCATACACTTCTCAATGTGGGGCTTAAAGGCTGTTGCTTTGTCACGCTGGAAGTGTAGAATCCCTACTAATCCCACACCTGACACACTTAGGTGGCTCAGTGCCTTACATTGGCTGTCTCCATCCTTGCAACAGCCTTGCATGCTCTGTCTCCATTGCTCCTGTTCTGTAAGCAGGGAGCTGCAGGGGTTGGGGGAGAGGGAGACAGAGACTTTGCTCAAGGCTGCAGAATTAGGTCTTGCTAAAGAAAAGAGGAAATCCCAGGACCGGTCAACGCATTTTGGTGTGCTCCCCACCCCCGCCAGTTAATTTGTATGGGGTACAATTAGAGATGGAGAAGTCTGTCAGTTTCAGTTTCTCAGTTTTCTTTTCTTCGATTCAGTTCTCCACATTGCTGCATTAGTTTGCTATATTTTTAATGAGAATTTCTTAGCATTTCAGTGCACATGTCTCCTAATACACACATGTTTAGATATAGTTTTGCTTTGATATATGTAATTATGCAAGCAGTTTCTCCAGCACATTTCTGTGCGTTGTTTCCTGCAATAAATGCATTTTCTACATACTTCCTCCTAATGGACACATTTCTGTATAGGCTTTTCACTTCAAGAATGGCATCACTGAATTTGGGGAAGTGCAAATGTCAAAAGAGAGCCACATTTCTGTTTACTTTACTGTTTTGGGAAGTGCAGATTAGATAGGCTCATGTTACACTGCAGACCAGATGGCGTTCCGCCCCTACTTTCCCTATTCCTAGGTGAGATCCCCTGGGAAGTTCCCGTCTCCTCCTTTCAACCACCTCCCATTGATTTCAGCATGAGATTCTGCCGAAGATCTGTTCTGTCCAGAAAGCCGGCCAGTAAGTATTTTTATTGGGTCCATGGCTCAGAGGAACTCAGGAAGCTGCTTTATTCTGAGTCAGACCATTTGGTCCATCTAGCTCAGTCTTGTCTGCACGGGCCGACAGCAGCTCTCCAGAGTTTCCAGATGGTGGATATTACCAGCCTCTCTGGATTGAACCCGGGACCTTCTGTATTCCAAGCGGATGTGCTACCACTGAGCTGTGACCCTTCTCCTGTGGCTCAGATCTATCTGCCCTCCACTCCAGAATTCTTAAGCAATTCTACAGGGATCAAATGGTGTGTTATTCTCCCTTCTCATCCCAACAGTTTTTTTCTGGGCTGGATGGGAGACGGAGGCTCTGCGGTTGGGGAAGACTGGTGTGGAGGGTGAAAAATATTCCATGTGTGTCAGCCCATAGTCTTTGCTAGCTTAGCAGGCTTTGTTGTCCAGGCCTTCAATTTCGAGGTACAGTAGTACCTCGGGTTACATACGCTTCAGGTTACATACGCTTCAGGTTACAGACTCCACTAACCCAGAAATAGTGCTTCAGGTTAAGAACTTTGCTTCAGGATGAGAACAGAAATTGTGCTTCAGCGGCGCGGCAGCAGCAGGAGGCCCCATTAGCTAAAGTGGTGCTTCAGGTTAAGAACAGTTTCAGGTTAAGAACGGACCTCCAGAACGAATTAAGTACTTAACCAGAGGTACCACCGTACTCAGGGCTCGGTCCCGCCACTCGACCCAAGGCAGGAGCCGGATGTCTTCCTTCCCAAACATGGCTGGTCTCTGTAAACTGAATGTCACCTGAGAAGGGTTGTGCCGCCTGGAGCCAGTTGATATTCATGCAACTTTTCTCTCTCTCTCCCACTCCTTTGATTTTCTAACCATATTCCTAGTTCAGACTAGGAGATGCTTGTGCTCTCGCTTTCTCTCCCCATCTCCGTCTTCCTCTCCTTCCTGGCCTGGTGTGTTGTGCTGTTTTCAGCTGGCCTTGCGAGTGCTGGAATTGTACGTGGGAAAAAGGCAGTCTGCAGTCTGGTGGAGCACCTCTGTGCACTGTGTTGGGTGCTTTGCATGTGGAAGGTTTGATACATGGCACCTTCCAGTTAAAAGGGCCAGGTTGTAGGTGATGAAGACCCTGGAGAGCTGCTGGCAGCCAGAAGGGGCTGTGCTGGGCTAGGGGGTTTGATGTGGTGTGAAGGCAGCTTCATATCACATAGATTGTGCTAGACTAGTGCAACAAGCGATGGGCCAGAAGACAGCGTTTGGGAAGAAATGCAGGAAATAGCACTGTGTAGGATAGGAATGGTTCGGAGGAGAAAAATCTGCCGTGTCTAGACATGCCTTGCCATCTGGCTGTATCTGCTGGAGATCTGAACTTCTGGAACTGCTAGATGAATTGTTGATGGTCCCCCAAAGCAGAGCCTGTTCTGTTCCTCACCCTCTTCCCACATGGCTGGCTTCGTTCTCCTTTGCCAAGTTGAACTAGCTGTGTTCTAGGATTTTGTACTTCCGCTTGGTATCATTTTTCATTTTTTTAAGTTTTGTCTTTTGTTATTGATTCGTATTTCATGTCATTTTAGCAGTTATTCTGAGTCACCTGGGGAGCTCCTGCTTGGGCTGAAAGGCAGGACGGAAGTGTTTCTTTCTCCTCCTCTCGTTAACCTTCAGTTGGAATTTGCACCACCCTGAAAGTCTCTTATGGTTTAGGTGGGTTTTTTTTGTTGTTTGCTGTCATTAACTCAAGAAGACAAACCTGTTTGGGTAGTGTGCAAATCTTGCAGAAGGTCAAGAATTTGGTTCCTGTTCTTCTGTGCCTTCTTAAATAAAATTCTGGACTGCAGTTCCAGAGCAGCGGTGGGGGAGAAGTTGGATCTGAATCTGCTGGTAGATCTTGGGGTGGTTTGCAGTAGATCACCAATGATTTCTACACATTTTTCATAGGTTTTCCCATGTTTCCCGTCCACACTGGTGGCGGCACTTGCAAGAACGTTCCTGTGCTGTGTTCTCTGCTGCCTCCCTTCACTCACTGTCTTCCACTACCATTTCCCATTCTGGGAATTTCTGTACCTGAGGATGTGAACATTAAAATAAATCATTATTATGATTTTTTACACCCAAAGTGCAAAAGATCAGAGGTTATCAGGCTTTATTTATCAAGCTCCCCAACATGCAGAGTAGAGACTTATCCCTTTTGGGCGGGGCTGGAGGTGGGGACAGCGTGCATTTCTGTTTGGTGAGGGTTTTTGTTTTGTTTTAACGCCTGTGGATACCGGTTCCTGGGGAGCACAAATGGGGAGAGGGCTGCTATTGTGCCCTGGTCCTGCTCACGGGTTTGCCCTCTGTGGGAAACAGGTCCTGACAGGCAGGGGCGAACGAAGGCTAGCCGACACCTGGGGCGGGGCAAACCATCGGCTGCGCGCACATGCGGCGTACATAGCGGTTTGCCGCCAGCACCGCTCAAGCGCTGTATGGACAGTGGCAGGATCCTCTGCTCACGGCAGCAGCCGATCCTCCACATGTGGCTGCGGTGGCACGATGGCTGCTCTCACCGCTGCGCCCGGGGGTGGTGGGGTGAGCACCCCGTGGGGTGCCTTTTTGTCACACACCCCGACATGGCACCTGGGGCGCACCGGCCCCCCCTTGTGATGCCAATGCTGACAGAATTATGCCCTTGGACTATTCCATCAGGGCTCTCCTTAAGGTCCTAATTGAATTGCATTTGCCCTTGTGTATTTGAATGACTCCTACAGATACCTTACTATATTTTTATGGCTGCTATTTTAAAATTGTTGTTACTTGCTAGATATGCTATTTTAGTTTCTTTTTTAAAAAAAGCTTTTTTTGCTTCTTCTGTAAATTAATTTGGTCTGTGACAGTAAAAGCCTATATATTTCCAATAAATACATAAATAAATAGAACCTGGGACCACCTGCGTGGTCCTCCTAGGGCATTCTGCCTAGTAACCATTAGGAGCCTAATCCTCCATGAATCTGCCTAAGTCCTCTTTTGAAGCCCTCCTTGCCAGAGTGAATTCCATAGCCATAGATGATGAGGATGATTTTATTATTTGAATCCCCACCCATCTGACTGGGTTGTCTCAGCCACCTGGGTACCTTCAGGTGTCTTCTAAAAGTTGCACAGTTATTTATCTCCTTGACATCTGTTGGGAAGGTGGGTGTGACTACCAAGATGGCCCTCTGCCTGGTTCCCTATAACCTCACTTCGCACAGGGGGGGAACCGCCAGAAGGCCCTTGGAGCTGGACCTCAGTGTCCAGGCAGAATGATGGGGGTGGAGATGCTCCTTCAGGGCTACTGGGCCGATGCCATTTAAGGACTGTGCTCTGCCTTCACAGTTGAAGGCAGCAATCCTTCTGAATCCCAGTTGCCGGAGACCACAGGAGGGGAGAAAGTTCTCTTGTACTCAGATCCTGCTTGCTGGTTTCCCACTGAGACATCTGGTCAGCCACTGTGAGAACAGGATGCTGGACTAGATGGGCCATTGGCCTGATTCAGCAGGCTTTTCTTATGTTCTTACATTTAACCATAGTCATACCTTGGGTTACAGACGCTTCGGGTTGCGCGATTTCGGGTTGCGCACTCCTCCGAACCCGTAAGTACCGGAACGGGTTACTTCCGGGTTTCGGCGCTTTGCACATGCATAGAAGCACTAAATCACACTTTGCACATGTGCAGAAGTGCCGAATCGCAACCCGAGCAACTACTGTATAGTTTAACCCTGTATGAAACCCACAAGCAGGACCTGAGTGCGCATCAGTCCCCACCATAATCTTGAAATATACATTTGCGGTTTGGGGGAGGGGAAGCAAAATAATGGTCTTTCCCCCCCCGTTTGCCTTTTCCCCTCCCCTTCCCACGTGTGTGTGTGTTGTTGCTGTTCCTGCTGCTGTTGTTGTTTCTTTCCTTGAAAAGGAGCAGGGGTGCCAGTTCCAAGAGACAGATCCCTTTAACGGTTGCGAGTCTGTAAAGTCTCTGTTTCGGCTGTGTTTTCTGAAAAGCCCAAACGCCCTCCACGGCGATAATAATGGAGCCTGTCACGGCTCTGTCTCTCCGAGCTCCAGCTGGGGTGGTTAGGGCACAGAATCCACAATGGCCTCTGGCAGAGCTTTAAAAATGAAAAGAACTACAGCTACAAAGGCCGCCGGGGCTCCCTTTTCCCCCCTGGCAGCCGGCGCTGGCTTCATATTTGCTTAACTTGTGGGCACCAAACGCCCAGATGAGTAAGGGAATACCAGTGGGTGGTGAATGACTGCATCTTGGAAATAGTTCCAGGGGTGGCCAGCCCCAAGCTGTTTACTCTGTGCCTTCGCACTGGGCCTTTTCGCTCGGTGGCCGTGCAGGGCAGGGGAAGGGAGTGGAAGGTGCCACAGGCCAGATTTTGGCCAGGGCTGGGAGTGGGTATTAATCTGGAGGGGGGGGGTGTGCCAGCAGTGGGGAAGCCTCCAGCCTGCCAAACTGTTCTAGGCAAACCTTGGGAGATCCTCGTTGATATGTTTCAACACAGGAGGGTCTGTGCAGAGCTAGAGACAGTGTTAGAAACTAGCTAGGCGCCAGGCATGTTTTGCAAGTTGGCACAGGTCCTGTTGTGACCACGTGGAGATCTCTGGAAGCCAGGTTGGCACCTAGGGAAAGCAAAATTTCACTTAGAGAAGGATCTGAAATATTTCCTTTGAAATATTTGTTTTATTCTGGATGTTTTATTTGTTGTTTTAATGTGTTGTAAACTGCTTTGAGATTTGCTCTTTAGAATATAAAGCATTATAGAAATGAAATGAAAAACAGCAACAACAAATCCCTAGGTTTAAGGTGCCGTTTGGCAATTAGATTGTATATTTGAGTTTCTAACACTGGTTAGAGCAGGTTTCCTTTTTTAAGCATGCATTTTATTGATTCTCAGTGTACAGGAAAATAAACAAACAGTACAAAACACGGAGTGCAGATTATCTTTCACAAAATGCAGTTACAGTGCCACACAGAGTTACATCTTATCCAGGAATCAGATCTCTCCATAATGGTACATGTGTCACAGGCAGTTCAGTTAAGGTGGCAAACTTATTAACATAAGCGAGAAACATAAACCAGGTATTCTCAAACTTGCCTTCTTAACCTGACCTCTAACCACCCTGCTATGCTGAGCTAACCTCTCCGGTAACGCCATTTCCCAGACTCTGGCGAAACGGTTTTGTATCATAAGCCCTAATTGAGCTGCAAATTCCACCCTAGCAGCCACCAATAAAAACGTTGTCAAATCCTTAAAATAACCTCCAGATTGATTTCATTTCCTAATGCGAGGAGAGCCAGTAAGTCCCGAGTTGGTTTCTGGGGACTAAAGGAATGTAGAAAGGGGGGGTTATATTGAGTCAGGTCATGTGCTCCATCTAACTTAGTATTGCCCACACTGACTGGCAGTGGCTCTCTGGGTTTTCAGACAAGGACCTCTCCTAGCCTTACCTGCAGATGCTGGGAATGGAACATAGCACCTTCTGCCCACAAAAACAGGTGCTCCAGCAGAGGGGGAGGAGTAAATGAGGGTGTAGGGCAGGCACAGGGAACCTGTGGCCCTCCAGCGCACCCTTCTCCCTTGGCTGTGTGCTGTGGGGTGGCTTGACCCAAGCGCTCCTTGTAAGCTGGAGGCCACGAGGCTTCTGCTCACTGCCCAGCCGACTTGACGCTTGCTTGGAGTCTGCGTTCCAAAAGCAGCCTTGATTCTCAATCTTTAAGCGAAGGTGGGGCGAAAGAGAGGCAAGTTCGTAGCCCTTGTGGTTTTGTGAAGATGTGTGAGCTACAGAGGAGACAAGGCCATCCATAACTTTGCTTCTCCTCTAAGGAAAAAGCAAATTCTGAACACGGAATTGGTATCTACAGCCACAGCAGGCGCTATAACTGTCCAGCGGTTTGACTTCACCCCTGAAGGCACACTCTTCCGTATTGTCTCCCGAGACAGACAAATGGCAACCATCAGAAAAAATGCAAACCAATTTATTATGTATTCTACCCTGAAAATAGAGGGCACAGAAACAGAAGAAGAAGAGGAGGAGTTTGGATTTGATATCCCGTTTTATCACTACCCGAAGGAGTCTCAAAGCGGCTAACAATCTCCTTTCCCTTCCTCCCCCACAACAAACACTCTGTGGGGTGAGTGGGGCTGAGAGACTTCAAAGAAGTGTGACTAGCCCAGGGTCACCCAGCAGCTGCATGTGGAGGAGCAGGGAAGCGAACCCGGTTCACCAGATTATGAGTCTACCGCTCTTAACCACTACACCACACTGGGGCAGGGAGCGGCAGCAGAGGGTCTCTAGAAGCAGAGAATCATAGTCATAGGGGGCTGAAGGAAGGTGATGGGAGGAGGGGTGAAGAGGTGTGCAAGCCAGCAGAAGAATTAAGCAAAATGGGAAGCTGTGTAAATGTGCTTCATTTATTCAGGAGACTGAAGCTGGGTTTGCATCTACAGTCGTACCTTGGTTCTCAAATGCCTTGGTACTCGAACGTTTTGGCTCCCGAACGCCGAAAACCCAGAAGTGCCGTATTTTTCCGTGTATAAGACGCCCCCATGTATAAGACGACCCCTATTTTTTGAGCCCCAAATTAAGAAATAAATGAAATAAAACACACATTCCGTGTATCAGACGACCCCCAATTTCAAACTTAAAAATTTGGGGGGAAATATAGTCTTATACATGGGAAAATACAGCAAGTGTTCTGGTTTTCGAATGTTCTGTGGAACCCGAACGTCCAATGCGACTTCTGTGGCTTCCGCTGCTTTCAGTTGAGTGCAGGAAGCTCCTGCAGCCAATCAGAAGCTGCACCTTGGTTTTCGAACATTTTCGGAAGTCAAACAGACTTCCGGAATGGATTACGTTCCAGAACCAAGGTATGACTGTATATAAATTAAATCAGAAGGGAGGAAATGGAATTTAGCTGCAAGCTAAGCTGGAGATGCTTCAATGCTCCTGGGGAGGCCTGTACAACTTCTGATTGGCCAGGACCAGCGGATGTGCACTATGGTCTAGCAGGGGCTCCCCAAACTATTTGGGCTGGTGGATTCGGGTTGTATAGGCCTGACAATGGGGTGTCTTGTGCTGATAGCCAGTGTGGTATAGTGTCAGGCTAGGACTTGGGAGACCAGGGTTCAAATCCCCACTCAACCATGAAGCTCACTGGGTGACCTTGGACCAGCCGCTGCCCCTCGGCCTAACCTCCTTCGCAGGATTGTTTGTGGGGATTAAATGAGGAGAGGGAGAACCATGTATGCCACTCCGAGCTCTTGGGAGAAAAAGGAGGGATATAGATGCAAATAATAGTAGGAGTAGTAGTAATAATAATAATAATAATAATAATAATAATAATAAGGCATGTGCACTGTCTTCCTAATACTTGAAAGGACCATTGCTCCATCTACGCCGGACCCACTACAGTATATCCTGCAAACAGTAATGGACACTAATGGTAGGCAAGTCAGTGGGGAAATTGAGGGAGAATGTTTTGAGTATCGGTGGTGAGCTGAGCAATCCCCAAAAGTGGCAGGTAGAGAGCTCACACCTGGAGGGCAGAATATACGGCTGGAGGGGGAGGCTGTTGATCCTCACCATCTGATTTCAGTGTCCCCCCATTGGGGGGGGTGCTCTGTTTTATGGACCCTGGGATCCCAGGATTATGTCCTAAATCTGCCAGCCCAAGCTTGTAGCTTTGCTGTTATCTGTAGCTGTAGAGCAGGCTCCTTGCAATCCCTTTATTTAATTTTATTCTTCCTCCTTTTTTTGGTAATGTTTGTTTTTTTCACTCTTTTATCACTTGCAAAGGACTGAATGTACCCGGGTTTGGCACAGATATCATGCGCTTCCTGCAGACAAGGAAGGAAGCAGCTGTCTTCCTGGATTTAGGGTCATCCTCGTCGTCCTTTCACCCTGTTGAGCAGTCAGGGAGGCAGTGGGGGATGCAGAAGGGGTGGGTGGGGGTGTGACCCAGAAGGGCAGGCTGGGATGTGGAGAGGGGCAGAAGAAGACAAGAGCAGGAAGGTGCAAGCAGCGGGGGGAGTAGGGAAATAAGACTCTTCTGCATCATTTTTCAACTGAGAGCACATTTGCAAAGCTAAGCAGAGTCCGGTGTGGTTTCAAATTGGATGGGGGAACCACATGTTGAGATTCCTGCATTGCAGGGGGTAGGACTAGATGACGCTCTGGATCCCTTCCACCTCTACAATTCTGTGATTCTATGAAAATCTCAGCAAACTTATTACAAACAGAAAAAAACAGCAGCAGATTAAAAAATGCATACCAACAAGCTAATAAGCCAGCAGAGAGCTATAAAGGTAAAGGGACCCCTGACCATTAGGTTAAGTCGTGACCGACTCTGGGGTTGCGGTGCTCATCTCGCTTTATTGACCGAGGGAGCCAGCGTACAGCTTCCAGGTCGTGTGGCCAGCAGGACTAAGCCGCTTCTGGCGAACCAGAGCAGCGCACGGAAACGCCGTTTACCTTCCTGCCGGAGCGGTACCTATTTATCTACTTGCACTTTGACGTGCTTTCGAACTTCTAGGTTAGCAGGAGCTGGGATAGAGCAACGGGAGTTTACCCCGTCACGGGGATTCGAACCGCCGACCTTCTGATCGGCAAGCCCTAGGCTCTATGGTTTAACCCACAGCGCCATCCACGTCCCTAGCAGAGAGCTAGATTGGCTCTAAAGACCATCCAAGATAAATGAGCAGCAGGAAGGTCAAAAGTCAGAATCTTGCTGGAAGGGAAAAGTTTTCTAAGTGATGGTGCAAGACCCATAAATAAAGAGATGTTGCGACCTCATGGGGCAGGGAGTTCCATAGGCTGGATGTCGCTACGAATCATTGCTTCACTTGCCTTTTCTATAGTGGCCTTGCTTTTTATATGGGTAGCCCCATTTCTGCACGGTATGGACTCGACATCTGCCAGGGAGGTCTATAGCAGTGAGAGCGTAATGTGGTTGTGCATGTGTAGCCACTGTTCTGAGTACAGTACAACCACATCTTTCGCACGGATTTGGTTCCAAAGGCTCCACACTTAAGCGAAAATGCGTACTCTAACCACCTCCATGCGAGCATCCCAGGCACTGGCTCTGGAAGACTAGGGATGTTCACGCAAGATTTCCCAGGAACTTGGACAGCTCCATGAGATCTCGCAAGAGCATCCCAGGACCAGTGTGCCGACAAGGCCTTGCCCCCACAAGCAAGGAGAGCTTAAAAGCTCTTTCTGTGCCAGGAAAACCTGGAGCAAAAAGAGCTTTTAAGCTCTCTGCCTTGCTTGCATTTAACTTGTGAAGTTTTAACCAGCCGGCCTTTAACTACATATGGATGAAATCACACAAGTTAACTGCACCTAAGATGCACTTGTACTATAGTTGTGGCTCGACTGCCAAAGATTTAAGCAATGAGGGGCCTGTGCGTGTCCTACAATGTTTTCCTGCTACCTGGCTGCTCTTCTCTGCCTGCTTCATCTTTCTAGGTAGCAATTTCCCCAAATGATGCACATCCTGACCCACAAGCCTCTTGGTTTAACACACTGATGTACATTCCTTTGCTTAAATCTGCTGTCATTCTGTTTTTTCCTAGGCCAGAAATGTGCACAACGGAGAGTTGGCTGCAGTAAAAATTATCAAGTTAGAACCAGGTAAGCTCTTCCCTTCTTTTCTATTCTTTTTTTTCAAAAAACAAACAAACCACACACCGTATTTTTTGCTCTATAAGAGGCACTTTTTCCCCTTCAAAAATTAAGGGGAAATGTGTGTGCGTCTTATGGAGCGAGTGCAGGCTCCTTGGCTTCAGCGATAGCAACGCAAAGCCTCCGAAGCGCAGAGGGAGCGCTCCCTCCGTGCTCTGGAGGCTTCGTGTTGCTTTCGCTGAAGCCGCCTGAAGCCCCCGGAGCGTAGTGGGAACTCCCGCTGCGCTCCGGGGGCTTCAGGCAGCTATCCGCAAGCCTTCGGAGTGCAGCAGGAGTTCCCACTGCACTCCAAAGGCTTGCGGATAGCCGCCTAAAGCCTGGAGAGCGAGAGGGGTCGGTGCACACCGATCCCTCTTGCTCTCCAGGCTTTGCTTCGCTGGAGAGGCGCTGCATAGTTTTCCCTCTCTGCGCAGCGCCCCTTCAGCAAAGCGGGAGGAGAAATGGAAGGGGCTCCGTTTCTCCTGCCGCTTGGCTGAAGGGGCGCTGAGCAGAGAGGGGGAGAATTCCCTCCTCCTGTTCTCCCCTTCCTATGGTCCGGTGCATCCTATAGAGCGAAAAATACGGTACTCATTTTTCATGGATTTGTTTCCCTGACAGCCTGCCTATCACACTCTTAGTTCCCAGTGCTCTGGGCAGCTTTCCCTTCCCCCCCAGTTTATCCCCACATCAGCCCTGTGAAGTAGGCTAGGACGGCAGGGGTTTGAACCTGCTTCTCCCTCATCCATCTCCACCGTTCCACAATAGTGTGCCACACAATGAGGCTGGTTGGACTGAGGGGTTTTGTCTTGACCAAGCCGGCTCAAGGGACTATTGGCTCAGTAGGTAGCTGAACCTAATTACATGCTCAGGTAACAACATACATCTATCAGTTTGTTTGCTCTACCATCCTGGCTCTTTGTGGCTGTCAGATTGGCTGAGTTCTCTCTGCTTGCCTCTCTGTCTCAGTCGCACATCAAGACTTTGTAGTAGCAATTCATTCTATTCCTATGAAAAGAGGTAAGAAAGATCAGGTGCTCAAAGAGGTATTTTGACTCTTAATTCACTGCACAGTCAACAACATCTGCTTGTTTGGTGTTTATTCTTTGCTAGGTAACAGTCGCAGCTTCATTTGAGCAGGGACTCTCGTTCCTGGGGTGGTTGAATCAATGGATAACAGTACTTCTGAGCATGTGCAGGGTGTATCTCCTTCCCCGTTGGGTAGCCCAAACCAGATTACATACTAGCTGTGGATTGGAGGATAAAAATCAAGCCAGGGCAGATACCATTTTGGAAGTTAAACACCGGCATCTAAATGCCTGTGTACAATGCAGAATGCAAGAGCCATTCCTTAAATCTTGAGTTGCTTTGGCATGCATCGCCGGTGACTGGGTCTTGCTGTTGCAGGGAACTGTGCACTTTTCCTATTAGGTCTCCTGGGATCTTTGGTGAAATGGCTGGGAGATTCTGGTATTTTAAGATCAAAAGAGGTGCCTTAGAATAAGTTCCAGCTATTGGATGGTGAGCACCCGCCCACCTTCGGTTGCTTGTTGTCCTCCAGTATTTCCTAATCGCTTAAGTGGAAGAAGCTCTGTGCGGCTCATAGCCATTGATTTTGTCTAATCGTAGTCATCCGTCCCCATTGCCATCAAATATGTCTTTATATCACTTTGTGACATAGAGGAGGCAGCTACAAACTGCAAAGAAGGACAAGCAGAACAGGAAAATGGATGAAAAATATTAATACAATGACAAAATAATTGTAATAGTTTTTTGTGATGGATAAAGATATAACGCAATAGGAAAGGTTTGAGTAAAAATACTGTGAAGATGAAGGTGGGAAGTCGACTTATGAAACAATGTACAGTGGTACCTCGGGTTAAGTACTTAATTCGTTCCGGAGGTCCGTTCTTAACCTGAAACAGTTCTTAACCTGAAGCAGCACTTTAGCGAATGGGGCCTCCTGCTGCCGCCGCACCGCTGGTGCACGATTTCTGTTCTCATCCTGAAGCAAAGTTCTTAACCCGAGGTAATATTTCTGGGTTAGCGGAGTCTGTAACCTGAAGCGTCTGTAACCTGAAGCGTATGTAACCCGAGGTACCACTGTATTTGATGTGAAGGTTATTGTGAAAACGTTTGGAAAATAACAATACAATAAAAGAACAATACAATGAAAGAGAGAAAAGTAGGCTATACAGCAAAGCTACAAATACTTAGCATTACATACCTTTTGGAAGAAAGCACCTCAAAGCTAAATTTGTAAAGTGTCATACAAATATTATACCAAGAATCATGGGTGATCGCTGTCCTGAACTGTCTCCAAAAATTCAGCTGTGAGAGTGGAGGTTGAGTGAGCCCTTCTGACCAGGTAACAAACACCAGGAGAGACCACCAGATACCCTCAAACTTGTCAGTCTTAGGAAGACCTTTATACCAGCAGTAATCATGATTGAAAACAAAAACAAATCCCAAAGCCATGCGAGCCAAAGGCCATTGGTGCATCTTGCAGAAGTGAATTCCATAAGTTAATTATTCATTGTGCAACAAGCAGTATTAAGAAATAAAAATTCCCCCATAAGACTAATCATGTCTTCAGGAAAAGGACAATGTCGAGCCTCAGAGAGTTCATGCATCCGATGAAACAAGTTCTTTCCACAATAAACAGTTTATATACTGTGGCGAGGATCTCTTTCAGCTCATGTAAACAGGGCTGTGTTAGATGCACCCTTTGTCTGCGAAGCAACTCCTTAGTTCTTTCTTTCTCATTGAAAGGATTTCCTCCTCCACCCTTTCAGCCAAAAGGGGTCTCAGAGCTACTTGTGGCCAGCAGTAGCTTCATTGATCTAGGTTGGAGGTGGACCCCCAAGAATCGCCTCCACTGCAGATCTCAGTTTGCAGGCAGGCTGGTTATGGGTGCAGGCAACCCATCCAGTATCTTGCATTCCAAACTTTTTAAGGATTTGAAGCTTAAATCCAGCACTTTGAATTGGGCTCAGAGATGCGTTGGCAGCCACTGAAGCTGGTGTAAAAGTATTGCCAAGACGGACTGCCTCGGTAGCAAATTATTATTATTATTATTATTATTATTATTATTATTATTATTATTATTATTTATTTGTACCCCACCCATCTGGCTGGGTTTCCCCAGCCACTCTGGGCGGCTTCCACAAAGACCAACAATACACTAATATGTCATACATTAAAAACTTCCCTGAACAGGGCTGCCTTAAGATGTCTTCTGAATGTCAGATAGTTGTTTATCTCTTTGACATCTGATGGGAGTGCATTCCACAGAGCGGGAGCCACTACTGAGAAGGCCCTCTGCCTGGTTCCCTGTAGCTTTGCTTCTCGCAATGAGGGAACCGCCAGAAGGCCCTCGGCGCTGGACCTCAGTGTCCGGGCAGAACGATGGGGGTGGAGACGCTCCTTCAGGTATACTGGGCCGCAAGGCCGTTTAGGGCTTTAAAGGTCAGCACCAACACTTTGAATTGTGCTCGGAAACATACTGGGAGCCAATGTAGGTCTTTCAAGACCGGTGTTATGTGGTCTCGGCGGCCGCCCCCAGTCACCAGTCTAGCTGCCGCATTCTGGATTAGTTGTAGTTTCCGGGTCACCTTCAAAGGTAGCCACATGTAGAGCACATTGCAGTAGTCCAAGCGGGAGATAACTAGAGCATGCACCACTCTGGCGAGACAGTCCGCGGGCAGGTAGGGTCTCAGCCTGCGTACCAGGTGGAATTGCTAGACAGCTGCCCTGGATACAGAATTGACCTGCACCTCCCTGGACAGCTGTGAGTCCAAAATGACTCCCAGGCTGCGCACCTGGTCCTTCAGGGGCACAGTTGCCCCATTCAGGACCAAGGAGTCCTCCACACCAGCCCGCTCCCTGTCCCCCAAATACAGTACTTCTGTCTTGTCAGGATTCAACCTCAATCCATTAGCTGCCATCCATCCTCCAACCGCCTCCAGGCACTCACACAGGACCTTCACCGCCTTCACCACCAGATGTGGGGAACTTTGGCCCTTCAGATGTTCCTGAACCACAGCTCCCATCAGCCTCAGCAATCGTGGCCAAGGACAATAGGAAATGTAGTCTCAGACCACTGGTTGGGCCCCATGACCAGGTCACAGCCTGTTCTAAGGTGAATTGCACTAGCCAGCATGCAAAGATATGGTTAAAAAAATGAAGAAATGGGTCCCAAAATGCATGTTTGGGTTAAAGATGGGCCTGAAAAAAAACTGAAGGCCAGTGCCTTAGGCAACACCCCTGCAAGGGGAAGGTCACAAGTCTGTTTGGGCATTAAGCGTTAAGCAAATAATAATTATATGCCATAAATAGTGCTGGGCTTGTCAGTCTTCTGGGCAGCTTGCCTTCCGTTAATGGCCTTCTCCTTTTGACAAGATGCCCACAGGGTTCACCTGGACACCATTTGGGAATGTCTGCCGTCTTGTGGCTCTGCCCTCTAAGCCGTTGTGAGTGGGGCACAGTCACCAGGTGCTGGGACGGTTCCTCAGGCAACCAGCGCAAGCCAGCTGCCACACATGGGGAGGAAGGAGAGGAGCTTTTGCTCTGTTTGTGGAGCTTCAGCGGTGCCGTCCTGCTCTCGGAGCTGCGGTAGGCCGGAGAAGGATCTGCCCCACACCTGTGCAGGTGAAGGCAGGGGACCCTAAACGGGCTTGGCTCAGTATACCTGAAGGAGCGTCTCCACCCCCATCGTTCTGCCCAGACACTGAGGTCCAGCGCCGAGGGCCTTCTGGCGGTTCCCTCGCTGCGAGAAGCCTAGTTATGGGGAACCAGGCAGAGGGCCTTCTCGGTGGTGGCGCCCGCCTTGTGGAATGCCCTCCCACCAGATGTCAAAGAGAAGAACAACTACCAGACTTTTAGGGGACATTTGAAGGAAGTTTTTAATGTTTAACAGACCACTGTATTTTAATACTTTGTTGGAAGCTGCCCAGGGTGGCTGGGGAGACCCAGCCAGATGGGCGGGGTATAAATAATAAATTGTTGTTGTTGTTGTTGTTGTTATTCCTGCGGCTATCATTTGTTTTCACTGTTTTTAGTACTGAACTTTAAATAGTTGTAGCCTGGGGCCTGCTGGTGAAGGATAGATAATAAATTTCGTCGTCATCATAATTGTCACCATCACAGTTTGTCCTGAGCCCACCAGCCTTCCTGCCCCCCCCTCAAATATAATGTTCCGTTGACCTCTGAGCCAGAAACATCTCCTCCACGCCACCCATTGAATTTCTTTCCTCCGTCTTAGACATTCCCAAGGTCCTCGCCAGATTCCAGGAGAATAAAACTGGTTTTACAGCTGGGATGTTTTGTGAAGTTTCCGTGATTACGGGACAAAATAAAAGCGAGGTCTGTCAGAGAGGCACGTTGTCTTGTCTGCCTCCTCGCAATCCTTCTGCCTGCTGCTGCTGCTAAGCTGACTTTTCTGTCTGGTATTTGAGGTTTTGCGTTCAGCTTTTGAGCCACCGCTGCTATTTACAAGTTTCCAGGCCTGCCTTGGAGCCAGGGGTTGCTCTCTTGGTGCCGGGGCTGAGCTGAAGGGCCTGTTTCTCTGCTGCAGGGTTCAGCTGTGGTGACTGTGTGAGAAAGAGAAGCCCTTGCAGCCAGACAGCCTCATTTATCTGCACAAGCCAGCAACTGCTGCTGCTTTGCTCACTCTCTTGCATGTGGGATTCAGAACTTCCGTTTTCGGGGTTTGTGGCTTCCAAGCAGACCCGAAGACCTCGTATTTAAATAAAGAAACGTGCAGCGTTTTAACTCGAGCAGAGCTGACGCGGTTGGATCCTCCTCCTGCTTATTATTTGCACAACGCCATCGATGTTCCGGTGTTCCTTGCAGAGTTTCATAGGGACATATAAATGAGTCTCTGCCCCCAAGGAGCTTGCAAGGTGAAATAGGCAATGAGAAGGAGAGGCAAACAAAGAGGCACACTGCTCTCGAAGGAACTTTGTTCACTGTAAAATCTCCCATCGGGTGGGAAATGGAGGAAATGCTTTTGAAACCTGGAGGCATTGCAAAGCCTTACGTAGCATGCAACCGTGAGCATTTAGAGGTTCGCACATTGATCCAGGTCCTCTGAAATGAACCATGTAGCATTGGGGCAGATAGGCGGAGCTACGAAATGGGAAGACTCTGGTTCGAATCTTGCCTCTGCCACCAGATAATATTTGGAAAGCAAACCCCCCACCTTCAGTCCTGCACCTCCAACGTAGGAATACTAATATTGTCCTTGCTTACTAGGTGGTTGCAAGTATTGTAAGCTCTGTTCTGTCTGTGGAATGCGCTGGACACTCTGGAGATCTGAAGGTTTGGAGTCAGACCACTGGGGAACCGCCGGGGTTCCTGAACTACAGCTCCCAGCAGCCATAACAGAGGGTCAAAGCTTTGCCACCCCTGCTTCAGCCCCACATTGTCTGATGGGGTTTGTAGTTCAAAGCATTTGGAGGGTGCCAGTTGGTGAAGGTGGCTCTGAAGCCTTGGGCAGAGAGAGATTTCGCATCGCCCTGCCTACCTGGGTGCCTACCTTAAGAGGAGGTGCTAAGGGCTGTATTTTGGAGTTTATGCCTACAAAGGAGGAGCTTTTCACTTAACGGCATCCCCTTTACTAAGAATGCAACTAACGCTTCCATTTTTACTTTGTAAGAAAGCAAATATGTCAGTTCTATAGTTCCTGTTTGGGGTATGTGGCTGACACATTTGGCAGCGCTTTGAATCCTTTTTACATGTGTCCTGAATTATCTAGGTGTTGGCTTGTGCTCAGTTAATAAAGAGTTGGGCAGAAAAGCAGCCTTCTTTCTCCTCCCCCAGTTAAGCTGTGGATGTTGAATTCGAATGTTACCAGCTGTTAACGCTGATTCTGAAATTAGACTAATGGGAATCTTTGCACTGTGCCATGTAACTGGAGCTATGTGCGTTCACTGTGCATATGCCCATCCTGTCCTGAGAATCTCTGCTTTTATTTTATTTTAATTTAAAAAAACAACAACCAGAATGAATTGTAAAAATAGGATAGCTGTGTGTCACTAGCTTTTTGGCATGAAGCTAGCCCTCAACATTTTAAAAAACACAACGCTCTCGGATTATCTGGAAGCAGAACCAAAAACACGAAGGCATGAAGCTAGCCTTCAGCCCTTCAAAAACCACGAAAGAAGAATTTGGAAACATAGAGGCAAGAAATGCGAAGCTCCAGCTCATTCCCATTTTTCAGGGTTTGGCTGAGCTTGTTGTATTTGAGGGCAAAAGGCTTTTGAATGGGGCCATTGTGCACAGGAAAGCCATTTGTGTGTGTTCTGACAGGGGCTCCTCATCTGCTTTCCTAAAAATGACGTACAGATGTTGTTTGTGTTCAAAACATACAGATCAGCGGTGGCCCTCGCTGAGTCCCTCCCCTGATCAAGGACGAGGATGTCAGGAGGTCGTGATCTGCGTGACTTTTGACTTGTTCGGGGGCTTTCCCCATATCTTCTCCTCATCTGCCTGGGGAGGGTGGGGGGAAGCTGAAGGCCACAGCAAGACTGCGGTCAGGACCCAGTCAGGCAAGACACTGGATGCTGTGCCCTGGTAGGGGATCAAAAGCTGTTTTCAATTTCCCCTCTCCATGCTTGTTGACGGTTGCTCTTGTCTTGGTCTCTTGCTTTGGACGGCGTTTATAATGGGTGAGAAGCTGGAGACCAGCTTCCTGTTGTTTGCTGGATTGGTGCTGCTGAGTAAAGCCAAGTGGGTAGAAGGGCCCAATTCTTGGGGGCGGAGGAATTGTGGGATGGGCATGAGTGAGAAGAATGCTGCTATTATTATTATTATTATTATTATTATTATTATTATTGGATGGGCATGAGTGAGAAGAATGCTGCTATTATTATTATTATCATCATCATCATCATCATCATCATCATTACTATTTGTATCACAACCATCTGACTGAGTTGCCCCAGCCACCCTGGGCAGCTTCCAGCAGAATATACAAAAACAAAACTTCCCTGTACAGGGCTGCTTTCAGATGGGAGGGCGTTTCATGGGGAGGGTGCCACCACCGAGAAGGCCCTCTACTTGGTTCCCTGTAACCTCACTTCTTGCAGCGAGGGAAATGTCAGAAGGCCCTCGGAGCTGGACCTCAGTGTCCGGGCCGAACGATGGGGGTGGAGATGCTCCTTCAGGTATCCTGGGCCGAGGCTTTAAAGGTCAGCACCAGCAGTTTGAATTGTGCTTGGAAACATCCAGGGAGCCAATGAAGATCCTTTAGGACTGGTGTTATATGGTTCTGGCGGCCACTCCCAGTCCAGCAGTGACATTCTGGATTAGTTGTCGTTTCCGAGTCACCTTCAAAGGTAGCGCCACATAAAGTGCATTGCAGTAGTCCAAGCGGGAGAAGACCGCCCTGTACCCCCCTGGCGAGACAGGGCACAGGCAGGTAGGGTCTCAGATGGAAGTGGTTATGTCGGTGTGAGAAGGCCCCTCCTCTTGGTGGGTGCCAGAGCCCTGTTGAAGGTGGAGAGCCAGAGGTCTCATGTTGTGCTGAGCTGGAGCATGGGCGAAGCACATCCAATCACTTCAAGGCTTAGCACAGGCATAGGCAAACTCGGCCCTCCAGATGTTTTGAGACTACAACTCCCATCATCCCTAGCTAACAGGACCAGTGGTCAGGGATGATGGGAGTTATAGTCCCAAAACATCTGGAGGGCTGAGTTTGCCTATGCCTGGCTTAGCAAGTTGCAAGGGACCATCTCCTGAGTTCTTCGTCTCTCCCTGAGGACGTGCATGCTTTTTCTGCCGGCCAATTTGAAGCTTGGAACGGCTCCTTGCATAACTGGGCTATTCCCTTGTAAAATAGCAGGCAGAGCTGTCGCCCTCAGGCGTCCTAAGAGGCTCCCAGCCCATCTTGCGGGGCCTGAGCACATACTTTCCAGAGTCACTGTGGCGCTTGAGCCCCCGAGGCTGCCAGCCCAGCCCTCTGAGGAGCAGTTTTGTCTTCAGCCAGAGAAAGTAATAAAACGTGGAAAACCAGTAGAGTGGAATTCGTTTAAGGGGGGAGAAGTAGCGGTGGAGGGGGAGATTTTTTTAGCATCCGTCGAGCAGTTGTAGCATTCTGCATTGTATTGTTTTGTTAATAATCACAAACATGTTCTGGGATATATTTGTCAGGCTTGAGTCTTTTGCTGCTTTGGTTGCCTGACCAGTCTGCTTTTCAACCCCTACCCTGCGGCCAGTTGATGAGTAGACCTTGAGCTACGATGACAAATGCTGGGTTCAAAGCGAGTGCTGTGGTTGGTGCCGCCTCTGGTCACTCCTGTGCCTCCGATAAGATTTGCAGTCCCATTGACAGAGCGAGAAAATGCACTCGCACACATTTCCCTGGGTAAAAGTCAGATCCTGGGGGAATTAATCCTTGAAAAGCATAGAGAGCTGAAAGAGGAAGTGGGAAACAGCAACTCTCTTCCAACTTCCCATGTCACGTCTGTGTACAATTCAAGGGAGAAAAAGATAACTACCCTCACCACCGCATGATGAAGAGGTCAGTGAGTAGGAAGAGAGCTCAACTCCCACCCAGCTGCTCTCCCGTGATAACACAGAATCATAGAATCATGGAATTGTAGAGTTGGAAGGGACCCTAAGGGTCATCTAGTCCAACCCCCTGCAATGTAGGAATCTCAGCACATGGTCCCCCATCCTTATGGAAACCATACCAGACCCTGCTTGCCTTTACAAATGTGCTGGCAGTTTTATTGCTGCACCACTAGGATGAACGCATTAACTGCAGGTGTAAGAGAGCTTGCACACTACCAGTGTTTTATGAACTGTGATGTTTAGGGTTATATTTTTTCTGAAGTGTTTTGTTGATTGATCAAAGCAGTCACTCAAAATTAGATTAATTGGTTGATAGCACTGCTTGTGGAATTTGAATTGGAATCCATGAATTCTGCTGCAAATCAACCTTCTGGATCTGCGCCTTTTGGGTCGCGGTGTGAATCAGAACATAACTGTCCTTCAGATTTTGCCCCTCTCCAAATTATGCAGTATAGCCCTTGGCTTTAAAAAATGCACCGAAATGCATATTATAGGATCAAAAAAAGACATATGGGTGCATTGAGGTCAGATACACAGCTAATTATGTATTTTTGACGAAATATGAATTCTCATGAGGTTTTAACAAAAAAAGGTAGATTAATGCAGAGTGGGATTATTATTATTATTATTGGCATGTATTTATGAGTGAATACATGCAAAACTGACACAGAGTGGAAATAGACTGATCCATCCTACCTAGAAAGATGCCTCCAGTTATTTAATCCAGTAGATTAAAAAAATTAAAAGCATTCAGTTTTTAATATAAGCTCTTATGAACCTGCAGGTGTCAAGCGCCATCATGGAAGGAGTATTCCCTCCTACCAGAGAGAGAGAGAGAGAGAGAGAAGGGGGGTTGTCTCTTCTTTGATGTTAGCTGCTCCTACACACCTTGCAGGACATCATCTAAACCAGCCCTCCCATCTATTTTGGACTGCAACTTCCACTAGCCCCAGCCAGCAAATATGCCTTTCCCACCTTTGGCGTTGTTGGGTTTATTTCCCCCTCATATGTTAATATGTGCAGATTTAATTAAGATTCATACAGTCATTCAGCCAGGCTTCCTTTAACCAGGCAACAGCCCTGGTTAAAGTGAATAACAAATCTGCTTTGCGTTTTCCCCAGGGGATGACTTTTCGTTGATACAGCAAGAGATCTACATGGTTAAGGAATGCAAGCATCCTAACATCGTAGCTTACTTTGGGAGCTATCTCAGGTAAGGCCTCCTGCATTCTGCTTTGTAGAAACGATTTGCTGTGACAACTTCCTGCAGGGACCTAAGGTTTTTCTGCACAAGCCCCAGGGAAGGTGGCGTTCCCCGCTGGTTTTTGAGCTTGCTATCTGCTGCAAGATACGGTGGTCCTACAATGTCAAAGTTGATGAAACTTTGATGCTGGGGCTACATAGAGCTGCTTTTTAAAGCTCTGGTGGGACGGAAGGGAAGTAGTTCTTCTCACCAAACCTGAAGCACCATATTTTCCAGTCTGCTGTAATTCTGCATTCTGTTGGACATGAATCTCTTGGGACATCCCTTATTCCTCAACGGATTTGATCCATTTTCCTGCGCTTGCATGTTCTGATATTCAGAAGTGTCCGTGCAGTTTGCTGCATGCCCCTCCCCCCCCAAGAAATCAAGGGTTGTGTTTTATGTGATACTTAAAAATCTGCAAAGGGGTCGGGACTTGACGCTGCTGTGGGTCTTGAACCTTTGATGGATAACTCTGTAAAAAATGGACCTCCGACCTCAGTTCCTGTCTGTGTAATGGGAATAATGGTGACAAGGTGGCACCTAATCACTACAAAGCGCCTGTCTGAGATGGGTAAGAATTATTAACTACCCTGAGCCTCAGGGACAGGATGGGCTATGAATAGCAATGCAATACAAATAAATGTTTTCTGATTCGTTATCAGCATCAGGCATTATTTCTGATAATTTCTTCTTAATTTCATAGCCGTGAGAAGCTGTGGATTTGTATGGAGTACTGCGGAGGAGGATCCCTTCAAGATATTTATCATGGTAATTGACAACCTTATTATTTTATACCATGCCCTTCCTTCAAGGGGTTGGGGTGGGATGCGCAACTCTTTTCTTCTCTTTAATTTGGGGCACAAATTACTGTAAAGTGCTGCAGTCCAAAACCTGCTGCAACAAATGAGAAAGCCCTGCTAACTTCCATACTTTAGCCATGCGCCGCATGACGAAGGACATCCTTTTATCAGCCCCACACGGGTCAAGAGCATGCCACCGCATCATGCTTCATCACTTTATGTTTGATTTTCCTTTCAGTGACGGGGCCGCTGTCGGAGTTTCAGATTGCGTTTGTTTGCAGAGAGACGTTGAAGGTAAGGCACTGCTGGGCAGGTCCTGGGCGACTTTTGGCGTAAGAAGAACAAAGCTGTTTCAGTAGAACTGCGGTTCAAAGTACATGCAGGGGAGCGGGAGAAGATCGCCAATAATAATCTTAGCTAATAAACTGCTCAGTTGTTGTTTTTTAGTCATTTAGTCGTGTCTGACTCTTCGTGACCCCATGGAGCAGAGCACGCCAGGCACTCCTGTCTTCCACTGCCTCCCACAGTTTGGTCAGACTCATGCTGGTAGCTTCGAGAACACTGTCCAACCATCTCGTCCTCTGTCATCCCCTTCTCCTTGTGCCCTCCATCTTTCCCCACATCAGGGTCTTCTCCAGGGAGTCTTCTCTTCTCATGAGGTGGCCAAAGTCTTGGAGCCTCAGCTTCAGGATCTGTCCTTCCAGTGAGCACTCAGGGCTGATTTCCTTCAGAATGGATAGGTTTGATCTTCTTTAAGTCCATGGGACTCTCCAGAGTCTCCTCCAGCACCATAATTCAAAAGCATCAATTCTTTGGCAGTCAGCCTTCTTTATGGTCCAGCTCTCACTTCCATACATCACTACTGGGAAAACCATAGCTTTAACTATACGGACCTTTGTTGGCAAGGTGATGTCTCTGCTTTTTAAGAAGCAGTCTAGGTTTATCATCACTTTTCTCCCAAGAAGCAGGCGTCTTTTAATTTTGTGGCTGCTGTCACCATCTGCAGTGATCATGGAGCCCAAGAAAGTAAAATCTCTAACCGCCTCCATTTCTTCCCCTTCTATTTGCCAGGAGATGATGGAACCAGTGGCCATGATCTTAGTTTTTTTGATGTTGAGCTTCAGACCATATTTTGCTCTTTCCTCTTTCACCCTCATTAAGAGGTTATTTAATTCCTCCTCACTGCTCAGGACAAATTGTTAAACACCGTAGTCTGGCTTTGGGATTTTTAGTTCACTGCTTCATATTTCAGCTGGCACTGTGGTCTAAACCACTGAGTCTCTTGGGGTCTCTTGGGCCGCGACAGGGTGAGCTCCTGTTGCTCTGTCCCAGCTCCTGCCAACCTAGCAGTTCGAAAGCACACCAGTGCAAGTAGATAAATAGGTACCGCTGCGGCAGGAAGATAAACAGCATTTCTGTGTGCTCTGGTTTCTGTCATGGTGTTCCGTTGCACCAGAAGTGGTTTAGTCCTACTGGCCACATGACCCGGAAAGCTGTCTGTGGACAAACGCCGGCTCCCTCGGCCTGAAATCGAGATGAGCGCCACAACCCCATAGTCGCCTTTGGCTGGACTTAACCGTCCAAGGGTCCTTTACCTTTACATTTTTACCTATATAGTGGAGATGGTTGCATATACATAGAATTAATAGAGGTTTCCTGTGTTCAAAGCACTTCAGGTGCTTTCTCTCAGGAATCTGCACAGCTATCTAATAAGGTAGGTGATCATTTCTTATTCCCACCTTGCAAGTGGAAGAGGGTACCCAAAGGCAGCTCACACATGGGACTCCAGCTCCAACTCCCATCATCCCTAGCTAGCGGGGAAACAGCTGGGGACCCAAGTTTGAGAAATGCCCTAAGGTCACCAAGGAAGTGGCCCATCTGCAATTTGAAGTGGAGACTTGGCAGGTCACCTGCTTTGCCACAATGCAGCCCCATCTGTCCACAGGAAGGGCTGCCCATTCTCTCTGTTAGCCATGTTATGGGGATGGTCTTTTATCCCACCCAAGCTGACATTCTGTGGGTGTAAAAGGTTGATCTTTGAATATGCACTCAATTAGAGTCTTAATTCAGCACTAAAAGAAGCCCTTCTAAGATGCCGTTTAAGGCTCTGTTCAGAACAGTTTCCAAAGAGAGCGTGATAGCTCAGTACTGAGACACCTGTACTAAAAATACCTTCACCCAGAAGCAAACGTTTTTGATATCACACTCCTGGACCTCCTCTTCACAACTCTGTTTTATTCTCTGTGGATGAGGCAGAGGACCAGCACATGAGAGCTGCTTTGCTGAACCACATTGGGGAACAGGGGAACAGGGACCCCCCCAAATCATGAATCACAGTGTCTCCTCCCAGCTCTAGTGATTTAGAGGAGCAAGGTCATGGACTGTAGAGTTGGAAGGGACCCTGAGGTTCATCTTATCCAGGGTTGTCCAACCAGTAGATCACCTGGGTGATCGTGGTCGTTATGGTGCAAACAAAATCCCTGTATCCCGTCTCCAGCGCTGTCTCCCTCCCTCTTGCCAACCCCCCCCCCAAAAGCTCAACAACTATGGCCAACCCCCCGAAAACGCACACTCCTCCCTCCCTCCAATGATGGTGGGTAGATCACTGACAGTTACTTTATACTTGGAGTAGATCGCAGTCTCTTGGGAGTTGGACGTTCTTGATCTAATCTAACCCCTTGCAGTGCAGCAATCTTTCACGCAACGTGGGACTCGAACGCACAACCCTGAGATTAAAGAGTCTCGTCCTCTACCAACTGAGCTATCCTTCAGACAATAATAACACAAATAAAGCATAGTAATGTGTTTGCATAAGGATTCATTTAAAAACATTTTGCATGCATTATCTCAGCAGTTCTTTTAAAGTTAGTGGGGCAGGTGAGTGGGGCTCAGGCAGCAGCCCGTCGTCTCGTGGGGGAATTGGTCCTGGTTACTCTGGCCTTTGATTTCTTAGGCCGTCTTGGAGTTCCATCCTCATCTTTGCCGCTGTTTTCTTTTTAGGGGCTCGATTATTTGCACAAGAAAGGCAAAATGCATCGGGATATTAAGGTAGGTGATTCCTGAATGGAGCTCTTTCTCCGTTAAAGAAGGGGGGGGGGTGTTGGTGAGTGACCGTAAACTCAAGGTTTTATTTTTATTTTTCAGGGTGCAAATATTCTGCTGACAGACCATGGGGACATCAAGCTGGGTAAGTTTGCTTGCTCTCCTTGACTTCCGAGAGAGAGTAAAGACATGTATAACATTTGCAGAGCAGCGGAGACCGTCTCGGAGGCATCTTTGCTTCAGGCAGTGCAAATGTACCTTCTCTTCTTGAGGTCATGCTCTGCATGTCACAGAAGCCAGATGTGGGTGGGACTAATTGGCTAGCTCCTGTGCCATCTCCAACCCCTAAAGCAATTGTGCAGTTTTTTAAAATTCCCTTTTAATTCAACCTCCAGTTTCACCCACTCATCTGCCCCTTCCAGTTTGGGTGGGAGCTTGGGAGGCCCCTGTGGCTGGCACTAATGCAAATTTGGCACACATGCCTCTCTTCACCCTCCCCAACCCCTCCCAAGAGGGCCTACTTAGACCCTTTCCCTTGGCCTGCGTGAAATGGAAAGCCAGCTTCTAGAAAACATCTTCCACTCTTTCTCCCGCAGCTGACTTTGGCGTCGCAGCGAAAATAACGGCCACCATCGCAAAGAGGAAGTCGTTTATCGGCACTCCTTACTGGTAATAAATTCCTTGGGATTATTCAAACAAGGGCCTGGGATGCTGAGCCAGGGTTTCTGGACTGCGCTAAGAGGAGTTGAGGATGCAGTGAGTTGGCAGAAACAGACTCAAAGCTATTGAGCTCTTTTCTGACTTCGTTGGCTGGGCATCCCTCTGAGAATCACCTCTTCCGCTGCTGCTGAATACCTTCTGCTGATTCACTTTAAGGCAGACGTGGGGACCAAATGCAGCCCTCTAGTCCTCTGTTAAGCCCTTGAGACCCTTCCTAGTGCCTTTGCCAAGCTGGAATCAGTCTTTGAACTATGGGAATGATGCTTGCTTGACAGGATGGAGGTGTGTGTGCTTGTGTTTGTGTAGCATGGTTGGAGTGTGACCTTAACAGTTGCAACCGTTGCTCTGTCTACTCTTGCATCTGGCCCCATTCACAACTGGCATGTGACACCCCCCCCAAAAAAAAGTTGTACATGAGGGAATGCGACCCTGAAAAAGGTGTCCCACCTCTGCTTTAACAGCCCATACAAGGTGTCTACACAGGTGAGACAGAAGCACACATATCTCAGCTGCAACAACTTTTAGAAACTGGAAGGTAAATATATATACACACCTTGGGTTCCTGATTTACATCCTACACTGTTCACAGGAATAGGCAGCTTTTGTCAGCCAAGGAAGCAACCTTCGGATGAACATGGAAGTAGCACAGATGAGCAACTTGTGAAATGCAGGTTGTTATGTTCAGCTCACTCTTTTTTTAAAAAAAGAATTATAAATATCCTGCCTTTACTTTGTTCGTTCTGCAAAAGTCCTTATGGTGGCAGAAGCAAGGCTGAATTTGCAAGTGCGCCCTCAGTAAAATAAAAAACAATCTGATCTTGCAGTCGGTTGTGCACAAATTGAGGATGGGTGCACCAGGTTTTTCAGCTGGGCTAATTAATGGTCAAGTCTTCCTTGAAGGAATTGTTCCGAGAAGTGGCTCAGCATTCTCAGAACTGCAGTCCCCAAAATTCCTTAAGGGAGGCACCAACAGCTCAATCAGTATAGCTTAATGCTGCTGGCTTACCAAAAGCTCCACAAACCCGGTGGGGTATGTGGGATCCCCTTCCTGCTCCACCGTAGGACTCCTTGAGGTCCACCAGCTGGAGTCAAGCGCAAAGGAGTGACTTACAAAGAAGGTCAGACATACACTGAGAATTAAGGAAGGGGTGGGAGTTGCTTATTATTATCATTGTCATTATTTTATTTTATTTATACTCTGCCTATCTGGCTGGGTTGCCCCAGCCACTTTGAGCGGCTGTTGTTAAACAATTCGGAGACAAAGAACGCCGGGTGATTTATTGCAAAAGAGATCCACAAAGCACGCCCTGTCTGCCTTCTGCCCGCACCGCAGTCAGCCTCCTCCTTTTGCTGTCTCTCCAAAGTCTGCAGGACCAGGCGGCATGTCTGGCACCTGGTAGACAGCAGCATGTTTCTGTCAGGCTCCAATTCTCCAGTCTTTTTTGTCTAGCCCTTAGGACTCTCCCCAGGCCTTCCTCCTCAGGCTACCCTGTTCTTTCCAGGGTATGTGTCTTCATTGCTTCTCCTTAAAAAGGTAAAGGGACCTCTGACCATTAGGTCCAGTCGTGACCGACTCTGGGGTTGCAGCGCTCATCTCACTTTATTGGCCGAGGGAGCCGGTGTCCAGCTTCCGGGTCATGTGGCCAGCATGACTAAGTCGCTTCTGGCGAACCAGAGCAGCTCACGGAAACATTGTTTACCTTCCTGCCGGAGCAGTACCTATTTATCTACTTGCACTGGCGTGCTTTCGAACTGCTAGGTTGGCAGGAGTTGGGACTGAGCAACGGGAGCTCACCCCGTTGCAGGGATTTGAACTGCCAACCTTCTGATCGGCAAGTCCTAGGCTCTGTGGTTTAACCCACAGCGCCACCCGTGTCCCTTGCTTCCCCTTAAGGGACTGCAATAATACCTCTTGCTTGCTTGGGGGGGAGGATGTGTGTGAGAGTATGTGTTTCTGTAGAAACCTCTGACTTCTGCATAACTGGGAATGCCAACTTCTGTGCAAACGAAAGGGCTGCATCCTGCAGCCCACGTGCTTTACAAACACAAATACCTTTATTGGCATTATGAATTAAAAAATTTCAAAACACTAGGATAAATTTAAAAGGGACAGGGGTGAGGCTGTTGAGGATCACAAGGTACTCGATTGTTCTGCTTCACCCTGTCTATGCCCTAGAGAGGGATGATTAATTAAGAACCCTTTCGGGTAAGATGCTTTATGCCTCTGGCTCTGCATGCAGCCTCCAGAAGGTTGTTCACGAGAAGATGTGGCCCTGGGGCTGCGAAAGGTTCCCCACTCCCGGGCTGCAAGCCCAGGAGGGGCATTTGGGTTCATTCAAAAGCACCAAGGGGAGGTGGGGTAAGTCTTGGCTCTTCCTGCCGCCTGACAGCGTTTTTGTTCCCCCCACGAAGGATGGCTCCGGAAGTTGCAGCTGTAGAAAAGAACGGCGGCTACAACCAGCTGTGCGACATCTGGGCGGTGGGCATCACGGCCATCGAGCTTGGAGAGCTGCAGCCGCCCATGTTTGATCTTCATCCGATGAGGTCTGTGGACAGGAAGGGCTCCTCTCCTCGCACTCTCTCTGGCCCTGAAGTAGACGAGTGTTAAAAAGAACTCAAGTATCTGAGAGCTGGAAGGGACCGTAAAGGTCATTTGTTCCAACCCCCTTGCCAAGGCAGGGAACTCAACACTCCAGTATCCTTGGGGTGTGGTCCTCCCTCCTGCCCCTGCTACAGAACCTTTGGCTGGAGAAAGAGGAGAACCTTCCCCCTAGAATAATATTAGCGCTCTGTAATTTGCTTTTACTGACCTATGGTCTTCCCCCATCCAAAAAAAAAACCCTAGTTCTTTAATTGACAGTTAACACAGTTGGTGTTATTTTTAGATTTTCTATGTTGGTATTTTTTAATTGGTATGGAAATGTGCAAGCATCATCAAAAGAGGAAACAGATTCATAGCACTTCAGTCTTTTGCAAATGCAACATTTATAATATCGACATTTTTAGATGGTTGCTGATACCTTGTTTGCACGATACTGTGAGCTTCCTTGAGTGGACTGTGCCCCGAAAGGCAGCTCACAAATAAATGAATAAAGCCTGACCTGCCTGACTGTTCCACCATCAATTCAGTGTGTGCAATCAGGAAGTTCTTCCTAATCTTTAGGGGTGTTGTGAACTGCAAATCCCATCATCCCCAGCCAGCAGAGCCAATGGTCAGGAAAGATGGGAATTGTAGTACAAACCATCTGGCAGGCGCCACTTGGTCTACTCCGGTCAAAAACCCCTTTCTTCCCTTACAAATCCTTTCCTTCAGGTAGGTAGCCGTGTTGGTCTGACACAGTCTAGATAGATAGATAGATAGATAGATAGATAGTCCAGTTGCACCTTAGAGACCAACTAAGTTTGTTCTGGGTATAAGCTTTTGTGTGCATGCATGGTATCTGAAGACGTGTGCATGCACACGAAAGCTTATACCCAGAACAAACTTAGTTGCTCTCTAAGGTGCTACTGGACAATTTTTTAATTTTTTAATTTATTTCGAATCCTTTCCTTGTACAGCTGTGTTCTACACTTCTGACGGGGTGGTTTCCTTGTATTTCAGGGCCTTGTTCCTAATGTCCAAAAGCAACTTTCAGCCTCCAAAGCTAAAGGAAAAAACAAAATGGTAAGTCTGGGAGTGCCTTTTTCATTTATTTTTTCCCCAGTGGTCTTGCCCTTGATGGTTTGTGTCTTGTTCCTTTCCATACCAATAGGGGTGCCCTTTGGCTGGTGATGGTGACCCCTGAAGGTGGCTGAAAGAGATGCTTAGAATATTCCATCGCATAACCCCCCCCCCCAAAAAAAATGTGGGCTTAAGGGATGGGTGTGGGGAGCAGAAAGAGTTTGACCTGCTGATATTGACTGGCAACCCCTCAAATTGCCCCTCCCTCCACTCTAGTCATGGGGCAGTACAATCCTTTGATGGTTGCCTTTCTTTTTAACTGGGACATGGGTGGCGCTGTGGGTTAAACCGCAGAGCCTAGGACTTGCCGATCAGAAGGTCGGCGGTTCAAATCCCCGCGACGGGGTGAGCTCCCATTGCTCGGTCCCTGCTCCTGCCAACCTAGCAGTTCAAAAGCACGTCAAAGTGCAAGTAGATAAATAGATACCACTCCGGTGGGAAGGCAAACGGCATTTCCGTGCACTGCTGTGGTTCGCCAGAAGCGGCTTAGTCATGCTGGCCACATGACCCGGAAGCTGTACGCCGGCTCCCTCGGCCAGTAAAGCGAGATGAGTGCCACAACCCCAGAGTCGGCCACGACTGGACCTAATGGTCAGGGGTCCCTTTACCTTTACTTTCTTTTAAACCAAAAGGCTCCTCACTGGATCATTTTGGACACTCCCCTGCTGCAATTCTTTTAGGGTACATGCAAAAGTCGCTGGGCACACCCACCTTTGCTTTGTGCCTGACCAGGCAGAGGGATAGGCAAGAGTGGAAGTATTCTCAGTTGACCGTGCCCCGTCCTCCAGCGTATGGCTGGAGGTATGATTAAGGGGTGAGGGAAAGGATTTTAGGCCAGAAGTTTCTGCTTTCTTGCAGGCCTGCCTCTGCTCAGTCTCCGTTTTTAAGAAGTGGTATTTCTCTAGAACAAGGACAAAAGCAATTTCTGAAGTTAGGTTACCTTTTGCTCTGGGAGGTTGGTCCGCCCGACATTTCATTTGCCTCCCCCTTATGTCAGTTGCGGTGTCGTCATACTGTGTTGCCTCCCCTCGTTGCCTGCGTGTCTTTTTCTGCAGTTCAGTTGTGATCTCCATGTTAGCCATATTTTCCAGCACCCAGACAGTCAAACCACATTCTTTTGCTACAGATGTTTTTGCCGTTTGCACAAGAGTTGCACTGGCCTTCTGTTCTTCCCTTCCCCTTTTTGGCAAAAAAATGTAGTTAAAAAAAACACCCCAGACAGTTGGGGGGTGGGGGGAACGAACTTGAACTTTTTTCTTAATTCTGCAGCACTACAGGGGCCAATGCAGCTGGAAGGGGAATGCATAAGACTTAAGAAGATCTCTGAGGTTGAGTCCGACCAAAGGCCCATGCAATCATAGAATCATCTAGTCCAACCCCATTCAATCCAGAAATCACAGCTCAAGAATCCCTGCATCTAGTCTCTGCTTTAAAAACCTCCAAGGAAGGAGAGTCGTCCCCCCCACTCCCAAAGGAGTCCATTCCACTATCAAACAGCTCTTGCCGTCAGAAAGTTCTTCCTAATGTTTAGTTGGAATCTCTTTTCTTGTAATTTGAATCCATTGGTTCGTGTCTTGCCCTCTGGAGCAGGAGAAAACAAGCATGCTCCATCTTCCCTTTGACAGCAGTTTGGATAGCTCAACATTTGCAATGTTGAATTCCGTCCTCTATTTCAGATAGAGATGATATACCGTATTTTTTGCTCTATAGGACGCACTTTTCCCCCTCCAAAAATGAAGGGGAAATGTGTGTGCGTCCTATGGAGCGAATGCAGGCTTTCGCTGAAGCCTGGAGAGCGAAAGGGGTCAGTGCGCACCGACCCCTCTTGCTCTCCAGGCTTCAGGCAGCTATCCGCAAGCTTTCGGAGTGCGGTGGGAGTTCCGACCGGGCTCCGAAGGCTTGCGGATAGCAGCCTGAAGCCTGAAGCCCGGAGAGCGCAGCGCTGCGCTCCCCGGGCTTCAGCCAGCTACCCGCAAGCCTTCTGAGCGCGGCAGGAACTCCCGCCGGGCTCCGAAGGCTTGCGGATAGCAGCCTGTTCTGGGGGCTGGGGTCGGGGGAAGCTCGTGCTTCCCCCGTCCCCAGCCCTGCAAGCTCTGGGAGCGGCGGAGAGGTTGTGCGCAATCTTGCCACCCCTCCTGGACCTGTTCTGGGGGCTGGGAGGGGAAATTTTAAAAAAAATCTTCATTTCCCCCCTAAAACCTAGGCGCGCCCTATGGTCCGGTGCGCCCTATGGAGTGAAAAATACGGTAATTCCTATCTTTTGCACTTGCCCCCAAATGATCAGTCAACCTCTAATAACTGGAATTAAAAAGAGTACAGCTATGAGTTATCCATGGACCTTTTCCCGATTCCTCTTAAGCTACGTAAAGGAGATAATACTTCCAGATAATGGTTGAAACAGTACCTTCAAAGGCAGCCCCGTGTAGAGCGCACCACTCTGGCGAGACAGTCCACAGGCAGGGAGGGTCTCATCCTGCGTACCAGATGGAGCAATGCAGGAATGGTCTGTGGATGAAGGGCAGCATACAAATTCAATAAATAATAATAATAATTCAGAAATTGGGATTCTTCATACATTATACCGGCCTTTCTGAGCCTGATGCCTTCCAGATGTTCTGAACTACAAGCCCCAGCTAGCATTGCCAGTTTGTCAAGGATGATGGGGGTTGTAGTCTAGAGCATCTGGAAGACGCCAGGTTCGGGAAGGCTGCATTTATAGGGAATGCTGAGGTACTAGATGCAGTGCAGCCACTGCTGCTATTTACGTTGAACTTTGCCTAAGAATGCTTAGTTTATTTTATTGTTGACTTTCCTTTGCATATATGTTTATTTGTGTCATTTATATTTTGTATTTTTATTATATTCATTTTCTTATTGTGCAATGGTTGCCCATTATATAAAAAAACTTTGATAATACAGAATCTGAACGTCTTTTAATCGCCATGCAGACCCATCACATACGATAAAAGCTGCGTTTTTTCTCTCTCTCTCTCTCTCTCTTTCTCTTTTAGGTCACCGACATTTCACAGTTTTGTGAAAGTAGCACTTACAAAAAACCCAAAGAAGAGGCCCGCGGCAGATAAACTTCTTACTGTAAGCCTGTTTTCTTTCTTTTTTGAAAGATGAGAGTAAAATCTCATCCCCACTAGTGGAATAAATGTTCTGGCTTTCAGGGTACACTCCAAAGGCCTTGCATACTTCTTTTTTAAATGCTGTAATGCGTGATGAATATCGGAAACTTTCCAGGCATGTAAAAAGCCTCTTGTTTTTACAAAAAAAAACAAAACCTCTGTGTTAAGATTGTGCTGAGATAATTCCCTCCGCTACTAGATGAATCACGTTTTTTAAGTGTCTTAAAGACTTTAAGCAAACAGACAGACAGACACTAAAAATCCCCAAATTGACCCCTAGTGCAGAGGCTGTCAGAAAAGTGAAGAACTGGGAGATTTTGCCTTGTTTGGATGGAAGGCTAAACCATGTTGCATGTCCTGGACCAGCACTTCTTAAACTTCTGTTGCGCTGCAGGCTGCTGTTCCGGTTGGCATGTGTTTTGGGGACATTTTCTTGCCTTACAATTGCCGCACGGAGACAGTGCTTGAAAGCCTTTTGATATAAAGCTCAGCCTCCTGTGCTTGGTCTGTGCTGCGCTCACAATCCATGCAGGGGAGAAGCTGCAGAGGCAACCTCAGATTTCCACGCACATGAAAAGAGAAACCTTTCTTTGGGGCCTGACTCTGCAGCAAGTCTTGCAGTGCTGAGGAAGCCAGCTGCCTTTTCATTTAAGTTGTAATATGCAAACTTCAGCTTGCCTTAGAAATCTTGAAGAAGCCACATGTGATTGCTCCATTTATTTAGTCATTTATTTATTTTTAATTAAATTAGTTGCTTTCTCTTGGTCAAGGCAACTCTGAGCAACTTACAAACAAACAAAAAGCCCAAATAGAAACATTAAAACAAAGGTGTAAAATACACTAAAAACATAATAATTTTATTATTAAAACTAAAGAGGAGCCACTTCATTGATAATAATAGTAATAATAATAATAATAATAATAATAATAATAATAATAATATTTTATTTGTATTCCGCCCTCCCCAGCCAAAGCCGGGCTCAGAGCAACTGACAAGTAAAAATAGCACAGTGTACATAAAATCACACAGTCAATTAATTAAAATACATTCTAAAATCTTTCTAAGAAAGGGCAGCCAGGGATGTCTATAAAACATAGTAAAAAGCTTAACCACAGTCATGAAATCAGCATGTACCTCACACTTCTGGGATATTCTCTCAAAGAATAACTAGGCATAATGTTTATTATTATTATTATTATACATTTATATACTGCCTTTTCTTCTAAGGAGCTCAAGGTGGTGTGTGTGGTTCTCTTCCTCCCCATTTCATCCTCACAACCCTGTGAGGCAGGTTAGGCTGAGAGATGGCAACTGGCTCAAGGTCACCCAGTGAGCTGAGTGGCGAGACTCGAACCCTGGTCTCCCAGATCAGAGCCCATCACTCTAACCCCTACACCCCACTGGCTCTCCTAAACACCCGAGGCGCAGCCTGGGGAAAGTTCCTGTTCGCATGGGCAGCTAGCAGACGAAGGATGATAGCTTTGTGGTAGGGCTTTGGTTTCTGCGCAGAAAGTCCCTGGTTCTCTTCCCCAGCTTCTCCAGGGAGCTGAAGAGCCTCTGCTAGCCGGTGCAGACCAACGCTTGCCAAACTGGTGCCCACCGCAGCTGTGCTGGTGGGTCTTGATGGGAGCCATGGTCTATCTGGAGGGCACCTGGTTAGCAAAGGCTGGCATGGACAAGCAAGTCCTGAACTCGCCCTCTCATTCTTTCCATGTATGTATATTTTTAGCATACCTTCGTTGGGCAGCCTGGTCTCTCTCGGTCGCTGGCCGTCGAACTGTTGGACAAAGTGAACAATCCCGACAACCCCCCTCATTACGCCGAGGCAGATGATGACGATTTTGAGGTGAGCGAGTCCCTCCTCTGGGCAGTTCCCTTGCCTTTAGGCTTCGTTCTCCCTTGGAACTGGTGAGCCGGGGAGTCCTGTGTAGGTCTTCATTGTGGGGAGCTTACACGAGGGAATGCTCCCTCCGTGGGGAAAAAACCATAGAATAGAATCATAGAATCATAGAATCCTAGAGTTGGAAGAGACCACAAGGGCCATCGAGTCCAACCCCCTGCCAAGCAGGAAACACCATCAGAGCACTCCTGACATATGGTTGGCCAGCCTCTGCTTAAAGACTTCCAAAGAAGGAGACTCCACCACACTCCTTGGCAGCAAATTCCACTGTCGAACAGCTCTCACTGTCAGGAAGTTCTTCCTAATGTTTAGGTGGAATTTTCTTTCTTGTAGTTTGGATCCATTGCTCCGTGTCTGCTTCTCTGGAGCAGCAGAAAACAACCTTTCTCCCTCCTCGAAGGATGTCACATAGAGGAGGGAGAAAGGTTGTTTTCTGCTGCTCCAGAGAAGCGGACACGGAGCAAAAACCCTTTTGCAACTATGAACATGCAGCCATACGGTTATGTGGGGCACCCCATTTCCCTTTGGTGGGCAATGAAACCTTGCATGTGTCACTACCTCTAATGTCTCCCTTTCTGATTCCTGCAGCCACACCCAGTTATTCGCCACACCATACGCTCTACCAACCGGAACGTCAGAGCAGAGAGGACGGCGTCTGAAATCAATTGTGAGCTTCTCTATTTTATTTTATTATTTTATTTTATTTATTTATTAGCAAAAACATACATCTATACATACACTGAATAAGACATAACGGGGGTGCGGGGAGGAACACACACAAAAACAAAGGACAAAACAAAAAACATTCCTTAAAAATCAATAGAAACTAATCTTGCAGTATTTGTTCTTAGACTGATTTTGGTCTTTACTTATGAATTCTAATATTTGAAAATCTAAGATTTATTTACTAATATATTTATATCATGCGAAAACAAAAATTAAGAAAAAATAAAGAAAGAAAGAACAACTAAATCGACGTAACAGCTTTAACAATAAAAATACCTATGTATTGATAAGTATTACCTTTTCATTTTGTTATATTATTGACTTCCTTCTACCTCGTTACGGTTTCTGTTTGACCATTCCTGTTTTTACCCTGTATTTAATTGTTTCATCTTCATTTTGGAGTGAAGAGAAAATATTTTACTTCACTTCTCCTCTATTTTAAAGCTAAACGCTTGCCCCCTAATTTAGCACCAGCCTAAGTGTTCATTATTACTCCAGGGGGTGTGCGTGTGATGATGATGATAAGGACGATTTACTAGTCTCAATAATCCATCTGTTGCCAAAAAGGTCTCCAAGAGACTTAGATTTAAAAACTGCCTATCACCTTCTATGCAAATAGTAGTCTGGGATAAGAACTTGCATCTTTCGGTTATATTGTCTGAACACCAGCTGCAAGGTTTGAGTGGGATAGTTGATTCTTTATCTGTATGAAATAATTTGTAAGTGTGTGTGTAGCTATAGACATAGATTCATTCATATGTTTTTTAAATTGTATTTTAATCAACTTGTTTTTCTTATTGGTTGTTAGCTGCCCTGAGCCCGGTCTTGGCTGGGGAGGGCAGGGTATAAATAAAATTTATTATTATTATATAAAATTTAACCAACACCAACAATTCTTTTATACAGTGGACGCTTGGGTTGCAAACGTGATCCGTGCGGGATGCACATTCGCAACCCTCGTCTGCACACACGCGGGTTGCGATTCAGCGCTTCTGTGCATGTGCGACCGCCGAAACCCGGAAGTAACCCATTCCGGTACTTCCAGGTTTTGGGGGTCCGCAACCCAAAAAAACGCAACCTGAAGCAGCTGTAACCCGAGGTATGACTGTATATGAATGCACACACAAGCACACAGCTTTAGGAAGCTTTGGCAGCACAGTAATAGCAGAACAATACCAGCTCTGTCCATCAAAGGCCTGGCAGGAAAGGTAAATCTTCCCCTGGTGTGAAAAGGATGCCAGCGAAGCCACCAGGTGGTCCTCACTGGAGGAGAGCATTCCACAGACGGGGATCCAGAAATGGAAAGGATGGAGCAAAGTTCTCTGGCCCAAGAGAACCTTCTAGGCAGGCTGCTCCCTGGGTTGCTCATGAAGTAGTAGCTGTGTGCAAAAAAATGCCAGCTCTGCCTCCTGACCTGTGTGCTGCTCTCCTCAAAATCCCTCGACAACGTGTGGTTGATCCGTATTATCGCCTCACCTTAAAATGGATTGATAGGTTGATTAAAAAATAAATTTATATGCTGCTAAATCATAAAAATATATCAAAGGGCATTACAACATTAAAAAGATAAAAAGCATAAAAAAGTGTAAAAAAACAAACCCAAATCAATGCAAAAACAATTTAATAGCAAGAAAAGAAAAGAAAAAACTTTCAGACGGCAGGAGATTCCTTCCCCTCTGCTTTTGGGCCAGGTGCCCACAATCTCAATTGTTTTATTTTAGTCTCCAAAAGAAATTGGTCGAGGATCTTACCATGGTTAAAATCCTCTTTACGTTCCTTCTTCGCCTTCTTGCCTAACTTCTCTTAAAAGCATGCCGTTCCAGAGGAAAGAGTTGGTAGTTGATATTCCTTCAAGCAGACACACTCCTTGCTAGTTTCATTTTTGCAGGGGGGTAGTTCTTGGAATCGCAGCCCCTCATAAAGGGTGGCGTTTCAGAAGAGAGTGTTTCAAACCGAAAACAAACCCCTCTACCTTTTCAGGCATGTTAAGAGGAAGTATTGTTTAATTGTCCGATAATAAAACTTTTTAATAGGCTCTTCTAAGCCACTTTGAGTCCCTGTCAGGGAAGAAGGTGGGGTATAATTAAATATATCATCACCATCTAAGTGGCTTATATTAATAACTTTGAACATTTTTGCTATGCCATGGGACATTGCAGTTGGAAAAAAAGCCTTGTAAAAGTTTTGTTTATAAAGTTGTAAATGCCTCATGTCTTTCAGTTGACAAGCTGCAGTTTGAACCGCCTCTTCGGAAAGAAACAGAAGCGCGAGATGAAGTGGTACGGATTTGTTTTATTTTTATTTTTTATTTAGTGTTTATATATACCACTTCATATCTCTATAGAAATCTCTAGATGAATTCACCACATGCTACATGCACACACACGTCCCCCAGGGGTTTGCAGAACGCAGATTGGGATCTACTGGTAGATCCCTGGGTGATCTGCAGTAGATTGGAAAGGGTTTCTGACTCCCAGTTTTAAGAAGAGCAAGAGCAAAGGAGCTTTTCCCACCTGTGCTAAGCTGATGAAATGAAAAAGTTGACCAGGAAGAACTGGGAGCTCACTTCAGTTTCGGTACTGCTCAGAATGAACTCAGAGGCACTCTTGTTCTTTAATTCTAGTTGTATGTCGTTTGTACTTGGCTCTGATTGGCAGATTTTGGGATTCTAGTTAAAAAACAACAACAAATGTAGATCCAGCCAGTCTGAAGTCTGCCCACCCCAATGTATCGTGTTGAACAGTCTTGGCAGATCTCAGAATAAATTAATGCCGGTTTGTCCAAAGTGCCATGTGAAGTGGAGGTTCTTGCTTACCTCCCATGGTTGTGTCTGCGCTCCAGTTGAAGCAGGTGGGCGTCCTGCACTTCAAAAGGTTGATAACATCCTCCATTTCCATCACCACCCCTACCACCTACCAGAAGCATCCAGTCTTCTCCCTCCACATTGGGCTGGACACCCGCACAGGTCTTCTCTATCACCTCCTGCGCTGGAGCTCATTTGTTGTTGTTTAGTCATTTAGTCGTGTCCGACTCTTTGTGACCCCCTGGACCAGAGCACGCCAGGCACTCCTGACTTCCACTGCCTCCCGCAGTTTGGTCAAACTCATGCTGGTAGCTTCGAGAACACTGTCCAACCATCTCGTCCTCCGTCGTCCCCTTCTCCTTGTGCCCTCCATCTTTCCCAACACCAGGGTCTTTTCCAGGGAGTCTCCTCTTCTCATGAGGTGGCCAAAGTATTGGAGCCTCAGCTTCACGATCTGTCCTTCCAGTGAGCACTCAGGGCTGATTTCCTGAAGAATGGAGAGGTTTGATCTTCTTGCAGTCCATGGGACTCTCAAGAGTCTCCTCCAGCACCAGAATTCAAAAGCATCAATTCTTTGGCGATCAGCCTTCTTTATGGTCCAGCTCTCACTTCCATACATCACTCCTGGGAAAACCATAGCTTTAACTATACAGCAAAGTGATGTCTCTACTTTTTAAGATGCTGTCTAGGTTTGTCATTATTTTTCTCCCAAGAAGCAGGCGTCTTTTAATTTTGTGACTGCTGTCACCATCTGCAGTGATCTGATACTGGCTTTCAAAGGCCACATGCATATTTCAGTGTAAATAAGTATAAAAATAATGAAGACTTTAGGGCTCCTAGTTCAAGGTGACGCCAGTGATAGCCTCAAGCCCACCTGTGGCCTTTGGCTATGCGGCGGTTGAGGCCTGGCGTTGGGCTGGTCCCCAGTCTGTGCCACGCCTTTCCTCGCGTACATTTCCCAGACCAGAAGCAGAACGGAGCAGATCCAGAAAACGCTGCACCTGAAGCAGAGCCAGGGAATAGGGCCTGAATGCGGATTGTATTATAGTGGGGTGCCCTCATTAGATGTTAGCTGGAGACATTTCTCAACTGAATGTTCTCCCCTCTGCAGGTGGTGGCATCTGGCGCACACTTCGCTTCACACTGGAATCCTTTTGTTGATGGCGGAAGCTGCGCCAAGTAAGTATGCCTGGCTTCATTGTGAATAAATGATCAACACTCTGCATTTCAAGGTTACCACCCACTTGGGAGGAAAAAGGGGGGTGGGGGCTGGATGAACTGGGCATGTCAGGCTTTTGAGTGAGTTCTGCAGGACAGACAGGGCCTTTAAAAAAAATAAAAATAAAAAATACGTTTTTACTGTGGGATTTTCCTTAAGTAACAAAAGTACCTTTCGTATCTCTGTTTTTAAACCGTAGAATCCTTCATACAAATCCATTGCAGTCAGTTTGAGACATTTTTGTTGCAGGTAATGTGGGGGTGAGGGGGAAAGAGAGGAGAGAGAATAAAGAGTGTATGGATGGACTTTGTCAGCATCACGTGGATAGGTGTCCTATTTTTGCTGGTGGAGCAAGAGGTCAGCGGGACCCCGGTGTGGTTGGTTGCAGTTGATTGATTGCAGTGTGTTGTGTGTTTTTTTTGGGGGGGGGTTGCTGGAATAGGTTAGCCATATTGATTTGTATGTTGTTGGGGGGATCAGTCATTGTCTTGTTGGGCTGTGTATGTGATAAAGGGGAGCCACATGGGGGTGAAGGCATCCTCCTTTGTCCCTGTGATAGTTTCACTCAATCAGTTAGTTAGTTAGTGAGTCAGGGCAGTTTCCTGTAGAGTTTGGTACCAGTGGTCCATATCTGGTTATGACGCTCCTAGCTGCTCAGAGTAAGTGACATTCATTCTTTGTCAGATAGAAACTTTATTCGCGTTAGCCAATGGCCATAGCAACAATAAAACATTACAATATACACAGAAGAAAGGAAATTTAGTATAAAAGCACAGTTTAGGGTCCTGAATCAGCAGTCAGATTGTGGCCCTTATTCTGATTGCCCCTGCTAAGAACCTAGCAACCTTTGCTGTTATCTGCTCTGTTTGGTCTGACAGGAGAAAGGACACTGTGGCAGTGGTTGTGTGTCCTGGGATGGGGTGAGGATCTCGTTCCTCAGGTCTTTGTAGAGAGTGCAAGACAGGAGGACGCGAGCCACTGTTTCGGTGCACCCGTCTCCACAGGGGCAAAGATGTTTCTCATGTGGGATCTTTTGGAATTGGCCCTCAAGTACCGCAGATGGCAAAACGTTCAGTCTTGCGAGTGTGAAAGCACGTCTGTATTTTGGGATAGCTAATTTGTGCAGGTATGGAGCCAGAGAATCAAAATGGGAAGACTGAAACTGATCATACCGTGGGCAGAATTTCCTTATAGCGGCCAGGTTGTTCTGATGCTCGATACCTTTTAGACATTGACAAATTAGACTGTTTGCTTTGGTTAGGCCCATAGTTAGGCCCTTTGTCAAGTGAGTGTGCATTCTTGGGCAGATGTGGCCCTTGTGGGCCTGCCGAGATGCAGGTGGAGGGCTTTGCTCTCGCTGGACTCGGTTGGCAGCATGACATGGCGACCCTCTGCCATTTTCTTGCCTCTCCTGTCACACTTAGGATGTGAGTGTGAACGCACATGAGTCTCACTGCACCCTGACCATCATGCTGCTCCAGACCAGCTTTGTGGTGTGGTCAGATTTCTGAGAGCTTCACTCAAGCCGTATCTTGGTGTGTGGAGAAGGGGTAGGGGAATCGCCCATGCTGCAGCTTAGATGTGGCTGCACCCCACAAATGACCTAATCTGGGGTCTGTGTGATTTCTGATGGGTGGGACAACAGGGGGAAGGAACGTTTGAAATAAGTAACTCCCATTGCCTCAGGGTAATGAGCTGGTAGTCTTTGGGCGCTGTTAAGTGTGGCTGCAGAATGAGTAGACTGGATCACTGGGCAGAATGTGGCCGGGGAGGTTCTGAGGCACAAGGCCTGTTTGACGGCGGGTGGGGCCCCTCTGTTCAGTGCCGTTTGCATTTACTGCCTCAGGCCATGCTTCGTGCAGCTGCTCCAGAGTTTATTGAAGCAACAGCTGCCCATCTCAGCTTTCTCCCAACCTGGTATCCTCCAGATGTTTTGGGCTTCGATTCCCGCTCGGCCCAGCCAGCACAGCTGATGGGAGATATTGTCTGGAACATCTGTAGGGCACTGGGTTGGGGAAGGCCAGGGCATCCCTTTACTGCCTCTGTGATTTTAAATCCCTTAGAACAGTCTAGCGCTAAAAAAACCCCCTGACATAAGCAACTTCGTGGTATTGCATTCCTGTGTCTCTCTGCAGCCGCAAAGGCCAGCAAGTGTCTTTTGCAAGCCAGGATTCCCCCAGGTTACCATAAGGAAACCTCGAGCGCCGCAAGTTGCTTGTGCTGGAATGTGAAGGAGCCCATGGAAGCGAAATACCTTTGCCTTAAAAGGCCTTCTCTGCTCTGGCTCCCTTGGCCGTACAGCACAACTTGTGTTGCTTTTGGGGGAGCTGTTCCCTGAATGCCTTCCTCTTCCTTCTCCTGGTAAAGGCCTGCTCTCCTTTGGCCAGCCGGCTGTACAGCTGTTTCCACAATCACTCACTAAGCACCATTAATGTACATGACACTTCTTGCGTAGCAACCCCCCCCCCCCCGAAGAAGCCAGGCTCCCCACCATAAGCGGCTTCGAATTTAATTTTTTACCATGGGGGGAGCACAACTGTGCTGGGGGGAGAGAAAGGACAAATGTGAACAAATGCATTCCTATGTACTTGGGATTCTTTTCATTTGAAGGTCTTTGTGGGTACCCACTTGGCAGATTTCAATTCTGTCTCCCGGTCTTCTCTGGCATGTGTCCAAACAGGATGCTGGAGTAAGTGGGTCCTCTTTGGCCTGATCCTGCAGCCAGCCTCGCCTTATGCTCTCAAGTTCTTATCTTCTCTGGTTGTAAATATCCACAGTCGTTTTGTAGGTCCTGCCTTCTGTTGAACGAAGAGGTTTTGCCTTGCCTTTCCCCTCCTTTCTCCCCACTTTTCTTTCCTCTTCCCCACCTCCTTTCCTTTTCTACCGTGCTTTTCTCTATGGCCAAAGCTGTTAAATCCTTGCATGTACAACCAGGCTGGCGTTTTCTGCGCTGGCTTGTAGGACCAGGCAACTGATAAGGAGAGGAGCATGCAGGAAATGCGGGGCTTCTGGCGTCGCATCTGGCATTTGCTGCGGCTTTGGGCGTGATCGGAGCTGGCTTGGACACAGCTGCATTCCAGGCAGCTGCAGAGGAGCCCAGATCACCACATCACAGTCACCTGGGCAGACGAAGCCGGGTTGCTCATGGTCCCAAACCCCCAAAGAGAGGGAGCATATCTGCCCCTCCAGCAGAGGGTCACGTTCTGCTCAGCGCCGTAAACAGGAAATGCTTGGGGTTTTTGGAGGCTTGGAAGGCTGGATAATGTCACTGCCGCGCAGAAAGAAAAAGGAGCTGTGGCTTTTGGGCCGCTTTCCGTCCTCTTGGGCTCGTCCAGAAAAAACACAGCGCTGATTTATGGCCTCCGTCAAGGGGTCAGCTCTGTGTGAAAGGTCCGTCGTGGCCTGCCAGCCTTCTGCTGGAGGGATATTTGCTTTAAAGCTGCATAAACATAAAGTTGTATGCGGATGATCGTATTGCTCGATTGCTTTCCCCCTGTCTCTCCCCACACTCCCCCAAAATAATTACAGAGGGAGAGAGCTCTCCAGATCTTTTTCCAGTGTTGCACATATGAATTTTCCCTGTCATGGGTCTGGCTCTTGATCTATTTAGCCCAGGGCTGAAGCATCCAAGGTTTTCTGGAGAGCTTTTATTCTCCAGCCTGGATATTTTTTTTACTGGGGAGATCAGGGATTGAACCTGAGGCTGTGTGTGCAAATCATGTTCTCTGCCACTGAGCGATGGGCCCGATCCTTTTTTTGGAGGGGAGGAGAGGAATGCCTATTTCCCCTGTCCCTTCAGGAACATTTTTTTAAAGCCATTCCTAAACCCTCTTTATTGTTCCTCCATCACCATGACTCCGCCCATTCCCATTCATTGTGGGCCCCAGACCTGGGCCAGTCGCCAGAAATAATGTGGTCGTGGGAGGGCCTAAGAGAACACTGGGAGCATTGTAAGTCAGCGAGAGACAGCCTTGACCTGAAGGCAAGAACTTAGAAGACGTTTCATTCGAAGTTACCGGATTTTGCGTTTCAGAGCACTAGTAACCCGGGAGGGCGAGGGAGAGCGCCTGCTCATCCCATTGCTTATTTGTTTAAAACTCTGTGGGTTTTTTATTTAAAAATAAATAAATTCCGAGACTTTATTGTGACGTTAAAGTAGAAAACATGTAATAAAACAGAGAAGGGTGCATAAAGGAGTACCAAGAAATGAAACCAAAGCAAACCAGGGTTCACAGCCATTAGCTCATAAAATAAAGTACATTCTCGTGAGAGACTACACCATTGAGTTAGACATCGCAACCCAAAATGGCCTGATACAGAAACGGGACAAAACAAACATTTTGAATACCAAATAAAGCCGTATTTTATCCGTGGATGGAGGGGGCGAGAGAGAGAATCCTTGTGATTCATTTCTGTAATGCTACTGAACGCAGAAAGTGCTTTGCACTTGAGAAGTTTGGGACCGGCCCTTCCTTGGTGTTCTCTTCTTTCTGTAATATACCAGCTTTGAACTGTAAATAAAGCAATAAAGAGTATGCAGCACGTATTCTCATCCTTCCGTTGGGCACGACAGACTCTGCTTAAATCAACACGTGGTTATGGGCCCAGAGGTCGAATCGGAGTGCCGGCAAAGGATCGGAATGCAGAAGGACAGATCGGAATCTGCTCTACGCGTAGAAGTGATTGATGAGGTATGTGCTACTGCTCCGGGCAGCCTGCCAGCTTCAAGATAATGGCTTTATGGCTGGACTTTGAACTTTTAAAGCCGGTTTTGCAAATAGGCAAAAGGCTCCCAGGCACAAGTCACTATGCTGGGAAATCGAAAGTAACTTTTAAGTGTGCCTTTGTGATAAGGCAGCTGCAGCAGTGACGCAGCAAGATTTAAAGCAGCATAGATATGACGCTGAAGGCTAATGCCAGAGTCATGATGGCCCTTCAGGATGCTTGTGGGATTCCTAAGCTCAACAAGAATAATTACAGCGACTGGGTTCAGTATGCAGAGGCAATTCTGCGGAAAGAGGGTTTGTTTGAGGTGATTACAGGCACACCCCCAGTTCCAGTTACAGATGCATGGGAAGCTAAGGATTCCAAAGCAAGGGGAACTCTTACATTGATAGTATCCCCAGAAGAGCTCTGTCTATTGCGTGATAAGACCTCAGCCAGAGAAATTTGGGACGCTCTGAGAGAGACTCACTTAAGGACAGAAGCTGGATCCACTATGTTTTATTTTAACAAGCTGCATAATATGGCTCTTGCTGAAGGTGGAGATGTGCGTTTACATCTGATGCAGATGCAAAATCTGAGACATGAGCTGCAACAGAGAGGACTCAACTTTCCAGAGGCTGTGTATTCTTTCATGATACTACAATCTTTGGGTTCAGGTTGGGAGTCTGTTGCAACCCAGATTGCTGTGCAACCAACTGCTCAGCTGACAGTGGACTTTGTTACTGCCGTGATTTTAAATGAAGCAGATCGCCGGGTGCTAGCTGCATGGGCAAGGGGGAGTCTTCACAGACGTCATCCCATAGTGCAGTGGAACCACCAGATGGCGCCAAAGCTTTGAAGGCAGTAAAATGCTACTCGTGTGGACGTCTAGGCCATATAAAGAGGGAATGCAGACATCCCAGGGCCAAGACAGAGCAGCGCAGCGAAGCTCATCGCGCGGAAAAGGCCGAGGCAAAGGCAAAGGTCCGGTGTCTAGGACAACGCAGCACAAGGCTATGGTTTCACGCTTCACTCCAAAGGTTGCAGAGGTCCAGAAGACGTCTAGATCTTTCTTCGTTGTTGATTCAGCGGCCACCCACCACATGTGCAACGATAAGAAACTGTTTGTGTCTTTTACACCGCAGGAAGGTGCGATTCACCAGGCGGATGACCACACTATTCCCAGTAAAGGCTACGGAACTGTTGTTCTTCACAGTTTGGACTTATCGATACAGAATGTGCTTTACGTGCCAGACGCCAAACATAATCTGCTCAGCGTTGGACAGCTGAATGAGCGGAACATTGACGTTTCCTTCAAGAACAAGAAGTGCATCATCACAAAGAAAAATGATTATGTATTGCATGCAGAATATGTTGATCATTTGTTTGTTTTGTATTATGATGATGTGGTGCAGGATGACACTTGTTGCATTGCAGGTTCTAACAAAAGTTTGCATGCAGAATGTATTCACGCTTTTCATCGCAAATTTGGTCATTTGCATTTTGAGGCAGTATCTAAAATGCCTGCCTTGGTTGAAGGTATGACTATTAAACCCTGCAGGTACCACATGAAGTGCAAAGCATGCGCAGCAAACAAGGTGAAAATGGCTGCGAAAGGTAAGGTGTCTAGTAGGAAAGCTACAGAACCATACCAGGTTGTTCATGCTGATTTGGTTGGACCACTTGCGCCCTCTTTGGGTGGAAATAGGTACTTCATGGTTCTCATTGATGCATTTTCTAGATATATTTTTGTGTACAATCTCAAGCAGAAATCGGAGGCTTTTCCTAGGTTCAAGGAATTCTGTGCTTGGTTGGAAAATGTGCATGGTAAGAAGATAAAGACTCTTTTCAGTGATCGCCGGGGAAATTCACTTCTCAGCAGTTTGAAGCTTTTCTGACTGAGAAAGGAATTCAACACGATTTGTCTAGTCCTCGCTCGCCATGGCAGAATGGACTTGCGGAGCGGGCAAATCAGACATTGCTTCAAGGGTTAAAAACCTTGCTGCATGATGCCAATCTTCCAGAGAGTTATTGGGCCGAATCTCTCTCGTGTTTTGTTTACAGTTACAATCGCAGGTTATCTTCAGCGATTGGGTGTACCTCTATGAGAAGATGTTTGGCAAGAAGCCATACATCAAACACATGAAGATTTTTGGTTCTGACATGTGGGTTCGCTCACCACAAAACTCCAAGTTAGACAAGCGTGGATTGCATGGTATCTTTCTAGGTTATCAGAAAGGGTCTTACAGAATAATGATGACTGACTCTAAGACAATTAAGCTCACGAGAAGTGTTGAGTACAATGCAAAGTGGGGGAGAATGTGGGAATTTTCCAATGTTATCCTGATGACGGTGATGAGACTGAGGATAGTCAAAAGCAACCACAACAGCCCACACCCACTGATGAAGGTTCTGAGTCTGAATCTGAAACTGAATCGGGTGATTCAGAGGATTTCAAGAGTGCGAAAGCCTCTATGCGACCCTCTGAAAGCTCTGATCAAGAATTGGAGGAACCATTGTTCACAATAGGTCGTTTTTCTCCTAAGAAGGAAGAGGAGAGTGTTGAAGACTTAAGGCTAATTCGTAGGTCACAGAGAGCAACAACAGGCAAACCTCCAAAGAGATTGGCTGATGAGTTTGCTAAGATAGCAGTAACAGCTGTTAAAAGCTCCAAGAAGGTATTTGAACCTTCAAGTTTCCAAGAAATCCAGGGTTTGGATTCAAAGGAAGCTGAGCCATGGTTAAATGCCATGAAGGCTGAGCTTGATTCCTTAGAAAGGAACAAAACATGGGAGCTAGTTCCAGTAGTTCCAGGAATGAAACTGCTTGGAAGCAAATGGGTCTTCAAAGCGAAGACAGATCAAAATGGCAAGATAGTCAGACACAAAGCCAGATTGGTAGCCAGAGGTTTTGCACAGGTACCAGGTGAAGACTATCACGAGACCTATTCACCCACAGTGAGATATGAAAGCATTAGGCTTATGCTTAAGCTAGCTGCAGAGGAAAATCTACACATTAGTCACCATGATATTAATACAGCTTTTCTGTACGGATCTCTAGATGAATCACTTTATATGCTTCCACCTGATGGCGTACAGGTAAAACAGGGATTTGTTTGTGCTCTGAAGAAATCCCTTTATGGTCTCAAACAAAGTGCACGGTGTTGGCACACAAAACTCACTGAAGTATTGTTTTCTCTAGGTTTTCAGCAAGGAAAGCTGATCCATGTGTATTTGTCAAAGAGGAGGGGCAAAAGAAACTGTACTGTTTGTTTTATGTTGATGATTTGTTATTCTTTTGGAAAGATGTTGCAATGTACAATAGCGCCCTAGCTCAACTAAAAGAGCACTTTGACATGAAAGATCTTGGTGAGGTAAACAACTACCTATCTCTGGAAATAGAGAGAGATCAAGATGGTAACATTCTAGTACACCAGTCACGGAAAATTGCTGATGTGTTAAGCAAACTAAATCTGATGGATGCTAACCCTGTAGACACACCGATGACAACAGGTTATCAGGTAGATGACACTGAAGAAGCATTTTCTGACACTACACTGTACAGGAGTGTGCTAGGCAAGCTAAACTTCATTGCCAGATGTTCAAGACCAGACATTGCTGTTAGCTGTAATTTGCTAAGCAGACAAGTCAACAATCCTAGTGTCAAGGATTGGAAAGCTCTGAAACGCATAGCGCGGTATTTGAAAGGCACTATGCATTACAGACTGAGATTTAACAATCAGAAGTCTGGTGGTCTTGAGATATTTGCAGATGCAAGTTTTGGAAGTGACACTACAGACAGGAAAAGTACGTCTGGAGTTTGCTACATGTACAATCAGAGTCTGTTTGATTGGTCATGCAAGAAGCAAACAACAATTAGCTTAAGTACTTGTGAAGCTGAACTGAATGCACTGTCTTATTCACTTAAGGATTGTGAATGGTTAGTACAATTGTGCAAAGATATGAAAATTCCTGTCAAATGTCCAATCCAGGTTTACCAGGACAACAAAGCATGTTTGGCTTTGCTGAAGTCTGAAGGTTGTAAGCAAAGCACAAAGCACTTGCCCATCTCTGGAGCCCTGGGGAAGCCATTGGGTGAGGGGCGTCCTCAACTTCCGCTTGGGAGGCCAATGGGCAGGCTTGCTTCCGGAGGAGGCGATGTCAGCCCTTCCCTCTGTAGCTCAGTGGCAGAGCATTGGATCTGCTTGCAGGAAGCTCCGGGTTCAGCCCACGGCAGCATCTCCAGGCAGGCCTGGGATTGTCCACTGCCTGAAGCCCTGGAGAGGCGCTGCCAGCCAGTGTAGACCGTGCTGGGGTAGACGGACCAACAGTCTGACTCAGGGTAAGGCAGCTTCCGGTGTTTCTCTCCTCCCTGCAGTGGGGGCCTAGTACCTAAAATAATAATAATAATAATAATAATAATAATAATAATAATAATATTTATTTATACCCCGCCTTCCCCAGCCAAAGCCAGGCTCAGGGCGGCTAACACCAGTAAAATTACAATAAAAACATAATAGGGGAAAGAAGAAGAAAAAACCATTTAAAATACAGGTTAAAATGCAATTTAAAATGCAGCCTTGTTTTAAAAGTAGCCCATGGATCAAAACCATAAAGGGAGGGAAAACATAAGGGTCAGATTACCTGTTGCATTATTGCTGTTGTTTGTAGAGTTGGAAGGGACCCTGAGGATCATCTAGTCCAACCATCTGCAATGCAAGAATATGCAGCTGTCCCATACAGGGATCGAACCTGCAACCTTGGCATTATCAACACCATGCTCTAGCCAGCTGAGCTATCCAGACTGCCTCTGTTGCTATTATTAAATGTATAGCTCACCTTTCCTCCAAGGGAGCTTAAGATGACAAACATGGTTCTCTAGCTCCCCCTGTTATTACTGGAGGGACACGAGTGGCGCTGTGGGTTAAACCACAGAGTCTAGGACTTGCCGATCAGAAGGTCGGCGGTTTGAATCCCCGTGACGGGGTGAGCTCCCATTGCTCGGTCCCTGCTCCTGCCAACCTAGCAGTTCGAAAGCACATCAAAGTGCAAGTAGATAAATAGGTACCGCTCCGGCAGGAAGGTAAACGGCGTTTCCGTGCACTGCTCTGGTTCGCCAGAAGCAGCTTGGTCATGCTGGCCACATGACCCGGAAACTGTCTGCAGACAAACGCCGGCTCCCTCGGCCAATAAAGCGAGATGAGCACCGCAACCCCAGAGTCGGTCACGACTGGACCTAACGGTCAGGGGTACCTTTACCTATATCTGAAGGAGCGTCTCCACCCCCATTGTTCTACCCGGACACTGAGGTCCAGCACCGAGGGCCTTCTGGTGGTTCCCTCCCTGCAAGAAGTGAGGTTACAGGGAACCAAGCAGAGGGCCTTCTCGGTGGTGGCACCCTCCCTGTGGAACGCCCTCCCACCAGATGTCAAAGAGAAAAACAACTACCAGACTTTTAGAAGACATCTGAAAGCAGCCCTGTTGAGGGAAGCTTTTAATGTTTGATGTATTACAGTATTTTAATATTTTTTTGGAAGCCGCCCAGAGTGGCTGGGGAAACCCAGCCAGATGGGTGGGGTATAAATAATAAATTATTATTATTATTATTATTATTATTACCCTCACAACCGCCCCATGAGGTAGGCTCAGCTGAGAGACAGCAACTGGGCCGATCTCACACCCAGTGAGCTTCATTGCTGAGCGGAGATTCGAACCCTGGACTCTCTGCTCCCAGCCTGGCACTCTAATTTTCCTAGTGGCAGTTGCAAAGAGTGCTGCACTCCAGGTCACATACTTATCTGTGTCTGCGAGGAGATATGAAATCATGTCAGAGGGGTTCTGGCCAGGGGACCCTGTCATTATAGGTGCTAAAAATCGTTCTCTTGCTTCATTATATAAGGGGCAGCGCAGGATATAATGCATAAGGTCCTCTACTTCAGGACATCCAGCCTTGACAGATGCAGCTATGGATTACAGTAGCATTTTCATTCTTTAAATCCGTGATTCTCAAACCTGGGTTCCCTGCTGCTGCTGGACTACAACTCCCATCATCCCTAGCTAGCAGGGCCCAGCGGTCAGGGATGATGGGAGTTGTAGTCCAACAACAGCCAGGGACCCAAGTTTGAGAAAGAACGGCTCAGTCAGGCTAAAGAAAGTCAGGCGGGATTAGAGAGCGGTTGTCACACGGTCTTAAGCCAGCAAAGTGCCACCCAGGACTTCAGGTATGTGAAGAATCCCTTTGTCATCAGTGCTGATGGTTTTGTACAGAATTTCAGAAGCTTCTGGGGTCTCCTCCTGAGATTGATTTTCCCCACATAGCTGCTCTACAGATCACAATCCTGGAGTCTAAGCCACAGGTGCTCTTCAGTCCTACTACCCCAGTCTAAATTTTATTTTTTTAAAAAAATAAAATAATTTTATCAACGTTTTATCTAGGGGGCTTCTTACCAAATTTGGCGACGGCCACGAAGATGCTGAGGAGTGAGTGATTTCTTTCTTGACGTTTGACTTTCCTCTCTCTCTCTCTCTCTCTCTCTCTCTCTCCTTTGCTACCTAACAGAGTTGGCTTTCTTTAACAATGTCTCAGTCGCCCTTGGAGACCCTAAAGGGGCTGGTTCTTCTCCTGAGTGGGCTGGGAAACCCTGTCTTCCGTTTCAGCCCAGCCTTTCTAAACTGTTCTTCATTCAGAGAGTACCTGAGATGTTTAAAGCAGTTGGAATCATCGAATTGTAGAGTTGGGAGGGACCCCAAGAGCAATTAAACACAGTGTAGAGCAATAAAACACAATGCAGATCATAAAACAACATAAAAACCAAACACCATTTTAAAAAAATCCATAGAAGTAAAATATACTGATTTGGGAAGGCCTAGGGAGTAAAGGACGCGGGTGGCGCTGTGGGTAAAACCTCAGTGCCTAGGACTTGCCGATCGCATGGTCGGCGGTTCGAATCCCCGTGGCGGGGTGAGCTCCCGTCGTTCGGTCCCAGCTCCTGCCCACCTAGCAGTTCGAAAGCACCTCAAAGTGCAAGTAGATAAATAGGTACCGCTTTATAGCGGGAAGGTAAACGGTGTTTCCATGTGCTGCTCTGGTGCCGGTTCGCCGGAGCAGCTTCGTCACGCTGGCCACGTGACCCAGAAGTGTCTGCGGATAGCGCTGGCTCCCGGCCTCTAGAGTGAGATGAGCGCACAACCCTACAGTCTGTCAAGACTGGCCCGTACAGGCAGGGGTACCTTTACCTTTACCTTAGGGAGAAAAGGAGAGCTTTAAGTAAACATTGAAAATATATAACAATGTTTGGACTTCCTTCACTTCTGAGGGAAGAGGGTTCCGGAGAACGTGATGCCTTTTCTGCCTCCACGCACAGAAGGGAGCATTTTGGCTCTGGGCAGGAAGCTTCTCAGGGTTCTCTTGCTTCCCACCTGCAATGCGATGCCGGTGCCGTGTTCATTCGGTTTCCGTGTGCAATCCTTTCAAAAAGTGTAGCTCGCTTTGCAAAATTCCATGACGCCATCTGCAGAGCTATTAACACATTGTCCCACCAAAAATATGTTCTCCTTCCGATGGCTTTTCTTTTTAATTGCCATCTGGCAGAATAATTATGAAAAATCGAAGAATGGCAAGGCTGGAGTAATTATAGGGTGTGCTTTCTCTGTGCTTAAAAAACAACAACACCCCAAAACTTTGCATTATGCTAACTGCAGTTCAGTCCTGTGCAGAGTTTTCAAACCACATGTAGTGAAGAGATCAGAATTGTGCGAGTTTACAGATCGCAGGATTTGTGGGGGTGGCCATATTCAGATTTGGCAGGGGGAGAGGGAAGAGGGGTGGGACAGACAGTCACAGTCCTGATCTCGTCACCGTACCTTAGTCCCAGGTGTCTGTAGGACTTCCTGCGCCAAAGAAAAACTAAGATCATGCAACCTGTATAAGTCAAGCACATCTTCCCCATTGAAGCTGGATTTTGGAAGTTTCAGGGCAGACAAAAACAGAAAAATCCTTCACTCTGCACATAGTTAAACTCTGCAGTTCGCTCCCAGAAAATGTAGGGATAGCTACCAACTCACAGAGAGAGCCTTGTTGGGCAGTGAAGGTGTGCATCTGAGAAACCCCAGAGGGATTTGAGAGGCTGCTCGCATTTTCAGGGCCTTGCAGAAGTGAAACATTTTCTGGTGTGTGACAGATACTGACGGGAGGAGAGGGAAAACCCCACCGAGAAGGGTTGTCTTCCACCATGTGTTTTATCCTGCTGGTTTTCCGCTGTCTTCACTAACACCCCTCCTTTCAAAAGTGACTTTCTGCAACCAGAGGCTCTGGTTTTGGAAAAATGAAACGATAGCCTTGCCAGCCAGCTAACCTTCCTTTTGAAAACCTGCGTGCACATCAAAGCCGGGTGGGAAGGAATACCATTTTCGTTGGCTTTTCTTCTCGTTTCTTTTTAGATCAACGCTGAAAAGGGGAGGACCCCCTCCGCTACCTCCAAAGGTGAGCGAACGCCGCAGCCACATGATGTGTTCTTCCGGGCTGGAATGCTGAAAGTGTGTGCGTGAAGTGTACTGAACCGGTTAGCAAAGAGAGGGGGCAGACCAGTGGGGTAGAACATGGGGCAAAAGAGGGCAGGGGGCAGGAGGAGAAGCCGAGCTTTGCTGCATGTGGCATTTCCTCCAGGCCAGCTATTGAGGAAGGGGAGCACTAGTACATCAGATTGCAAAGCAGCTGCCATCTGCAGACTCCATTGGCAGAACCGGTGCTCTTAACGTAACACACATTCTGCATTTCTAAGAACTCGATCTTTTTGTGTGGCGGCACCTGCACTGCGGAACTCCCTGCCTCTTGATACCGTACCCTGTTCAACACCTGCTGAAAACATTCATGTGTAGAGATGCCTATCCTGGTGTTTAGAAAGCTGGTGGCAAGCTTAAATCTGTTTTTGGTCTATTGTCATTTTAAAAGTATTCCTTTGGTGCACATTTTTATTCGTGATTTAAAATGTAAATCAAGGTTTAAAATATAAATGAAAGAATGAAAGAAAAAGAAAAAAATATACTACTTTTAATTTCAATGTTCTGAAATCAATCAATCTGTTTCGCTCTCTGTGTCTTCTCGCTCCAGCCCAGGCTCAGTATCTACCAAGAGGAAGGCCTCGTCGATGATGAGAAGTCCCAGACGATCAAGTATTGCCCCGACTCTCACGGCCAAGCCCCACCGTCTCACCGGAGACAGAGCATCCCGGTGTGCGGGCCTCAGACAGAACCCACCCCAATTGGGATGACCAGCAGTGTCAGCAGTCCTGGTTTGCTCACCACCCGGTACAGCGACTTGGGTGAGTATCCTCATCCTGGGAGGGCCACCTGCCCAGCCGCTTTGGGCTGTGTGCAGAATGCACTAAGCACCTGATCACCCGGTCATCGCAGCCGCCCCACGAGATATCTGGGACTACGGGGGGAAATGTTAGAGGCAACCTCCACTGGCAGTTTCCGAAGGTGATGGTGCCAAATTAAGACTTGGCTCCTTGGTGCTCCCATGCAGCTGTACTGAGAACAGTCTGGGGGAGATGAAGTTTTTTCCCCCCCTGTGGGGGGACCAATGCTTGGTGCTCCATGCCACTGACCTGCAAAAGTCCCATTTCCCTTCAATCGACCGTGGTTCATTCTTTTGGTTGGGGATGCACAGTACAGCTGCACCAGAGTGTAGAAGGAGCTGGCGTTTTTGTTTCTGTTTTTAAAGCAGAAGTTTTCTAAGCAGGCTTCTTAAATCATCTGAATCATCTGAAGGGTGCCAACTTGGTGAAGTGTGCTGTAATTTAAAAAATATGGTCTGCAGTCAAAACAGACCGGGAAGTCACCATATAGCATAGCTTGACATCTTGAGGCCCTGGCCAATAGCAAGGTGCCCCAGGCCAGAAGCTGGATTTTGCACCTTTGCCTCCCCAATCTACATTCTACACTCTCCCCACCATTCCATCCTGTCCCAGTTTTTTAAAAGCCCACGGACTGACCTTTAAAGCCCTAAACGGCCTCGGACCAGTATACCTGAAGGAGCATCTCCACCCTCATCCTTCAGCCCGGACACTGAGGTCCAGCACCAAGGGCCTTCTGGCGGTTCGCTCATTGCAAGAAGTGAGGTTACATGGAACCAGGCAGAGAGCCTTCTCGGTAGTGGCACCCGCCCTGTGGAACACCCTCCCTTCAGATGTGAAGGAAATAAGCAGCTATCCTATCTTTAAAAGACATCTGAAGGCAGCCCTGTTTGGGGAAGTTTTTAATGTTTGGTGTTGTCTTGTCTTTTTGATACTCGGTTGAAGGTATGTATACCCTGCCTATCTGGCTGAGTTTCCCCATCCACTCTGGGTGGCTCCCAATCGAGTGTTAAAAACAATACAGCATTAAATATTAAAACCTTCCCTAAACAAGGCTGCTTTCAGATGTCTTTTGAAGATAAGATAGCTGCTTATTTCCTTGACATCTGAAGGGAGGGCGTTCCACAGGCCACTACCGACAAGGCCCTCTGCCTGGTTCCCTGTAACCTCACTTTTCACAGGGAGGGAACTGCCAGACGGCCCTCAGCGCTGGATCTCAGTGTCCGGGCTGAACAATGGGGGTGGAGATGCTCCTTCAGGTATACTGGACCGAGGCCGTTTAGGGCTTTAAAGCTGCTAACAAGCCAGCAAGTAAAAAATAGACTAAGCGTCACCAGTATATCATGTCATATTATATCATTAGCAAGTATATAAAGGCATCTGTATTCTAAAAACAATATGACTTAAATTTTTGCTTCTTTAGGCAACGGGGACACTGTGCCAAAGCTCGCGGAGGAGAACGCTGACGGCTTGGGCTACGTGCCACAGCTGCCACGGAAAAAGGACAAGCGGGAATATCTGGTGGGTGGTTTTGCACTTGGCTCCCTTGCGTGGCCTCCTTGTGGCTGCTCGTTATTTCCTGGCTCCATCAATCTGTACCCAAGAACTGCTCTTATTCAGGGCTTTGGGAATTTAATTAATAGTAGTAATGTTGATGATGTTCCTCTACCAGGAGGGGTCATGTGTACCAGAATGTATTATTCTTATTCTTATTCTTTAAAATTGTATACTGCCCTGTACCCGCAGGTCTCAGGGCGGTTAATGTACAGGTAACAAGGACAAGGTAGCCTGATCCAGGCTTGACAATAGAAAGTTGCACACCGCTTTTGCGAAGCAACTGCATAATATGTCAGCTTGGATTTGAATTTCAAGCCCCTCCTTTTAAGGTCTTGTTCCCAAGGAGCAATGTTTGCCTCCCAAAGGTGGTTTGTGATACTCTTTTTCCCCCCTATCCACAGAAGCCAGCAATCAATGGCCTCCCACCGACTCCTAAGGTGCTGGTAAGAAACATTTTTGATCGTGTACGAGGAGCTGGAACGGCACGTGTTGAAACTGCTCTGCGTGTTGCGCCGTTTCTAGCTTTGCTTAGCCCTGAGAGGAAGGGCCCGGGCAGAGACGAATTCTCACTCTGCATCTCCTTAGCGTTAGCCCCCTGCCTTTGAGCCAGGCTCCCATCTCTGTTTCTTCTAACGGAGATCAGGGTTTGCAAAAGCATCTGTGCCCAGGGTCATCATCAGCGCCTGGCATACTGGGGCATATACTGGGGTCTCCGTAGCACTGCAGGGGCCGCCCCCTTGCCTGCGCCCTCCTCCGTTTCAGCCCTCTGGGACTTCCTTGCTTCCTGTTCCTGGCTTTCCAGAGGTGGGGTGTGCATGCTGTCACGGGCCAAGAGCTGTCATGTTACAGTGGTGTTGATGTAGGGCAGCCCCGTTTCCCCCATCTTGAACAGGACAGGGGTGCTCAGTGGGCTCCCCAGGGTTTTACGGTGTCGCTGCCTCCACTTAATAATCCAATTTGCAGGAGAAAAAAATCAGAAGCGAAGATCCTTGTGGGAACCTGGCTCAAAGGCAGGGGCTAACAGATTGAGGTTAAATCCTGACAAGACAGAAGTACTGTTTTGGGGGGACAGGGGGCGGGCTGGTGTGGAGGACTCCCTGGTCCTGAATGGGGTAACTGTGCCCCTGAAGGACCAGGTGCGCAGCCTGGGAGTCATTTTGGACTCACAGCTGTCCATGGAGACACAGGTCAAATCCGTGTCCAGGGCAGCTGTCTACCAGCTCCATCTGGTACGCAGGCTGAGACCCTCCCTGCCCGCAGACTGTCTCGCCAGAGTGGTGCATGCTCTAGTTATCTCTCGCTTGGACTACTGCAATGCGCTCTATGTGGGACTACCTTTGAAGGTGACTTGGAAACTGCAATTAATCTAGAATGTGGCAGCTAGACTGGTGACTGGGAGTGGCTGCCGAGGCCACATAATACCGGTCCTGAAAGAACTGCACTGGCTCCCAGTATGTTTCTGAGCACAATTCAAAGCTCTGCTGCTGACCTTTAAAGCCATAAACGACTTCGGTCCAGTATATCTGAAGGAGCATCTCCACCCCCATCGTTCAGCCCAGATGCTGAGGTCCAGCACCGAGGGCCTTCTGGCAGTTCCCTCGCTGCGAGAAGCCAAGTTACAGGGAACCAGGCAGAGGGCCTTCTCGGTGGTGGCACCCGCCCTGTGGAACGCCCTCCCACCAGATGTTAAAGAGAAAAACAACTACCAGACTTTTAGAAGACATCTGAAGGCAGCCCTGTTTAGGGAAGCTTTTAATGTTTAATAGATAGTTGTATTTTAATATTCTGTTGGAAGCCGCCCAGAGTGGCTGGGGAAACCCAGCCAGATTGGCGGGGTATAAATAATAAATTATTATTATTATTATTATTATTATTATTATTATTATTCCCATCCCGGCACAACCGGTCATTTCTCTGGCCTCTGAGACATCCATTGGCCATTGCCCCCTCATCTGCTTTGTTCCTTTGTGTTTTCTAATGGTCAGAGGAACTAGAAACTTGTGTGTTGCATTTACGCCAATGAAGACACCCCGTGGGTTTTTTTCCTTTTTGCTGTTGCAGATGGGAGCCTGCTTCTCCAAAGTGTTTGACGGCTGCCCTTTGAAGATCAACTGCGCCACATCCTGGATACACCCAGACACAAAAGGTGAGGGTGACTTTCCGTTTTTGAGCTGGGAAGGAATTCACACCCCACCCCAGTTGCGTTTCCGAAGAGGCTAAACCAGTTTCTCCTCTGCCATGTTCTAGATCAGTATATCATCTTTGGCACGGAAGAAGGCATCTACACTCTCAACCTCAACGAGCTCCACGAAGCCACCATGGAACAGGTAGGGGAGAGCTGCTCAGGGCCAGCAGGATCCTTCTGGGAGGCCGAGGCCAGGGAGATGGGCAAAGCCCCCTTTCAGGATGGGGGACTAGGTGCGCCTCCTCCAGGGCAGGAGGGCTGGATGGCCACTGTGGGTGGAGCAAAGGGCTCTCTAATCTTCCCTACTCTTAAGTTCCATCATCTTAAGACAGCAGTGGAAAACCTGTGGCCTCCAGGGGCTGCTGGACTCCAGCTCCCATCATCCCTGGGTCTTGGCCACACTGCTTGGGGCAGATGGGAGTTGGAGTCCAGCAATACCTGGAGAGACACAGGCTCCTCACCCTGAGAAAAATGTGGAACCAGCCATCGGAGCTTCTCAGGTTCCCCAATTTCCCTAGCTAGTATCTGCAGCCCTATGACTTAAGATCAGCCTTCCCCCAGCCTGTTGCCCTTCAGATGAACAACAGCTGCAGCCATCACCGTGCCATGCTGATGGGAGCTGTAGTCTCTAAAACACGAGTTCCGCTTTTGTTTTACAGGTGAAACTCGAAAAATTAGAATATCGTGGAAAAGTTCGTTTATTTCAGTAATTCAACTTAAAAGGTGAATCTAGTATATGAGATGGACTCATGACATGCAAAGTGAGATATGTCAAGCCTTTATTTGTTATAATTGTGATGATCATGGCATACAGCTGATGAAAACCCCAAATTAACAGTCTCAGAAAATTAGACTATTAAATGAAATCAGCAAAACAAGGATTGCAAATAGAGCAATATTGGACCTCCGAGAAGTAGAAGCATGCATATGTACTCAGTACTTGGTTTGGGCCCCTTTTGCATCAATTACTGCTGATAGCATCCATGCCACGCCGCATTGAGGCAGTAATAAAGGCTTGACATATCTCGCTTTGCATGTCATGAGTCTATCTCATATACTAGTTTCACCTTTTAAGTTGAATTACTGAAATAAATGAACTTTTCATTGATATTCTAATTTTTTGAGTTTCACCTGTACTCATTTAATTTCCCCAGGCCATCCTTTTAAGATACTGTCTGAAAGAGTTTTTATTCTGTTCTGCTGCCCTGCTTTTATTGTTTCTGCTGTTTTTCAATATATTTGGTTCCGATGTGTTGGTTCTCATTGTTTTTAGTTACAGCGGTGCCTCGCAAGACGAAAAGAATCCGTTCCGCGAGTCTCTTCGTCTTGCGGGTTTTTTCGTCTTGCGAAGCAAGCCCATTAGAGGTTTAGCGGCTTAGCGCTACAGTATTAGCGGCTTAGCCGGCTTAAAGATCAGCTGATAAGCGGCTTAACGATCAGCTGATAAGCGGCTTAAAGATCAGCTGATAAGCAGCTTAGCATCAGCTGTTAAGCGGCTTAAAGATCAGCTGATAAGCGGCTTAAAGATCAGCTGATAAGCGGCTTAGCATCAGCTGTTAAGCGGCTTAAAGATCAGCTGATAAGCGGCTTAGCCATCAGCTGATAAGCGGTTTAGCGGCTTGGGGAAAAGGGGGGGGGGAAGGAAAAAAGCCCCGCAGGAACTCGCAAGACATTTTCGTCTTGCGAAGCAAGCACATAGGAAATTCGTTTTGCGAAGCACCTCCAAAACGGAAAACCCTTTCGTCTTGCGGGGCACCACTGTATTCAATATCATCTCGGGAGGTGACGAGGTTCCCCTATACTAGAGGCATTTAAAGAGAGGTCAGGCAGCCCTCCATAGGGGAGGCTGAGGTTGCATCCTGCATTAGAAGAAGAAGAAGAAGAGTTTGGATTCGATATCCCGCCTTTCACTCCCTTTAAGGAGTCTCAAAGTGGCTAACATTCTCCTTTCCCTTCCTCCCCCACAACAAACACTCTGTGAGGTGAGTGGGGCTGAGAGACTTCAAAGAAGTGTGACTGGCCCAAGGTCACCCAGCAGCTGCATGTGGAGGAGTGGGGAAGCGAACCCAGTTCCCCAGATTACGAGTCCACCGCTCTTAACCACTACACCACACTGGCTCTCACCCACGCAGACATATGTCTATTGGATTAGGGAGCCTCCTCTGAGGTGGACTCTGTGGCCTCCAAGTGTCTCCTTCCGACTGTAAATTTCTGTGGTCTGTGAGTCAGCCTGGAAGTGTGAGGGATAGAGAGAGGTTATATAAGCTATGTATATATGAAAATAAAACAGATTAAAACTGAGTGTAACTCTCGAAAGCTTAATAGTAACCTCATGACCCAATGCATACTTATCTGGGTATACACCCCATTCATCACAGCAGGACCTAACTTCTGAGTTAACACAGAATCATAGAGTTGGAAAGGACCAGAAAAATTTAACCTGGGAACCTGAGTTACCAGAAACTGCCTTCCATGCTTCCTTTAACGCTTCCCCAGTTTTTCACCCATGGGAATCTCTTCTGCTCCTTTTTCTAGCTGTTTCCGCGGAGATGCACCTGGCTCTACGTGATCAACAATACCTTAATGTCGCTCTCAGGTATGTCAGTTGCTAAAGAAATGCACCGCAAAGCTTAAATGGGGGGTTGCAGGGGAACAGGATATTCTCTTAGGAAATCTTCCCTTTGGTGTGCTGAATTTAGCTTGGCTTACGGTAATGCCACGGAAGTCATTTTTAATTTGTTTCTTTCTCTTTTGCTCTCTGCAATTTGCTTGGACCTCTCTGGATATTTTGGGGCTGTCCTTTTTAGAAGGTAACCTTTTCCCACTCTGCATTCTTTGTTTTTATTCAGTATTTGCATTTATTGTTATAATATGCCAGAGTTTTGAGACAGGCCGTGTTTCTGTTGCAGGGAGAACATTCCAGCTCTACTCTCATAACCTAATAGCTTTGTTTGAACAAGCCAAAAAAACAGGCCTTGCTGCTCATATTCAGACCCATCGGTTCCCCGACAGAATATTGCCCAGGTAAGCTAGCGCTCTCTTACCTCTTGAACCCAGTCTCAGGGCTAGCCGACATAATGCCTTCTAGAAGCTGCAGGGACTACAACTCCCATCAGTCCCAGCCAGTCAAGGATGATGGAAGCTGTAGTGCATCAGTGTCTGGAGAGCCCCACGTTCACTGCCCTGGCATTAAGTGCGCCTTCTCTTGTTTTTTATTTTATTTAGATAACACAGATTGTAAGCTCTTGGAATGGTTAGGTGTGTGCGTGTTTTTCACTATGAAGTAAATCATTTTTAAAAGTCAAGTAAAACTGCAGTTTCAAGAAACAGGAAAACATGGGGCAGAATTCAGTATTGCACTCTAAGAGTTGTTCCATCAGCACAAGGGTTTTGGCTTCCCTGATGGAGTGGTCACCCCTTTCCTTCCCATCTGTGCTGTCCTGGGCATTTTCCAGAAAGCCACACGCACCCCAGGCAATTTGCAGCGATGTGGGTAAGCCCTGCTACACTAGCACAAGTTGTTGCACTGGCCCCCACTAGCGCAAGTATTCAGTTGAATCCATCCCCAAATGCCCAACATTGCGGTTTGGGCCTCTTCTTACCCCATGAGCCTGCCTGGACATGAAAAAATCATCTTCCAACAACCTTCACTTACCTTCAGAGGTAAGTGGCAGCTTATCCAAAGAAACCTCATTTCTTGGAGGTTTTTAAGCAGAGGTTCGATGGCCACCAAATTTCAGGGAAGCTCTGATACAAAATGCAAAATGCCCTGATAAAGAACAGGATATGAAATCTTGCATGAGGTGGAGAACGTGAGAAGGGGATTAGACAGTAATGAGGGCTATCAAGGATCGCTTCCCATGAGAACTGTATTCTGCCTCCACTGTCAAGAGGCAAGTATATTGCTAGACACCAGGTGCTGGGGAAGAACAGAGGAAGAATGCCATTGTGCTCATCTCCAGAGGCATCTGGTTGGCCACTCTGGTAGCAGGAGACTGGACTCAATAGGCCTAAGGCCTGATCCTCGTAGATAAGAAGTCAGATAAAACATGGAGGTCTGATTTGTAGCCGAAGGGGGGTTACACCAGGAGAGCCCTGCTGGCTCAGGGTCCATGCTTTTGGTAGGTCCTTCAAGGGAACACAAATACTACCCAGTATACCTGAAGGAGCGTCTCCACCCCCATCGTTCTGCCCAGACGCTGAGGTCCAGCGCCGAGGGCCTTCTGGCAGTTCCCTCACTGCAAGAAGCCACGTTACCAGGCAGAGGGCCTTCTCGGTGGTGGCGCCTGCCCTGTGGAACGCCCTCCCATCAGATGTCAAAGAGATAAACAATTACCTGACATTCAGAAGACATCTTAAGCCAGCCCTGTTCAGGGAAGTTTTAAATGTATGATATAGTAGTGTATTTTTGGTCTTTGTGGAAGCTGCCCAGAGTGGCTGGGGAAACCCAGCCAGATGGGCGGGGTACAAATAATAATAATAATAATAATAATAATAATAATAATAATATTACCTACTTCCCTCTCGTATGCTCCCCCGGCTGCTAGGCAGAGGTAGACTGCCACTATCCATGGAGGGTCTATTTGGGGCCCATTTTGCAAGCTTGGGCAACAGTCGCATTGGTTTCGCTCCATCTACGTTCCCGTTTATATTCAGCGGGCTGAATGCAAAAGTGACATAAGAGGTAGTCCTAGTTAAACCAACAAACCATTCACACTTAACTCTCATTTCAGGAAATTTGCCTTAACGACAAAGATCCCGGATACAAAAGGGTGCCATAAATGCTGTATAGGTAAGTCTTCCGCTTGAGCTTCTGGAGACAATCTTCTCCCAGCTTTGTGGACCTGCTTGGACCTTCTCGGCCGGGGCATCTGCTGCTCCCTCCCTCCAAAGTTTGCTTATATCCCACCTTCCTTCCATCCCAGAACCCAAAGCAACATATATGTGTTTTGATATGTGTTCAGACCCCTGGGCTCTCACTTGTGGGGTGCCTCAGGGTTCCGTCCTCTCCCCTATGCTTTTTAACATCTACATGCAGCCGCTAGGAGAGATCATCAGGGGGTTTGGGTTGGGTGTTCATCAATATGCGGATGATACCCAGCTCTACCTCTCTTTCAAATCAGAACCAGTAAAGGCGGTGAAGGTTCCTGTGTGAGTGTCAGGAGCAGGTTGGAGGATGGATGGCGGCTAACAGATTGAGGTTGAATCCTGACAAGACAGAAGTACTGTTTTTTGGGGACAGGAGGCAGGCAGGTGTGGAGGATTCCCTGGTCCTGAACAGGGTAACTGTGTCCCGAAGGACCAGGTGTGCAACCTGGGAGTCATTTTGGACTCACAGCTGTCCATGGAAGTGCAGGTCAATTCTGTGTCCAGGGCAGCTGTTTACCAGCTCCATCTGGTACGCAGGCTGAGACCCTCCCTGCCTGCAGACTGTCTTGCCAGAGTAGTGCATGCTCTAGTTATCTCCTGCTTGGACTACTGCAGTGCGCTCCACGTGAGACTACCTTTGAAGGTGACCCGGAAACTGCAATTAATCTAGAATGTAGCAGCTAGACTGGTGACTGGGAGCAGCCACCGAGACCACATAACATTGGTCCTGAAAGATCTTCATTGGCTCCCAGTACGTTTCTGAGCACAATTCAAAGTGTTGCTGCTGACCTTTAAAGCCCTAAACGGCCTCAGCCCAGTATACCTGAAGGAGCGTCTCCAGCCCAGACACTGAGGTCCAGTGCCGAGGGCCTTCTGGTGGTTCCCTCACTGCGAGAAGCCAAGTTACAGGGAACCAGGCAGAAGGCCTTCTCGGTAGTGGTGCCGGCCAAGTGAGTTCTGCTCCCAGCTCTCCCACTGCTGGAACTGACTCAGTCCTAACCTTTTGGGGTTGTTCCTCTGCTTTTGTTTTCTTCCTCTGCAGTGAGAAATCCCTATACAGGCCACAAATACCTCTGTGGAGCGTTGCAGCTGGGGATCGTTTTGCTTCAGTGGTATGAACCGATGCAGAAGTTCATGTTAATAAAGGTGCGTGAGGCTGTTTTTTGTGCGACTTCGTGGTGGTGTTTCATGGGAATGCGTCCGCTGAGGGTGGAACTTAAAGGCTTTCGTGCAAGACGTTAAGCCGTTTCAGATCTGGAGTGAGAGTCGCATCTGCCGTCAGTTAACTTCCGTGCTTGGTTCAGGGTGTTGATCAGAGCCCTAATAGACCGCTTTGAAGGGGCAGCCAAGACTTGGGGGGCAGGGAGGACCCCTTCACCATTGACCCCTGTCCTGGGGGATACCAAGGCCCTCCCTGCAGCTCATCATCACACTGTCTCCAACTCCAGCATTTAGAGTAGCAGATGAAGGGCTCCTTTTCAGGAGAACCTTTTGAAAGTGATCCTGAGTCTTCTATACCTGTATATTTTTATTTTGATGTTGCTTTTGTTCATTTGCATTGCAAGGGGGGTTGGACTAGATCAGGGTTTCCCAAACTTGGGTCACCAGCAATTTTGAGACTACAACTCCCATCTTCCCTAGCTAGCAGGACCACTGGTCAGGGATGATGTGAACTGTAGTCTGGAGACCCAAGTTTGGGAAACTCTGGACCCTTTGGCTTCCTCCCATCTCTGCAATTCTGATTCTATAGTGATTTTAATTTACCGTATTTATCTGTGTATAAGATGCCCCCAATGTATAAGATGACCCCTATTTTTTTTAACCCAAAATTAAGAAATTAGGTTGTTTAGCTTTTGGGGGGGAGGTCACTTTTGCCAATTGTTCACATGCCTGCCCGCCACTGCCAGTCGCTTGCCACAGCCACTGCCGATCACACACCTTGCTGCAGCTGCCAATTGTCTGCCTAATTGCCACAACCACAGCCAATCACCAGCAGGCCTTGCCACACCCACCAATCACCCTCCCAATCGCTGCTGCCAATCTCCTGTTTGCTGCTGCCATTAATCACACGTCCCCCCTCTGCATTCACTATCCATGTATAAGACGACACCCAATTTTTGCCTAATTTTTTTTTGCAAAAAGCATCGTCTTATACACAGAAAAATACGGTACTTAAACAAAATGCTGTTGAGGCTGGTCATTGTTTACAGGGTGAGATCTAAATGTTAAAAATAATTTAGATGTCCACTCCGTAAGAAGCCAAATCTCAGAACAGGCTGGTTGCTGTTCAGTCTCTTCTTTACTTTCATTTTGGTGGCCTTGTTGTTTCTTTCCCCCTGCCCCTTCCAGCACTTTGATTTCCCGCTGCCGACCCCCCTGAACGTCTTCGAAATGCTGGTGATCCCAGAGCAGGAGTACCCCATGGTGTGCGTGGCGATAAGCAAGGGAGTCGAACCAAACCAGGTCGTCCAGTTTGAGACAATTAACCTGAACTCTGCTTCTTCGTGGTTTACAGAAACTGGTGCAGGTGAGGCTCCGGCAGACCTGAGTTCAGTTTACTGTAAGAGGCGATATGAGTTACTCACAGCAAAAGTGGGGGAGTGCAAGAGGTTGGAGGGGCCAAGTTCTGCTCAGAGGAGGGTTCTGTCACTTGGCAGGCTCTTTTGTGGGGAAGGGCAGCGGAAGAGGTGACATTATAGCGTGGATGGCGAGAGCGGAGAGAGAAGATTCAGGGGTTTGAGGATGGGCTGGATGCAAATGGTTGCTCTCTCTTCTTCTCCCCTCCATCAAGGTTGCCAACAGCTCGATGCCATCCACGTCACCCAGCTGGAGAGGGACACAGTTCTTGTCTGCTTGGACAGTAAGTAGCAGGAGTTAGAGCTTGCTTGCTTTTTTGCTTTTTTTCCCCCTTTTTTGAGCTCCGAGGCAGAAAGCAATAGAAAAAGAGGAGGGGCCAAAAACAGAATAAACACAATAAAACATAATAATAAGCTAGCTAGGGGTGATGGGAGTTGTAGTTCAACAACATCTGGACACCCACAGGTTGAGAAAGGCTGTTTTGTGGCAGATGAAGATGATGGATTTTTCGGAGCTGGCCGACCTGACTGGAAGAGTCCGCGACCAGAAGGGGGAGGAGTACCAGGAAGAATGAAATTTAAAGACTATTTAGCTAAATATGTTAAGATAACTTAATTGGAAAAGCTTGCAAGTATTAGATAGGCTTAGGATTTAAATATGTAAGGAGAGGATTTAAGATGTTTAAAGCTAACTGAGAAAGAATGAAAGATGTTAAGTGATCAAGTTAATTTTTTGAGAAATTCGATTTCGGCATACTGTTAAAATGATATATAATGAAATTCAACCAAGGGGATTTGAGGAAGTCACTTAATAATGTTACAAAGATTGGTTTAATTACAAATAGGATATATGTGTGCTTGTTTGTTTGTTTAAAATTTTTGGAAAATCAATAAAAAATTTGGGAGGGAAAAGAGAGAAAGGCTGTTTTAGAACAAGGCAGCCTGAAAGCAGCATTTAAGCTAAAAATCAGTTTAAAGCAGCAGTAGAATTACACATTAAAACCCTATAAAGATCAGTTCCTCAAAACACAGTTTATTAACATTCCTGTGTTATTATGATGGTGGTGGTGATTTTGCATTCTGTCGCTGTGGTTCTCCAGCAGCAGCCGTTGCATGTCTTGTGGGCTGAGTGGCTGCTGCCGTGGGCCCTGGCTCTTCCTGCTTCCATGTATTTGTTGGGGCAGCCTCTGAGCTGACCCAGCAATCCCGATTTGGCTCTCGTTTCTCCCTTTTAAGGATTTGTGAAAATTGTGAATCTGCATGGGAAACTGAAGTCGAGCAAGAAGCTGGCCTCCGAACTAAGCTTTGATTTCTGCATTGAATCTGTAGGTGAGCAGAGACCGTCTTCACCATCGTTTATTGTCTCCAAAGTGCATGCTGTATGTTAACTCGGAGGGGGGGGTCCCTTTTCAACCCGAGGGCCATATTCCCTTCTGGGCAACCTTCCAGGAGCCAAATGCCAGCAGTGGGTGGGGCCAGGTACAAAAGCAGGCGGGGAAACACCTGTGAATTCCCTCTTGGTCCTCCACCAGAAGCTTTGTCAGAGTCCAAGGATGCATTCTAGCCAGGCAAAAATCCTCAAGGAGGGGACCAAGCTGTGGCCGGTGAGAATGTCTGGCCTGGAGAGAGTCTTGGGGGCCAGGTAAAGAAGCCTGGAGGTCCCAAATTCCTGCGGTAGATTGCATGCAACCCCACAGGCTCAGAGTCTGCAAGACACAAGACAGGAAGATGTTGGAAGTGACATTCCTCAAATGCCTGGGAGGCTTTCCTTGCTGAGAACCAGCCATTGTTATGGCGGGAGTGTTCCTCTTGACGGCATGTTTGGGCCTTCTGTGCGGCTCCTGAAAGCTCAGAGTGTGCGATCAGTGTCCCTCATTGGCTGGAGGCTGGTGGGAGTTGAGGGGGGCAGCCCGTCTGCTGCCATGACCCACTGACCTTGGAGGCTTGCGGTGGAGGCTGCAGACAGAGTTCTCTAGCCAGGGTTACAGCTGCAACCCAGAAGCCAGGGCTCTGTGCTGGCGTTGAAAAACCAAGAGGCAACCATTGGGCAATGCCTTGGCAGACACTTCCTGTTGGTCCTGCCAAAGACCAGCTGTCTCCAAGACATGTCTCTGGACTCCTTCCCACCATTTAATGGACCTATCACTCAGCAGGTGGGGAGAGCAAGTAGGTCTCCCCTGGAATCCCCTCCCCGTGCTCTCTAAGACCACCCCGTAAAACAGCCCTGATTGGCCTTGCATTGTGTCTTGAGGCAGCGGTGGCCAACAGCCTGGATGGCTTTCAGAGGATTGGACACATTCAGATTGGAGAAAACCGTCCATGGCTTTTAGCCACGATGGCCACACTCTGCCTGCAGACTTGGAGCCAGCAATGCTTGTGAATACCAGTTGCAGGAGGTATTCAGGACAGGAGGACAGGACAGTGTTGCTTTTTGTGCTCAGGTCCCGCTTGCCGTTTTCCCATTGAGACATCTGGCCAGCCACTCTGAGAACAGGATGCTGGACTAGATGGGCCCAGGGGCCTGAACCAGAAGGGCTGCTCCTCCTCTTCTTCTTCTTCTTCTTCTTCTTCTTCTTCTTGTCGTATAGTCGTGTCCGACTCTTCATGACCCCCTGGACCAGAGCACGCCAGGCACTCCTGTCTTCCACTGCCTCCCGCACTTTGGTCAAACTCATGCTGGTAGCTTCGAGAACACTGTCCCACCATCTCGCCCTCTGTCGTCCCCTTCTCCTTGTGCCCTCCATCTTTCCCAACATCAGGGTCTTTTCCAAGGAGTCTTCTCTTCTCATGAGGTGGCCAAAGTCTTGGAGCCTCAGCTTCAGGATCTGTCCTTCCAGTGAGCACTCAGGGCTGATTTCCTTCAGCATGGACAGGTTTGATCTTCTTGCAGTCCGTGGGACTCTCAAGAGTCTCCTCCAGCACCAGAATTCAAAAGCATCCATTCTTCGGCAATCAGCCTTCTTTATGGTCCAGCTCTCACTTCCATACCGCACTACTGGGAAAACCACAGCTTTAACTATACGGGCCTTTGTTGGCAAGGTGATGTCTCTGCTTTTTAAGATGCTGTCTAGTTTTCTCATTCTTACCTTGTTGCATCTCTCCCGCAGTGTGCCTTCAAGACAGTGTTCTGGCCTTCTGGAAGCACGGGATGCAAGGGAAAAGCTTTAAGTCTGATGAAGTAAGTCTTGGGCTTGGGGGGGGCCCTTGTTTTCCCAGCCTTGCTGCCCTCCGTGGAAGGAACTTGGTTGCTCTGCTGAGAGAGGAACGCCCCTTCTCAGGGAAAGCCAGAGAGGGGAGGGGAGCCCTTGCTGCTCTGGCCTAGTGAAGGATCATAGTTGGCCCACGTTCGGTTAGAAGAATATTGGGTGCCAGGTGAGGGGAAAGAGCATTCTCTGGCCAAGATCCTGCAGAGCAACAGACAGTCAGAGTAGAAGGGCAATTGGCCTGACCTGGTGTGAGATGGCTTCTTGTGCGGATGCCTGATGATCGTCTTCCAGAGCAACTACTCTATTCCGAACTTAAAAATGGAAAGCGTCATGCTGGTGGTCAACAAAAGGTTTATAGACTGTCTCAAGGCAAATCTAAAAAATGTAGTATAAACACTAACAGTTGGGAAATACTGGCCTGCGAGCACTCCAGTTGGAGGACAGCCTTGGCCAAAGGTGTCATGGGCTTTCAAGACGCTCGGACTCAAGACACAAGGGAGAAACGTGCTAAGAGGAAGGCACGCTTGGCAAACCCCCAGCGTGATCAACTCCTGCCCGGAAACCAATGTCCCCACTGTGGAAGGATGTGGGGATCCAGAATTGGCCTCCACAGTCACTTACGGACTCACTGTTAAGACCGTGTTTATGGAAAACAATCTTACTTGGCTATGAGGGATCGCCAAAGAAGAAGACATTCTCAAGTATAGCGACTTAAGGGTGGAGGGGCATCGGCAGTCAGGTTTGTAGCCCCCAGATCACATCACAGCTATGAAGTCACTAACAAGCCTAGGTCATTCCCACCACCATGGAGATAATAACAGAATCAGGGAATTGTAGAGTTGCAAGGGACTCCCAAGGGTCATCTAGTTGAACCCCAAATAAAAGCGTTCGAAGTTGCACAAACACACTATACAAAGTTGTTGTGAAGTTTATCACGATGATGTAAAGTGCTATTTATTATTATTATTACTCACAGTTGGTTTATATTGTTTTACCAGTACCACTGCCCGCTAACTCTCGTGTAAGGCTTGCCATAACGGCGCAAACAACGTGCTCATGGTTCTCACTTCATTATGGGAGGTACCATTGCCCAGTGGCGTAACACCTTCCTAGGGGCATTGTTTGCTGTCTTTGTGTTGAGTCAGGCCATTGGTCCGTCTAGTTCAATATTGTCGACACTGGCTGGCAACGGTCTTCCTGGCTTTTAGGCAGGGGTCATCCCCAGCCTCCCCCCAGGATAGCAGCACATAAGCATTCCTATCTAGCCCATTTGGAGAGTGGGAAGCATGATATGCACACATTAACTCAGTGATAAACCTAACAATAACCCTGTAAGTCAGGCCAGGATAATAACAGCTTGCCTAAGGCCACAATGAGTCTGGCTGAAGTGAGATTTGAATTTGGGCTTCCCAGCTCCACGAGAATCCTGCCCTTGGGCCACTGCACTGTCGTACAAATTAAATGTAAGATACAACAAATAGCAATGCAACAATAATGTATATGGATAGATTTCTGTTTGGGCCTTTAGCACTGAGTGCTTTTGCACTCTGTTCCAGCGCAGAGGCAAGGAAAGAGTGCCTGGGCCTGACACCCATTCCCAGGGGGCTTAAACCAGGGGTTCAGATCCTGGATGGTGTCAGACTCCAGCTCCCTTGACCTAACCCAGCATGGCCCAGAAGTCAGGAATGGTGGGAGCTCGAGCCCAGCAGCATTGAACCATGGTTCAGTAAGCTGCGAAGGTTGCTTCTGAACTAACTTGCTGTGCATTTTGTCAACAGCGACCGGACTATTTGACTCAACCCTCCTCCGCAGTCTTAGCTGGTTCAAGTGTCCCTTTCTCTGCCCCTTTTGCAGGTAACCCAGGAGATCTCAGACGAAACTCGGGTGTTCCGCTTGTTGGGCTCCGACAGGTGAGCTGAGAAGATTTTGACACACTGCACAGTACAAATCTTATATTTAGATTTCCAGTCTTCCTGCATTAGAAAACTTCACGGCCACGTTCTTAAAAGAGATGCCTTTTCCCATGTCATGGGATGCATCCAGCAATACGCCCCCTTGTAGCATGTTTAATAATAATAATAATAATAATAATAATAATAATAATAATAATTACAATGGTACCTCCAGTTGCGAACAGCATCCGTTCTGGAGGTCTGGCTGCATCCCAAGGTATTCGCAACCAGTGGGTGGCTTTTACGCATGCGCATGGCGCAGTTTAGCGCTTCTGCGCGTGTGCGTGCAGCAAAACCCGGAAAAATACTTCCAGGTTTGCCGCGTTTGCATCCCGAAGTTTACGTAACAGAGGGATACGTAAGCGGAGGTATGACTGTATTATTATTATTAAGTCCGATGTTAACGCCCACGGTGGTGCCCACGGTGGCTGGTGGCAGTGGAAGTTGTCGCCCCAACATCTGCAGGGTACCAGGCTGGGGGAGGCTGTGGTGAACACGGCCCCCGGGTGCCCACTTGCAGTGAGGGCTAACTTGCTCGTTCCGCCTTCCCCTCACAGGGTGGTGGTGCTGGAGAGCAGGCCGACCGACAACCCAACAGCCCACAGCAATCTCTACATTTTGGCCGGCCACGAAAACAGTTACTAGGCAACCGAAACCCGACTCGGAACCGCCAGCCAAGGAATACGTCACATAAGGAAGCAGCCCTCAAGGAAATGCTATCCAAGCCGGACTCTCCCTCTCGCTCTCGCTCTCTCTCTGTTTTCTCCCTCCCTCTCCCTTTGCTCTACTGTGTCAATATCCAAACGGACCCATTTTTTTAGGAACGAGAGCCAAACGTCGTCTGGGCGTCTTGCAGCTGGGAAGCAGCTGATCTGTCACTTGCCACTGTGTGGTTGGTTATGTTGAGTTTGCTTAATAAAAGCTACGAGGTTAATAAGCCGCTCTGGTTCGTTAGGCCCAGGCGGGGGGGAGATCCCAAATGCGTTCACGGTGCCATGCGGTTCTCGGCGCAGACTTCTTTTGTCTTCTGGTTAAAATACCAAGGCTGCCGCTGCCTTCCTATCTTGTGGCAATGCCACCTGTTGAATGCTGGTGGCCGAGATCTTGTCCAAATGATCCACTTTCAAGAGGTCATCGGCATTCCTGAGATATCGTGGGTTTTCTGTTTTTTAACGCAACTGTTCTCTGTGGGTTTGTAAAATAGACTATTTAATCCTTATTTATTAATCTGCTGCTAGGGTCGTGTGATGTATCCTAACTTCTAGCACATGAAGGTTGCAGCGCAGCTTTTGGGGGGGTTGAGGGAGGGGGGCTCCTTCCCCCCCTTCTTTATACAATTGTACAAAGAACCTGGTATTCATTTCACCCTTTTTGCCTCTTAGATGAAGCCCGTCGTCTGAGGGAGGTGTTTATATATAGATAAATATATATATAGGGGGACGTAGGGTGGGAGGAAAGACCTTTTGGCTATTCTTGCAGAAATGCTGTTTTGTACAAGAGTCTTTTGTAGGGGTTTTTGCTCGTGGGATTTGTCGCCAGAGGGAGCGTGTGGCAGAAATGCAAAGCCGTATCTCCGTGAGGAATCAAGGATCCCTAGATTGGCTGGAAAGATATATTGTGTGTGAGAGAGAGTGTGTGTGAGGGGAGCGCACAGGTGTGCCATCGTCAGGAGCTCCTGAGACTGTACGGAGAAAAAGAGATGAAAGGAAAGCTCATCCAGGTCTTGTGGATCCCTGGATCCCCACCCAGTGCAGTCCAGGCAAGGTGGAGGTCTTGGTTCAGGCCGGGTGAGACAGAGGTGGTAAGGCCGATTCCAGAGGCTCCCTGGTCCTTGCAGCTGGGTCCCTGGTGCGAATCATCCCTTTCCCTGGAAACATCCCCCTTTCTGTCACGACAGATGCCAAACTGGGAGCGCAGGAAGCCACCGACTGGATGAGCCTTTCTAAAACTGCTTTCAGGGGAGAGCTTTTTTTAATGCTTCACGGACACGTATTTTATTTATACTGTGCCAGAGGAGAAAATGCCATGCCTGGAAGAAAGGAACTAGATTTCCCCCGAACTGGGCAAGTTTCGAAAGGGTCTGTTTTTTAAAAAAATTCCCGGTGGTATAGTATAAATATATATATAAGACGCAGTATTGTCTAATAAATCTTGGGGAATATCCTTTGTTCCATTATCCCTTTCTCGAGGCTCTCATCCATGTTTCTCCTCCACGCCCCCCTTTCATCCATTAAAGTATCCCTTTTGCTCCTGATTTTTGTCTGCTTTCATTCATTACGTTTTAGTGGTTCTGCAGAGGAACACTGTCAGTGGGGGGGGGCCTGGCTCTCTCAGCAGAGGAACTGCCTTGCATGCAGGAGGGCCCAGGTGGGGGTCTCTGGCGTCTCCAGGTGGGGCTGGGGGTGTCGTCTGAAATTCTGGAGATCCACTGCCAGTCTGTGTAGGTAATATTGAGTTAGGCGGCCGGGTGGTTTGGCTTGGTACAAGGCAGCTATGTTTACAAGGTAACCATTCTGAACTTCCTGCTAATCTGGTAACAATTTGGATTACATCCCCCCCCCCCCCAATAAGGAAAAGCTACCACTTCAGGGATATTGCATCATTCCAGGTCTTCGTAGAACTGTAGATTTGGAAAGGGACCCCAAGGGGCATCTAGTCCAACCCTCCCAAAGTGCAGGAATATGCAGCTGTCCCATACGGGGGTCGAACCTGCAGCCTTGACATTGTCAGCTCCACACTCTAGCCAGCTGAGCTATCCAGGCTATCCATTCCATTCCCCAGCTAGCAGGGCCACTGGGATGTCAGAGCACTGCTCTCCAGATGTTTCAGACTAGTAATAGTAATTTATTATTTGTACCCCGCCCATCTGGCCAGGTTTCTCCAGCCACTCTGGGCGGCTTCCAACAAAGATTAAAAATACATTAAAATGTCACACATTAAAAACTTCCCTGAACAGGGCCGCCTTCAGATGTCTTCTAAATGTCAGGTAGTTGTTTATCTCTTTGACATCTGATGGGAGGGCATTCCACAGGGCGGGTGCCACCACCGAGAAGGCCCTGGTTCCCTGTAACCTTTTTTGCAGGGAGGGAACCGTCAGAAGGCCCTCAGCGCTGGACTACAAATCCCATAGCCAGTGGGAGTTTTAGTCCAGCACATCCCGAGGCACCAGGTACCTGGCAAAGGCCGGTGTGGGGTTGGTTACATAAGCGTCCCTGGATACTGGCCGTGCCATCCCTGACATCAAGCATGAAGACACGTGTCAAAACTGGAGCATTGCATGTAAAGATTAAAAGCTATAGTGGGAGCCAACAGAAAGCCCCTGCTCACGCTGGCTCCCCTTTTTTCAAGACCCAAAGGGCTTCTTGGGCACACTGACCCCTCTCTGCCTGACCTGTGGGACTTTTGTCTCTGGGGACACCCATCACTGGCTCTGCTCCACACCTCCTTCAGTGATTTTCATCCGACTAGATGGTAAGGATGCCTCTTGCCCGGACATGTGTGTGTGTGCAGAAACTTGCTGAGTTTTCCCTGGCAGGAATGCAGCCGTGTACAAAGTTCAGCATCCTACCTGTTGCTCCGCCCACTTCTTGCCTCTGGCCCCGCCCTCACATGTATGGTTCCTTCAGGGGGTGGGGGGTGGCCTTTGGCCTGAAAAATGTTCCTTATCTAGGGATAGGATTTTGTGCAACAGAAAGGGCTTCGCCTGGTACCTGAAGACTGGCAAAGGTGGTACCAGGTGCATCTCCCTAACAGCAGCTTTCTGTAGAAGGACACCATCCCCAGTTGGAGCACGGGCTTTTGAAGGGCTTTTGCTGAAGACCGCAGGGTCCGGGCCGGTTCACTTATTAATCTAATAAAGGGGGAGGGCCAGTTTCTAGCTGATGGGAGTTGTAGTCTGAAAACCTCTGGAAGGAAAAGCTTGACAAAGGCTGCCCTACAGGGAAGGTAGAACCTATTCACTGTGGCCATTGGCGTCCTTCCCCTTGCAGAAGACAGAATCGGGATTCAAGAGGACCTTAACGGAGCGGAGACCTGGGCACAAGCTAACAAAATGAATGTCAACAGGGACAAATGTCAGGTTCTGCCCTTAGGAAGAACCAGAAGCACAAATACAAGGCGGGGGACACCTGGCATACTAGCAGTACACGTGAAAAGGATCTAGGGGTCTTGGTGGACTATAAGCTGAACGTGAGTCAATCGTGTGATGCAGCAGCAAAAAAAGCCAATGCTATTCTAGGCTGCATCAACAGATGTAAAGTGGTTCCTCAGGTTACAGACGCTTCAGGTTGCAGACTCTGCTAACCCAGAAATAGTATCTCGGGTTAAGAACTTTGCTTCAGGATGAGAACAGAAATCGTGCTCCGGTGGCGCGGCAGCAGCAGGAGGCCCCATTAGCTAAAGTGGTGCTTCAGGTTAAGAACAGTTTCAGGTTAAGAATGGACCTCCGGAACGAATTAAGTACTTAACCCGAGGTACCACTGTATAGTGTTCAGTTCAAGGGAAGTAATAGTCCCACTCTCTTCTGCCTTGGTCAGACCACACTTGGAATACTGCGTCCAATTCTGGGCACCACAATTTGAGCAGGACATTGACAAGCTGGAAGGTGTGCGGAGGAGGGCGACCAAGATGATCAAGGGTCTGGAAACCAAACCTGATGAGGAACGGTTGAAGGAGCTGGGTATGTTTAGCCTGGAGAAGAGAAGACTGAAAGGAGATATGAGAGCCATCTTCAGATATCTCAAGGGTTGCCCCATGGAAGAGGGAGCAAGCTTGTTTTCTCCTGCTCCAGATGGGTGGGGTATAAATAATAAATTATTATTATTATTATTATTATTATTATGATCCAAACCAACAGAACCAGATGCACAAATATAGGATGGGGGACACCTGGCTTACTAGCAGTACAAGTGAAAAGGATCTAGGGGACTTAGTGGAACACAAGCTTAACATGAGCCAAGAGTGTGATGCTGCAGCAAAAAAAGCTAACGCTATTCTAGGCTGCATCAACAGAAGTCTAGTGTCAAGGAAAGTCATAGTTCTGCTTGATTCTGTCTTGGTCAGACCACACCTGGAGTACTGGGTCTAATTCTGGTCTCCACAGTTTAAGAAGGATGTTGAGAAGCTGGAAGGTGGGCAGAGGAGGGCGACCAAGATGAACAAGGGTCTGGAAACCAAGCCTGGTGAGGAATGGTTGAAGGAGCTGGGTATGTTTAGCCTGGAGAAGAGAAGACTGAGAGGAGATAAGATAGCCACCTTCAAATATCTTAAGGGCTGTCACACGAAGGAGGGAGCATACTTGTTTTCTACTCCTCTGGAGGGTAGGACTCGAACCCATGGCTTCAAGTTACAGGAAAGGAGATTCGGACTAAACATTCAGAAAAAAACTTTCTGACAGTAAGAGCTGTTTGGCAGCGCAAGAGACTCCCACAGGACGGGGTGGACTCTGCCTCCTTGGAGGTTTTGAAGCAGAGGTTGGATGTCCATCTGTGCTGGATGCTTTAGCAGAGATTCCTGCATGGCAGGGGGTTGGACTAGATGAAATTGGGGGTCCCTTCCAACCCTACAGGTCCAGTCCAAGTGGGTGCCCTTCGCCACCTCCACCGTCTCAGCTGCGCGCTGAAGGACGTCGAGGATTCCTTGCTCTGCCCCGAGGAGCCTCCTGCTTCTGCCCAGCGCTTGGAGGGCAGCGACGGCGCCGCCTGCCAGTCTGTGCCAAGGCAGGGAGACGCCTGCTCAGCCTCGCTCCTCCCGGGGGCGGGCATCGCCCCCTCCGCCCAGGCTGCGCCGCCCGCCCTGATTGGCTGCTGCGCGCCTTTAGCGGCTCCGCGCAGAGCTGCGCCCGGACAGAGCGAGAGGCGACGGCGGCGGCGGCGAGAGGAGGAGCGCGCGGGGCTGGCGGCGGAGGCAGCTGCAGGCAAGAGAGTCGGGAGGGAGGCGGGGGGGGGGAGAAAGAGCAAGGGGTCCTCTGAGCGCGTGCAGAGTGCCCAGCACCGGAGGGTTGCGCCAGCCCCAGGCGGCATGCCGCTCTCCTCCCAAACTGCGCTCAGATGCTCCTCTGCGCTCTTATGGGCGGCTGGCTGCATCGGAGCCGACTTCTAGGGACCAAGGTCCCTTTGCCACCCCCCAAATAAAATATTTGAAAGTGGTGCCCCCCTAAGTTGATAGGCACCTTTCAGATGATGTGCGTGTACTGCATCTTGTGATTATGTGGGACGGAGCTTACCTGCCCCTACCTAATATATTACTCAGGTTGGCACCGCTAGCTGCCCGGAGGGGAGAGTGCCCCTGGGCATGTGCAGAGGGCCCTTTAGCGTGGGGACACTTTTCCTGCTCCAGGAGGAACTACCAAGCTGCTTCGGAGGGGAGGAGGGTGTGCCAGGAGAGTCTCTGCCCGCCTCTTGGCTGGCCACAAGGGAGGTGGTCCCAGCAGAAGGGGGCTGCCCTTCCTCCCTTCCTCCCTGCTGCCCTTTTGCCCCTTCCCGGTGGCGGCGCAGGGTTCCCGCTGCTGCGGGCGATGCCCTTCTCACCTCCTGTGCTCCCAAGGAGGCTCCTTCCTTCTGCAGACGAGGAAAGTGATCCACGAAACAGGATCCTGCCCGCCTCCTTTCTAAGAAGAGGCCCTTGGGGGTTTGCTGCTGATCTTGAAGCTGCCCGCAGAGCCTGCCTTGGCAACCTGCCTTCCCCCAAAGGGCCTGAATTAAATTTTAATTTCCAGACGGGCCTTCCTTCCGCAGGAGGAGGAGGAGGAGGAGGAGGAGGAGGAAGCTGGCCTGAAGATGCAGAGGCTGCTGGAGCCGCCCCAGAGATCGGCTTTCACGGCTGAAGCCACCGGCTCCTTGGCTTTGCGCTGACGACATCCGCGCCACCTTCGCCACAGGGTGCTTTCTCCCAAGTAAGTCCATCTGTGCCCAGTGGCACTTATGCCAGAGCAAATGTGCGGGCCGTTGCTGGCTTAGAGGCACGACTGGCTTCTCGTGGTGCTGGGAAACCTGCTGGGAAACAGCCTACAGTGCTAGTTGCTCGGGTGCGCTATATGAATTAATGTTGGCAACAGGGCCAGAATTAGGTTCAATGCGGCCCTCGGCTCCTGAAGGTAATGGGGCCCTTTATATGTCCAGCTGTCCTTTGCCAACAACAAATTGTCGCTGTTTTTGTGTGTTGAATATATGCTATATGGTCATTTATGGACCTAATAGGTATCTCAAGCCATTTGCCCATGTTGCCCTGCAACCAGTCCATGCAGAATGTAGGCACCCTGTATATAGAAAGGAGGAAAGCAGTGATATTTTAGGGAGCAGGCTAGCAGGCGGGGCCCCTGACTTGCATCCTAGGAGCCTAAACAACACAAAACACTGTTGCTGTACGTAGGTTTTATTTTATTTGTTTTTTATCTTGTATTTTGGAAATGTACATCCAGGGGTGTTTTTTTTTCCATTGAATTTTTTTTGTGGGCCCCCAAGAGAGTGGGGCCCTAAGCTAGAGCTTATCTAGCTTATACAGTGGTACCTCGGGTTACAGATGCTTCAGGTTACAAACTCCGCTAACCCAGAAATAGTACCTCGGGTTAAGAACTTTGCTTCAGGATGAGAACAGAAATCACGCAGCAGCAGTGGGAGGCCCCATTAGCTAAAGTGGTGCTTCAGGTTAAGAACAGTTTCAGGTTAAGAACGGACCTCCAGAACGAAATAAGTTCTTAAATGAGTATGTAAATCCCGCACTGGTCGGCAGTGAGATCTCCTTGATAACTAAACAAACGATTACTCCGTCTTTCCACCTGGCGCTTTTGCAAACAGAACAGGATTCAGAAAGCAAATAACCTTCTTTTCATCTCTTAACAGCAGCCTGGGGCTGCATTGCCAAATCCTGGAAGTCTTAATAATTTGGACTGTTTGGCAAATCACCCTCCGGGAAGTGATGTATCACAAACTAAGAGCTTAAATGGCTGTTTTTTAAATACATGGCATGATTTTATTTCTTACTCAAATATTGAGGCACCTGGTCATTCAGTGCCGTCAGTACATGCGAATGTCTGGCTCATTTAAGACTATAGAGAAACTTTATTCTCAGTAATGATGGCATTCACAGGTGGAGATAACTTATTTATATTTATTATTTGTAAGGGGAATCTTTGTGTAAGTTAATACTTTATTATTCCATTAGAGCTGTGCTGTGTCTTTGAACTTTTGTCCTTCCAGGCTGTGACACTTTATGGTTTAAATTTTCAATTATTTGTGTTATGTTTGCACTTTTTTTTGTTAACAAATCAATAATATATCTATATATTTAAAATGAATGGCCTTTGGCAATCTTAACCTCACTTAAAACAATTTGAAGATGTAGAACAACGCTATGACGCCATTACTGTGGAGACTTCATTTTATTTTTCAGTTTTTCAAATTAACAATAATCGTCATCAAATACCATTGCATACATAGTTGTTTAGACTTCCCTCCTCCCCTTCCTTGGTTCCCTATACAAACATTTTAAAAACTGCATCTCCTCCTTAACTCCTTTTACTTATCACTCTCTATATTTCTTCCAAAATCACCTTTTAACTGCTAGATTTTAAATTAATCCTGCTAAGGTACTTAATTGTTTACAGTTTTAGATACAATAGTCCAAATATCTCCCCCATTCTTTGTTTAAAAACTCTTTCTTCTTGATTTCTGAATCTTCCCGTAAGTTTTGACATTTCTGCGGAGTCCATTAACTTCGCCATTCTTCCTTTGGGAGACTTCATGGGTAACACAAATGACTAGGTACTCCTTGCTCCAGGGAGCGCACAGAGTGTAAATTTTGTCAGAGATTTGAAGAGGAGGGTTTAACCAGCTGTGTATTAAGCCGAGTTTCTGTAGCTCAGCTTACCCCAGACTGGATCTCCCCAGATGTTTTGATCTACATCTCCCATCAGGTTCAGGGTTGGCGAGAGTTGTACTGTACTCCAGAACATTAATAATAATAATAATAATAATAATAATAATAATAATAATAATTTATTATACCCTGCCCATCTGGCTGGGTTTCCCCAGCCACTCTGGGCGGCTTCCAACAGAATATTAAAATACAATAATCTCTTAAACATTAAAAGCTTCCCTAAACAGGGCTGCCTTCAGAAATCTCCTAAAAGTCTGGCAGGTTTGTAAACACTGTTGTATATATAATGAGTCCAGTTAAAAAGAAAGGCGTTGTTAAAAGAATTCCCTACTCCTGCTAACTTGTATCGCACCTCCAGGACCCCGTCCATTTACAAAAAAGAAAAAGGCACCAAAATGGATTTTGCATGATCACAGAATGATGGAAAGGGTCTGCTATAATCTGTGTTCAACTCCTGTTTTCCTATGAACTCTAAAGTTTCTGCAGCTTCTCACAGAGTGTTTTCTGTTGTGGTTTGCTCTCGTTTTTACAGGTTGAAGACGTCTCTGGTCGTCTGAAGGATTCAGATACCCAAAAGGATAAATTAATTGCTGGAGGGTATTTCCGTTTCATATTTGCAATGGAGAAATACGAAAAAATCAGCAAGATTGGGGAAGGCTCCTACGGGGTGGTGTTCAAGTGCCGGAACAGGGACACGGGTCAGATTGTGGCCATCAAGAAGTTTCTGGAATCGGAAGACGATCCTGTTATCAAAAAAATTGCCCTTCGGGAGATCCGCATGTTAAAGGTAACTTCGTCAGAATCCCGTTGTGGGGAATCCAGTTAAACGAGGGGCTGCCTACAGATTCATTTTCCCACAAATTAAATAATGTTCTTCTTTTTAACCAATTTTATTGACCGAATGATTTTAAGATTAAAAAGGAAGAAGAAATCATCAGCACATCACAGCACAGGTATATTCCCTAATACACTAACTTTTGTGGAGCTTTGTTTGATTAGAGATCTGCTCTGGGAAATTTGGGCCGGTGCGAAATTTAAAGCATGCCTGTGCTTTGGTTCTGGTAATCTTTTGGAACCTGCAAAAATCTGATAGATTGGGCTACTGCAATGCGCTCTACGTGGGGCTACCTTTGAAGGTGACCCGGAAACTACAACTAATCCAGAATGCGGCAGCTAGACTGGTGACTGGAGGCGGTCCCTGGGACCACATAACACCGGTCTTGAAAGATCTACATTGGCTCCCAGTATGTTTCCGAGCACAATTCAAAGTGTTGGTGTTGACCTTTAAAGCCCTAAAGCGCCTCGGTCCGATATATCTGAAGGAGCATCTCCACCCCCATCGTTCTGCCCAGAAACTGAGGTCCAGCGCCAAGGACCTTCTGGGGGTTCCCTCCCTGCGAGAAGCCAAGTTACAGGGAACCAGACAGAGGGCCTTCTCAGTAGTGGCACCCGCCCTGTGGAATGCCCTCCCACCAGATGTCAAAGAGATAAACAACTACCTGACATTTAGAAGACATCTGAAGGCAGCCCTGTTCAGGGAAGCTTTTAATGTGTGACATTTTAGTGTATTTTTCGTCTTTGTTGGAAGCCGCCCAGAGTGGCTGGAAAAACCCAGCCAGATGGGCAGGGTACAAATAATAAATTATTATTATTATTATTATTATTATTATTATTTGAATGCAAACCGTATCAAATCACTCCCCCATCCCTAATCACGGCATCCCTGCCTGCCATCCTTCCTTTTTGGCAAACTAGGAGAAGCTTGCTAGTTTGAGAGTTGGCGTCAGAAGCTGCCACCGGCCAAACATTGGGTCTGGCAAATGGCGACTGGTGTGCCCACCCAGCTTTTGCACAGTTTCTGCTGTGCAGGAGAACTTCCCTGGGGGTGTTCACCTTGGAGATCAGATCTCCCTCTAGCCCAGCCTTTGCCAACCCGGCGCCCTCCGCACTACAACCTCCATCATCAGCCCCTGACAGCATCTTTCTTTTTTTGTTTGCATTTTATTTATTTATTAACATTCTTATATCACATCGGTAAACATTGTCATATTACATTACAGGGCTTACTATAATATGATTTCCAACATGTATACAAAAATTATATACACATTTTATATACCTAGAAAGAAAAGGAAAACAAAAGGAAAGAACAAAGGAAAAAAACAAAAAACAATTTTTCCAAAAATCATATACATACCAACACACTAGACTTCCTGTCTTTCCCGTTGTATTGTCCTTTTTTACAAATGAATGTACTCTTATTATTGTACATTTCTTTACATATTATCTAATACATTCCTATATCAATATGTGCTCTTAGTCTTATTTCTCAACTCAGCCTCACTCCCATGTCAATCAAATGCTAGCATAGATAGCGAACCTTTGCTGTATTTTTGAACGTGTGTTTTATATCTAACCCACTTTTCCATAAATTTTTGTTTTGAATTGCCTCTCAGGGTATTGGTTAACTGCGCCATTTCAGCAAATTCTTGGAGCTTTGTAATGCCAGTCCGTTATTGTCGGGCTTTTCGTTCCTTCCACCCCTTTGCCACCAAAGTCTGAGCTGCGCCCGTTGCACATAAGAGCCCCTGACAGCATCACTGCTGGCTGCTTTGGCCTTTAAGGACATATCCCACATCTCGGCTTTGTCTCAGGGTAGTGTTCTGAGCTTAAGGGACGTGAGAGCTCAACGCAGCCGTTGCTGTTTCCCCCCTTGCTAGGGATATATTTCCCGTCTCCCCTCTTTGTTCTGAACGGTTTTAAAGTCCAGCTTCGTGTCCCAGGGTGCAAGAATGTGTCACCTAGGAAACATCAGGGGGGTGCCTGGGTGCGGCTTTTCCTGGGAGACGCTGGCCGAGCGCGCTAACTAAGCCATCTTACTCTGTGGCTCCTAATCTCTGGTTTCATTTTGGCGCATCTCCCAGAGCCCTTGGCATTCTCGCCGGCATTGTTGTAGGAACACAAGGAGCAGGCGGTGTGGTCTCCTTGGGCTGAATGGTCTGTGCTTTGCTCCCAGCAGGGAAGGATAAAATTGTAGAGTTGGAAAAGGGGCTCCAAGAGGTATCTAGTCCAACCCCCCTTTAATGCAGGAATAGGCAGCTGTCCCTTACGGGGATCGAACCTGCAACCTTGGCGTTATCACAACTGAGCTATCCCGGCCCAAGTATCACCTCTGGCGGAGATTTCCCTGAACCACAGTGTAACGTCCGATAGAGGAACTGTTTAGCTAGAAGAGCTTTGTTTGCTCATTAATATTGTGAAATAATAATAATAATAATAGGGACGTGGGTGGCGCTGTGGGTTAAACCACAAAGCCTAGGGCTTGCCGATCAGAAGGTTGGCGGTTCGAATCTGCAAGATGGGGTGAGCTCCCGTTGCTCGGTCCCTGCTCCTGCCAACCTAGCAGTTTGAAAGCACGTCAAAGTGCAAGTAGATAAATAGGTACCGCTCTGGTGGGAAGGTAAACGGTGTTTCCGTGTGCTGCTCTGGTTCGCCAGAAGCGGCTTAGTCATGCTGGCCACATGACCTGGAAGGTGTACGTCGGCTCCCTTGGCCAATAAAGCGAGATGAGCTCTGCAACCCAAGAGTCAGGGGTCCCTTTACATCATAATAATAATAATAATAATAATAATAATAATAATAATAATAATAATTTATTTATACCGATAAGAACAGAACACCAGCCCATGCGATAAGAACAGAACACCAGCCCATCAGGCCCCTCTAAGTGAAGCATCCTGTTCTCACAGGGGCCACCCACAAGCAGGAGTCGAACACAAGAGCAACTCTCCCCCCCCCCCGGGGTTTCCAGCAGCTAGTGTAGCCTTATTGGAGTTCACCGATTGGGTCTGCGTTGCTCCCAGACAGGAGGAAGGAAGTCAAATGACACCGAGGTTTGGTTCAGAGAAAGGGTTCTTTATTTTTGCTCTCCGGAACAGCAGAAAGGCACTTGCATGGTCAGTCCACAGCAAGTCCAAAGAAATGAGGAATTGCATGCAGTATATATATCCTCCAGGCACCCTCTCCCCCCTTCCCCAGGAATCCAACCACGTCAGCCTATACACGCAGGTTGACATCACATATGTTCCTGCTCCGGTACTCTTAACCATAAAAGGGTATTCCTTCCTGTACTTCTGACCATAAAAGGGTATTCCTGTTCCTATACTCTTATCTTGGAGCAAGAGGTCACCATCTCCAAGAACACACTCTGGCGCTGTTCCCGGACTAGGTCTGTGCGTCAGAGTGTGGTAAGATAAGACCCAGACATGTCATCCCTACTCCGCTGGAACAGCCAAGGTCATCCTTGCCATCACAAACTGATAAAGGAGAGGGCTCTGAGCACTTGTTTATACAGCCGGGTTTTTGTTTATACATTGACTCATAGCTCGTTAATGGATTTTAGCTAAGGAAAAATAGGATTTTGGTGCCCGTTTCAAACCGCCTGCACAGTCAGTTTTTGGGTTTGGGAAACCCATTCCTTTACTAGTATTCAGAACTCCCTCCTGTGGCAGAGAGTCCCACAGTTTAACTACATGCTGCATGAAGAATGGGCTGGCTACCACCCTCTCCCTTTGTGCACTGTGTCACAGGCGCAAGGCTAGTCAATGGCCCAGACTATGCAAATGGTAGCCTGCAAATTAAAACACATTCTGCATATTATTATTATTATTATTATTATTATTATTATTATTGGTGTTTGTTTATGCCACGTAACTTTGCCATAATGGTGTAAACACATTGATTTCCGCCAATCCTTGGACAAATTCGTAGATAGTTCCTGGGGAGTCACAGTGCTGTCTTGTTTCTGGGGCTTCCCATCAATGGTTCCCCCCACCTAAGTTTTTTGTTGTTCTTATGTTATTGTATTTTAATGCTTTGCTGGAAGCCACCTAGAGTGGTTGGGGAAACCCAGCCAGATTGGTGGGGTATAAATTATTATTATTATTATTATTATTATTATTATTATTATTATTATTATTTGTAAGCCGCCTTGGGTCCCTGTCATGGAAAAAATTGGGGTATAAATAAATATTTCATCATTTTAACAATAATTTCAAGCAAGAAACAGAGCAATCAGAGCCTGTTGCTTTTTCACAAGCCTTGCACTCTTAAAAAAAAGGACCGTTCCTGACACGCTCTTCTGGCCTGCAGATGTCTGCATAACCTTTATCTGCCGCATCAGAGTCGCCGTTTCCTTGGTGCAAGATTTGCCGTGGGTGACGGCCGTTACCCACCGTGGGCTGTGCCTGCCATAAGTCTTCCGTATACAATACCCTGGCACCGAACTTGAGTCGCTGCCCATCAGCTAAGAGCTGGAGATTAGGCCGTTCGCAGGAATTTGCTTATTGTCAAAGCACAGAATTGTACAGCAGGAAGGGACCCTGAGGGTCATCCATCCCAACCCCCTGAAATGCATGTCGTACCCATCCAACCTCTTGCTTGATTGCATCAAAGTTCTATCCATTCCAGAGACACCTGAGGCCTGATAGAGCCTGGCAGAATGGAAATGTTTTCTGCAGGCATTTAAATGTTGGCACAGAAGGGGCTCGCTCAATCTCTAGTGGCAGGGGGTTCCACAGGACTGGGACAATAACCCTAAAGGCTCGGTTTCTTGTTATTGTCAAATGAGCCTCATCAGCTTGGGAAATGACCAAAGGTGTTCCTGCAGATGATCTCAAGGATCGAGCTGGGATAGAAGGGTTCGGGGGGGGGGGTCCCTGAGACACCCCGGTCCTAAGCTGTTCTGGGCTTTGTAAATTAATACAAAAACCTTGAATCCGGCTTGGTTGTTAAGTGCCTCAGCTAAGCCTGCCTTCCCCCAAACTGGGGTCAATATCAGATGTTGTTCCTTTTAATTAATTATTATTTAATCAATAATTAAATCAATAATTTAATTATTAATCAAATAAATAAATAAATCATCAATTTAATTAATTAATTAATTAATTAATTAATTATTGAGTTGCTTATTAATCAAACTAACAATTTAATTCATTATTAGTTTAGTTAATTTGTTTATACGTGCAAACAAAAGTAAAACAAGCACAGTATTTATGTATTTTTTAAGCCAATTATTCGCTGTGGAACTCACTCCCACTGGAGGCAGTGATGATCACCAACCTGGGTGGCTTTAAAAGAGGACGAGACAAATTCAGGGAGGAGAGGACTATTAATGGCTATGCTCTGCGTCCAGAGTCAGAGGCAGTGATGTCACTGTTGCAGGAAACCCCAGGAGGAGAGAAGGGCTGCTCTTGTGCCTGGGTGCTGCTTGCGGGTTTCCCACTAGGGCAGTGAAATATACTCTGAGTCGAGAGTGGATTTCATGCTCTTTATTCAGCTCATAGGGGTGAGGAGGAATGAAAGCTTCCCCAAAGTATCTGCTTTATATACATTATTTCCACAATGGGCCCCACGTGATTGGCTAATTCTGGAATTCTCCTGTAGGCCAATCAGGTTGTGGATTCACTTCTATCTGGAGCTGGATTGGCTGGCTCCTGCAGACCAATCAGACTGCTGCATTTTGGATCCTATTCAACTCAGTACATAACAGGCAGCCTATCTCAACCTGTGGGTCCCCAGATGTTGTTGAACTACAACTCCCATCACCCCTAGCTAGCAAGGCCAGAGCTCAGGGATGATGGGAGTTGTAGTCCAACAACATCTGGGGACCCACAGCTTGAGAATCACTGCACTAGGGCATCTGGTTGGCCACTGTGAGAACAGGATGCTGGACTTGATGGGTCATTGGCCCTGATCCAGCGGGTTCTCCTATGTTCTTAAGTTCAGCAGGAAGCTCTGGAACATGCGCTGACGGTATGAAACGGTGTGCCCACCCGAAAGCCTTTGCAGATGCAAAAAATAATAAAAATAATAATTTATTATTTATACCCCGCCCACCTGGCTGGGTTTCCCCAGCCACTCTGGGCAGCTTCCAATACAACACTAAAATACAATAACCTATTAAACATTAAAAGCTTCCCTAAACAGGGCTGCCTTCAGATGTCTTCTAAAAGTTTGGTAGTTATTTTTCTCTTTGACATCTGGTGGGAGGGCGTTCCACAGGGAGGGTGCCACCACCGAGAAGGCCCTCTGCCTGGTTCCCTGTAACTTGGCTTCTCGCAGTGAGGGAACCACCAAAAGGCGCTCGGCACTGGACCTCCATGTCCGGGCAGAACGATGGGGGTGGAGATGCTCCTTCAGGTATACTGAACCGAGGCTGTTTAGGGCTTTCAAGGTCAGCACCAACAATTTGAATTGTGCTCAGAAACGTCCTGGGAGCCACTGTAGGTCTTTCAAGACTGGTGTTATGTGGTCTCGGCGTCTGCTCCCAGTCACCAGTCTAGCTGCCGCATTCTGGATTAGTTGTAGTTTCCGGGTCACCTTCAAAGGTAGCTCCACATGTTGACTGTGTATGACCATCCTCAGCACAAATAATAATTAATGCTTGATTTTAAAAACTTTGGTGGTCCCCTTTGGCAGACCAGTTTGTGTGTCTTGCTGGAAACCAGCTTCCTTCAGTGGGAACCTTTGGCCCTCCAGATGTTGAGGAACTGGAATCCAGTGGCATCTCGTGGGCTAGAGATTCCTCTTCCCTAGTCTGCTGTCCCCAGTGCCCAAAACCCTCTTGCCGAAATAATAATAATAATAATAATAATATATTATTTATACCCCGCCCATCTGGCTGGGCTTCCCCAGCCACTCTGGGCAGCTTCCAACAAAATATTAAAATACAATAGTCCTTCAGATATTAAAAGCTTCCCTAAACAGGGCTGCCTTCAGATGTCTTCTAAAAGTCTGGTAGTTGTTCTTCTCTTTGACATCTGGTGGGAGGGAGTTCCACAGGGCGGGTGCCACTACCGAGAAGGCCCTCTGCCTGGTTCCCTGTAGCTTTGCTTCTCACAATGAGGGAACCGCCAGAAGGCCCTCGGAGCTGGACCTCAGCATCCAGGCCGAATGATGGGGGGTGAGACGCTCCTTCAGGTATCCTGGGCCGAGGCTGTTTAGGGCTTTCAAGGTCAGCACCAACACTTTGAATTGTGCTCAGAAACGTAGTGGGAGCCAATGCAGATCTTTCAAGCTGGCTGTGGGTCTCTACAGCCTGCAGAGAAACCCAGCAGCTCAGGCCAGGCTCCCGGATGACAAATGCGCCTTCTGGCCACACACCCGTCGGTCAACAAAACGAGAAAGGCGATGGGGCTGAGAGGGAACGTTTGCCAGCCTCCGCTCTGGGTTGGTTCCGGCAAGCGTGGGCTTGCTGCTCCGCCATCGCTCAGAAAACACCTTCTCAGTCAATAGTAACAGATTGTTTGTTTGAGAAGCGGAGAAGGGCTGAGCAACGGAAGGGCTTGTCCGACATCTCAGGCGGCTGCACGTTCAGCAGGGGGAAATGGGATTCCTGATCAGTCATTTTTCAGCCGTGTAAACACTTGCAGGACAAAGGCCCCAGTGGCACACAGAAGCCCGGATCAGGGAGATTAAAGAGGCCCCGCTGTTTATCTTCCTTTTTTCTCCCTCTCTCTCTCTTTCTCTGTTTGAGATGCAAATGATGGGTTTTGAAATATATGGGAGGCAGGAGCGCCAGAGCCTTTCTCCTCCTCCTCGCTGTGATGTTGTTAGCAGCTCTGTGTTGAGCTGGGCATTCAAAGGGACTTTGAAGACTAAGATAATCAAAGGTGGGTTTCTGCAGCTGACCAAGGGAAAAGGCGTGTTTATTGGAGAATGGAGTTTGCAGGTGTGGAAGGAAAAACTGATACATGAGAGAGGCCAGCATAACAGGAATTCATGCCCACGTTTAGAATGGAAAGATTTCGCTTATTCATTTCGTTTATTCAATTCATCCCATTTGTTGTTGTTTAGTCATTTAGGACAGATGGTAGGGGAAATGGAATTGCAGGTTGGTTGTGCTGACAGCAAGACTTACGTTGTGCTTGTGGCAAAAGTTCACTGCCTGGAGGGTCTGCCAAGTGATGCTTTTCACGAGGTGCTCCGGGACTCTGCAAAGAGAATTAAAAAGAAGAGAAGGAGGAGAGAGCTTGAAATTCCACAACCGCTTGACACAAGTCCATCAGCAAAGGGAAGGGATGGTGACAGGTTGTATTCCTGCACTGGGGTTTTGTTGTTTAGTTATGTCCGACTCTTCGTGACCCCCTGGACCAGAGCACGCCAGGCACTCCTGTCTTCCACTGCCTCCCACAGTTTGGTCAAACTCATGCTGGTAGCTTCGAGAACACTGTCCCACCATCTCGTCCTCTGTCGTCCCCTTCTCCTTGTGCCCTCCATCTTGCCCAACATCAGGGTCTTTTCCAGGGAGTCTTCTCTTCTCATGAGGTGGCCAAAGTATTGGTGCCTCAGCTTTAGGATCTGTCCTTCCAGTGAGCACTCAGGGCTGATTTCCTTAAGAATGGAGAGGTTGGATCTTCTTGCAGTCCATGGGACTCTCAAGAGTCTCCTCCAGCACCATAATTCAGAAGCATCCATTCTTCAGCGATCAGCCTTCTTTATGGTCCAGCTCTCACTTCCATACATCACTACTGGGAAAACCATGGCTTTAACTATACAGACCTTTGTTGGCAAGGTGATGTCTCTGCTTTTAAGATGCTGTCTAGGGTGGTCATTGCGTTTCTCCCAAGCAGCAGGCGTCTTTTAATTTTGTGACTGCTGTCACCATCTGCAGTGATCATGGAGCCCAAGAAGATAAAATCTCTCACTGCCTCCATTTCTTCCCCTTCTATTTGCCAGGAGGTGATGAGACCAATGGCCATGATCTTCGTTTTTTTGATGTTGAGCTTCAGACCATATTTTGTGCTCTCCTCTTTCACCCTCATTAAAAGGTTCTTTAATTCCTCCTCATTTTCTGCCATCAAGGTTCCTTTTTCTCCAAAGAGCTCAAGGGGGCCTGCACATTTCTCTTCCTCCTCAATTAATTCCCGCAACGACCCTGTGAGCCAGTGACTGGCCTACAACCACCCACTGAGGTTCATGGCCAAGTGGGGAGTTTCTTAATTTTGTTGTTGTTTGTTATTAAGTAGGACGTCCTTATTTTCATCATAGAGATATTGGAGGGGATGTAGCTTTAACTGATTTTTATTGTCTTTGGTTACTCATGTATTGCTAAGATATTGTTGTGATTAAGTGGTATGGCAAATTGTTGAAATATATATATAATAAATATTTTTCATGGAAATGGAAACATTTACTTAATTCTTAGTGACGCCTCTCAACTTCCATATTCCTTTTTCTTCATACACTTTTAAAAATTATTCTTACACAACATGAAGATAAGGAAAGGGAAGGGAAGGAAAGCCCTCCACATTTTTTCTCCATCCATTTCTATGCAAAAAAGCAAAACGAACTTGGTAACCCCAGCAGAAGAATGCAAATAAAGTCAATGCACAACTGACCTGGAGACTCAACCTTGCAGCTGTTTAAAGGATGGAATTAAGAAATGCAGGGTTTTGGTTTGGGGTTTTTGTATGTGTATATTTGCAAGGAACGCAAGTCTGCTGAGAGAACGTCCCCTCTGCTCTGATCTTTTGTGGGGAAAGAGCTGTGGTTTGCACACTTTGCACATGCTCAGAACTCTTTTCCCTCTCTGGGTTCTTGCTTTGACCAGGGAGCTCTGAGTTCAAGTCTCCATCTGACCACAAAGCTGACTGGGTGACCTGAGCTTGCTTGCTCTCTCTCTCTGTCAACTCCTTCACATGGCGGTTGTTAGAATAAAAAAGGGGGGGACATGTATTATTTACATTTTATTTTATTAGATTTACTTTAGTTTTCCAGCCTGCTTTTCAGGGTCTCGGCCCTCATGAAGTAGAGTGCAACGTACTTTTAAAAAAGAAAGAATTTCAAGCCATAGAGAGAGGAATACCCAGCTAATCAACAAATAGCCGCCTATTTATTCCAGTGTGCATTTGGCTAATTTTAGTGTACTGCGCTTGTAACTGAGGTTATTATCTGTGGCTGTTATCTCATTTATTGTCTTAAGAGTGCAGCAGGAGATAGTTCCTTGGTTACGGGTTCAATCCACAGTCCTCTTAGAATAAGGTTACCAGATTTTTTTCAATGAATCCGGGGACACGTTAAATAAATAAATACATAAATACTACACGTTCGGGACGTTGATGCTGCAGCGATGGTGGTGGCAGAGGGGCTGCCGCTGCCTTGACCTCAACTGCCACGTTTCCCCTTCCTCCAAGGCTTCTATCTCCTTTCTCCATGAGCCTGGGCAGCCCCTGAGTTGTTAGTTCTTCGGTGGTGGGGGGTTGTGCAGTGGTTTAGGCATGGAAGGCGGAGAAGGAGGGCCGAGAGCGGTGGTGGTGGCGAGGCTCGGGCAGCGCGATGCCTCCCTTCCCATCGGAGCAGCCCCAATCCCATTCCTACTTGTGTGCAAGCAGGAGGGGGCGGGGATCCCTCAGCTGGGAAGGGAGGCTTCCTGTTGCCTAACAGAGAGATCTCTGCCCCCTCCTGCTTTCACGCAAGCTCTGATAGGCAGCGTGAAGCCTCCCTTCACAGCTGAGAGATCCCTGCCATGCTCCTGTTTGCACGCAAGTAGGAGTTGTGAGGCTGCTCCAATAGGCAGCATGAAGCCCCCCTTCACAGCTTAGTTGCGGGGGTCAGGGAAGGGGGAGGCAGCCCGGAAGCTGCATCTTGGAGCCCCTGCACCACCATCAGATGGGGACTTCCCAGCAGCTCCTGAAGCCAGCCAGAGCCAACTGCTCCGGGCTGCTGAGACTGCCGCTGCTGCGTTTCCCGGGGACATTAGATGAAATCCGGGGACATTCCGGGGATGGAATTTGTCCGGGGACTTATTCACAAATCCGGGGACTGTTCCCGGGAAACGGGGACGTCTGGTAACCCTATCTTAGAATGCCCTCCTGTCCTTTCCAGCAACTGAAACACCCCAACTTGGTCAACCTCTTGGAGGTTTTTCGAAGGAAGAGAAAGCTCCACCTGGTCTTTGAATACTGCGACCACACAGTCCTCCATGAGCTGGACAAGAACCCACGGGGGTAAGTAGCTAGTCCCTGGTGTGACTCCCCTGTAACCCCTCTGTCAACAAACCAGCGCAAAACAAGAGTACACCATTTAGGCACCAGTTTAGAGCCAATTGGACCAGGCTGGGTTTGGGGCCCTTTACTCGTGACCCCGGTTTGAGTGGCAATCGCTCAGTTTTTTGGGGGGGCAGCGTCACAAAAAGTTGGGTTTGTGGCACAAAACCAGCACAAAACTTTGGCACCTGTTTGGAGTCAACCAGACAAGATTGGATTTGGGGGCATTAACTTGCGACCCTGTTTTTGCTTCGTCAATTATGCGGTTGGAGGGGCAGCACGGAATGTGGAGTTCGCAGCCCAAAATGGCACAAAACTATAGCACAAAACTTTGACATCAGTTTGAGGGGGGGTGCAGAACTTCGGGGTCACGCATTAATTAAGCTTCAGTGAATGCTGGGGAGAGACGATTTTGACTTACTGTTGCTGCGGTTTGGTTGTTTTAAGATAGAGTTAGGGTTAGCAGACGTCCCCAGATTTGCAAATCTGTCCCTGGACAAATTCTGTCCCCGGAATGTCCCCAGATTTGCAAATCTGTCCCCGGGAAACATGGCAGCGGCAGCCTCAGCAGCCCAGAACCAGCCTGGTAGTGCAGTTGGCTCTGGCTGGCTTCAGGAGCTGCTTGCTGCCATGGCGCCCGCCATTTTTGCTCGCCGGAAGTCCCCATATGATGTGTCTTGTGCACATAGGATGTGACTTGTGTGATCTCCTTCCCCCTTTGTTTTGACTGATCGGGGGAGGCTTGGGAGTTGCTGGCGGGCAGTCGTTGCCCAGTTTTTTAAAAAACTCTGTGCATTTATGTTTCACAGGGTGCGAAAGAAGGGCTTTGCACATTTATACAATATGCATGTGTGCTTGAGCCCAGGGTCTTTTGCCTCACCATCCCCACTACTGACTCCCTGTTGCTACTCAGCTTCAAAAAAAAAAAAAAAAAGTGTCCCCGGATCAATTGAAAAAAATCTCGTAACCATATTTTAAGAACGTAAGAAGAGGCCTGTTGTCTTTGTCCATGGAGTTTTCTTGGCAGGGATACTGGAGTGGCTTGCCGGTTCCTCCTCCAGGTGGATCACGTTTGGTCTAAACTCTCCACTATGACCTGTCCATCTTGGGTGGCCCTGCACGGCATAGCTCATAGCTTCTCTGAGTTATTCAAGCCCCTTCGCCACGGCAAGGCAGTGATCCATGAAGGGTGCTGGAGGAGACTCTTGAGAATCCCATGGACTGCAAGAAGATCAAACCTCTCCATTCTGAAGGAAATCAGCCCTGAGTGCTCACTGGAAGGACAGATCCTGAAGCTGAGGCTCCAAGACTTTGGCCACCTCATGAGAAGAGAAGACTCCCTGGAAAAGACCCTGATGTTGGGAAAGATGGAGGGCACAAGGAGAAGGAGACGACAGAGGAGATGGCTGGACCGTGTTCTCGAAGCTACCAGCATGAGTTTGACCAAACTGGGGGAGGCAGTGGAAGACAGGAGTGCCTGGCGTGCTCTGGTCCAGGGGGTCACGAAGAGTCGGACACGACTAAACAAGAAGAAGAAGAAGAAGAAAAGGCTGCTGGATCAGTCCAGTGGCATAAGATGGAGATGCTCACTGCATTAGCATTCCTATTGAAGATCTTGCTCGCCCATTAGGTGTCATGGGGGGGGGGTCATAGCTTGGGACACAGCGCAGAGAATGAGTCAGGCCTCTTCCCAGCTTCAGACAAGGATGGTCCCCCGGCAGATTCCCTTACACCCAGGAAGACATTGTCTGCAGCCTGCCTAATATCAAGTGGCAGGGAGTTCCAAAGTGGATCATTGGCAGCCTTGTAAATGAGCAATGTTACCATTTGGAGGTGAATTGACACCTTTAGGCAGACAAAATGGAATTGCCCAGAGCTTTCATTATCATGCCTCCTTCTCTCTCTCTCTCTCTCTTTTAAGTATATCTGTATTGACTTAAAATAAATACATTTATGGGAAGACGGACAAACGAACAAATAAACAAACATACAATCAAACAAACACATAATGAAGAAGTCAAACAAACAACCACAATATAAGAAACAACAAAATTAGTATAACTAGCATCATTTATACTCCCGATACTGAAATTAATTATAAAACATATAAAGAAAGAAATTAAAAATGACTTCCAATTAATCTCACTGTACTTTATCTATCAATTACCTTATACCGCACAGTTGCATATTTCTTATCTAGTCTCTTTTTATATCATGCCTCCTTCTCAACAGCGTTTTTGCTCCGAGAATCAAGCAAACCACAGACTCCAGCCAAACCACAACCATGTTTCAGGGAGTGTGGGGTTGAGAACTGGATCTGCCGTCTGGGGTGCTGCCATTGTGAAAAGAACTGCATTTAAATTATTTTCGTTTTAAATCTTCAGGGGAGGGCAGAATAAAAAGTCCCATACATGTTGCAAATTCCTGAGATGTTGGACTGGACAAGTACAACATTTTTTAAAAACAACCACCATCCTGTGGGACACATGGTTTTTGGATTCCCCATGGATGAGACCCCATCTCTGGGGGAACGGGGCCAAGGGTGGTCCTGTGCAAGCGGTTGCCAGGGGGTCTCCTTCACTGCCTGCAATATGTAGCAATAAACCGTCTCCTAAAAGTCACACAGGGACAGCTGCAGTGACTTTCACTGGTTCCGGCGCCTGCGAGAACCCTTTCCCCTTTCATTTGTCATTTTTATCACCCAGTTTTTCTCTGCATGATGGTTTCAGACTTGCTGATTCTGTTCACATGAAAAGTTTTTAAAGTTGTGTCAGCTTCTTCTCTGAGCTTCCTTATGCTGGGACCTTCTGCATTCAAAGCAATTTTTCTGACACTAAATTACGGCCAATCTCTGTGTGTGAACAGAGTTATACAAAGCCAGACTGTTTGTCCACCTAGCTCAGTGTTGTTGACTCTGACTCGCCAAACCCACCTAGAGAGATACCGGGGGGTTTGGTGCATAGTTAAACTATGGAACTCACTGCCACAGGAGTCAGTCCTGGCCACTAACCTAGAAGGCTTTAAAAAAGAGGATTAGGCAAATTCACAGAGCAGAAAAAGGCTATTGATAGCTATTAGCTATGATGGCTCGGCTCAGGCGCCATACTTTGGGCAGCAATGCATTTGAATACCAGTTTCTGGAAACCGCAGGTCCTGCAGCAGGGAGTTCCAAAGGTTCGTTGCACATTGCGCAGCTCTGTTTATTTCCAACGCACATGAGCACATGTTCAGTGAGTGGCTACTAGCCACAATGGCTAGGCTCTCCCTCCACAGTCAAAGGCAGCAATGGTTCTGAATACCAGATGCTGGGAACCCAGGAAGGGGAAGATGGCTCTTGAGCTTGAATCCTGTTTGTGGGTTTCCCATAATAGACATCTGGTTGGCCACTAGGAGAACAGGATGCTGGACTTGATGGGCCTGCGGCCTGATCCAGCACGGCTCATCGCAGGTATTGCAGTTTCCTTGTTGTTTTGTTGTTGTTGTTGTTGAGTGGGTCTGTGAATTATGTTAAGTAACATAAAATACTCCTTCATGGATCACTGCCTTGCTGTGGCAAAGGGGCTTGAATAACTCAGAGAAGCTATGAGCTATGTCGTGCAGGGCCACCCAAGATGGACAGGTCACAGTGGAGAGTTTTGACGAAAAAGCAGAGACATCACCTTGCCAACAAAGGTCCGTATAGTTAAAGCTATGGTTTTCCCAGTAGTGATGTATGGAAGTGAGAGCTGGACCATAAAGAAGGCTGATCGCCGGAGAATGGATGCTTTTGAATTCTGGTGCTGGAGGAGACTCTTGAGAGTCCCATGGACTGCAAGAAGATCAAACCTCTCCATTCTTAAGGAAACCAGCCCTGAGTGCTCACTGGAAGGACAGATCCTGAAGCTGAGGCTCCAAGACTTTGGCCACCTCATGAGAAGAGAAGACTCCCTGGAAAAGACCCTGATGTTGGGAAAGATGGAGGGCACAAGGAGAAGGGGACAACAGAGGACAAGATGGTGGGACAGTGTTCTCGAAGCTACCAGCATGAGTTTGACCAAACTGTGGGAGGCAGTGGAAGACAGGAGGGCCTGGCGTGCTCTGGTCCAGGGGGTCACGAAGAGGCGGACACAACTAAACAACAAAACCCCAGTGCAGGAATACAACCTGTCACCATCCCTTCCCTTTGCTGATGGACTTGTGTCAAGCTCCTTCTCTTCTTTTTAATTCTCTTTGCAGAGTCCCGGAGCACCTCGTGAAAAGCATCACTTGGCAGACCCTCCAGGCAGTGAACTTTTGCCACAAGCACAACGTATGTCTTGCTGTCAACACAACCGACCTGCAATTCCATTTCCCCTACCATCTGTCCTCCCTAACCCTATTTCCTTTGGCTGCCAGTGCTGGCGTCACTCTGCAAGCGATCAGATCAGACCTCTGGCAAGAGCAGCCTGCCCACCCGCTTGCAGCCCCCTGGGGTGCGAAGGAAGGGAGAAGAAAGGGGTGGGGCCTTCTAGGGATAGGGGGAGAAAGTTGGCGCTTTGCATTTAAAGGGGGGGGGTTACCTAAGTCACACATTCCAAAACAATTCGCAGACGGAAGCAGATGCCCTTTGAACTTTGCACTTCTCTGAAACCTTGCAGTGTAGCCAAGTATTTTGTGCGAAATGCAGATACTAGGATAAAAATGCGCACATTATTTTAAAAAGCATGCAAAAGTGCATTGTTTTGGGGGGAATTGCTTTGCAAAACTTAGCGTGTTGGGCAGAATTGCTTACAAACTTGTGTATATTAGAAACCCACACTAGAACGCTGATGAATTCTCACGAGGATGGTGTTGTTGTTGTTGTTTAAAAACAACAACAACCACAAACTTTTCTGGGAATGTGGAGAACAAAACTGAAGATTCTTTGAATATTGTACACCACCTTGATATTTTATGATATGGCAGTACAGGCTGCCTCTACAAATAAATACTTTTCTCAAATGTTAGGTACAGGGGGAAAAACCATTACAGTGTGGAATGTTTCTGTTTATTACCATTTTTCATCCTTTCCCCAACAGACAAAAGTGGGCTTTTCAACATGCTAATAATAATAATAATAATAATAATGGGCAGGCCCAGATTGTATCAAGAGCCATAGCCTAACTGGGGCTCCCCATTTGCCACCCCCAATTTTAAATAAGGTGAAGCCTCTAGCTTTCTACTTGATTGTCACATTGACAGCTCTTCCTTTGCTTCCAGTGCATCCACCGAGACGTGAAACCAGAGAACATCCTCATAACCAAGCATTTTGTCATCAAACTCTGTGACTTTGGCTTTGCTCGCATCCTCAGTAAGTGCCTTCATTTATCGCTACAATTTCTGTCTCTCTATCTGCCAAGCGACTGGGCATGGCTCTCCCTGCATCTACTTTTCCTATATAATCCTTGGAATGTATTAATAAAATTCAGCAAAGGGGAATATATCGGGAAAGGGAGGAGCTCCTCTGGCGACCTTGACCCTTCGGGGCGATTGTTGGATAGGTCACCTTTTGTGTGTGATTCTGACCTCCTGCTCCCACCCTCCCTTATCCAGCTGGGCCCAGCGATTACTACACAGACTACGTGGCCACTCGGTGGTACCGGTCTCCCGAGTTGCTCGTGGGGGACACCCAGTATGGCCCCCCCGTGGACGTCTGGGCCATCGGCTGCGTCTTTGCAGAGCTGCTGTCTGGGATCCCTCTGTGGCCGGGGAAATCGGATGTGGACCAGCTTTACCTGATCAGAAGGACGTTGGGTAAGTCCTTGAGAGGTGCCAAGGAAACAGAGAGGCGTTTTTCTTGACTGCAGCTGGCTACAATCTGTCTCACTCTCCTCTCCGTGGTAATTGCTGTGGAAGGTAGTGGAACTATAGCGGAATAAAATGCAATTATGGCATTCGTTTCCACTTGCAAATGGATTTTCGCCGGAAGCAAATAACCCAGAAATGAGAACCAAACCTGCATTATATTCCACTATGGCTCCAGAAGAGGGTTTTATGGTGTGCGAAAGCTCACGCGTCATGCGAAACGTAACACGGAGGGGATGGTCGTGAGTGTCAGTTTGCATTTCTTAGTGCAGAAAGTATTGATCTGATGTGTAGAGATCTTTCCTATTCTACTTAATTCAAGAGGGTTCTGGAAGCTTCTCTGTGTGAGAGAAGCAGGCAGAAAGTTCATGATTGTTTGGGTTATATACCTTCAGAGAAACTGAGTACAGCTGGTTAAAAATGGTTCTCTTATCTCTTTATAAAAGTAAGGCCAGAAGGAGCCCGAGTTTGACTTTCTCTTTCTGTCTCTCTTTTCTGGCAGTATGCTGAATGTTAAGGTTTAGACTTATCATAAGTTAAGTAATTGTAAGTTTGTTAAGTCTGCTGCAACTGGATTTCTTAGGGACAGTGCCAGTCCTGAATGTATTGGATTTGTGACCATTATGCTCATTTGCCTTCAGTAGCAGTAAACGCTCTGCTGGATGAAATTGCCTCTGGTCTATTTTGGGGGAATCCTGCAATGTGTTCAAGTTTTCACTCTGCTAACTATACAGTGAAATCTACTCTGGATCACTATTGAGTAGACTTCCATTGACGGTGAGCCCGAAATACACTGCCATGGGAATGCAGCCTGAGGTGTCCCCCGCGTGGCCCATTTGGAATATCTCCTGCACAACCCCCACTATAAGGCACAGGACTTGCACGCTGTTTTGAGAGAGACAGGTTGGCCAGGGAGAAGACTGTTGGAAAGGGTGCATGGAAGTGTAAGACAACCATGGAAGATGGAGAACCCAGCCTCCTTCCCTCTTCAGCAGGCTGCCAAGGCCTTCTTTGCGATCACTGCCTTAGCATTTGGGTTTTCACAGTGCAGGCTAATGTGGGAATTGAGTTGGAGATCAGAGGTGGCTTCTTCCATCCAAGGACATCAGTTGTGGTGGACCGTGTGGCCACCCACTCTCCTCCGGGGGTGGGGGATGTAGTCCCGTGTTGCCCGGGGGATCTTGGCCGCGTCAGCGACCGGCCAGCCAATCAGCTGGCCAGGGGGCGTGGCCAGGGCCATTTAATCAGAGGCGCGAGCTGGAGGGCTTCTTCTTTGGCTCGCTTCCTCAATCTCCCACCCTCCTTCCCTATTTTGCAGGTTTTAGTCATTGGCCTTGCTATGGACCTTGGTTGGTCGCCATTGAGGGGCCTGGTACGAATTTTTCCACTTGGCAAATTGGCACAGTCCATTTGGATTTCGCCTACCTCGTAGCAATGGTCACAACTTTGTTAGGGTTGCGGTTAGGCATTGTTTGACCTTGTGATGGGGGAGGGGAGGTGTGGCCATCACCTGCCCCTCCAAGCTTAAGGGTATTCCATTAAAGGAATCCGGGGGTGTGGATCTTGTCCGAAGCCCTGTTGGGGGCTAGGGCCTTGACACGACCCCGACGGGAACATCAGGGGGAGCTCGAGTTGGTCTGCATCGACGGGGCTCCCCCTTCCGGTGGTTTACCCTTACCGGACTCCCTGCGCATCGGGCAGGAGTCAGATATAGTCGGGTCCATTCAATGCCTAAGCCGATACCGCTCACATTCTGTAATCAATAAAGCTGTGGCCAAAATTTGCCCAATAACATTAATTCAATATTTGTGTCCTTGTGTGTGTTAGTGCCACACTAAAAGACTGAGAGATTACAAATGCAGAACAAATGCGGATTTAAGTGTGCTGCTCCTTTCCTTCTTCTCCAAAGGGGACCTCATTCCCAGGCACCAGCAAGTCTTCAGCACAAACCAGTTCTTCAGCGGGGTGAGAGTTCCAGACCCAGAAAGCATGGTGAGAAAGCCCCCCCCCCTTGCACAAGTCCTGTTGCAAACAAGACACAGGAGGCTCCTCCACTTCCTAGGTTTTTAAGGCCTTTTTGGGTCTCCAGGCAAAGGATTGCTTTTTTGTTTTCGGCTGCCTGGAGATGAGGCCCATTGTCTGGGAACTAGCGACCAGCTCAATGGAATGGCTGGCTCCTGGATGTGGTTTCGGAGACACGTAGACGCTGGCAATTGGGACGTCTGCGCCCGCATTTCAGTGGTTGGGAGGGAAGGAACACTCTTGGAAACGGAGAAGAAAATTGAAGGTCTCCAGGTCCAAAGGGGCAAGATTGGCGCGTCTGCTTTCTGACCTGTCCAGGGAGCGAGTTCTTCTTCAAATATAGAACTATAGCCGCTCTGAGCCCGGCTTTGGCTGGGGAGGGCGGGATATAAATAAAGTTATTATTACCATATTTTTCGCTCTATAAGACGCACCAGTCCACAAGATGCACCTAGTTTTTGGAGGACGAAAACAAGAAAAAAAATATATTCTGAATCTCAGAAGCCAGAACAGCAAGAGGGATTGCTGCGCAGTGAAAGCAGAAATCCTTCTTGCTGTTCTGGCTTCTGGGACAGCTGCGCGGCCTGCATTCGCCCCATAAGACGCACACACATTTCCCCTTACTTTTTAGGAGGGAAAAAGTGAGTCTTATAGAGCAAAAAATACGGTATTATTATTATTATTATTCAGGTTTTTTGAAGTGGAAAAAAAAACATGAAAGGGGGGAGGGAACGTCTAAGCCAATGATGCTCATTATTTTGTCCTCCTTTCCCCCCAGGAGCCTCTAGAAATGAAATTTCCAGGCATTTCCTACTCGGCTCTCGGACTCATGAAGGTGAGCACATACCGTGGTTTTCTGAGGCTGGGCCAGGCTTCTACAGGCTGCTTTGCATACAGAAAGTCCCAGATTCAGTCCCCAACAGCAGGACGAGATTTCAGGCTTACCATCCACATTAAAATGCACTGGCATTTTGAGTTGGCTCTTTTGCCTTCATACCTGCTTAACCTTCTTTACCGAAACCCAGTTTAGCAAGTTTAACCATCCATTTCCATTTCATTTGCCTAACGCTCATTTGAGAGGGCCATTTGGAACTCGCTGCTTTGCTTGCAATTAAGTTGATGATTGACCAAGCCCTCGGCAGTCTTTTTCCCATTTCTTTTTTATATAAGCAAACCAGGAAAGGGGAGTAAACAAGTGGAACTTGCAACGAAGCATTCGCAGAGCGGAGTGTTTCTGCTCAGCCGCTCCATTTCAATCGTCTCCTAATTTCCCTCTCCCTTCTCCCCCAAAGTCAGCTCACATTCTATGCCCACTAAGTACTGCTGGGTTCGAGGTTTTTTTTTTGTGAACCCATGGGCTGTTTCCCTCCCCTTTTTTTGTCAGCTCTGCAAACCTCTGCAAGCCTTCCGAATAAAAAAATGTAAGGTCATATATATATATATATATATAATGTTCATAACTGCATATCTAAACCACATGTCTGAAACCCCACAGAAAAAGTCCTGAAACCATTTTGTCCCTCCCAAATTGACCTCATATATTTCTCTGCAAGGTCGAAGGAAAATGGAAAAGGCTCCCCATTGTCTTTTCGTTCACAAATCCTGTCTCATGGGTATGTCTGTGTATGAATAGGGTGAGCCTGTGACCTGGCTCAGGAACTAAGTATTTGTCATTACAAAAGACTGGCCAGGCGCCCCAGGGTATCCAGTCAAGTAACCATTAACAGGTAAAATGCCAGAAAGGAGATAAACAATGCACTCAGATTTCTGCTGTAGACCACCTTTTCTGTGATGTATGTATGATGTTTCTGGGGGTGGTCTTGGACTCCAGGGCGGGCAATTTAAAATATCTATATAAGGGCAGACACACCTGGGTTCTGGGTCCTCTTCCTTCTCCTGCTTCTGAAGGAGGCACCCTGTTGCAACAGTTCAATAAAGATCAAGCTCACGAGCTGCTTTGCTTCTCAATATTCTCTGGTTGGCCTCTGTTATTTTCTCTGACCGATGGAGAACCTACAAAGGACTCTATAAGGGCTCTTGTGTCCCCCATAAGGGAATAAGGGCAGATTTTTGTTTATTACATCATTGTGGCATCTGGTTGGCCAAGGTGAGATCAGGATTTCAGGTGGTGGGCCACTGGTCTGACCCTGCAGGGCTGTTCTTACGTTCTTAACATAGGAAGCTGCCTTATATTGGGAGATGTGATTAGTCCATCTGCCTCAGCAATGCAGGCAGCCAACATTCCCAGGCCGGAATTGAACCCAGAACCTTCTGTGTGGGGAAGCAGGCACTGTTGCCACTGAGCCACGCTTGGTTTGTGTCTGCATCCTCCAGACTCTTTGCTTTTTTTCCTTATCGCAGGGCTGCCTCCACATGGATCCTGCGGAAAGGCTTACTTGTGAGCAGCTCCTGCAGCACCCCTACTTCGACAGCGTCCGAGAGGTTGAGCTGGGGAGGGAGCGAGAGAGATCCCTCACGCGGAAGCCAAACCGGCCCACGCGGAAGCACATCCCCGGGGTAAGAGGCTGCTCAGATATTTCAGGGGTCTCAGGGATCAAATTGCATGGCAGCCAGGAACACCCTCCTGCTGCTGACAGGCCACCCAGTCCCTGCTGAGCCCTGGACATAATCCCCACATGTCTTGACCCTCAGCTCCATCTGGTACGCAGGATGAGACCCTCCCTGCCCACACAGACTGTCTCACCAGAGTGGTGCATGCTCTGGTTATCTCCTGCTTGGACTACTGCAATGCGCTCTACATGTGGCTACCTTTGAAGGTGACCCGGAAACTACAACTAATCCAGAATGCGGCAGCTAGACTGGTGACTGGGAGCGGCCGCTGAGACCACTTAACACCAGTCTTGAAAGTCCTACATTGTCTCCCAGTACGTTTCCGAGCACAATTCAAAGTGTTGGTGCTGACCATTAAAGCCCTAAACGGCCTCGGCCCAGTAGACCTGAAGGAGCGTCTCCACCCCCATCGTTCTACCCAGACACTGAGGTCCAGCTCCGAGGGTCTTCTGGCGGTTCGCTCACTGCAAGATGTGAGGTTATAGGGAACCCGGCAGAGGGCCTTCTCGGTGGTGGCACCCGCCCTGTGGAATGCCCTCCTACCAGATGTCAAAGAGAAAAACAATTACCAGATTTTTAGAAGCCATCTGAAGCCATCCCTGTTTAGGGAAGTTTTTAATGACTGATGTTTTAATGTATTTTTAATCTTCAGTTGGAAGCCGCCCAGAGTGGCTGGGGAAACCCAGCCAGATGGGCAGGGTATAAATAAATAATATTAGTAATTATTATTATTATTATTATTATTATTATTATTAGGGCCTGTGCTCCTTTGGAGAATTGAAGACGTGGCGGTTTCTTAATGGCCCTAGTTTGGCCAGGTCCTTTTGCACACGATAACCCAGGAATTCCTCTGCAGCTGGCATTTCTTCCTTCATATCCCAAATAATCTGCAATTTATTAATTTCTAGGGTTTAGGGGGGTCCCAGCCTCAAAACTATAGTGATACTTTTACCGGCATGGGTGGTGCCAGAGGTCAGCAGGACTGGGTCTAGACTAGATGACCCTTGTGGTACGTCCCAATTCTTTGATTCAAATTTACAAACTTGGGGCCAGGATACTGCAGGGATTGCCTGAACCCTTCTATCCCAGCTTGATCCATGAGATCTTCTACAGAAGCTCCTTTGGTCATTCCCCACGTTGGTGAGGCTCATTTCACAACAACAATAAACGGAGCCTTTAGTTATTGGCCCAGTCCTGTGGAACTCCCTGCCAACAACAGAGACTCAGGCGAGGACAATTCAGGGGCCAGGAGAAAGCAATCTTCAAACAAGCCTTTGGCTGATTAAACAACGTATGGCCTTTTAAATGTGTCTTGGAAGCTATCGCTTCCTTGATATTATGCTATGTATCTTGTGCTTTTAAGTTGTAAGCTAGCCTGTGATCTTCAAATGAACATACATTTTTATTATTAAGCAGGTGTCTTCTGTGCCAAACGTTGAACACCTACTGGAAATTTTTCTATTTTGTCGGGCCTGTGTTTAACAATGCATCTTTCTACAATAATGCATCTTGCCACCTTTTTAGTTATATGGTTTTATTGAATGGTTCTATTGTCGTAAACCACTTTGATTTTTTTATGTATAGTGGTATACAGATATTTTTCTTTAAAAAATAAATAAATTCAAAACCAGCACCACCAAAAAAGGGTGGATCCAGCCCCCAGCTGCCCGTTCACCTTTGTGTCATTTTCAGAACAGTTTACATTGTTGTCCTTTGCTAAACTGAAAAGTGGATGGTCAACTGCCTGCAAGTTACTCTTTATTCTCTCTTCTTAGTTACAGTACCTGCCCCAGTTAACCAGCAGCAACATTCTACCTGCTTTGGATAACAAGAAGTACTATTGCAGCACAAGGAAACTGAACTACCGTTTCCCAAACATCTAAAAAAAAATTTAAGTGTGGGTGTCATGGCTAAGCCGGATTTACTGCGGACAGCCTCAGCGCATCCCCAGCCTTGAAGTGAGCTTGAACGGAGAAAGGGGATATTATTCTGTTGGTGCACAATGGAGCGAGCCGTGAAATTACCGTGTTAAGAATGGCAAAGCTTTAGAAAGAAAATCTCTGCTCCGAGAGACAAGAGAGTCGGCTGAAGGTCTGGAACTTCTTGTGACTCGGCAGAAAATGCATCTATTTAGGACTTTCGGGGGTGGGTTGGGGGCAGGATAATTGTGACTGCATCCGTCTGCGGTTCTCAAGAGCTCATCATGTGTACTGTGGGGGCGGGGGCGGAAAACTCTGCTGCCTGTTTGGGAGCAGATGGGAGTGGAAGCGGGGGGTAGGCGGTGGGATCCAGCTATGCCAAATACATTTAATTCACAAAATCCCATGGTGTCAAAGGAGGGAGAACTTCCGTTCTCATGTGTATTTGTAGTTAATAGCACAGGCTGGTTGATCCTGCAAGACGCAGTCAAAGATGCAAAGAGCTCCGATTCTGTGAAATCTTGCATCAAACATACATCTCCCAGCAGGGTGGTTAGAAATCAACGTCTTTCCTCTGCTTTTAAACGTGTAAATTTCTGTTTGTCTCTTTGAATGATACTTCCTAAAAATAATAATAACCTGGGTTTAAGTGAAACCTCCATGGAATAAGCAAGCATGTTTGCCGAAATATAGGATTCGGTTGCAAGAGATGGAGACACGTTATCGCACATTAATAGGACCATGGGGTGGGAACCCTGACTTTTGAATTCTATAGTTAGAAATTATACAATTAGTCATGCTTGTATTTATTATTGTGAGTTTCCCGCTGGACCCTAGAGATGCTCTGTTGCCCACATGGTGATCCGACACTCCCAATGTTATGCCCTTCAACTAACTTTGCCCTGCAAATCCTTCAGTTCTTGGAGTGTCTGGTACTCTGTAAACCCAAGCAGGATGCGGCCCTTCTATTTTCCACCTCCTGGAGAAACACTGCTTTGCCCAGTCCTTGCTGCAGAAACTCTGATGGATACACAGTGGTCCTCTGGATATTCAGAAACTCCCACCAGCTCTACGCAGACTGGCCAACAGACGTGGGTCTTGGCAGTTGTGGCCCCAACATCTGGCGAGCCACAGACTTTACCACCCCAGCTGCATGCTTACTTTGTTATTTCTTTAGTATCCTTGAATAGAGAAGAAGCAACAACAAAAAAGAAATCTGACTGCGAATAGACACAATTCTGGGCTGTATAGCCAAAGGTTTTTGGATTACGCTCCTGGGTTCCACGAAGGTTCTCTGTGCGGTTGCGTTATAATTGTTATAGCAACCAGGTATCACGCATGCTGGTTCAGGGAACAAATGCAAAATTCTCTTTTCCTGGTGACCTAGATCAAGGGTCAGCGAACTTTTTCAGCAGGGGGCCGGTCCACTGTCCCTCAGACCTTGTGGGGGGCCAGACTATTTTGAAAAAAATAATAATGAACGGATTCCTATGCCCCACAAATAACCCAGAGATCCATTTTAAATAAAAGCACACATTCTACTCATGTAAAAACACACTGATTCCCGGACCGTCCGTGGGCCGGATTGAGAAGGCGATTGGGCTGCATCCGGCCCCCGGGCCTTAGGTTGCCTACCCCTGATCTAGATTCATTTGAATGGATGGGTGGAATTCACCTTCTCCTTCAGGCTTCGCTCCTGCCTCATCTGCAAAAGGCAGACTGTGATTAGGGGGTTTCTTCTTCCAGGGCTGCGGTCATACGTAAGGAGAGTGTCATGGCTGCTTTGGCAACGACACCCTCTCCAACAGACAGGTTCAGCTGGAAGAAATGTGTACCTATGTGTTGTGCTTGCAAGATCAGCCCTCTGCAAAATCCGCTGGTTATCGGAGCTGCTCCATAGAAGCTGTAGCCAAGTTTTGCTATGCCATGTTTCTGGCAAACGACTACCAGATTTTGCCTGGTATAAACCAATGTCTGTAACGCTTGCGTAGGAAACAGTAAACTGCATATTACTCCGAGTTGTTTCTAGTTCATTTCCACCCCACCTACCCTGCTTACGTTACTCTGTAAATTGCCATAACCGCCATAATCTCCTTGATGATGTGAGAGCATCAAAGCAAGTATTTTTGGTTTGTCTAAGCCAGGCATAGCCAAACTTGGCCCTCCAGATGTTTTGGGACTACAATTCCCATCATCCCTGACCACTGGTCCTGTTAGCTGGGGATGATGGGAGTTGTGGTCCCAAAACATCTGGAGTGCCAAGTTTGGCCATGCCTGGAAGCAGAAGGGGACAGGGGGTTAAGATGACTTTGTACTTTAAAAAATCTCTGGAAGAAGTAGAGAGTTCTCTGCAGGAATCTAATTGACCTTAGATTGCCCAAACCTCCAGGATTTAGCACCCAAAGTTAACATATTCAACAACAAAAGAGCTCTTCAGAAAGTGGCCCAGGGGTGTTGTAGTCTTGCTTTATGGAAGTGGGGGGGGGCAGTAGCTTAAGGACAGATCACACGCCTAGCATTGACCAAGCTGTAGCATCACCTGTTAAGGAATTCCCAAAAGCAGAGGCCTCCCTTGAGAGGCTGGAGAGCGGAGATTCTGCAGAGACAGCAGTGGGCTGAGCAATTCTCCACCTCCACAACTTTCACAGGTTTAAAAAGACTATGAGGCCCAATGAGGTGGCAATGCCTTTAATCCAGGTCCAGTTCTAGCTGCAAGCCTGGCATTGACTGCCTGAGGGTCTGAGCAGTGGCTTCCTTCTCTTTTATCCCAGGCAGGTCGCTCAAAAACAAATATTCCAGATTACTGTAAAGAAGAAGAAGAAATATTTAATTTAGCAAAAGCTGCTGACTGCACTGGAAGACAGGCACACATTAAGCCCGCTGTTCACAGATGCCCTTTATTTTCATCCAACCAAATTTATATACTGCTTGATTGTAACATAACCTCCAAGTCAGTGGTTCTCAAAGGGTGCGGCAGGAGAGGGTGGCAAGGGTGGTGGGAAAGTTCAAGGACAATCAAAGAAGCATTTTAACATTTTAGTGTAGCGCAGGACCAAAATGTTTTTTTTTATTTGCAGAATATTGATAGACATCTTTTCAAAACGTGAGCAAGAGCATCACGTGGCCCTGACGAAAATCCTAGTTGCGTTTTCCAACACCAATTTAAAAAATTGATGCAGCAGGAGCAAATTTTTACTCTGCAAGTGTGTCTCCCTTGTCCCCTCCAACAATTTGGCTTGGGGAAAAACGCCTTTCATGGTAGCCAAAGGAAGGAATCTTTGGAGCCTAACTGCAGCAGAGCTCCTGTAAGTCACCCATATTTTCCATTGGTGGTTGTGAGAACAACAGGGTTCATGATGCAGCAAACACGCTTGCAGTGTGAAATGCAGGGCTGCCCTTGGCGGCTTTGCATACCTGAGCTTATGCAGTGCAATGATGCCTTTGTCCGTGATGTTCCCGCAGGAAATGATCCACAGGCGCAGGAGGCTTCTCTGCAGGCTGGGCGTCTGGCTCAGCCGCTGCAAGCACTCATCGTAGATGTACATGCACTTGCAAAGCCGGATTTCCTCCACGTGCTCCAGGCCGTCTGAAACAGGCAGAACGTCAAGGAGGGGACTTGCAACACACAACCGGCCTGCCCATGCAAGTGATAAAATCTCCTTGTGCAGACTTCACCACCTGAGAAAGGGCTGGGTCTATGTTCCTCAGTGCGACCTGTATAAGCAGGCAATGATCTAAACCAGATTTCAACAACCTTTTTGGACCAGTTGTGTACATTTCAAATTTTTGTGAGTGCTGGTGGACAGGGGTGTGTGGCATATTGGGAATATTGACGGACCAAGCTGGTTAGAGCCAGTGTGATGGTTAAGAGCGGCAGTCTCGTAATCTGGGGAACCGGGTTCACGTCTCCGCTCCTCCACATGCAGCTGCTGGGTGACCTTGGGCTAGTCACACTTCTCTGAAGTCTCTTAGCCCCACTCACCTCACAGAGTGTTTGTTGTGGGGGAGGAAGGGAAAGGAGATTGTTAGCCGCTTTGAGACTCCTGAAGGGGAGTGAAAGGCGGGATATCAAATCCAAACTCTTAGTGTTTCAGCTAAAAGGTAAAGGTAAAGGGACCCCTGACCATTAGGTCCAGTCGTGGTCGACTCTGGGGTTGCGGCGCTCATCTCGCTTTATTGGCTGAGGGAGTCGGTGTACAGCTTCCGGGTCATGTGGCCAGCATGACTAAGCCACTTCTGGCGAACCAAAGCAGCGCACGGAAACACTGTTTACCTTCCCACCAGAGCGGTACCTATTTATCTACTTGCACTTTGACATGCTTTTGAACTGCTAGGTTGGCAGGAGCAGGGACCGAGCAACGGGAGCTCACCCCGTCACGGGGATTTGAACCGCCAACCTTCTGATCGGCAAGTCCTATGCTCTGTGGTTTAACCCACAGCGCCGCCCGCGTCCCTAGTGTTTCAGCTACTTACCCAAATAATCGAATCCCTTGGCCATGATGCAAGATTCTGTGGCATTAATTGACTGTATCTTATATTTCCCTAATGGTCCCGAAGGGAGTGCGTTGTAATCTTGCTGCCATTTGTCCAAGCCTTGGTAACGCACGAGTGCCCCACATCGAAGGAGCCATTCCGAAGCGGCTCTGTCTGGGCCCACGGCCTGGATCCGCTCATAGTCCACCCTGTAAACAAGGAGGAACAGCTAGTTTTAAGGAGAGTTTTGTTTTTATTTTGCAATCCTTTTTTAAAGGCATTCAGGTTGGGTGGCCATTAGCACCTCTTGTGGAAGTGAGTGCCATAGGTTAACGGTGCGCTGGGTGACCCCTTACTTGCTCTGCCTTCTGTTACTGGGCCCTGCTAGGCCTATGTAATGTAAACAAGTGTAAAGTGATTCAAGCCAGGGCAAGCAATAATTTCACATATATGCTTTTGGGGTCTGAACTGGCAAGTGACCTGGGGTTTGTAGTAGACGGCTCAATGAATATGTCAACTCAGTGTGTGGCAGCCGTAAAAAAAGACCATTCCATGCCTAGTGATCATTAAAGGTAAAGGACCCCTGGATGTTTAAGTCCAGTCAAAGGCAACTATGGGGTTGCGATGCTCATCTTGCTTTCAGGCCAAGGGAGCCGGTGTTTGTCCGCAGACAGCTTTCCGGGTCATGTGGCCAGCAGGACTAAACCGCTACTGGTGCAACAGGACACTGTGAAAGAAACCAGAGTGCACGGAAATGCCGTTTACCTTCCCGCCACAGTGGTACCTATTTATCTACTCGCGCTGGTGTGCTTTTGAACTGCTAGGTTGGCAGGAGCTGGGACAGAGCAACGGGAGCTCACCACCATCATGTGGATTTGAACCGCCGACCTTCTGATTGGCAAGCCCAAGAGGCTCAGTGGTTTAGACCACAGCACCACCCGCATCCCTATCTAGGGATCATTAAGCAAGGAATTGAAAATAAAACTGCTGGCATCTTAATGTTTGGAATACTGTGCAAAGTTCCGATTGCCTCACCTCAAAAAGGATATTGTAGAGTTAGAAACATTTCAGGAAAGGGTGAGCAAAATGATTAAGGGGGTGGAGGGACTCCCCTATGGAAAGGCTGCAGCGTTTGGGGCTTTTCAGTTAAGAGAAAATGCAAGAAAGGAGTCACACGATGGAAGTTTACAAAATTATGCATGGCACGGGGAAAGCAGATAGAGAAAGGTTTTTCGCCTTCTCCCTCAGTGCTAGAACTCGGGGGCATTCAATGAAGCTAAATGCTGGAAGACCCAGGACAGGCAGAAGAAAGGGCTTCTTCACACGGCACGTGGTTAATCTTTGGAACTCCCTGCCACAGTAGGCAGCGACGGCCACCAACCTAGAGGGCTTTAAAAGATAAATGGGTTTCAATTCGCAGTGTCCTTTGTGGGAGCTGATTTAGTTGTTCTGGCCAGCACACTTACTTGTTGAAAACAGCATTAAGCCATCCCCAAAAACTCCTGCCTGTATCCCAGGAGGGCTGCCTCTTTAATAAGCCCGTCCGACATGTCAAAGCTCCAATCAGCATCATTCAGCTTCTGAAAAAGACACACACAGCAGCGGTTAAGCGGATTCCCGCACAAAGAACACACAACATTTGTCGGCAGGTATAAGAGTTGCAAATAAAGACGATCTATTAAGGGATATAAAACGCAATAATAATGATCCTCAGCATTTGTATAACTCGTTTCAAGGATTCAAAAAATTCATAGGTTGTCTCGCTAAATGCTTAGAACAGGTCTGTGCGACAATATAACAACTGGTAGTCTTTAATATGCCACAAAACAGTACTTTTCGCAGCTGAACTGAGGTTTCCTACGTTGACTAGATCCAGATTAAAATTTAGGCCCAATGACATCAGTGGCGCCATGGGCATAGCCAGGATTTTTGTTGGGGGGGGGGCAGAACCACAGTTTTCTATGTATTTTTATTGATTTTGTTTATGGGGGGACAGCTGCCTTTCCCTGCCCCCTCCCCTTGGCCCATGTGTGGGGGACGCTTGCAATGACTTAATCTCACCGGTCTCAAAGGGAACTAGTTGCAATTTGCTAGGTATGGATTTACCCTTTGGGTCCCTTCCAATTCTACCATCCTATATGACTCCAGGCAAAGGATCCCTGCTGCCCTGAAAGGGGCTGGACTAGACTGACTCTCGTGGTCCCTCCCAGCTCCACCATGCCACGCAGACCAGGGCCGGATTTAGGTTTGATGCGGCCCTAAGCTACTGAAGGTAACAGGACCCTTTATATATCCAGCTGTCCTTTGCCAACAACAAATTGCCGCTGTTTTTTTGTGTTGAATATATGCTATATGGTAATTTATGGACCTAATAGGTATCTAAAGCCATTTGCTACAGCTTGTTTTTTAGCTTATACGTAAACCCGGCACTGAAATGCAGACAGACTGGTAACAGCAAACAACGACGTTTCTGAATGCATGTCGCTTTGCAAGATGCAAGTCGCTTTGGGCTGCCTTGGGCAAGACAAAATAGCAATAGCAATAATAATATGATGGTGGTGGTGGACATGTCCTGGGAAAAGAGGACACAGCAGCAGCAACAGCAGCAACTTACATAAACAACAACAACAATTTGCATAAACGACGTTTCTGAACCCAGGTCACTTTGCAAGATGCAGGTCGCTTTGGGCTGCCTTGGGCAAGACAAAATAGAAATAATAATAATAAGAAGAAGAAGAAGAAGAAGAAGAAGAAGAAGAAGAAGAAGAAGAAGGTGGTGCACATGTCCTGGAAAAATAGGACTTATAGCAGTAGCAGCAGGAACAACAACAACAATTTGCATAAACAACAACAACAATTTGCATAAACAATGTTTCTGAACGCAGGTCGCTTTGCAAGATGCAAGTCGCTTTGGGCTGCCTTGGGCAAGACAAAATAGCAATAGCAATAATAATAATAATAATAATAATAACGGTGGTGGACGTGTCCTGGGAAAAGAGGACATATAGCAGCAGCAACAGCAGAAACAACAACAACTTGCATAAAAGACGTTTCTGAACGCAGGTCGCTTTGCAAGATGCAAGTCGCTTTGGGCTGCCTTGGGCAAGACAAAAGAGCAATAGCAATAATAATAATAATACTAATAATAATAATAATAATAATAATATGATGGTGGTGGGCGTGTCCTGGGAAAAGAGGACCCAGGGCAGCAGCAGCAGCAACAATTTGCATCCAGAGCAGCCCCCACTTGCCTGCTCGCCTCCCCCGGAGCCCCCGGGTGCCGCCGCCTTCTTCCTCCCCGGCGCTGCAGGCCTCGGTGGCGGGGCGTGGGGCCGGGCCGGGCCTGGCTCCTCCTCGGGGCGGCGCCTGGCCGGGAGGGAGGCGGCTGGCTCGGGCGCGCCATGGCCCCGGTGTGCGGCCGGGCCTGTGTGTGGCGGGGCGGGCGGGCGCGCTGGCTGCGGCTCCCCCCGGCGCCGGCCCGCCTTCTCCCCGCCAGGCACCTCGGAGGGACCCCCGGGAGGTGAGCGGGGCGGGAGGCCGGGAGGGCAGGGGAACCGGCGCGGCTTCGGGGGGATTGAGGGGGGAGGGAAGCAGGCCTAGGCCCGCCAGGGGTTCGGGGACTACAATTCCCAGCATCCCACGCGCCGGTCCTGGTAGCGAGGGATCATGGGAGTTGTAGTCCCGAAACAGCTGGGGCCTGGTTTAGGGCCCCACTCTCTTGCCCCCATTAAAGGGAACAAAAAACTGGATGTCCATTTCCAAAATATAAGATAAAAAGCAAATAAAACCTACATTGTCAATATTTGAAGCGGGCTTGACTGGGAGGGCATAAGGACCAGTGCCAGATTTACATATAAGCGAAACAAGCTCTAGCTTAGGGTCCCACTCTCTTGGGGGCCCACAAAAATTGAATAATAATAATAATAATAAATTTTATTTATATCCCGCCCTCCCCAGCCAAAGCCAGGCTCAGGGCGGCTAACAACAATAAAATAGTACAAAAGTACAGCATAAACAACATCCTAAAATCATTCATTATAAAATTAATTATAGGGGGAAAAGGGGAAAAAACAACTGGATGTACATTTCCAAAATATAAGATAAAAAACAAATAAAATAAAACCTACACCCAGCAACAGTGTTTTGTGTTGTGTAGGCTCCTATGATGTAAGTCATGGGCCTCGCCTGCTAGCCTGCTCCCTAAAACATCACTGGTTTGCTCATTTCTATATCAATTACAGTGGTACCTCGGGATGCGAACGGGATCCGTTCCTGAGCCCCGTTCGCATCCTGAAGCGAACGCAACCCGTGTCTGCGCATGTGCAGGTCGCATGCGTGCGCGGCAAAACCCGGAAGTAACACACTGCGTTACTTCCGGGGCACCGCGGAGCGCAACCTGAAAATACTTAACTTGAAGCACATTTATTCCGAGGTATGACTACTTGGATAAAATAATAAAATAATTTAAAAATTGTCCAGTAGCACCTTAGAGACCAGCCCATCTAGCTGGGTTTCCCCAGCCACTCTGGATGGCTCCCAGCAGAATATTAAATAAAGCACAATAAAACATCAAACATTAAAAGCTTCCCTGAACAGGGCTGCCTTCAGATGTCTTGTAAAAGTCAGATAGTTGTTTCTTTCCTTGACATCTGATGGGAGGGGGTTCCACAGGGTGGGTGCCACCACCGAGAAGGCCCTCTGCCTGTGGGTTTGGGGTTTTTAGCACCATTTTGGAACAGGAAGATGCGTAGTAATGAAACTGTTGCTAGACTGGACCACTTCAGACTACAGTAGTATATCAGTCTACAAACTTAATTAGTTCCGGAAGTCCGTTCTTAACTCAAAGTGTTCTTAAACTGAGGCGCGCTTTCCCCAATGAGACCTCCCGCCGCCGGTGCCCTTCTACTTGTCTGCTTCCGTTCATCTTCCGGGGCAAAATTCACTAGCCGGAACACCTACTTCTGGTTTTGCGGAGTGCGTTGCCCGAATCGTTTGTTAACAGGACTGTTCTTAGATCAAGGTACCACTGTACTCTAGTCACTATAGCCAGGGAATTGAATTGTGAAAACCTGGAGACACAGCTTAGTAGTAGAGCACTTGTTTCAACTGAGAACACAAGAAGTGCCTTTTTTAAATAGAAAGCATAATTTTAAATCCCAGAACACTGTCATGCCCAGTTTGTTCACCTAACAACTTGCCGGGTACATATTGCGGCTCATTCACGTCAACTGAAATGCCCTCTGTGCACCAGATAAGCTCAATATAAACTTAATATAGGATTGCGATGTAAGCTGACAACCCTTTCATGAATCTGTATCTGTTAAATATTGTTAAACACTTGGGTATTACTACGACAAATATGAACTGTACATTGTTTCAAAATATTTACGTCAAAACGTGGGATAAAGTTCAAAGTTTAAAAAGATATGTCAGGATGGGGAAAGTTAAAATTGTTATTGCTGGGCAAATTTTCAGTAATAAAAATGAATGTTTTGCCTAGAAAAAAAGAAGAAGTGCCTGCTGGATCTAACCCAGCCTCTTGCTCTTAAGGTGGCCAACCAGATGCTTCTGGGAAGCCCAAAAGTGAGACCCCAGGGCAACAGTGTGCTCCTCACCTGGTTGTGGAGATAGACCATAGCCATCGTAGAGAAGGCTGTGATGATAAAATGAGACACAGGATGTACATATAACCGATAAATGAAATATCTAGTTTAAAGAGTCGGGGCAGGACAGCAGGTGATGTGAAAGACAAGCTGGAGAGCAGCTGCAAGTAAGAGGAGACCACAGGAACTTCCACACTTGTGTTTTGTGTGGAATTGCAATTCTTGGTTCCTTCATTTGTTCTGGGGCATCCACACGATGCTGTCCAGTCATCGCCATTCTGCCTTTTCCCTGCTGCTCTTCTGTCTTCTCAGCCTGAAGACAGTCAATGACTTTTTAGGGGAACAGAAGAGTAGTACAATCTTTAATGGTGTAAATGCGTATAATGTCACTCTCCCATCTTTTTTTAAAGGGCGGGGATTTTGGCATGGGCTGTGACGTAATGGGACAGTGAACAGCTCAGCCCACATTTGTTATAACTTTCATTTTTTTACTTAAAAAATCTTTTAAAGGTAAAGGGACCCCTGACCATTAGGTCCAGTCGTGGCCGACTCTGGGGTTGCAGTGCTCATCTCGCTTTATTGGGCGAGGGAGCCGGCGTACAGCTTCCGGGTCATGTGGCCAGCATGACTAAGCCACTTCTGGCAAACCAGAGCAGCGCACGGAAACGCCGTTTACCTTTCCGCCAGAGCGGTACCTACTTATCTACTTGTACTTTGACGTGCTTTCGAACTGCTAGGTGGGCAGGAGCAGGGACTGAGCAATGGGAGCTCACCCCGTTGCGGGGATTCGAACTGCCGACCTTCTGATCGGCAAGTCCTAGGCTCTGGGGTTTAACCCACAGCGCCACCCGCATCCCTTACGTAAAAAAAACTTTTACGTAAATGCAAAAAAAGCAAAAACAAAACAGACCCCTCTTGGAAATTGTCTGATAGCTTTTGACCAAAATAAGTTCTTTGCCAGTGTGGAGTGTGTGATTTTCATTCTTCTCAAACCCGTTTTTAATAGCACTTTTGATGTGGCTGTTGTCGGCGCTGGGATTGTGGGGCTGGCATCGGCCAGGGAGCTCAGCCTGCGACATCCATCCCTCACTTTTGGAGTGCTGGAAAAGGAGAAGGAGTTGGGTATGATATCTGAATCTGATAAAAGAGCTCATCGCCTTCTGTATTAGTTTCCCTCATGCATTTTTAACTTTTGCCTGCCCCATCTTCCAGATTTGGTGGTGGTTGTTTAAATGGCTTACTAAAAGGCATCGTTCAGTTAGGCGCAATCCAGTGGGAACTTTTCTTGTAAGCGGCCAATTTTGTATAACTTCCCATTTATCTTAATAGGCCTACTGCACGGCTTCCCAGTGCAGTGCCCACGGCTGGACATGCACCTGCAAAGGGGTGCTCTCTGCCCTGCCCCTTCTTCCACCAAAATAAGGCCTGGAAGAAGACTTTATTGTCAGCAGTAAGAGCTTTTTTCCAAGCCTAATTGCAAAGGGGGGGAGGGCAATTTGGAGGGGCGGTGGCAGTGGATGGGGGACGAGCTAATCCATCATTGCAAACTTTTCCTTATACATTTCTGGTCAGTTTACACCGCATTTATAGTTACTTCTCATGGCTTGAAGTCTGAAAAATCACCTGGCGGTTTAAATATGTATTTCACCTGACAGTTAAAAAGAATAATGGTCCATGCAGCATGTATGTCAATATTTCTCCTTATTTGTAACACATTTCTCTGACTAGCCTTCCACCAGAGTGGACACAACAGCGGTGTTATTCACAGTGGGATCTACTACAAACCGGGATCTCTAAAAGCGAAGCTGTGTGTGGAAGGGGCTGCCCTCTGCTATGAGTACTGTGACCAAAAGGGAATCCCGTATAAACAATGCGGCAAGGTATGGTAGGTGCAGCACTTTTTGCTTTTCCGTTCCAGCAACTCTTAATATCCTTGTAGAGCACTGTACATCAAAAGAGTCCTTACACCTTTGCTTTATAAATTTGAATTTTCTGACTGCCATAAGAACAGTCTCCTAAGGCCATGCAGACAGAGCTGTTCCGCCTGGCCTTTGGTTTGGACTCAGTCTGACCCTTATGTTTCCCTCCCCTTATGGTTTTGATCTATGGGCTACTATTAAAACGAGGCTGCATTTTAAATTGTATTTTAACCTGTATTTTAAATTGGTTTTTTTCTTTCTTTCCTCCCCTATTACGTTTTTCTTGTAATTTTACTGGTGTTAGCCGCCCTGAGCCCGGCTCTGACGGGGGAGGACAGGATTTAAATAAATTATTATTATTATTATTATTATTATTATTAGTGGTACATCGGCAATGAATTAACTGAGTTTCCTGGTCTTAATTAGGGGTCTTGCTCAGTGAAGCCCTAATCACGAACTGGACCCAGGATGAGATAGAGCTATAAAAAAAAAACCACTCTGAAAATGCTCTGAAAAAACCGTTGTAATGCTCACAATGGAAAATTTCATAGGGTTCCAGTTTTGGCTCTACAGCGCCATCTGGTGTCACAGTGTTATAATGCATTTATAATGTTTTATTTGTACTAATGTAGCTAAGTCCTTGATCTTTTGGATATATCGGGAAAAACACACCAACTGGTAGACTGGTAGATCATGGGATACCTGTGGTAGATCATGGGACCTCTCGCACCCCCTCCCCCCCCAAAGCATAACAACTTTGACTATTTAAAAAAAGCTCGATTTCCAAAAAACCCCTTTTTTTATAGTGGGAGTAGATTGCAGTCTCTTGGAAGTTGGACAAGCCTGACCTATGCCAAGTTTTTGAAAAGAGGATTAATTTCCATTCCATTAAATTTGTAATTAATTACTATGACAACATGACGTTCCTCCTGCTCCATCCCACACAGCACGGTTGTCGTTACCTTTGCTCTTTCGTTGCATTTTTACTCTGTGGCTGGCCCACGTTCCGCATTGTAACTTCCTTTATTTCTTCTGCAGCTGATCGTTGCAGCTGAACAGGAAGAAGTTCCGAGACTCAAGGCGCTGTATGAGAGGGGCCTGCAGAACGAGGTCCGCGGACTGAAACTCATCTCTTCCAAAGAAATACAAGCGAAGGAGCCCTACTGCCGGGTACGCAACCTCCTTCGATGTGACGCATCTTTTTCATTCTGGGAACCTTTTGGAGGGGGTTGGGATCTAGGGAAGCCCAGTGAAGCTGTTCACCTCCCCATCTGAATTGCAGTGGTACCTCGGGTTACAAGCGCTTCGGTTTACAAACTCCGCTAACCGGAAGTAGTACCTCGGGTTGCGAACTTTGCCCCAGGATGGGAACGGAAATCGTGTGCCGGCAGCGCGGCGTCAGCAGGAGACCCTATTAGCGAAAGCGCATCTCAGGTTAAGAACGGTTTTGGGTTAAGAATGGACCTCCGGAAGGTAACCCTCCATTAAAGGATCATAAGAACCTGTCTTCTGACAAGTCACATCATTGATCCATCTAGATAAGAGGTGGAAGCCTCTGGCCAGCAGACCATTAATAGCCTATCAGGCTATTATCCCCCAAGCTTCACCCATGGTAGTGACCTCAGCTGATGGGCGTGAGGACAGGATTTAATTCTGCATTGGTTGCATGATTCTGTTCCCAGGCAGCAGGATTTAATCTCTGCTCATTCATTTAGTGAGGGTTAAAACGCTATGCAAAAGTGCCCTGTGAAGCAGCTTTCAGGAGCGAGCTACTTCAAAGAGGCTCCTTCACCTCTGTGGTTTGAAGGAGAAGCACGGAAAGCTCTTGGTAACATCCTCCCGTGAGGAGGTTTACAAATGTACAGAGGGCTCTTTGAAAGCCCTGTAGTTTGCTTTGAGGTCCCGACAATCAGGTTCTTCAAAGTCAAGTGGGTGATGTCACTGCGACACCAGAGGATTGGCAGATGGGCGTCCCCACACACCTGCCAACTTTCGCCTGCCGCGGGTGCAGGAGATAAAGATCAGGCCCTTCAGCCAGAAAAGGTTGCCCACCTGCTGTTTAGATCAGCTCTGTCTGCACTGGCAGCAGTCCTCTAGCCTTTTGCTTTCGCTGAAGGCTGGAGAGCAAGAGGGGTCGGTGCGCACAGACCCCTCTTGCTCTCCAGGCTTCAGGGATAGCCGCCTGAAGCCTTTGGAGCGCAGCGGGACCTCGCGCTGCGCTCCAAAGGCTTTGGGTTCCTTTTGCTGAAAGCCGGGAGAGCTGTTCTAGCTTGGGGATGGCTGTGCATAGCCTCCACAGGGCTTCACAGGCTGTCCCAGAAGCCAGAACAGCGAGACGGACCACTGCGCAGCGCTTCGTCTCGCTATTCTAGCTTTGGGATTAGCTGCGCAAAGCCTCCCCAGGGCAGCGGGGTGCCTTCATCCCACTGCCCTCCGGAGGCTTCGCAGGCTGTCCCAGAAGCCTCCGCAGGGCACGGGGATGAAGGCTCCCCGTGCCCTGCAGAGGCTTCACATGAAGCTAGAACAGCTAGAGGGAGCACTGCTTTTGGATGGCCCCGCGAAGCCTCTGCAGAAGCTCCCCGTGCCCTGCGGAGGCTTTGCGCAAAGCTATCCCAGAAGCCAGAACAGCAAGAGGCTATCCCAGAAGCCAGATCCCTCTTGCTGTTCTGGCTTCTGGGATTCAGATTTTTTTTTTCTTGTTTCCTCCCCCCCAAACTAGGTGCGTCATATCATCTGGTGTGTCCTATAGAGTGAAAAATACAGTATATAAGCCCTACTGGACCAAGCCAAAGGGGGCCTCCCGCAGCGGCCAAGCAGATGTCTGTGGAGAGCCCACAAGCTCTCTCCTGCTTGCAACCCCCAGCAACTGACTGGGAATTGGAGGTCCTTTGTGTTTACTGCTCAAGAGTGCTGCTTTAGGAGCCTGTCTGGAGCAGGCCTGAAACGGGGCCTTTCTGTCTTCCTCCTTCTTGAAAACTCTCTGTGGCCCTAAATCCCTTTGAATGCCTTTTCAGGGTGTGATGGCCCTGGACTCGCCGTACACAGGCATTGTGAACTACAGGCAGGTGGCCTTTGCCTACGCTGAGGATTTCCAGGCAGCTGGAGGGACTGTTTTGACGGACTTTGAGGTCAAGGACATGGCGGTGGCCAAAGAAAGTACTGCTGGAAGTGAAGATGGTAAGAAGCTTTCCTTCCGACTTCTTTGTCCTTCCTTCCCACTTTGGCAGTCCTCCTCCGTGAGGTTCTGTGCTGATATGCAATCCTGGAGCTCACAGCCTCCCAAGTGCTTCTGGAGATATTGCAGTTCATGGGATGATCTAGGGGAGCAACGTGGAATGTTTTCAGGTGGACGCAGGAATTGCTTTAGAGACCACCCTGGGAGATGCAAAATTCCAGAACTAGCCCATAGCCTTAATTCAAAGAAGCCATAGCTGAGAGAGAGCGAGCTGTGGCAATTCAGTAAACTTTTCTTCCTTGCAATTAAATATGAAATCGTTAGTTTATAGTAGGCATTCTGAAATTATTTTAAAACACAACTGGCGCCATGGAACTGAAGCCGTACTCTGAAACTTTCCGCTAAAATGGGATGATGGCACATTCTCCTTTTTGGCCCGTTCAGAATCCGGTGCGAGATGTGGTCTGACTATTATGTATTGTGGGTGCATAGAAAACGTGCCTGTTTGTCACCATCTGAGTCTGCAGAGCAGTGGAGGCTGTGCGGAGGCAGGGAGAGGGTGAAAGAGGCGAGCTAAATACCTCTTGCTTATGGGTCACTTCTGAAAGAGCAGCTTGTCTCTCTTTAAGGGTAGAAACTCTAGCTCAGTAGCAGAGATTCTCCCTTGTATTCAGAAGGTTTCAGGTTCAATCCCCAGTCTCTCTTGCCCCACTCCTCTCTGCCTGAGATGCTGGAGATCTATTGCCCATCACAGCAGATAATACTGGGCTAGAGGGACAAATGTCCTGACCCTGGAATTAGAAGGCTGGTGAAAACTCCTGTTCCAATCTGCTGGGTACAGCTTTGTTTTTACCCTGGGCTGCGGCAGCTAGACTGGTGACTGGGAGTGGCTGCCGGGACCACATAACACTGGTCTTGAAAGACCTACATTGGCTCTCAGTACATTTCGAAGCACAATTCAAAGTGTTGGTGCTGATCTTGAAAGCCCTAAACGGCCTCGGTCCAGTATACCGGAAGGAGCGTCTCCACCTCCATCATTCAGCCCAGACACTGAGGTCCAGCGCCGAGGGCCTTCTGGCGGTTCCCTCATTGCGAGAAGTAAGGTTACAGGGAACCAGACAGAGGGCCTTCTCGGTAGTGGCGCCCATCCTGTGGAACACCCTCCCTTCAGATGTGAAGGAAATAAGTAACTATCCTATTTTTAAAAGACATCTGAAGGCAGCCCTGTTCAGGGAAGATTTTAATATTTAACGCTGTATTGTTTTTAATACTTGATTGGGAGCCGCCCAGAGTGGCTGGGGAAACTCAGCCAGATGGGCAGGGTATAAATAATAAATTATTATTATTATATTATTATAAGTATTTAGGGCCTTGAATCTGCCTGACAAGTTCTTCTGTTTTGTCCTTGTGGTTCAGATGTTCTGTTAATATGTAGTTGTTTTATGTGTGCCATTTATAGTTTTCATTTTATTTACAGGGATGAAATATCCAATTGTTGTTAGAAACTCAAAGGTAAGTCCAAGCTTTCAGATTACATTTTACTTTTCAAGTGCAGAATATTTTCTTTGTGTTTTGGCATTTGTCGCATGTCAGGCATACAAATACTTTAACCACGATGGCTGTCATCGCCACAAAAACAGTTTGAGATGGCTATTAATGTGAGTCAAGTGGCTCTTGCCTCGAGGGCTTCATAGTCCTTTCCCTGCTCAAGGTCTAGTCTTAAGAGAGGATGATGCCTGACTCGCTCGGAAGGTAGAATCATAGAATCATAGAATCATAGAATCATAGAGTTGGAAGAGACCACAAGGGCCATCGAGTCCAACCCCCTGCCAAGCAGGAAACACCATCAGAGCACTCCTGACATATGGTTGTCAAGCCTCTGCTTAAAGACCTCCAAAGAAGGAGACTCCACCACACTCCTTGGCAGCAAATTCCACTGTCCAACAGCTCTTACTGTCAGGAAGTTCTTCCTAATGTTTAGGTGGAATCTTCCTTCTTGTAGTTTGGATCCATTGCTCCGTGTCCGCTTCTCTGGAGCAGCAGAAAACAACCTTTCTCCCTCCTCTATGTGACATCCTTTTATATATTGGAACATGGCTATCATATCACCCCTTAACCTCCTCTTCTCCAGGCTAAACATGCCCAGCTCCCTTAGCCGTTCCTCATAAGGCATCGTTTCCAGGCCTTTGACCATTTTGGTTGCCCTCCTCTGGACACGTTCCAGTTTGTCAGTGTCCTTCTTGAACTGTGGTGCCCAGAACTGGACACAGTACTCCAGGTGGTGGACTCTCCTTCATTGGAGGGTTTTAAGCAGAGGTTGGATGGTCGTCGGTCATGAAATTGAGATCCCTGCATAGCAGAGGCAAGACTGAATGACCCTTGGTGTCCCTTCCAACTCTACAATTCTGTGATTCTATGACTCTGCCCTTGAAGGACCTCAAGCGCCTCTCATGTGGAACCTGAATCTGCAGTTCTGCCTGCACAGCAGCTGCCTCAGGCCCCTTGCTCCCCTGCGAAGAAACAGAAAAGACACTGGCAGGTCACCCAGTGAGGACCAACTGTGGGGTTCCAGGCTGGGATTCTGCACCTTTAATTCCTGCTGGCTTAGCTATCAGCAAGCCACACCAGCCTCCTCCGGGAGCTCTCTGTGGTCCCGAAGAGCCTGCCAGGTGCTCTTTGGCCTGTCAGACCACTCCTGGTCAAGATCAGGCCTCTTCACCTCCACCTGTCACACTAGAACAGGTACCTTCAAGCATGGTGAAGTGAAGGACATGAGGCAGGAGTTGAGCTGCGCACAGGTGAGCTGCAAGCAAGCTGCCGGCCAGCTCTGTGGAGCCTCCTTTTATTGACACAATATGCAAATCCAGGCAGATACATTTTGGGCTGTGGCCTTTACACATCTTCCAGTCCCGAGATCATGGGGTGGTACAAAGTTATTTTGGCACCTGTTTCCACCGCATATTTTCCCTTTGCACAGTGTATGACGAAGGAGACAAAGGTCTCAGAGACAAAGGTCACAGACAGGACACGGCAGACTACTGAGACCGCAAAAGGTTAGACAGAGGGCATGATGTTCAGACAGCTGTGGCTTTGTCTGTGAGGGGGAGTGTGCTCCGCACCCCAAGGTCACGCGTGCAGGCAGGCTGCGGGTGGGAAGTGTGCTCCGCACCCAGCGATCATCCCTACGCATGGGGTGCAGCAGGCTAGAAGGTGTGGAAATGGAAGGATAAACAGAGAGTCTAGCGGGTTAGCTGGTTTTCTGATGATGCTAGATGGAGCTATAGTTTTGCTGAGCCTCGACATCTTCTTTTGCGCAGGGGGAGGAAATCCATTGTCGGCATCTTGTGTCCTGTGCAGGGCTTTATTCGGACCGCATCTCTCAGATCAGTGGCTGCAGCCCGGAGCCTCGCATTGTTCCATTCCGGGGAGATTACTTGGTGTTGAAGCCAGAGAAATGCTATTTGGTAAAAGGAAATATTTATCCGGTACGTCAACTTACAGAGAGCTTGAGAAAGCCCTTGGTGCTTCGGGATGCTTTGAGTACTGGTGTTATTTATTTAATACAATATTTAATATTTACTAAGCTGTACACATGGTGTGAGAGTCCTTATAGTTTCAGGGCAGATCCACTGCATACTTCAGCCTATTTGAACTATTTTGGCTTTCCTCTAATGAACCTTGGGATTGTCCTCTTCTGAGAATCCTCCTCAACCTGTGGAATGCCCTCCCTTCAGATGTTAATAATAATAATAATAAAAATTTTTATTTATATCCCGCCCTCCTCAGCCGAAGCCGGGCTCAGGGCAGCTAACAACAATAAAACAGTACAAAAGTACAAAAGTACAGCACAAACAACACTCTAAAATCATTCATTATAAAATTAATTGTGAAGGAAATAAGCAGCTGTCTTATCTTTAAAAGACACCTGAAGGCAGCCCTGTTTAGGGAAGTTTTTAATATTTAATGCTGTATTGTTTTTAACACTCGATTGGGAGCCACCCAGAGTGGCTGGGCAAACTCAGCCAGATGGGCGGGGTATAAATAATAAATTATTATTATTATTGTTGTTGTTGTTGTTGTTGTTGTTGTTGTTGTTGTTTACCACCCGGAAAATGAGTCCTATGGCTTTGATGGTCAAAGACAGATACAATGCCGGTGGGAAAGTTATATAGATATTGAAATGACCTAATCTGAACCAGTCTGCTTTAGAGAGGGTATATTTGGGAAATGTCGGCTGCTCCAAGCCATTTCCCAGAATATTTCAAGTTACTGCTGCCAATTTCCCTTTCCTCGATTCTGACTTAAAAGCATCTCTCTCCACACTCCCCCGGATGCTGATTTTTATATATCCATACATTTAGCTAAGTACAGTGGTACCTCGCAAGACGAATGCCTCGCAAGACAAAAAACTCGCTAGACGAAAGGGTTTTTTGTTTTTTGAGCTGCTTCGCAAGACGATTTTCCCTATGGGCTTGCTTCGCAAGACGGAAACGTCTTGCAAGTTTGTTTCCTTTTCTTAACACCGTTAATACAGTTGCGACTTGACTTTGAGGAGCAACTCATAGAACGCGGTGTGGTAGCCTTTTTGAGGTTTTTAAAGACTTTGGTGATTTTTGAAGCTTTTCCAAAACTTTCCCGACACCGTGCTTCGCAAGACGAAAAAAATCGCAAGACGACAAAACTCGCGGAACGAATTAATTTCGTCTTGCGAGGCACCACTGTAAGAGATTGTATCTTGATAGACAGAACTCTCGGAGATGTATTTAGGTCCACACATGCACTAATCTTTCTCAGGAGGACAGAAAAGAAGAAGAGTGTGACTACACATGTTGTTGCTCATATTTATCATGTGATGTGCCTAGCCAAAATTTGGCACTAAGACACATGGGGGGGCCGCTCAACCTGATGAACTATAATTGCCAGATCCCCAGCTTTCATTTAAAAAGAGGGTATGAGAGAGAGAGAGAGAGACAAGCGTGCTCCCTTCTTTTCAATGTTTTCTTTGGTTTGCGCCATTCAGAGAGATGCTTCTTGGGCCATTCTTGTGTGATGCGTGGTGTGGTTCTTTCAAATGCATTTTGACTCCCAAGTGTGTTTCCCGTGCTTTAGGTGCCTGATCCCCGTTTCCCCTTCCTGGGTATCCATTTCACCTCGAGGATGGATGGCAGTGTTTGGCTCGGGCCTAACGCCGTGCTTGCCTTCAAACGAGAGGGCTACAGATTTTATGACTTCAGTTTCCAAGACTTTGTAGACGCGGCGGCTTACAGGTAGTGTCCTCTTTCCATTCATCTGCAGGTGAAGAACAAGAATCTCATTACCTCTGCCCTGCCCCACTTTTCTGCAGTCTGTAGTATGAACTATAGTAATCCCAGAAAGCATCGCGCTGCTTACTATGGGCGATGGACACCTGCTTCTTGCATAGGTTGTTCTCCAGGGTGTTATGGGTTGAGCGGATGCATTTCTGGTGCTACAAGGAACACCGGGGGGGGGGGTACGGTTTCTGTAATACATATTTTCCCCCTGTATTGTTTCTCTTTCCTCTTAAGTCAGCCAGCTTCATGCTCTGCACCAGCTCCTTTGTTGTTGTTGTTGTTTACTCATGTCCGACTCTGCGTGGCCCCATGACCAGAGCACGCCAGGCACTCCTGTCTTCCACTGCCTCCCACAGTTTGGTCAAACTCATGCTGGTAGCTTCCAGAACACTGTCCCACCATCTCGCCCTCTGTCGTCCCCTTCTCCTTGCGCCCTCCATCTTTCCCAACATCAGGGTCTTTTCCAGGGAGTCTTCTCTTCTCATGAGGTGGCCAAAGTCTTGGAGCCTCAGCTTCAGGATCTGTCCTTCCAGTGAGCACTCAGGGCTGATTTCCTTAAGAATGGATATGTTTGATCTTCTTGCAGTCCATGGGACTCTCAAGAGTCTCCTCCAGCACCAGAATTCAAAAGCATCAATTCTTCGGCGATCAGCCTTCTTCATGGTCCAGCTCTCACTTCCATACATCACTACTGGGAAAACCATAGCTTGAACTATACAGACCTTATTTGGCAAGGTAATGTCTCTGCTTTTTAAGATGCTGTCTAGGTTTGTCATTGCTTTTCTCCCAAGGAGCAGGCGTCTTTTAATTTCGTGACTGCTGTCACCATCTGCAGTGATCATGGAGCCCAAGAAAGTAAAATCTCTCACTGCCTCCATTTCTTCCCCTTCTATTTGCCAGGAGGTGATGGGACCAGTGGCCATGATCTTCGTTTTTTTGATGTTGAGCTTCAGACCATATTTTGCGCTCTCCTCTTTCACCCTTAATTCCTCCTCACTTTCTGCCATCAAGGTTGTGTCATCTGCATATCTGAGGTTGTTGATATTTCTTCCGGCAATCTTAATTCCGGCTAGGGATTCATCCAGCCCAGCCTTTCGCATGATGAATTCTGCATATAAGTTAAATAAGCGGGAGACAATATACAGCCTTGTCGTACTCCTTTCCCAATTTTGAACCAATCAGTTGTTCCATATCCAGTTCTAACTGTAGCTTCTTGTCCCACATAGAGATTTCTCAGGAGACAGATGAGGTGGTCAGGCACTCCCATTTCTGCACCAGCTCCTAGTCCTCACATATAAAGTCCTCCACTCTGGCTAATTTTCCTCCTCTCCCCTCTGCCCCCATTCAACACAACACAAATATTTCCCTTGTCTGTGCTCTCCTCTCATTTAAGGCTTCTCCCAACGCTGCCTCATTTAACGAGGTCCACTTCGTAACGCTTTTTCTAAACCTTTTTTTTGCTGGCTCCTCTTCCACCGAACATCCTCCTGGCCCAGCCCCAGAGCCCTTGACTTTTGCTGCATCTCGGAGCTAAGGAGCAAAAGGACTATTTAATCTCGTCACTTCTTTAAAAAGTATTAATCACACCTGTAACATGCAATGTTAGTGAGGGACTACCATTGCTGTTATAAAAATGAGAGTTTGGTAGCGCCTTCAAAGTTGAACAGGTTTTTTAATGGCAGAAGTTTCTACAGAACAGAGTCCAGCTCATAAGATGCATGATGTGCAATCCTCAGTTGCCAAATATATATTATACACATGGGGTGTCAAGAAAAGTGGGTATGTGGAGAGATCAGAGGTAAATGAAACACACAGACACTGTTGACATGAGCCAACAGTGTGATGCGGCAGCTAAAAAAGCCAATGCAATTCTGGGCTGCATCAATAGGAGTATAGCATCTAGATCAAGGGAAGTAATAGTGCCACTGTATTCTGCTCTGGTCAGACCTCACCTGGAGTACTGTGTCCAGTTCTGGGCACCACAGTTCAAGAAGGACACTGACAAACTGGAACGTGTCCAGAGGAGGGCAACCAAAATGGTCAAAGGCCTGGAAACGATGCCTTATGAGGAACGGCTAAGGGAGCTGGGCATGTTTAGCCTGGAGAAGAGGAGGTTAAGGGGTGATATGATAGCCATGTTCAAATATATAAAAGGATGTCACATAGAGGAGGGAGAAAGGTTGTTTTCTGCTGCTCCAGAGAAGCGGACACGGAGCAATGGATCCAAACTACAAGAAAGAAGATTCCACCTAAACATTAGGAAGAACTTCCTGACAGTAAGAGCTGTTTGACAGTGGAATTTGCTGCCAAGGAGTGTGGTGGAGTCTCCTTCTTTGGAGGTCTTTAAGCAGAGGCTTGACAACCATATGTCAGGAGTGCTCTGATGGTGTTTCCTGCTTGGCAGGGGGTTGGACTCGATGGCCCTTGTGGTCTCTTCCAACTCTATGATTCTATGAAATGGCCTGAATCAGGGTGATTAGTTTCCTACCACTACAGGAGTTAGTTAGCTTACCAGTGTCAGGATTATTGTCATCAACAAGGCTTTGTGACAGGGTGGGTTTTATTTAAATCAAATCGATTTAAATCACTAGTCAGGAAGACTCGATTTAAATCATTTTTTTACAGAAAGACTCATTCTTGCTAGTATAATCTTAATATTTACAACCAGATGAAGGTTTCATTTTTGGAATAATGAATTTTCAGAGTAGTTTTTACAGTTATATAAAAAAATTACTGATTTGGCTATACTATTAGAAATACATAGACAGATAATTATGAAATTATTGCTTATATTTGGACAACTTTTCTGCTGTACTTTATTGGAAGGAGAAGAATAATCATTTCCTTAATAACAACTTAAACAATTTATTTATCTAAAACAATAACATTATAGCATATGTATCCGTGTTTGTTAACTGATGTGGTTAAACTATTTTTTTTATTTTAAAAAAACCTTAGACTGAGTTTTAGCACACATGAAAAACTTAAAACAAATCCTTATTTCCTGATGAATAGCCTTTGGACTATAACGTAACTTAAATAGAAAATTTAAAAATCTTTAGAAAGATTTTTCCTCCAAAAGCATTTTATTTTAAAAATCCGATTTAAATCAAAAAAATCTGATTTGAATTTTTAAAAATCCGATTTTTTAAAAAAAATTCATGGATTTTTATCCACCCTGCTTTGTGAATGGTAACTGCAAATAGTTTACATATGATTACGTTTACACTTCATCATGAGGGACCTTTTTTGCATTTCTTTCATTTTTGACTGCTCTGCTTACATTTTTCCTTTACGTGTGTGTGTGTGTGTGTGTGTGTGTGTGTTTGCATGCATGTGTATGTACATATCTATCTATCTATCTATCTATGAATGGAAGCTACTTGCAATAAATGTTGCTTTCCCTCTCCAGTGGCCTATGGAAGCTGGTGTTGAGGAACTTCTCTTATGGAATGGGAGAAATGTACAGAGCGTGTTTCCTTAGTGCTCAGGTGAAGCAGCTGCAGAAATTTATACCAGAAGTTACCATCAACGATATACTCAGGTATTCCTTTTGGGGATTTAGACATCACGGAAGATGAGAAGAGCCCGGCTGCAAGTCCTGCACCTGGTTCTCACAGTGGCCAAACAGATCCCACTTCTGGGAAGCCTGAAAGCAACGGCAGGGCTCTCCTGATCTGTGATTCCCAGCAGAGGCATACCACCTCCGACAGTGATGTTGGATAAAGGATGGTATATAAATCTAATAAATTAAAAGAAGCACCCGAGATACGCAGTTTCCACTTGAAACAGCATATGGGCATCTGTAGGGTCTAATAACAATTTAAGCATTTTGTTCCTAGACAAGCAAGCTGGGACCCAAGTCTCCTGTTGCATTAGCTGTGATAGTCAGAGATACAATTCAAGGTCCACTCTGCCCTGTTTGAATGCCCAGTTTCTCCTTTCTTTTTGCAGAGGTCCAGCTGGTGTCAGAGCTCAAGCCTTGGACAACGACGGAAACTTGATCGACGACTTTGTGTTTGACGGAGGCACTGGAGACATTGGCAGCCGAATCCTCCATGTCAGAAATGCCCCTTCACCCGCTGCTACCTCCTCCCTTGCCATTGCGAAAATGATCGCTAACGAGGTGGAGCGGAGATTTGAGCTCTGATGGAATCCTGGAGGCCCGTTGGACCTCTTTGTGTTCAGACACTGTGCTTGGAAGGGTGGCAGTCAAGGAAATGACAGGGAGGTGGCCTTTTGGGGAGAAGCAATCAGAAATAGAGGCTGCCAAGTGGATTGCCTTGCAGAAGCCTCAAGCTTTGCAATGTTCTGATGAGCCTCAGAAGTCATGCCACGTAAGGTCAAACACAGTGAACACCAGTCAGGTCCATTAGATGCCGTATTAATTTGGCAGGGGAAATTGGCCCTGTGGTGTACTCAGGAATGCAGTTAGAGCAGCAGACATCACCACTCTTTCTCCTTATAATTTCGCTTTTGAACTAACTGGGTATGCAGGCGCTGTGGCTGTTTTAATTTCCCTCCGTCCCAAAATCACCTGAAAAAGGCACAGAAGGAACATAGTCTGCTCTCCACAAAAAGGGAATTGTCTGCCCAAAACACGGTAAACCCACAACTCGGTTTTTCTCCCTGCCCATGCCAGGCCACACTGTGGGTTGTGGCAATTGCAATAACAGGCGGGTGGTACCATTGCCAATGTGCCCTGAGCCCCAGGGAAGGATACCTGTTTATCAGAGTACTGAATGTGATTCCCACCTTCCAACTTGCAGAACATAGGAAGTACACCGCTGGCACGATCCAGAGGGAAGTGCTCGTGGGGGGTTGGACTAGATGCCCCTCAGGATCCCTTCCAACCTTACAATTCTACCATTCTAAGCCCCACTGAGTAGCTGAGAAGTGTGCGGGAGGACAGTAATAGATAGTCCTCTAAATATTGGGTGCATGGAGTGGTTTGGTCACAGCAAGTGGTGCTTTTTCTTTGGAGGGTTTTTCTGGTTCAGTCTTCATTGAAAATGGGCAAACAAATCGGTGTGTCATTTTCTGATTAGATCTACATATGCACACAATCTTCATTTACTGAATAGTCCAGATATGCAAAGATCAGGAAAAATAAGTTTTATCTAATTAAATGCAAGCTATTTTTATAAAACAAGAGATAATGGGGGTATATGATTAGAAGCAAAAACAGTCATGATCTGGATCTACATTTTTAGAATGTGAATTCATGCAAAACCTGTGCATTACAATGATCAATAAACTTACACGAAAACTCTTGCGTAAAGGCAAATGTGTTGTCTTCATTGAGTTATGGCGTACATTACATTTTGTTTCTATTCCAAATGGACTGTGAATCACTGCAGTTCTTGGTATTACAGTCGTCTGCATCCCAATATTTTTTGGACCTAGCCATCCGCTTAGGTGAGGAACATGAAAGCCTGACTTCTTGGCACCCCTTTTCTTTCTGCAGAACCCCTTCCAACCTTGCTATTGAACCTCTGCTTTGTGAAGCAGGAAAACTTGTTTGTTGCACTTAAACTACATTTAGACACCAGTGAAAGCTGAAAGGGAGAGAAGCAAACCTGTTATACCCTGGATGGGGAAAGAGGCTGCAAATAAATTTCCCCATAAATGTTTGTTGCCACCACCTTTCAAGGGAGCAGAGGCAGGAGTTACGTGTTACCAGTGCTTAATACTACTAGGAGAACCTAGTATTCTGGATCTGTTATTGTAAGGCTATATATAACACCAAATCAGTCTGAAAATCAGTGTACTGTATATATTGTATATTGTTAAAACAGAATTATATGAAAATGATGTACCGATGGTCTTCTTCTTCTTCTTCTTTGACGATCACTCGTAGCTGAGTAAGATTGTCTTCCATAAACACGATTTTAATAATGAGTCCGTGACTGTGGAGGCCAATTCTGGATCCACACATCCTTCCACAGTGGGGACATAGGTTTCCGGGCAGGAGTTGATCACGGTGAGGGTTTGCTAAGCGTGCCTTCCTTTTAGCACATTTCTCCCTTGTGTCCTGAGTTTGAGTGTCTTCAAAGCCCATGACACCTTTGGTAAAGGCTGTTCTCCAACTGGAGCACTCACAGGCCAGTGTTTTCCAGTTGTCAGTGTTTATACTACATTTTTTTAGATTTGCCTTTTTTGGATGTTGAGTGATAGGCCAAGCTTTTCGTAAGCTTCTGCAAAGTTATTTAGGTTTGAAGGTCATCCTCTGAGTGTGCGCACACTACGTTGTCATCAGCATACTGAAGCTCTATGACAGAAGTTAAGGTAACCTTATTCTTTGCTTTCAGCCTGCTCAGATTGAGAGCTTTCCATCTGTTCAATATATGATTTCTACTCCGGTGGGGAGTTTCCCTTCAACAAAGTATAGGATCATAGTATTACACCTCCAAAAATGTATTATAGTATTATAGTATTATATATAGTATTATAGTATTATAGTATTACGCCTGCAAAAATGGCCAAAATTTATAGAACAAGCTCCAATAAATGTTGGAAATGTAAAGAAAAGGAAGGAATGTTCTATCATATGTGGTGGAATTGTAAAATAATTAAAAACTTTTGGGATATGATTTATAATGAAATGAAAAGAATGTTTAAGATAACCTTTGTTGAAAGACCAGAAGCTTTCTTATTAGGCATTTTAGGTCAAGATTTGCCAAAAGACAAGAAGAAAGTATGTATGCTACAACAGCAGCTAGAATTTTACTAGCTCAAAGGTGGAAAAGCAATGAAATGCCAACGAAAGAACAATGGCAAGAAAAATTGATGGAATATGCTGAAATGGCGAAGTTGACTGAAAGACTTAAAGATAAGGACAATAGAGACTTTTAAAAAGACTGGGAACCTTTCATGATGTACCTACAGAAGCAATGTAAGGAAATGGACTCACTTGCGGGTTTGATTAAACACAATCAACGAACATAATAATTATGTATAACTTTAACTTTACTATATTAGGGAATAAGACGATAAACAGAAGTGAATTCATTATAAACCAGAAAGGGTAGTTGGAGGAAGTCGTGGGGTGGGGGTGTAATTGGGAATTTATTTTGTGACTATCTCACCAGCAGTGATTATGTTAAAATCTGTTGTAAAACCTAATATTTTTTTTTTTAATTAAAATCAACATACTGTAGTGTTGGAAGGTAACCTGAAGGTCATTTTAGTCCAACCCCTTGTAATGCAGGAATCTCAACTAAAGCATCCATGAGAGGAGATATGATATCCATCTTGGGATATCTTAAGGGCTGTCACATGGAAGAGGGAGCAAACTTGTTTTCTCCTGCTCTAGAGGGTAGGACTTGAGCTGATTACTTCAAGTTACAAGAAAGGAGATTCCAACTAAACAAAAAACTTTCTGACAGTAAGTGCTGTTTGGACAGTGGAACAGTCTCCCTTGGGAGGTTGTGGACACTCCTTCCTAGGAGGTATTTAAGTAGAGGTTGGATGGCTATCTGTCCCTCTGCTTAAAAGCCTCCAAGGAAGGAGAGTCCACCACCACCTGAGGGACAACGTTCCACTGTCAAACAGATCTTGCCGTCAGAAATTTCTTCCTGATTAGTGGGAATCCTCTTTCATGTAACTTGAAGCTACTGGTTCAGGTCCTACTCTCTGGAGCAAGAGAAAACAGACTTGCTCCGTCTTCCATGACAGCCATTCAGATATCTGAACATAGCTGTCTTATCTCCTCTCAGTCTTCTCCAGGCTCAACATCTTCAACTCCTTCAACCATTGCTCATAAGGCTTGGCTTCCAGACCCCTGGTCATTTTGATCGCCCTCCTATGCCCACGTTTCAGCTTGTCAATATCATCCTTAAATTGTGGTACTCAGAAGTGGACTGCAGGCGTGGTCTGGCCAAGGAAGAATAGAGTGGTACTCTTCATTCCCTATATTTCTATATTTCTGTTGATGCAGCCTAGACTAGCATTAGCTTTTATTTTGCAGCTGCATCACAGTTTTTGGGTTGTTGCTTTTTCATTAAATATTTTATTGGGATGCTTAAGCAACACTTTTTCCTGACCCCATCTTCAGGTGGGACTGGGAATGAGTCTCTAGGCCCATGCTGCACTTTTTTCTTCCACTCCCCACAGACACAAATGGAAACACGCACAAGCAGGAAATCCCACCTGTATTTTGGAACGTGGGATATCCTCTATGAATATTGAAACTGAAAAGCTGCCCGCTTACTTGGGAGTAAGATCCACTGACTCTAGTGGAACTAACAGCACAATCCTAACCATATATATTTGGAAGGAAGACTATAATGAATTCATCAGGACTTAGGAGCTAGGAATGCTGCCTTCATTCCTAGGGGCATACTCCATGTGCTCTATGTATGAGAAAGAGATGTACCAAATGGTCAGGCCAGCTCTACACATATTTATTTGGAATTGGAACCTATAAAAATATTTGCTACACATCATAAAATAAATTAGGCTTATCTAGAAATCGATACAATCATTTTTGCATATGTGCCAATTTCTCATCCATGGTGTTTGCTTTAATGCCAGGGCAAAGAATGTTTTAGGAACCAAACTGTAGTTAACGGTGGAAGTGGGAGAGAATCCTACAATTTTTTAGCCAGCAGAGTTTATGGGGAATAAACGAGGGGCCATAGCACTTCTCACAGGCATGGGGGGGAACCCCTAAAAGGGTTTAAGAGCCTGGGGGGCTGCTGCCAGTTACAGTCCTGGGCTAACAGACCAAGGGCCTGACTCAGTATAAGAGAGTTTCATATAAAGATATGCAGATTACACCCAACCTCCCATATCAGTTTTTAGGTTCAGGATGACCTACTTTAAGACAAGGATCCTGACACCTCTGCACTTATGCAATGGATTTTTTTTGCTTCACATGGAACAATAAAGAGTTGGATGAGGCCACTGGGGTGCAGTGGTTGGAGTGGGGGGTGGATAGCGAACTCCAAGTGGAACTTACAGTGGTGCCCCGCAAGACGAATGCCTCGCAAGACGGAAAACTCGCTAGATGAAAGAGTTTTCCGTTTTGGAGGTGCCTCGCAAAACGAATCTGCTATGGGCTTGCTTCGCAAGACGAAAATGTCTTGCGAGTTCCTGGGTTTTTTTTCCTTTCCCCTCTTTTCTAAGTCGCTAAGCCGCTTATCTGCTTATCCGATAAGCTGATAAGCTGCTAAAAGCCGCTAAAAGCCGCTAATAGCGCTAATAGCGCTAATCCGCTAATCCCATCAATGGGCTTGCTTCGCAAGACGAAAAAACCGCTAGACGAAGAGACTCCCAGAACGGATTCTTTTCGTCTTGCGAGGCACCACTGTACTTCTGAATAGACACATATAAACTTGCACTATTAATAACCCAGGAAGGTCACAGTGAGGCAGTCTATGTGCTACACTTGATGACTCCCAGCTGAATGTGGGGAAAGCCTCCAGTGGATTATGCACAGGACTGCATGCTTCAGGACCTTTCGTTCAGCTCTCCAAAATCTGGTGTCATCCAGATGTTTTGGAATGCAACTGGCTGGGGTGTGGGAGCCAGGAAGTCATGAAAAAGGCTTGTAGCGCCACCTGGTGCCTCGCTGACCTCAGTGACCTGCATGTCCGTGCCTTGCAGTGTATTAAGTGCATAGCCTTATATGGAGTTATGTTCCCCCTCTGGGCAGTAATTACCCTATATGGCGATGGGTGGGTTTAAGCCATGACCGGATGTAGGTAATGTGAGATACACAATCCTACCACAGACACAGCAGCCATGCTTCGCATTTGTCAGTCTGTAGGTACAGCCACCCACAAGGCTCATCTGCTGGCAGCAGCACTAAATGAAAACCAGCCTGTAGCCACCGATACAACTTGTTTCCAGTGTGGCAAACCAGGATCACCGATACCCCAGTTTGGGTAGAACAGTGGCCTCTACCAAAAGCAAAATCCGTAGCAGCGGCACCGGCTTGGTTCTGAACAGCTTATTTCTGAACAATTGACTTTCGGCCACATTGAACCATCTTCATCCCACTGGCTCCAGCAGACAGGGAACGGTTTGCTTTTACATTGCCAGTATATAACAATTCGCAGCCCACCCAGCGATATCAGTGGGTTGTCCTGCCTCAAGGCATGCGGAACTCCCCTACACTTTGTCAACATTTTGTGGGTGAAGCATTGAAACCTTTCCGCATGCGCCACCTAGAGGTGCTGCACACGAGCTGCATCTGGCAGTGTTTGCCTTCCTAACCATTTGCCTTGCCATCCTTTGCTGCACCGTTATACAAGGAAGAGAAGCAGATGACCCAGTCCAGTTGAAACCACCATATTTCACCTCATCGGCTGGCAAGCAGCTGTTGTCAGCTTCCTACTCTGGCTGGCAGTATCCACGGCTCAGCCACTTTCGAACTAGAAGAACAGCGTTGTTGAATAAGACTTTTAGTGGAGAAAATTATCATAAGATATGGAGGGATAATATTTTTGTACAAGATATGATTATGTTTACCAGTTTATTGCATGCTTCTAAATGTTGGCTGTGTATGCACATGGCGCCTTTTGCCAGTCATTCCGGCATAATGCTTCATGGTGTGCCTGTCAATGGATCTTTTCAATTTACTAATATTATATCCCCTAAGCAAACTTTTTGGCCTCCAGTACAATTGACCCTCCATGAGCCTGCCCCCATTTATTTTCAAATTAAAGAGGGGAAAGAATCATGGGGCATATATCCAAACTGTCAATATACATTGAATTTCACTTTTAATAGCTCTTGTTCTCTTACAGGAACATACAGTGACCAATCTCAGTGCTATAGGAGTGACACCAGTGCATGGCTAATAAACTAGAAAGGAAGCCTACCATGCAGCTTGGAATCAGAATTCTTATATTCTTGGCTTCCGGATGGAAGTTGGCTTCGACATTTATTGATTTTAGTGATCATTATAGTAGTTATTTGCATTATTTTGTGTTGCTGTATCCAATGTATTCCTTCCTTAATTTCTATATGTACTGCATGGTTCTCACAAGAGTCGCCTATCGCGCTCGATATAACCGTATTGGTACTGATATATATGACTCTGATATAAAATAAAGAAAGAGGGCATGTGGGAGCCAGGAAGTCATGAAAAAGGCTTGTAGCGCCACCTGGTGCCTCGCTGACCTCAGTGACCTGCATGTCCGTGCCTTGCAGTGTATTAAGTGCATAGCCTTATATGGAGTTATGTTCCCCCTCTGGGCAGTAATTACCCTATATGGCGATGGGTGGGTTTAAGCCATGACCGGATGTAGGTAATGTGAGACATTGGCAAATGGCCATGCGAGAGGAGAGAACAAAGGATAATAAAAGTTACGGGAGAGGAGAGAAGTTCGAAAGGAGCTGCTCATACCATCCTGAAAATATTGCTGGCTCTCTGTGTCTTTATTTTATGCTAAACTGCGCCATTTGTGACGGCTGGCTCCGACACTGGGGCTGATAGGAGTTGCAGTCCAAAACATCTGGAGGGCACTAGGTTGCAGAAGGGTGCTTTAGCTGATTAAGCAACGAGACCCAGATTTAATCAAGGGGGGGGGATTAATTGGTAGATCTTAGAATTAAGAGCATACTTGTTAACAACACACACACCTCCAGGCTCCTTCATGCTGGGGTGTCACAATAACTGGGAATTGGGGCGGGACGATTACAGATGACCTTCCTTATAACAACGATATCTTTCATTTGCCAAACTCTCAGGTATCTCACACTTCCTTCAATATCTCAAAAAGTCACCTATATTGACCTTTTGTAACAGGCAAATTTATTTACATTTAATTCATTCATGAATGCATTAATTTGCTTAAAGGCGGATCGGTCAAAATACTTTAGTCAGCCGGTAGCTCTGATTGTGTTGGAGGTGATGTGAGATAGTAGAATCATTCTGTTGGCGGGGTTTGATCACCTGAAGCCACAGCTACCAAGTGATGAATCTATTATCTTTAAACAAGAGTGGAGTCTCGGCCTTATCTTTATGTCATAGAGGCAAGCAAAGGAGGAACTGATATATCACTATTCGGTGGTGGCTGGTGCCCACTGGCACTGGTGGGGCAGAAGGCAGGGAGACCAACAGCAGGTGCAGCCAGAGCCAACTAATTCTAGTTTTGTCCCCATTCTCTTCCCTGCCGAGTTCTGTAAGGGCAACACTGAGTCGGAGGAGGAGGAGGAAGCTGACAGCCAGGGCCACCCCCTGCACTGGATAAATAGGTGGTGGTTGGATCAGCCCCACAGGTGCTATTAAATCATTAAATATCATTCAAGCAGATGAAGCACAAAATAAACAGGTTTCCCCATTTTTATTCTGCCATCTGTTTTCCTGGGAGCTTTACTTTTGGTCTTGTAGCCATAGCTCTCCAAAATGCCATAGTCCTCTCCCACAGCAAGGTCAACTAACTCTCAGACGTCTCCAATCTCTTAAGGCCCTCCTCCTATCCACCAGGCATTGCAGGTTCCTCATATGGTTCATCACTGAGGTAGGTTGGCTGTGAACCTTCACTGATCTGCCTATCACTCAGGTCATATTGGCTCAGCTCAGGTGAATAGCTATCTCGCCTCTGGGCTGCTTGACTATCTGTTCCAGGCTTCTGAAAGGAAGACTCGTCTGTCTGCTGAGTATGAGATACCACCAGCCTGCCAGTTCTAATATTGATCCAGCTTCCTTCTGGCACAGAAACAACACTGTAAGTCACCTTTGATTCATGCTCCAGATCAACATATGTATCTACGCTCAGCAGCGTAGTTGCGCTCTGGTGGTTGCTTATCACTTTCTCATAAGGATCCTGCAGTTCTTCCCAAGGTTGTACAATGCTGATGCTTGATGAACAACTTTCAGATTGTACACTGCTACAGCAGGAGTTTTCGCCAGATTTTCCTACAGATTGCATTACATCAGATTTCATTGGTTTTGTACTTCCAACTGTATCGCTGCCATCTTCCACAGCTCCTCCATTAACACCATGAAGTGAACTTTTGTTTGTCTGCTGACCATGACTGAACAGGAACTTACCAGTTTTTCTGTTCAGCCAGATTCCATCTTCTAGAGAAATTATGCTATATGTTTGCTGAGCTGCATCTTCACCTTCTGTGTATGACGATAAGCTCCCAAGTGTTCCTTTGCTTGCAGACTCATCAGGCTGCTGGGTTGGATTTCCTAACGTATTCCATATGGTGTTACTAAAATGAAATTCATCACCCAAAACCTGCTGGGTTTTGTATTCCTGCTCCATTTTCAGCTCTTTGCCCTGCAGGCTTCCCTGTCTAGACTGTGGCACCCCTGCCGGCTGGCTGCCACGTCGGGAACCTTGCACCTCCATTTGCTGGCTGCCCCGTCGGGACTCCTGAACCACTGCCTGCTGGCTACCCCGCCGGGACTCCTGAACCACCGCCTGCTGGCTGCCCCGTCGGGACTCCTGAACCGCTGCCTGCTGGCTTCCCCGCCGGGACTCTTGCACCACTGCCTGCTGGCTGCCCCGCCGGGACTCCTGCACCTCCGTCTGCACCTCTGCCTGCTGGCTGCCCCGTCTGGATTCTTGCACCGCTGGCTGCTGGCTGCCCCGCCTGGATTCTTGCACCGCTGGCTGCTGGCTGCCCCGTCTGGATTCTTGCACTGCTGGCTGCTGGCTGCCCCGCCGGGACTCTTGCACCACTGCCTGCTGGCTGCCCCGCCGGGACTCCTGCACCTCCGTCTGCACTTCTGCCTGCTGGCTGCCCCGCCGGGACTCCTGCACCTCCGTCTGCACCTCTGCCTGCTGGCTGCCCCGTCTGGATTCCTGCACCGCCGCCTGCTGGCTGCCCCGCCAGGACTCTTGCGCCATCACCTGCTGGCTGCCCCGCCGGGACTCTTGCACCACTGCCTGCTGGCTGCCCCACCAGGACTCCTGCTTCTCCGTCTGCACCTCCGCCTTCTGGCTGCCCCGTCGGGACTCTTGCATCTCTGCCTGCTGGCTGCCCCGTCGGGACTCCTGCACAACCTCCTGCTGGCTGCCCCGTCGGGATTCTTTCACCTCCGCCTGCTGGCTGCCCCGTCGGGATTCTTTCACCTCCACCTGCTGGCTGCCCCATCGGGATTCTTTCACCTCCGTCTGCACCTCTGCCTGCTGGCTGCCCCGCCGGGATTCCTGCACCACTGGTTGCTGGCTGCCCCGCCGGGACTCCTGCATCTCAGCCTGCTGGCTGCCCTGCCGGGACTCCTGCATCTCCGCCTGCTGGCTGCCCTGCCGGGACTCTTGCACCACTGGCTGCTGGCTGCCCCGCCGGGACTCCTGCATCTCCGCCTGCTGGCTGCCCCGCCGGGATTCCTGCACCACTGGCTGCTGGCTGCCCCGCCGGGACTCCTGCATCTCTGCCTGCTGGCTGCCCTGCCGGGATTCTTGCACCTCCGTCTGCACCACTGGCTGCTGGCTGCCCCGTCTGGATTCTTGCACCGCTGCCTGCTGGCTGCCCCGCCGGGATTCTTGCACCTCCGTCTGCACCTCTGCCTGCTGGCTGCCCCGTCTGGATTCTTGCACCGCTGGCTGCTGGCTGCCCCGCCGGGATTCCAGCACCACTGGTTGCTGGCTGCCCCGCCGGGACTCCTGCATCTCCGCCTGCTGGCTGCCCTGCCGGGACTCTTGCACCACTGGCTGCTGGCTGCCCCGCCGGGATTCTTGCACCTCCGTCTGCACCACTGGCTGCTGGCTGCCCCGTCTGGATTCTTGCACCGCTGCCTGCTGGCTGCCCCGCCGGGATTCCTGCACCACCGCCTGCTGGCTGCCCCGTTGGGACTCCTGCACCTCCACCTGCTGGCTGCCCTTCCTGGATTCCTGCACCACCGCCTGCTGGCTGCCCCGCCGGGATTCTTGCACCACCGCCTGCTGGCTGCCCCGCCGGGACTCTACCATATCTGGCTCTGGAACCCCCCTCTTTTGGCTGTCCCATTGGAACTGTGGCATATCCTCCTGTATGCACTCTCCCTGGGATGGTGGCATCTCATTCTGTTGGCTCCTCACTGCAAGTTTGTTTTCAAGCTGCAACAGTTCTCCTTCTGCTTCTTCAGGAGACATTAGGGTTTGGGCTGCAATTAGCTCTGCTGTTGCCCCCTTATTATCAGTTGGAAATTCTTTCTTACAGGTGAGCTCCTGCTCTACTTCATCTTTTACATCACTCTCAGATCCAGGCTTACTTGGTTCAGGTGCAGCACTCCTATCCATACTTCCTTTAGATGCACGCCTTAGTTTTTTTGCTATATAATCCTGAAGCCAGCTTCCCTCAGTTTGTTGACTGCTACAAGACATTAACGTGCCAGTTTTTCTGTTAATCCAAGTATTTATCTCAAGGGAAATAATACTATATGTTTGTTGAGCCTTTGCAGAAAAAGATGTTTTCCATTTTGTTTGACTTGTCTCACTTGCAGCAGCACTTGGCACTTCAGACTCTTTTTCAGCACCCAACTTGGCTCTGGTCCCAAGTGATTTATCACTTTGGGATTCTGGCACAACAGGCTGCTCACTTCCCCTCCGGGACACTGCTGCAGTAGGTGGTTGGCTGTCTTTCTGGGGCTCAGGCAAGGTCCGGAGTTCACTGGGTTTCCGGGATTCAGGAACAACGGGCTGCTCACTTCCTCTCCGGGACACTGCTGCAGTAGGTGGTTGGCTGTCTTTCTGAGATTCTGGCAGGGTGCGGAGTTCACTATGCTTCCGGGATTCAGGCACAACGGACTGCTCACTTCCCCTCCGGGACACTGCTGCAGTAGGTGGCTGGCTGTCTTTCTGAGACTCAGGCAGGGTGCGGAGTTCACTTTGCTTCCGGGACTCAGGCACAAAGGGCTGCTCACTTCCCCTCCGGGACACTGCTGCAGTAGGTGGTTGGCTGTCTTTCTGAGATTCAGGCAGGGTGCGGAGTTCACTGGGTTTCCGGGACTCAGGCACAAAGGGCTGCTCACTTCCTCTCCGGGACACTGCTGCAGTAGGTGGTTGGCTGTCTTTCTGGGGCTCAGGCAGAATGCAGAGTTCACTTTGCTTCCGGGATTCAGGCACAACGGACTGCTCACTTCCCCTCCGGGACACTGGTGCAGTAGGTGGTTGGCTGTCTTTCTGAGATTCAGGCAGGGTGCGGAGTTCACTGGGTTTCCGGGACTCAGGCACAAAGGGCTGCTCACTTCCTCTCCGGGACACTGCTGCAGTAGGTGGTTGGCTGTCTTTCTGAGATTCAGGCAGGGTGCGGAGTTCACTGGGTTTCCGGGACTCAGGCTCACCAGGCTTCTCACTTCCCCTCCGGGACACTGCTGCAGTAGGTGGTTGGCTGTCTTTCTGGGGCTCAGGCAGGGTACGGAGTTCACTGGGTTTCCGGGACTCAGGCACACCAGGCTGCTCACTTCCCCTCCGGGACACTGCTGCAGTAGGTGGTTGGCTGTCTTTCTGAGATTCTGGCAGGGTGCGGAGTTCACTTTGCTTCCGGGACTCAGGCACAGCAGGCTGCTCACTCCCCGCTGGGAAACGGCAGCAGTAGGTGGTTGGCTGTCTTTCTGGGGCTCAGGCAGGGTCCGGAGTTCACTGGGTTTCCGGGATTCAGGCACACCAGGCTGCTCACTTCCCCTCCGGGACACTGCTGCAGTAGGTGGTTGGCTGTCTTTCTGAGATTCAGGCAGGGTGCGGAGTTCACTGGGTTTCCGGGACTCAGGCACACCAGGCTGCTCACTTCCCCTCCGGGATACTGCTGCAGTAGGTGGTTGGCTGTCTTTCTGGGGCTCAGGCAGGGTCCGGAGTTCACTGGGTTTCCGGGATTCAGGCACACCAGGCTGCTCACTTCCCCTCCGGGACACTGCTGCAGTAGGTGGTTGGCTGTCTTTCTGAGATTCTGGCAGGGTGCGGAGTTCACTTTGCTTCCGGGACTCAGGCACAGCAGGCTGCTCACTTCCCCTCCGGGATACTGCTGCAGTAGGTGGTTGGCTGTCTTTCTGGGGCTCAGGCAGGGTCCGGAGTTCACTGGGTTTCCGGGATTCAGGCACACCAGGCTGCTCACTCTCCTCCGGGACACTGCTGCAGTAGGTGGTTGGCTGTCTTTCTGAGATTCAGGCAGGGTGCGGAGTTCACTGGGTTTCCGGGACTCAGGCACACCAGGCTGCTCACTTCCCCTCCGGGACACTGCTGCAGTAGGTGGTTGGCTGTCTTTCTGGGGCTCAGGCAGGGTACGGAGTTCACTTTGCTTCCGGGACTCAGGCACAAAGGGCTGCTCACTTCCCCTCCGGGACACTGCTGCAGTAGGTGGTTGGCTGTCTTTCTGGGGCTCAGGCAGGGTACGGAGTTCACTAGGTTTCCGGGACTCAGGCTCACCAGGCTTCTCACTTCCTCTCCGGGACACTGGTGCAGTAGGTGGTTGGCTGTGTTTCTCAGGCTCAGGCATAACAGGCTCTTCACTGCCCATCCAGGACTCGGGCACAGCAGGCTGGTCACTATCCAGCTTGGATTCCAGCACAAGGGACTGTTGGCTACCCCTCTGTGAGTCAAGCATGAAGAGCTGTTTACTGCTCTGCAGCAACTCAGGCACAGCGGACAGATCACCTGTCTTCTCAGGTCCAGTGAACTCGGGCTGTTCACTGTCCTTTAGGATTTCTAGAGCAGCAGCGTCCCTCCAATTCTCAGGCAAGCTGGGCTGTCCAGTGCTCCTCAAGTACTCTGGCATTTCACTGCCTCTTCGAGATTTGAGTCCCATTAACACTTCACTGTCTTTCTGAGGCACAGCAGACTTTTTTCTGACCAGCCAGGGGTCATCCTCCATAGGCTTCTCAATATCTTTCCAGGCAGGTGCTTGTACTTCTTTTTCAGACTTGGGGCAGGTTGATTTTTGAACCCCAGTTTCACAACTTGTCATCATTTCTTGATCACCAAGCTTCTTTTCTTTCTCTCTATTAGCCTGGAGCCAACTGCAATCAGTCTGCTGACTGAGGTTTCTTATTAATTTGCCAGATCTTCTGTTTAGCCAGGTAGATTCCTCAATTGAAATGATACTATATGTTTGCTGAGCAAATGAGGCCTTTTGCTTCAGTGGTGCTGTCTTACCATCCAAAGAAATGGGCCCCTCGGTCTCAGTTTCACGATCCACCTTACATTCTGTCTCTTGGGGCTTTTGGTTGTCATGCTGGGAGTCCTGCTCAATATCCTGTTGATTAGGTTGGGGGCATACTTCCAGTTCAAGTGGGGGACTGCTCTGAAAATTCTCTTCCTCAGCCTCCAGAGGAGTTTCCCCAAGATCTTCCACTGCAGCGAGGATATTGCTATAACGGAACTCTTGAATTTCAGCCTGCTTGCTATTGCGGAGGGAATCTTGCAATTCCAGAGGGAGGCTACACCGGCGGAATTCTTGTACCTCATGTTGTAAATGAGCTGGAAGACTGCCACGGTGGAGGTCTTGAACATCAAATTGCTTGGTGCCATTGGAGGAAAGTTCATGTGGGAGGCTGCCATGGTAAATCCCAGGTGCTTCAGAGGGCTGGTTGCCCGAAGAGGGATCTTGTAACTGAACTGGAAAACTCTCCTGATCAATTTTTTGCAAGTTAGACTGGCGGCTGCCATGGCGGGAACCTTGCAATTCAATTGTTGCACTAATTGCTGAACTGCCATGGCTATCTGTCTGTAGACTCTTTTCAAACAGTTCTCTTTTCAGAGATTCTGCACTATCTGTCTGCTGTGCCTGGTCAGTTATATTTCTGTGCATTTTTTTCAGTCTCTTTATTCTTTTATCTTCTGGCATTTGGTAGGACCCCTGTCTTTTTGGCAGCTGGTTGCCAGTCTTGGACTCCTGCTCTTTTGGCTGTTGAGTAATGTAATAAGATTCTTCTGCTAAAGCCTGTTGACTAGTTTGCCTTGATTCCTTTCCCTCTGGCTGCTGAATGCTGCAGCGAGATTCGTGTACTGCATTCTGTTGCCTACCTTTTATTGATTCCTTTCTCTCTGCCACTTGTGGAATACTGCGGCGAGACTCGTTTGCTATAGGTAGTTGACTAGCCCGCCTTGATTCTTGCCCCTCTGGTTGTTGAATACTGTGGTGAGAATCTTGCGCTATCAGCTGTTGACTAGCTCGCCTTGATTCTTGCCCCTCTGGTTGTTGAATACTGTGGTGAGAGTCTTGAGCTACAGGTGGTTCTACTTTTGTATTTGCATAAGCAGCCCTGCTTATTGCAGCCTCATGAAAAGGACGCAGAATTTCTTCAAGTGTTTCTGGGCCCCAAACAAAACTAGTTTGCTGACTGCCAGATATCATTTTTATGCCTGTTTTTTCGCTGATCCAACACCGTTCATCCATTAATTCAGTTTTGTCTAAGGCCTTACCTTGTGATGATTTTCTGCTCTGCGGATTCTGGCCATGAACGGACTGCTGACTGCTACGGCGAGATTCCAGTTTCTCATATCTGGAGTCTTGCACAACAGGTTGCTCTGTCTCTTCAAGTAAACTAATAGCCTGTTCCTGGCCTAGGATGTGAGGGCTGCTGCTGCGGGATTGTTTCCTAAAAGATGTTTCACTCTCTGGTTGGCACATCTCATTGCAATTCTGTTCCTCAGCACCTAGCATGTCTTCATTTCCAGGGATTACTTGGTCACATGCAGGTTCAGAGTCATCCATTCTTCCTTTCACTTACAAACTGCTAGAGTAGACACTTGAGGTCCACAGGTGCAGATTTGGCAAGCCAAGTATCTACCTCTTGCCAATCTCCACCTTTAGTTTAAAAAGCTATAAAGGAAACATGAGAGCTACCTTGTCTGATCCCACTTCACGGGGGTTGTTTTATTCTTTTCATCAGGGCTGCGACTTGTATGTAGATGGCGTCATTGTCTGGATGGGTGGCAGACTTTTTTTGTTTCTTGTTTTCTATTTACAGCCGGCTGGAATCATGGCCCTTATGACAAAACAACAGCCCTGGATTAGGTGGTCACCAACTCTCCCCCTGTAGTGGTCTTCATGTTCTCACTCCAACTGCCTTTGTTCTAGAAGCTTCAGTAGCAGGTCTATGACATCATTGCCTTTTCTGCTCCAGCCATTCATACGATAAGAAGGCATTAGTCCAGGGCTCTAGAACTGGGCACAGACTTCTTTGTGGTTGCCATTCAGGCACAGAAACTAAGCCTTTGGCTGTTCTAATAGGCTGGACTACAATTTGCTTTCTATGGAAACTAACTTTAGGAGGAGGTAACTAATAACTATTTCCATTTATGGAACTCTTAAAGTGTGGTGTTAAGGTTGCTCAGCTGGTTTAGGGATTGGAGGGTTGGTCACCCTGTTGATGGACCATGTTGCTGAATAGTGGTCAGTCAAAGAAAAGCTGGTGTTTTTGTCCCTAGGCCACAGCATGACTGATATGAGGCTTGAAGGTCAGATGGTTTCAAGCAGGGCTTGCCTGGGATCAGCATTCAATACACAGTACTGTACACATATAACAGCAGCAGTGGTCTCTCTTCTCCATGTGTATGTGTTTCAATTTCAAGGTCAGAAAGTTTGTTGCTTAATACTATGCCTAAAGAAGTAGGCATAGTATTAAGCAATAAATGACCGTGTATTTTATAAGGACACCCAAACAAACAACAACAAAAAGACATTGCCCCAAATGAACTGAAGAGATGAGAAGCACCAGAGAAAATTACCAATGCAACTAACCGTTTTGCAGGGACCCAAAATGGGAACCATCACAATTTATAACGCACAAGGACCTGATGCACAGGGTTATTTTGTTTAAAAAAAAAGAAAACACTGTGGTAAGAAGTCACATAACAATACCTGGTTAATCTGATTCGCTGCCAAATAACAAATATTTCATGTGTTTTTATTTTATTTATTAAATTTGTATACCACCCTTCATCCATAGATCTGAAACTTCACAAAATTAAGTTCTGGAATCATAGCTCTCTGGACTTTTTTTTTAATAAGTTGCTATGGAGCATGTACCAGGACCTCAGGGCACACCTCACTGACAGGGATGTACCTTGGTGTAGGACTGTAGGTGGCCTGCAAGGCTTTGTTGTAAGCTTAAGCTTTGGGAGTCCTACACTGCAAAGGCTGTGTTGACATTTCCTCATGCCAGAGAATTCTGTTAGACGTGTTAGCATACCTGCATTGTAATTTATTCCTCTATCTATATGCATGGGAAAGTTATTCCTCATTTTTTAATCAGTCATGACAAAGCTTTTCCTGCAGCTAATCCCCACACAATTTGACATTAACTTTTGGCAATTACCGGTAATCATCACATTAAGCAGTACGTGCAACAGTATATTAAAAAATAAAAGCAATACATTCAGTAATACTGTACTTTTTAGAACTGATACTTTTCCTATCCAGGAAATCTTCAAAAATACCAATCATGTACATTTACCTCATGTACTCGTTTGTCACAGTTGAATACAGTTACGTTAAAAGCCTGGGTAAATAAATATGTTTTAAACAGCTGGTGAAAGCTCACCACATTAGGTGCCTGCTATACCTCGTTGGGGAGCGCATTCAACATATGGGGGCCCACTGCAGAGAAGGCCCTTCTCCAAATTGCTGAGAAGTAAACCTCAGTAGGCTTTGCCAGACCTCTGTAGGCTGAGGGCAACCTCCAAAGATTTTAGTGAACAGGCAGGTCTATATGGAATAAGTCATTATTTTAACATTATTTTAAATAAGCTGGCCCTAAATTGTTTAGGCTTTTCCAAATTAATAACAACATCTGAAACTTGGCTCAGTAGCACAGTTAACTTGTGAGGGAGGCAGGTTGCAGGGCAAAATACATTCCATCATCTTCAGACCACATTGGCTCTGAGAAAAATGAAACAATTAATCCTGATATAAGAAATGAAATAACATTACAAACTAAACCTCAATAGGGGAAGCCCCAGATGTAAACTCTAAATTCCACTTCACCAGTTATAAATCCTATAACGGTAAGAGCTAGTGAATACTAACACCAGGAAACTCCAGGTTACACCCTGCTTTGCCATAAATCTCATTTAACTAACTAACCTGATCTCGTTTTTTGACAGAATTACAAGCCTGGTAGATGAAGGGAATGCAGTGGATGTAGCCTACCTTGATTTCAGCAAGGCATTTGACAAGGTGCCCCATGATATTCTTGTAAAGAAGCTGGTAAAATGCGGTCTTGACTATGCTACCACTCAGTGGATTTGTAACTGGCTGACTGAGCGAACCCAAAGGGTGCTCATCAACGGTTCCTCTTCATCCTGGAGAAGAGTGACTAGTGGGGTGCTACAGGGTTCTGTCTTGGGCCCGGTCTTATTCAACATCTTTATCAACGACTTGGATGATGGACTCAAGGGCATCCTGATCAAATTTGCAGATGACACCAAACTGGGAGGGGTGGCTAACACCCCAGAGGACAGGATCACACTTCAAAATGACCTTGACAGATTAGAGAACTGGGCCAAAACAAACAAGATGAATTTTAACAGGGAGAAATGTAAAGTATTGCACTTGGGCAAAAAAATGAGAGGCACAAATACAAGATGGGTGACACCTGGCTTGAGAGCAGTACATGTGAAAAGGATCTAGGAGTCTTGGTTGACCACAAACTTGACATGAGCCAACAGTGTGACGTGGCAGCTAAAAAGCCAATGCAATTCTGGGCTGCATCAATAGGAGTATAGCATCTAGATCAAGGGAAGTAATAGTGCCACTGTATTCTGCTCTGGTCAGACCTCACCTGGAGTACTGTGTCCAGTTCTGGGCACCACAGTTCAAGAAGGACACTGACAAACTGGAACGTGTCCAGAGGAGGGCAACCAAAATGGTCAAAGGCCTGGAAACGATGCCTTATGAGGAACGGCTAAGGGAGCTGGGCATGTTTAGCCTGGAGAAGAGGAGGTTAAGGGGTGATACGATAGCCATGTTCCAATATATAAAAGGATGTCACATAGAGGAGGGAGAAAGGTTGTTTTCTGCTGCTCCAGAGAAGCGGACACGGAGCAATGGATCCAAACTACAAGAAAGAAGATTCCACCTAAACATTAGGAAGAACTTCCTGACAGTAAGAGCTGTTCGACAGTGGAATTTGCTGCCAAGGAGTGTGGTGGAGTCTCCTTCTTTGGAGGTCTTTAAGCAGAGGCTTGACAACCATATGTCAGGAGTGCTCTGATGGTGTTTCCTGCTTGGCAGGGGGTTGGACTCGATGGCCCTTGTGGTCTCTTCCAACTCTAGGATTCTATGATTCATTGGGTGAGTTTTGAGCCAAACCGTGTCCAACTTTATCCCCAACTACCTCATTGGTTCATTGTGTGGCTAAATTAGGAAAGCCATGTACACTGTCTTGAGCTGCTTGGAGAGAAGAAGGACCTTCTTGCAGGCACCTGTGTCTTTGCCCTGTGTGTAGATTGATGTTCACATGCAACAGTAATTGCACACATCTGTACAGTGGTGCCCCGCAAGACGAATGCCTCGCAAGACGAAAAACTCGCTAGACGAAAGGGTTTTGCGTTTTTTGAGTCGTTCCGCAAGACGAATTTCCCTATGGGCTTGCTTCGCAAGACGAAACGTCTTGCGAGTTCTTGCGAGTTTGTTTCCTTTTTCTTAAAGCCGCTAAGCCGTTAATAGCCGCTAAGCCGTTAATAGCCGTGCTTCGCAAGATGAAAAAACCGCAAGATGAAGAGACTCGCGGAACGGATTAATTTCGTCTTGCGAGGCACCACTGTATTTAGTGTCTATTCCCTGCATCATCAGCATTCTTCGTATATGTCCCTTTAAAAACTGGAACCAAGCACAGGACTAAGGAGTCCAAGACTCCCATACAAGACTCTCATCCCCTGAGTGATTTGATGACGTCTTTATATTAATATGGGAGGAAACTAGGGTGTTAGACCCTTTTAACATGTTTAGTCCACTTGCAAACTGCGTGCCTCGCTTTCTACCCCTCTTGCAATGAACAGATCACACAGTAAGCATAAAATGCTTTAACTACAAAATGTTCCAAAGGTCAGATTGATGCATTTAATGTAGCAGCACCAAGGAGAACACAGGTAGAAAAAACAGAAAGATAACTTCAAACCCATGCTCAAAGTTGGGATCAAAGCTAAGACACATCCTTCCTCATAGGTTATATGGCAAGAAGAGAGAGGACGGGAAGAGAAGGCTTCACTTCCCCTTTATCAGAGGAGGAGTGACCCAGCTGAGTCTACAAATCTAACTCTGTAGTCTTAACCCCTTCATGCACTAACTAGCACTCATACATAGTTATGTTTGACTGCAATTTCCTAAAAATATTTATTAGATTCCTTACCTGCACTTCACCATTAGTTCCCTGCACGGGTTACAACAGTTAAAAATACATTATAAAAAAGCTAAAACACATTACAATAAATAGACTAGGGTGGTTTTTAAAATATATATTTCATGTGTCAAAGATGTGCATCTTCAACATCCCATAAAAACTACATGAAAGGGCTGGACACACCTATGGAGAGGGAATTCCACCACTGGGGAAACCCAGCCAGAGGGGCAGGTTATAAATAAATAAATTATTATTATTATCCATCACAGAGAACATGCTCCCAGGCAGCTGTCCCACCCAAACTACCAAGCAGACCCCTTCTGCCAATCTTAACACCTGAGAGGGTCTGTAGGGAAGGAGGCAGTCTTTCAGATATTTGCATCCTAAGTCACTTGTGGCTTTAAACATTGTGAGCACTGTGAATTGGGCCAAGAAACAAACTGGCAACCAACCCAGCTGTTTAGACTATGAATACCGCTCATTCCATACCCCTACTTGTCCCTGTGTTGGCAACTGCAGGATCCACAGGGCCTGTGCCTGGATTTAACCCTGGGATCGTCAACTGCTAACCTCCAGTACACACTTTTATCCAAATGTTAACAAAATACAATGCCACATTTGCATTCACCTCATGATAATTTCTACTACAGCTAGCACGGGGGACCTGTAGCACTGCAAATGTTATTGGGTAACTTCCAGACAACCTGTTTATTGAATATTCATCCTAATTTGTTTCCAAAAAGTTTACGGGGAGGTTAGATGATGACAGCAAGTACAATGTGCAGTAGCTGTGAAAAAGGTAAATGCCATGCTACGGATCATTAGGAAAGGAACCAAAGATAAAACGGTCGATATAATGTCATTATACAAATCTTATGGTGTGGCCACATTTGGAATACTGTGCACAGTTCTCATTTAAAAATGACACTGTAGAGTTTGAAAAGGTTCAGAAAAGGGCAAGCAAAATGATCAAGAGAATGGAGGGACTCCCCTGTGAAGAAAGGTTGCAGTGTTTGGGACTTCTTAGCTTAGAGAAAAGGCAAGAGGTGATATGATGGAGGTGTATAAAATTATGCATGGCTTGGAGAAAGTGGAGTGAGAAGATTTTCTCCCTCTCTCAGAACTCATGGATATTCAATGAAGCTCAATATTGGAAGATTCACATTACATAAAGGACTTATTCGCACAGCATAGTTGAACTATGGAACTCCAGTGATGGCCATTAACTTGGATGGCTTTAAAACAGGATTAGACACATTCATGGAAGACAAGGCTATCCAAAGATACTAGCCATGATGTTCATGTCCTGCCTCCACTGTCGGAGGCAGTACACCACTTAATACCAATTGCTGGGAATCACAGGTGGGCAGAGCTGCTGCACTCATGTCCTCCTGCTTGAAGGTTTCCCACTGAGGCATTGGGTTGGCCACTGCGAGAACAGGATGCTGGACTAGATCAATCATTGGCCTGATTCAGAACACTCTTTTTATGTTAACAGTTTACTGAGCATTCATTCTGATTTTTTTGCAGAAACGTTAGATGGCATTGTGTCAAGCAAGTGCCATTCCACACTTTCCAGTGCACTTTGACCTCTGCTTCCTCACTGCAAAAAGTCCTGTGGAGAACTCCCAATCAACTTTTAAGTGCGCAACCTGAACCTGCAGGTACACGACTGTTTCTCACCCCAAAATAGTTACAGTATGGAAGTGTCCTTCGAATATAAGGCCTGTTAACATTATTGGCCATGCCGGCTGTCTGCTGCAAGGTGCCCCTAAAGAGCCCGATCAATATTCCATCTGCATTGGAATTTTGGAACAGCCGAAGCTGCCCCCTCCTAGGGTTGCCACCTTGTCCCATATGTCCATGTAAAATGCTACATTCTGTATTGATAGTTTTGTCCTGAACTTCAGATCTTCTCTCTCTCTCTCTGGCAAGTTAGGGATCCTCTCCAAATGCATGAGCTTGAAGGAGTGTGTGAAAGGTCATGCATTTAAGCTCTGGGTAGCCAAGAACAGCTTTACAAATTCATGTATGTCTGTGTGCGCGTGCATGTGTGACAAATTCCAGAGGGGTCATTCTGTTAGGCTGCAATAGATTGTAATGGATTACTTTGAAGTCACTTCAGCACCAGATAGAGGGGAAATCCCCCCCACCCCACCCTGTATTTTGCCAGAACTAAGGTGGCAACACTAGGTAAAGGGACCCCTGACCATTAAGTCCAGTCGTGGCCGACTCTGGGGTTGTGGCGCTCATCTCGCTTTATTGGCCGAGGGAGCCGGGTACAGCTTCTGGGTCATGTGGCCAGCATGAGTAAGCCGCTTCTGGCGAACCAGAGCAGCGCATGGAAACGCCATTTACCTTCCCGCCGGAGTGGCACTTATTTATCTACTTGCACTTTGACGTGCTTTCGAACTGTTAGGTTGGCAGGAGCAGGGACTGAGCAACGGGAGCTCACCTCGTCACGAGGATTGGAACCGCTGACTTTCTGATCGGCAAGTCCTAGGCTCAGTGGTTTAACCCACAGCGCCGTCCCTGTGGCAACACTAAAAGGTAAAGGGACCCCTGACCATTAGGTCCAGTTGTGGCTGACTCTGGGGTTGCGGCGCTCATCTCGCTTTATTGGCCGAGGGAGCCAGTGCACAGCTTCTGGGTCATGTGGCAGCATGACTAAGCCGCTTCTGGCAAACCAGAACAGCGCACGGAAACGCCGTTTACCTTCCCGCCGGAGCGGTACCTATTTATCTACTTGCACTTTGACATGTTTTCAAACTGCTAGGTTGGCAGGAGTGTAACACTACTCCGTCCCTAAATACAGTGGTACCTCGGGTTAAGTACTTAATTCGTTCCGGAGGTCTGTTCTTAACCTGAAACTGTTCTTAACCTGAAGCACTACTTTAGCTAATGGGGCCTCCTGCCGCCGCCACGCCGCTGGAGCACGATTTTTGTTCTCATCCTGAAGCAAAGTTCTTAACCCGAGGTACTATTTCTGGGTTAGTGGAGTCTGTAACCTGAAGCGTATGTAACCCGAGGTACCCCGTTATAGTACTAGGCCAGGATAGCTCCCCAACGCTTGCAGAGCAAGACGGACAAGCCTGCGGTACGACGTCACCGCTTTCACTTTCTGCAAAACGATTGACACTCCTTTCCCCGCCCCTTTTTCCCAACGCCCAGGATTAAGAGGCGATCCTGCGGCCCCGCCCCCTTCAGACCCCGCCCCCTTTTGATTGGCACCCGCCTCTAGGTTTCCTCCCCTGCCTTTCCCGCTTGGGCCGCTAGAGGGCGAGGCGAGGCCTAGCTTGAGAGGGAGGGGGGGAAAGAGGGAGAGGAAAAAAAATAAAATACCAGAGGCCGGCCGCTGCGCCTGCGCAGTGTGTCCGGGACGGAGGCGGCCGCGGCCCAGGCTTGGGAAAGCGGAGCGGCGGCGGCGGCGGCGGCGCCTGCTGCGGCTTGCGGCGGGGCCGGCGGCCTGGGGGAGACGCGGATGCGCCCGCGGCTGGCTGGGCTGGGCCTCGCCGGCGGGTAGCCAGGGCCGGGGAGGGGGCGAGCGCCCCTCCCCCCTCTCCTCACGAGGGGGCGGGAAGGCGGGGAGGGGGCTATGCAGCCGCCTCAGCCGCCCCCCTACGAGTTCCTCAGCGAGGAGAACGGGCAGAAATGGCGGGGGCTCCTCGTGCCGGCCCTGCGCAAGGTCAGTCGCTCGCTCCGAGCCTCCCTTTTCTCCGCCGGCGGGCGCCCCGTCATGCGCGCGCACCCCTCTCTCTCTCCCTCCGTCTGCCTTGTCGGTCTCTCTTGCGCGCGCACCTGGGCGGCGGGGGGTGGGGGGCGGCGGCGGGAGCCCTCTGTTACCCCGGCGACAACGTCGTCTCCTAGGCAACGGGACCCCACCGCCCAATCCGCCCAGCGCTCCCCCTCCCCCTCCCTAGCGCTCGCCCGCCTCCCAAGTTTACCTCACGGAAAGGTTCGGGGGGGGGGCGCGCCAGCCACCGGTCCTGTCCCTCCAGGGAACGCCCCTTTCGCCCTCTTCCTCCAATCAGGAGGCCCCTCTGCCCTCTCCTCAGACAGCAGCCCCTTCGTTTACCTCAGAGGCGCCTCGCTGCGCACCTGCGAACACACCCGCCGAGACCCCACGCCCACCCCATAATAATCCGCTTTCCCAGCCCCTCGCTGTCTCCACAACTAGTTTTTGCTGTGTTTATGAAAGTAGACTAATGTGTCCAAAAACTATCAGGCGAGTGGTGGCAGAACTAGAAATCAGAATACAGTGGTACAGATGCTTCAGGTTACAGACTCCGCTAACCCAGAAATAGTGCTTCAGGTTAAGAACTTTGCTTCAGGATGAGAACAGAAATTGTTCTCCGGTGGTGCAGCAGCAGCGGGAGGCCCCATTAGCTAAAGTGGTGCTTCAGGTTAAGAACAGTTTCAGGTTAAGAGTGCCTGGAGGCGGTTGGAGGTTGGATGGCGGCTAACAGATTGAGGTTGAATCCTGACAAGACAGAAGTACTGTTTTTGGGGGACAGGGGGCGGACGGGTGTGGGGGATTTCCTGGTCCTGAATGGGGTAACTGTGCCCCTGAAGGACCAGGTGCGCAGCCTGGGAGTCATTTTGGACTCACAGCTGTCCATGGAGGCACAGGTCAAATCTGTGTCCAGGGCAGCTGTTTACCAGCTCCATCTGGTACGCAGGATGAGACCCTCCCTGCCCGCAGACTGTCTCACCAGAGTGGTGCATGCTCTGGTTATCTCCCGCTTGGATTACTGCAATGCGCTCTATGTGGGGCTACCTTTGAAGGTGACCCGGAAACTACAACTAATCCAGAACGCGGCAGCTAGACTGGTGACTGGGAGCGGCCGCAGAGACCACATAACACCGGTCTTGAAAGACCTACATTGGCTCCCAGTACGTTTCCGAGCACAATTCGAAAGTGTTGGTGCTGACCTTTAAAGCCCTAAACGGCCTTGGTCCAGTATATCTGAAGGAGCGTCTCCACCCCCATCGTTCTACCCAGACACTGAGGTCCAGCACTGAGGGCCTTCTGGCGGTTCCCTCACTGCGAGAAGCCAAGTTACAGGGAACCAGGCAGAGGGCCTTCTCGGTAGTGGCGCCTTCCCTGTGGAACACCCTCCCACCAGATGTCAAAGAGAACAACAACTACCAGGCTTTTAGAAGACATCTGAAGGCAGCCCTGTTTCGGGAAGCTTTTAATGTTTGATGTATTATAGTATTTTAATATTCTTTTGGAAGCCGCCCAGAGTGGCCGGGGAAGCCCAGCCAGATGGGCGGGGTATAAATAATAAATTATTATTATTATTATTATTAAGAACGGACCTCCGGAACGAATTAAATACTTAACCCGAGGTACCAGTGTAGCTTTGAGAACAATTTGATATATATCTATATATCTCTTCAGTGTTTTTTAAACCTGGGGGTCCTCAAAGGTACTGGCACCTTCTCCCCCCACCCCACAGAACAGTGATGGCCAAACTTGGCGCTCCAGCAGTTTTGGGACTACAATTCCCATCATACTTGCCCACTGGTTGTGTTAGCTAGGGATGATGGGAGTTGTAGTCCCAGAACAGCTGGAGGGCGAGTTTGGCCATCACTGCCCTAGAAGAAAAGCATCTGTACCTGTTATCTGCCACAAATGGCACGCTAGCCTCGTGTCATGGTAAAAAGGTAAAGGGACCCTTGACCATTAGGTCCAGTCACGGACGACTCTGGGGTTGCGGCGCTCATCTCGCTTTACTGGCCGAGGGAGCCGGCGTACAGCTTCCGGATCATGTGGCCAGCATGACTAAGCCGCTTCTGGCGAACCAGAGCAGCGCACAGAAACGCCGTTTACCTTCCCGCCGGAAAGGTACCTATTTATCTACTTGCACTTCGAACTGCTAGGTTGGCAGGAGCAGGGACCGAGCAATGGGAGCTCACCCCGTCGCAGGGATTCGAACCGCCGACCTTCTGATCAGCAAGCCCAAGAGGCTCTGTGGTTTAACCCACAGCGCCACCCGCGTCCCCGTGTCAGGGCACCATTGGCTAATTTCGCCTCTCCTTCGGAAGGGTAGAATAGATGTTGAAATAAAATACAGCGGACGCTCGGGTTGCGAACGTGATCCATGCGGGAAGCATGTTCCCAACCCGCAGCGCTGCGTCTGCACATGCGCAATTCGGTGCTTCTGTGCATGTGAAAAGCGCGATTTAGCACTTCTGCGCAAGCGCCAAAACCCAGAAGTAACCCGTTCTGGTACTTCTGGGTTCAGCGCGGTGTGCAACCCGAAATCACACAACCCAAAGCTTCTGTAACCCGAGTTATGACTGTAGATAAATCTTCAGTTGCCCCAGAAACCCTCCCTAAACATGAGCATTTCCCTCAGCTCCACATAAAAACAGCTGGCACCTGCCTGTCGTTCTGAACTACAACTCCCATCAGCCCCAGCCAGTCCAGCTGTCTTGGGCTCTGATGGGGGTCTCCAGATGTTTAGGCCAAGGCAGGTGCATCCTGCTTCTCCTTCAAGCTGAGCCCATCTGGGTGCTCCTTCCCCCTGTCCACAGCCATGTTTTGCTCCTTAGGATCTCTCTCCACACACCTGCCACCCCGATCCCAACACAGCAATCTCCTTGCACTCTCTGTCACCCTGCACTTTTCTTCCCAAGGCGCACAATTTTGTCCAGGCTTTAGTGGGTGAGGAGAAGAATTGAGCACGTTTCTGTTTATGCCTTCTTCTCTCCTTGCTTCCCTTGCAATGGGATATTTGTAACTGAAGTCGTTTGCTTTGATGCCATTGTTTCAGATCGTGTATATATTCCTACTCTGGGACATTTGGGTGAAGGGTGGGTTGTGAACACCTTCTAATAAATAACATTTATAAGGTTATGCCATAGGTAAGGCCGAAGCTTTTTTAAAAAAATAAAAGGATCAGATTGTGGGGTTTCTCAAAGACAAGGTGTTGGCTCCCATCTTGGAAATGTGATGGTCCTTTACTGTCACGCATGCTCACGTTCTTCTGCTCAAACAATAGTGTCGGAGACCTGTTGCAAATACTCTCCACTCTCCTGCCTTTGTTCCTAAATATTCAAGTTTGCTTATTGCAAGCACTGTGCACATATTCTTCAATCAAAATACTCCATTCTTTGTAGAGCATCCACCCATAGGTTACAGCCCCCGTTTTTGTATTTACACAGTATCTTCCATGCCCATTATGTCCCACGCACACAGGAAAAATGCACAATTGTCATTGTGTACGCACACATGCACACACAGATGATCATATCTGCACCATTTCCATCATGACACAGATGTCTGTTCCCCCTTTTCATATATGTACAGGATTCATGTTGCTTACTATTAGCCCAGCACCAGTCAGTCTCCAGGCACAGGAGACTGGCAAATGGCTCAGAATTATTTTGTCTGCTTGAGGCAAAAGCTGTTGCATGGTTACAATTTTGTAACAGTGGCATCCCTTCTCCCCACCCACCTCTGGCAAAACTCTAGACTGAATTTGAACAAAAGACTTCTGGATAAATTTGTATCAAAACACTTTCCCAAAAGGGACTGCTGTGTAATTCTGGGTGCTTTTTTATATTCCCCTCCCCCACTTTCTGAAAAAGGGGGAAGAGGAACAGGGGAACCTCGAAAGCACTTTCCACTGGTTAAAGGGCAACTGCTGAGTGTCAGATTGGAAGGGAAATATTGAGTGCTAGGAACTCCACCAGATGTTCAGAAAGAACCTTGCATCTTTGTTTCTTTTGCAAAAGTATACTAACAGACAATCGAGCGCTGTTATTTCTTGCTGAAGTACAGTAGATTGTCATATGCAACTGTGTTTATTGTAAACTGATTTGTACCTCTAGCAGCCATATACTGTATGTTTTTCCCCTTTCATTTCTGAGGGTGAGCTGCCCAGGCAGGTGTTCTTATAGCAGCTCCAGACATTAGTATTGCTGTAAATAACTGTGTATCTGAGAAACCAGAGTAGGAGGAATGAGAAGACTACTAATACATCTTTCAGTGATGCCTTGAACATAAATCAGCAGGTGTATCAAGACTATTATTTTAAAACAAATCTATGAAAGTAAGATGCCACCTTTGTTGTTCTGTTGCATAATTACTTAGAAATAAGTCCCACTGGGTTCAGGACTGAAATGTGTTGGAATTCTAATTTACCCTTGTAGATTCATTCTTACTGCATTTCCATTCCAATTTTCTTTTGAGTAAAGAGCAACTAAATCAAGGCTCCCTGGGAATCTCATGCAGGAATTCACTAGGCTGTGATCTGATTTACCTTTAACAAGGCGGCAGCAGCGGCAGCAGCAGCAAACATCATAGGTCCTCAGCCCATTTTTTGGGCCCAGAAAGGGATTCAGTGGTGGCAGTTTAGCGTGAGCCAGCTGATGGAATGTCTTCTCAATCAATAAATAGAAAGCAATAGTTCCTTTTCCCACACAAGTAGCTGTAGTTTATCTAAACAAATAACCTTTGATTTTACACATGGAAAACTGTTTTTAAGGCATTTTTAAATGACATCTTTTTTGGGGGAAAGTCTGATAGTAGATATTTCAGATCCATTCGAAAGTATGGGCTGACTGAGTACATACAGCATTGGTTGCGATTGTGTACAGATTTATTTCTGCTTAGAACTCATTGACCTCTATGAGATCCATACACATGGGAATTCACGATTCTTTCCAAGTTAAAGTTACTTTTAAATGTAGCTTTACCAATTTTTATGATTGAATTGGGCTTTCACAAGCATGGAGCATCAGGTATTTCAAAGCAAAGTTTCAGTCCTATGCCTTTTTGCCTGGGAGTAAGCCACACTGAACTTTTACTTCTGGGTAAACATGTATAGGGTCACCCTGCAAAAGAACATAAGAACAAGAGACAGCTCGGCTGACACTGGAGTTCTGAAGATGACTCCATTGCATAATATGCTTTATATGTCTGCAGTTTTTGGTTTTATATATTGTTGTATACCTCCCCGTGATCATTGGATGGTGGGCGGTCTAGAAGCAAAATTATAGTAGCTAAAAATGAACACTGAAGTGTTTTGAGTGGGTATCCTCTTCCTCAGCCAATACCAGAGCAGGTTTTCAATTCAGTTCCTCATCTTTGCTTCCTCTAAGCCTATACTAACTTTGTGTTTATATGCTTTAAACTTTTCAAACATTGCATTCTGTTCACACCCAACAGAACCTTTCATCTGCCTTGAGACCTAAAATCTAATGGCAGTCCAAGCTTGATAGAAGACACATGTCAAGGATGCAGATGGGTGGAGACGTTCATCAGGGGAAAGCTACATGCAAATAAGGGAGCATGGGAGAAGGACAATATATTTTTCCCAGCACAAAGTACACATCAGCAGAAAACCCAGGGGGGAAGGAAGAAGTTAACAACTTAAGGAACAAGTTGCTGTAACACTGCTAAATGTTTATGTCAGGGAAGTAGCTGGAGTGGCAGTTAACTACACCATAATTCCAAGGCTTAGTTTCTTACGTTCATCTGCACAGTTCTCCTCCTTGATAGTGGGTCTGATGGACAGAACAGGGCTGGCTGCTTTAAGAGTTTCTGAGCCTGTCAGCAATTTTATAAATAGTTATAAGTAACCATTAACTTCATTCTCATGGAAGAGATTGCAAAATAGACAGTCTGTACTTCAGCAATTATGTTTAACTTCTTCTATTTTAATTGGACACTTTGATCCCTTTTGCCTCCTCGTAAGTCTCAGCAGAACCACTGAGTTAGTTTCTGTTTCCTAGATTAGAATAAGGGACATAATTGGAAGGTTCTCTGTTAAAGAACTTGCTGAATGACTGGCAATTCTTCAGCAGCACAGCATTGTCATTTTCGCAGACCAAGGCTATGGGCAGTTAGGGAGAGACTTTTAGTTAATGAAGTAAAATTTAACTTTTATCACTTCATAGGAATTCATTTTCTCACATTTTGTTTTGGGATATGCTGGAGAAACTGGGGCTTTGAAATGATGAGCAGGGCCTTGTTGTCAGTATCTCTGTCGCTCTGTTTTCTGGTTGAATTAAAATAAAATAAAATCTTTGTGCAGGTACAGCAGCAAGTCCACCCCAACCTTTCAGCCAAGGAAGATTCCCTCTACTACATCGAGGAGTTAATCCTTCAGTTGCTAAACAAGCTATGCATTGCACAGCCACGGACTTTTCAAGATGTAGAGGTACGAATGCGAGGGAAAAGGCCCAGGTGTTTCCTTACCAAACAATGTTGGTAGGAGAAAGAGGAACTGAAAAGCCTTTACTGCAATCCAAGCTGAATCATGATGGGAGCAAGCCTGCTGGAGAGAATGTGGTCTGCTTCCCTGAACTAAGAAAATAGACACTGAAAATTATGCTTGCATTGTGCAGGTGCAGATCTGTGGAACAGGCAAAGCCCTGGTTTAAGGAACTGGGCAGCATGTGCATTTGTCTTCTGTGGCAGGAATGTATTAATCAACAGTGTCTTCTGAGCACAAAGCAGTGCAAGGGTTGGAGAGTTGCTTTGCTCTGACGGCAAGCCCTTGTGTTCAGTGAGCTGCATTTGGCAAAATGTATACATGAGAAACTGCTTTTCTGTTGTCATATGAGGAGTGCTTGAAGGAGCTAGGTATGTTTTGCCTGGAAAAGAGGAAACTGAGAGGAGATATGATAGCTATCTTCAAATATCTTAAGGACTGTCAGATGGAGGAGGGAGAATTCTTGTTTTCTCCTGCTCTGGGGGGTAGGACTTGAACCAATGGCTTCAAGTTACCTTCTGACCGTAAGAGCTGTTCAGCTGTGGGACAGACTGCCACGAGAGGCAGTGGACTCTCCTTCCTTGGAGGTTTTTAAGCAGAGGTTGCATGGCCATCTGTCATGGATGCTTTAGCTGAGATTCCTGCATTTCAGGGGGTTGGACTAGATGATCCTTGGGGTCTCTTCGAACTCTTAAGAGTCTATGATTCTATGAACAAACCTGTGGAAGAACTGTGATAGAACACACATTTTCTTGTCTTCTCATATTGTACTTGGTTTACTCCACTGTGGTTTGTCTTCATGCAGGAAAAACTCAATAATAGGTTTTTGAGAAGCAATTTGAAAGAAAGGTTTGGGTGCAAAACGTTGTGGGGAGGAGAGGGATACGGCCTCAAAGAAATAATTCCCATGCTATTGTGGCCGCTGAAAGAAACTGTGGGAGGGGGTGTGTGCACCAGCTTTTCCTTTTAGAATCCAGCAGCTATTTTAAAACCCCTTTTTTTTACATTTGTGCAGGAGCGAGTTCAAAAGACGTTTCCTCACCCCATTGATAAGTGGGCGATTGCAGACGCACAGTCCGCTATTGAGAAGCGGAAACGAAGAAGCCCCCTCTTGCTGCCTGTGGACAAAATACATCCTTTATTAAAGGTATGTTGTACTGAGAGCTACCAGATGGTTTAAAATGCCATTTTCAATCTCTTATTAAATTTCAGAAACATTTTAAAGCAAGTAATGCCCCCAATTTATATTTTAAAAAAACCCCAACAGCAATAAGAATCCAGCCATCATTGGAAGTGCTGGTTATGACCTATAAAGCCCTAAACGGCTTAGTTCCAAGCTATCTGAAAGACTGTACTCCATCATACAAACCTACCTGGGTTTTCCACGCTTCTGGGGACGTCCTTCACTCAGCCCTGCCACTCTACAGGACCACTTGGTGGGGAGGATAATAATAATAATTTATTATTTATACCCCACCCATCTGGCTGGGCCTTCCCAGCCACTCTGGGAGGCTTCCAAAAAAAATATTAAAATACTGTAATACATCAAACATTAAAAGCTTCCCTAAACAGGGCTGCCTTCAGATGTCTTCTAAAATGTGGGAGACGGCCTTGTCGGTGGCTGCTCCCGGACTTTGGAACTCCCACTGTAAAGAATCTAGACTGTCTCTCACCTTGTTGCCTTTCTGCCAGCAGGTGAAGACTTTCTTGTTCCAACAGGCTTTTGGGAACTGGCTGCTTTTAATTAAAGGGCAGGTGTCATGCTGTTTTTATTGTAATTATTTGTATGGTTTTAATATATTTTATATATGTATATAGTTTTTATACATATATGCGGGGTTATCGTTTTTGTTCGTTATTATGGTATGCATTTTTGTGTTTTTGTATTGTAAACCCGCCCTGTGATCTTCGGATGAAAGGCAGTATAGAAATTTAATAAATAATTATAATAATTATATCAGTGTTTAATTTTTTTAAATTATTGTTTTCTTTATGTTTTTAGCAGTTCTTTTTTTATTTGCAAGTTGCCTTGAGTAATTATTTATAAATAAATTAATAACAACAATAACAATAATGAGCTGGGGTGTTTGCCGGGGGTTGGGGGATTTTTTTTACTGTTGTGGTTGCTGTTGGTTTTCTGTATCTTTATTTTGCATCTTTTGATTTATGTGGAAATTGTTCCGTTTGGTTGTGTATTTTTTATGCTGCATTTATTGTTTATGACTACTTTTGTTGTGTCGCATTTATATATTTATTTCATGTTGTAATCAGCCTTGAGCATGGTTGGAACTGTGGAAAGGCGGCATACAAATAAAAGAATGTATGTTTGTAATAATAACAGCAACCAGTCAGTTAAATAAAAGGCAGTGAGGCAGTTTTTTAAAATTCACAAGCTTTGTAGTGTATATTGTCGTGACTCAGCATGCAATTAAGCAAGTAAGTGAGCAGAAACGGGGGATGATTCTGAAGAATCCCTTGCCAAGAGGGAGGAGGAGGCAGCAGAGGTTGGGGCTGCAGCTTCCTCTTCCTGTACAAGCAGGAAGGTGGTTCTGTGGCAGCAGTGCTGCTGTATGGCATGATTCATAATGGTTGCCACTACCTTCAAATGCATTCTTGGAATCCACGTCACTGTCATCTCCCTTTCTGGTTTCTGACTTCGTTTAAATCAGAGGAAAAATCAATGTGATTTTTTTAACACTTCCCCTTTTTGTGTTGAATTTCAGGAGGTGCTTGGCTATAAAATAGATTATCATGTGTCCCTTTATATCGTGGCTGTCCTGGAGTATATTTCAGCGGACATCTTAAAACTCGCTGGCAATTATGTTTTCAACATACGACATTTTGAGATCTCTCAGCAGGACATTAAAGTATCGATGTGCGCTGATAAGGTGAGGTGCCGTGGAAATCCTGGGCTTAGATGGCAAGGGCTTCATACACATCCAGATTCATTATAGGGCTGTGATTTTTGTTTTTTGTTACTGCTTAAGAACTAATCCACCTTGACATGATTAAAAAATAACGACAACCTCATTGTTTCTGTATAAGCAACAAACTTTACAGGACACATTTCTTCATTACCAGACTCTACCCAGAGATTGTGAACCCTTATGCCATAAAATAGTAACATTACCCTGTAAGACTGGCTTGGATTCAGTCGTTTGCAATCAGACATTAAGTTCATATTTGATTATAGAAAAGTCGAGCATGAATGAAATGTGTGTTTTCTTCTTAGGTGTTAATGGATATGTTTGATCAGGATGACATTGGCTTGGTTTCTCTCTGTGAAGAAGAGCCCTCTTCCTCAGGTGTACTCAATTACTATGACCTGGTCAGGACTGAAATTGCAGACGAAAGACAGTATCTCCGGGAGCTGAATCTAATAATAAAAGTGTTTAGAGAAGCCTTCCTGTCTAACAGAAAGCTGTTCACACCTAATGTAAGTCAAGACTTTTACTGTGCCAACCCTTCTGTGTTTTAAACAATTGTGTGCTTTGAGACACAAATAAGGTGGAAGTGGGAAGAGGCAGAGACCAGGTTGGCTATGACAAGGAACACCTGACTTGGAAACTTTTTAGGGGTCTGGATTGTTGGCTGTGGACTGTTACTGTTGAGAAGTTTCTTGGTTGGTGTGGTTTCCTTTTGCCATAACTTGATGATGGCCTAAAGCGCAAATCCCCATATGATAGTCCTTAGTTCTGAAAGGAAGTTATGAAGATAGGTTGCAGCAGCATTTTAAGAGTGCATTCCTCCCTTTATCACAGATTTATTGTGGGAATTTCAGTATGAAAGTCCCAGAGAATTGCTTCTCTGGCCCAAACAGAGAGGGCAAAGACAGAGACAGCCCCGTGACTGCTGGTTTTTTAAAGGAATTGCTTCTTTCTCCAGGGAACCAAGGCAGTTCACATCATTCAGATACAACAATGAAAACTAGTGATGAAAAATTAATGCTTGGAAACCACAATTGAAACCTAGCCTTGTATAGCGTAACAGCTGCAGTAATGATAAAACCCCAAATGCCTTTCTGAAAAGAGAGGTTGCATATTGTCTTGTGAATATGCTTATTCTGGTGGCACAGCACATGAAGAATCTTCATGCAGGCCTTATTAATATGAATGCAATCTGTGCAAGGGGACAGTAGTTCTCTACAACTCTGCAGGTACATGAATCATAGAATCCTAGAGCTGGAAGAGACCACAAGGGCCATCGAGTCCAACCCCCTGCCAAGCAGGAAACACCATCAGAGCACTCCTGACCTATGGTTGTCAAGCCTCTGCTTAAAGACCTCCAAAGAAGGAGACGCCACCACACTCCTTGGCAGCAAATTCCACTGTCGAACAGCTCTTACTGTCAGGAAGTTCTTCCTAATGTTTAGGTGGAATCTTCTTTCTTGTAGTTTGGATCCATTGCTCCGTGTCCGCTTCTCTGGAGCAGCAGAAGGAGCGGCCAAATCTCCTATAGTAAGAATATTTTCTGGGATAGGCAGGGAGCAGACTGTTAAAATGCTGTTAGTCTTGAACTCCAAAATGACCTGCAGCGTTTTCTTCCGATCCTTCATCTCGATTTAATTGAGATCCTGGCATATATTTTCAGTGCGTTTAAATAAGGATGGAGAAAGATGCGTGCATATTCAGGGAGATTTTCTTTCCCTTAGGATATTGATATGATATTTAGCAACATCACAGATATCCATGAACTGACAGTGAAGCTCCTGGGGTTAATTGAGGACACTGTGGAAATGACTGATGAGAGCAGTCCTCACCCCCTGGCTGGAAGTTGTTTTGAGGACCTTGCAGAGGTGAGTTGGCCAAGCCATTCAGTTTGTTGCATTGCTGAGCATGAGTGTCGTAGCTCAAATTCCTTCCTGGATTAGAATGTGTTTTTCTTGCAGTGGAGAGTCCCCCTGCCCCAACACCACCCTCCAACTCCCGGAGAGCAAAATGAGAATGGAACTTAGCACCCTCATCCCCGCTTACAAGTGGCTTTTACTCACAAGTAACATGTCTGAGTATGGCTGCTATATTTCAAAAGGAAGCCTCTGTGGTGGCCTTAGGCTGCATTAGCCTCTTTTTGCTGTCAGATCTATCTGTAAAAATATGCCTGTACAAAACAGACTGATGAGATGTTTTACCCTGCTGAAGGGGGCTAATGTGCTATCTTCCAGATGTTTTTGTCTACAGCACCCATCAGGTATATTAGAGTACATGTCCAGTATCAGAAGGAGCAGCAATGCTTTGAAGTTACTTATACCTTAATGTCCTGAAGTTCTTTGTTTCTTTTGCATGTAGTGGCCAAAATCTTACATTATCCAGATGTGTTTTCCAAATATCCCTACTAGCTAAATAAAGTTGTCCACTCTGTTAATGTATTCCAGTTATTTATTCATTACTTTTCAGAGCCCAATCCTCACAAAGTACCTACTGGGATGCAGTTTAAGAGATTTTCACATCTTTCTTCAGTAGATTTGAAATATCCAACTCCAGTCAGTCTTCAAGAGACACTGTTCAGATGAGGTGGTTGGGCTTCCGTTACCCACATAACGGCAGAATCAATATAACCACCACCATCCATGTATAATTCTCAGTCCATCCAGCCCCATAATGTGCTTTTCCCTCTGTCCATAATGTACTTGGAATGCTTACTCTCTTTTCCTAGGAACAAGCCTTTGACCCGTATGAGACCTTGTCCCAGGACATCCTTTCACCGCAATATCATGAACATTTTAATCACTTGATGGCTAAACCTGCTGTGGCTCTTCACTTCCAGGTAGGAATGGATTTACGTAGCTCTTTTGTACCCCACCTTTCAATCAAATGGTTCTCAAGATACAACAGATAGTAATAATAATAAACTCACATACGCAAAATACAGCAACCTTTAGGTCTTTCTTTGATGAATGGTGGGGTTGCCATACATCCAGAATTTCCCGGACATACCTAGAATACTTTAGTGGGAAGCCTTGTCCGGGCAGAAATCTGCAAAAATGTCCGGGAAAATCCGGACGTATGGCAAGCCATGTCAGCAATGCCATTTTTGCTGATTTTCCTTTAAAAAAAGCTCAAAATAGCTTAACAACTTTGGCTCAACAACTTTTGTGTCTGGGTGTTCACTTTTTGAAATATGGCAACTCAATGAATGTGGTCAGAGCATCTTCCCCTCTGATTGTGCTTTTTAAAGCAATTGACAGGTGGAAAGAAGTATTCTTTTGGGAGGGAGTAAATAACTAAACTCTTTGCGGCTGCTCCTTCTTGGACTTGTGGAAGGGGCCAGGCTGTTTCCCCCCTTGTCTGGGAGGCAAAGGGTGCAGTCTCTCACTGGATGGTGGCAAAGGTCAGAGTGTGCTTCCTTCAGCTCTGCTGTCCCAGAGAATTTATGTGCATTTTGCATTGCATGTTGATGTTTACAACATGCAGGGGTAGCCAACATGGTACTTTCCAGATATTGTGAACTACAACTCCCATCATCTCTTCCATTGGCCATGGTGACTTGAGCTGATGGGAGTTGTAGTTCAGAACATCTTTGACTACCCCAAGCTAAGTATTGATAAAAGTGTTGAAGAGTATAGGCCCAGATGGAGCCCTGTGACATCTCACAAAAACACTCTTCAGTTTGATGAGAAGCTATTGGATGTGCACTCCTTGAGGATGGTTTCTGATCTAGCTGTGAATCCTCCTGATAGTGGATCTTCTAGCTCCCATTTTCTATGAAATGTTTTTATTTAAGTATTGTGATGAGAATGAATAAAGAAAACAGAACAAAATACAATATAGAGCAGTCATACAAGTTCATGACAAGATTAATACACATTTCATTGGTCTAATTATATCACGATCTATATCATAAAATAAATTTAAAAAGAGTTGCAGTGGGTGGGATTCCACTAATGAGGCCTGTGAGCAGAAGCACTGCACAGGGACTTCCTTCCCACCCACATTAGCTCAGAACGGATCAGGTGAACCCCTGGAACATTGTGCAGGGGGAAGAGGCAGAAGGATTGTTTCATCTGACAAGCTGAAGTGCTTGCCCTGACAGAATGAGCGCATTAGTGTGACGTTGAATTCCTCCCAAAATATATAGGAATGTATAAAATAGTTTATTGGGACGCGGGTGGCACTGTGGGTTAAACCACAGAGCCTAGGACTTGCCGATCAGAAGGTTGGCGGTTCGAATCCCTGCGACGGGGTGAACTCCCGCTGCTCAGTCCCAGCTCCTGCCAACCTAGCAGTTGGAAAGCACGTCAAAGTGCAAGTAGATAAATAGGTACCGCTCCGGCGGGAAGGTAAACGATGTTTCCGTGCACTGCTCTGGTTCGCCAGAAGCGGCTTAGTCATGCTGGCCACATGACCCGGAAGCTGTATGCCAGCTCCCTCGGCCAACAAAGTGAGATGAGCGCCGCAACGCCAGAGTCGGTCACGACTGGACCTAATGGTCAGGGGTCCCTTTACCTTTACCTATAAAATAGTTTACCCCAGGGTTCCATGTGTTGTGCTGTAGGCTCCATTAAGCAAGCAACCTGACCAAAAAGAGATAGGATTAACCTGGTAGGATTTATTATTGACAAATTCATGCTTGCTCCTATTGATCACTGCATTGCTATCAAAATGCTTACAAATTGACTCGTTTATAATCTGTTCTCGTATCTTCCCTTGTAATGAAACCAGGCTGACAAGTCTGACGTTTTCCTGGTTCTTCCTTCCCCTTTTTGAATATTGGGACAACGTTTGCCTGTCTCTAGTCCACTCCTCACCCTTTCTCAAAGTTGATAGAAGTTCATCTGGCCCCAAAGGCTTGATTGCACAGTTCTTATCAGTCTTGAGCAGGGATCCTGATACCTCACCAGTCACACTACATGGGCAAGGTTGAACCCTGTTCCTCTTTTGGAAGACGGTGGAAGCCAAATAAGAGCTGAGCAGTTCTGCTTTCTCTTTGCCACCTGTTAATATTCTACCATCCTTACTGAGCGGCAGGCCTTCCTTATTCCTTCTTGTTTCGAATACCGTATAGCTGGAAAGTCCCTTTGTTGCTCTTGGCACCCATTACTAGCCTCAGTGCATTCTGAGCTCAAGCTTTCCTGACAGTCTCCTTGCAGGCTTTGGTCATTTGTCTCTATTCTTCCTTGGGGATCTGCTCTTCCTTCCATTTCTTAGAAGTGCCCTATTGTTTGTATTTTCAGCTCCTCTCTCATTTTTTAGAAAATGTGCCCCATTTCTCTCATTTAAATTGCTTTCCACTTAGGGCTCCTTAGCAGATCTAGCCAATGAGTCCTTAGGATATCCCTGAGCTTATTCAGATCGGCTTTTCTAAAATCCAAGGTACATATTTGACTACGTTCACACTGATTCTACGTAAGATCAGGCATTCCAGCATTGCGTGGTCACATCCCTACTACTTTAATGTCATTGGCCAACTCTTTGCCGCTATTGGTTAAGAGCGAGTCAAGGACAGCCAATCCCTTCATTCCTTCCTCTGCCTTTTGAAAGAGGATGCCTGGAATTTGTTCGGAGATTCCATGCTTGATGGAGTTAGTCTCCCAGCATATATCAGGGTACTTGAAGGCCACATGAATACTAATTCTTGCTTCTCTGAAACATCTGTCATTTCTAAAAGGAAGCCACAGCTTCCCCTTGTTTCGGTGCTTTGTAGAAGTCTCCAATCACAATATGTTTTTTTCTTGGTTAATTTTTACCCAGGTGCCTTCCATGGGACTACCTTGTTTGCTCTCTAGAATTTCTGTGTAGATCTACATATTTTTGACATATAGCACTAGTCCCCCTCCCTTCCTGTTGCATCCATTATTTTTGAACAATTTGTCCTTCCACTGCTACATTCCAATCATAAGAGTCATTCCTCCAAGTCTTAGATATACCTATCCTGTTATATTTACCTTCCTGTCCTGGGAGTTCAAGCTCGTCTTGTTTATTTTTCCATTCTTTGTGCCTTCGTGTAGAGTCAGTAGAAGTCTTGGATAGTCCAAGGAGCGATGCTTCATTGTCTCCCCTGTTATTTATAGTGTGGGGTTTGCTAGGCACTCCACCCCAAATCTCCCCCAGCTTCTCCTGTAGTGCCCAGATCCCTGTGTTAAGTGCTTCCCTTTTGTACTCACCTGCAAGCTATTATTTCCACTTTCCACAAAATTTAGTTAAAAACCCTCTTGATCAAATTCCCCATGCTTCTTCCAGGCACATTTCCCCCAGGTCTTGTGTAGTGAAGCCCATCTCTCTCCAGTAAGTCGTTTATTAAGAAAGTTTTAACTGTTGTCCCACAAACCAGACTTTTCTATAGCCCATTCTCCCTCTGTAGCTGGTCACTCTCCTGAAGCATTCTTCTCTCTGTTTGTGGTCCTCTACCTTTTGCAGATAGAATTGACAAGAAAACCACCTGAGCCCCAAGATCCAGAACTTTGTAGTCATATGTGATGTGTTCATAGCTATGCCTGGCATTGTCATTCATTCCCATGTGGATGAGGAAGAAGGGATAATGACCGGTGAGCTTGATAAGTCTTGGCAAACTTGCCCATCACATCCTGGATCCGGGGAGACGGCCTTCACACCTGGACAGGTTCGGTTGGCACAGTGCCACCTCTGTACCTCTCAGTCCATGGCCATCACCACCCTTCTCTTTCTGCATGTGTTGGTGGAGTCTTATATGTCTTTGAAGGGTTAAGAGCAGGGGTCAGCAAACTCTTTCAGCAGGGGGCCGGTCCACTGTCCCTCAAACCTTGTGGGGGGCCAGACTATATTTCGGGGGGGAGAGAATGAATTCCTGTGCCCCACAAACAACCCAGAGATGCATTTTAAATAAAAGGACACATTCTACTCATTTAAAAACACGCTGATTCCTGGACCGTCTGCGGGTCAGATTTAGAGGGCGATTGGGCCAGATCCAGCCCCCAGGCCTTAGTTTGCCTACCCATGCTTAAGAGTCTTCCATCCCACCTGTTGCAGCTGTCCTCTGTTTAGATAGTCAGAACCACTCTCGTCTGAAAGGTGCTGAAAATGATGCATTAATTTCAGTGGTTCAGAATGCTTTCTGATAGACCACTATGAGAACAGAGTCCTGGGCTGGATGGGCCTTTTGCCTGATCCTGCCAGCTCCTCTTGTGTTCTCCCATGCAGTGCCCCACCCCCCGCGCCCCCGCTCTCGTCTTCTTTCCTCTGACCTTCCTGCTTCAGTCCTTGTGCTTCTTTGTTTTTACCTTCTGTTCTTCAGAGAAATAAACTTCAATTTGCTGCAGGTGTAGTCCATGTTACTTTCAGGCAAGGAAGAGGATTATTTATTTACTGATTACATTTATATATCACCTTTCTGTCCAAGAAGCTCAAAGGTGGTATACATGATTCCTCTCCTCCCCATTTATACTTCCTGTGAGGTAGGTCAGGCTGAGAGCTGGTGACTGGCCCAAGATCACCCAGTGAGCTTCATGGCCGAGTGAGGAATTTGAACCCTGCTCTCCCAGGTCAGAGTCCAACACTCTAGCCAGTACACTGCACATGTTACAAGTCATTACTGCTGTCCATCTCCTTAGCTCTTGTTGAAGTCCTAAACTCTGCCTCTGACAAGGAAGTAGCTCCTTGCTTATTCCTTCCTTCATTTATTGCCTATAGGTTGCCTGTGTGTATTGCTCCCAAACTTTCCCCCTCATGGATCACTTGAAAACTGCTGAGCAGACCACTTAATATTCACCGTTCCCTGCCTGTTGTAGCAATTTCAATGTGCTGTCCTAGATGTTGTGTGATTTTTAAAATTGTATTTTTGTTGCTTCTTTTGTTTCTTACATTTTATCGTATTGTATTACAATTTAAATCCCATAGAATTCTTCACAGGCATGCCTCAGACCACCTGAATGATGTTTTTGGATCGCTGGTGGTCTGCGGACCACAGTTTGGGAACTCCTGGTTTAGACGATGAATTTGCCTGCTTCATAGAGATTGCGGGCCAAGCCCCATTAAGCTAACAGCAATCCCAGACAGAATCATCATCATCATCATCATTCATTCATTCCCCAGCCATTTGAGAGATTGGTGCTAGATCATATTAAGGCTGGTCTTCCATCCACTCTAGACCCGTTCCAGTTTGCATACAGAAGAAATAGATCTACTGATGATGCTATTTCCATCGCTGTCCATACTGTACTGAGTCATCTAGAACGACAGGAACCTACGCAAGGCTGTTGTTTGTGGTTCACAGTTCTACCTTCAATACAATTCTGCCAGACAGGTTATTTCTTAAAATGACCAATTTGGGTAATACATCAGAAAGAATCTGTCTGTGGGTAAGAATTTCTGACTGATGGGCCGCAGACAGTGAGAATGGGCCCTTACTGTTCTTCTCTAGTATTAAGCTTCGACCTCAGGGGATGTGCTAAGTCCTTCTCTATTCCTGTACACATTTGATTGCACCTGTATGGGTGCCTAATCATCAAATTTGCGGATGATACAACAGTGGGGCTCATTAGTGAGCAGTGGGACTGCTTATGGAAGAAAGAATTACAGGGGTTAATTCAATGGTGTAAAGAAAACAATCATATGTAAACACCAAAAAACCAAAGAACTCATAATTGACTTAGGAGAAAGAAAGCGTATTTTACCATTGCACATAAATGGCGAGGAGGAGGTGGAGGGTTGGTAGTTTTTAAATGCCTAGGCACCCATCTCTGAGGACCTCTCATGGACTGTAAATAATGTATGTGGTTGTGAGGAAGGTGCAGGGGGTTGTGACTCTAGAATGCTCAGGACTGAATCTATCTCAGCACCTATTCCTGTCTATTATCACAGTACCATCGAGAGTGTCTTAACATTATAGTATATTATCATTAGTATGGGAGCAGCTCTGACGGATAAAGCTTTACAGAATAATTAAAATTGCAGAATGTTGTTGGGCTCCAACTACCAACCCTGGATGAGATCTTCACGTCTGTGCTGAAGAAGTCCACACAATATCCTGAGAGATCCACCCATCCTGCTCCCTGACTTCTTTGAACTGTGCCTTCGGGCAGAAGATATAGGACAATGAAAACACGAACCACACGCCTTCTGAATGGTTTCTATCCAAGAGCTCGATTGCACTAAATAATGATCTCAGGGCCAGTTGCAGGAATAGCAAACAGGGGTAGGAAGGAATGAGACAGGTTTTTTAGGTTATGTTATGCTTTTAATAGGTTATGTTACATTCTGGGTATGTTATGTTTTATAGATTATGTCTGAACGGATGAGAGTGTTGGAGATACGTGCAAATGTGTATGTGAACCCGGTCTTCGAGTGGGTGTGTGATTTTCGTTGTTGTGTATACTGTGTATATACGGACAATGACAATAAATTTATCTAAATTAAATCTTCAGCAGAGGCTGCTGGGTGGATTTGCAGAGGAGCTGCTACCTCAACCATTTTCATACTACTATGAATCTTCATTTAAAATCTATTTCGTAACATCACTTTTAAAAACAGTAAAAGCAGAGGAGCATAGGAAGCTGGCCTTATGCTGAGTCAGACTCTTGATCCGTTTAGCTCAGTATCATCCACAATGACAGGCAGTTGCTGCCCAGGATTTCAGGCAGGAGTCTTTTAAAGCCCCACATGGAGATGCTGGGAGTTGAAACTGGGATCCTCTGCATGCAATGAAGGTTCCCTGCCTCTTGAGTTACAGCCCTTCCCCAAGGGTCTCTAAAAGTGCAGTTGGGAATGAGCATTTTCAGCTAATTTATAAAAATGGGAGTGTGGAAGAGAGAAGAGTACAGGAAGCTGCCAGAATCGTAGTCTGAACTAACCCTGTTCTACAATCTAACTGTCTGCTCTGACTATTGAAAGTTGTTGAGGGTCAAAATGATTGCATCAGTCAGGGGCTGCTCCAATCAAAAATTCTATACAGAATGGAATGCATAGGGGAATACATGGAGAAATATGGTGTTAAAGCAGAACTCTTAATAGGCAATTGTAAAGCATGTAAGGACAAAAGAAGTAATTATGATTTATCAGTTTTCATGTTATTTTGTTAAAGCAACTAGAAAAAAATATTATGTTGGGAAGATCTCACACAGGTGAAGGGAAGCAGTGGGGAGGAGGGGAGGGTTAGGTTGAATTTGGGAAATAAAATAATATATGGGACAGCAAAGGATATAATAGATTCTTATAGAATAGTAATATATTGTAACCAGAATAGAAGTTCAAAAGGGGAAGGAAATGTACTATTAGTATTTTCATTATTGCAGTAGTTATTATTATTATCGGTAGAAGGCAATGTTAACAGACTTCTTCGTTTTGCTGTCTGTATAATTTTCTTAAGTCAATTTTTTAAAAAAGTTGTTGAGGGTCTTGGATGGAGAGCTTACCTCTCACCTGCTACCTGATGCTGGAATTTGAGCCTGGGAGCTTCTGCGTGCAAATCATATGCTCTGTCCCTGAGCTGTGGTCTTTCCCCTTCTGACTGGGATTGCTCAGTCAGTAGAGCATGGAGCTCTTATTCTCAGGGCGGTGGGTTCGAGCCCCACAATGGGCAAAAGATTCCTGCATTGCAGGGGGCTAGGCTAGATGACCCTCAGGGTCCCTTCCAACTCCACGATTCTAGGATTCCCTTAAAGAAGATGAGAGGTACATTGTGTTCTGGTCTTTCAAAAACCCTGCTGGATTGCTGTGCCCCACCATACCAAATCCATCAAGGCTTTTAGGTTAGAATCATAGAATTATAGAGTTGGAAGACACCTGGGGGTCATCTAGTCCAACCCCCTGCAATGCCGGAATCTCAGCTAAAGCATCAGTTTAAAAACCTCCAAGGAAGGAGAGTTCAAAACCTCCCAAGGGAGTCTGTTAAACTGTTTCCTCCTGTCTTTCGCGTGACAAACCACTTAAATCTGGCTTGCTTTTTATTCTTCAGTCAATCGCTGATGGCTTTAAAGAAGCAGTACAGTATGTCCTCCCTCGGCTCATGTTGGTTCCTGTTTATCACTGTTTGCACTACTTTGAACTGTTACAGGTAAGCACATGCTCTTAGAAGGAAAGCAGAAGTTGGGACTTATTTATGTTTATCAAGGCCAGATCTGTTGGTGAAGTATAGAGCGTTCTTGGCACTGCTTCTGCTCTTATGCAAAGAATGCTGGACTAGGAGGACCTCGATCTGACCCAGCAACAAACTTCCAGTGTTAGGCAAGAGTACATGTTCAAGGGTAAACTTAAAGTAGGTTAGTTATGCCGGCTGCTCAGAAATCTTTATCATATATAAGAAGCGCCTGCTGGATCAGGCGAAAGGTCCACATAGTCCAGCATTCTTTTCTCGCTGTAACTGACCAAACGCCCCAAAACAAGGACTCAAGTGCAACAGCACTATCCCGACTTGTGATTCCCAGCACCTCCTGGCCTGTGTTTCATTTTAAAACACATCGGTGGGCCCCAACGTTTTAGCTAAATGCATTTTGGAAGACCAGTTGCCGTTCCAGTCATCCCAACCCTGGACTAGACTGTTGTGTACTTCACAATAGCTGGGAGAGTTCATCTGGTAGAGCCTGAGGCTCTTAATCTTAGGGTCATGGATTCAAGTCATATGTTGGGCAAAAGATTCCTGCATTGCAGAGGGTTGGACTAGATGATTCTCATGGTCCCTTCCAACTCTACAATTCTGTGGTTATGTTGGCTTCTGATTTTGAAGAAAGTAGGGCCAGAGGCAGAAGAAAGTCCCTTTCAAAGCCAAAATGTCAGTGTTATGCCCTACAGGAGTATAAAGTAAGGATTGCCGTCAGTCAGGTATCAAAGAATGAATAGCTCCTAGGCACCGTCTTTGTAATTAAAGTCCTGAGCCCACTGTTCCTCAGAAGCTTTCATTTTCACCGGTGAGGCAAGCTTTCAAAAGCTTCCCAGAGATAGTTTCAATGAATAGTTTTGCAGTGTCTGCAGGAGGAAGTGAATAATTGAAAGGAATGCTCCCCTTTCGGTGACTTGACTTCAAGGAATGTTCTGTATCATGACTGCTTGGAATTTTGTCATAGAATTTGGAGCAGCCCACTGCATCCTGCCAGAAAACGTACCTGTATGACAGCCACACAGATGTTTTAGACATGCTGCTTGATCCTATTAGCCCTGAGGAAGCTAATGGAATCTACTTCCCTGCGTGCTACACAAATCCTTTTTTCCTGCCCTCAGCAATTGCTCAGGTCTGATGGAAATAAACGTCTTTCTTTTCAGCAATTGCAATACTGTAGTAAAGATGTAGAAGACTGCGAATGCTTGAAACAAGCCATCACAGCTCTCCTTAATCTCCAATGTAGCATGGAACGCATCTATAACAAGCACTCACCTAGACGCCGGCCTGGGTAAGGAAGTAGCCTAACGGTGGACTTGGCCATAGCCTGAGACCTTTGGGAACACTAATTCATAGGTTGAAGTTTGGAGGGGGGTCGCACTGCAGGAGTTGGGGCTGTGGGTGACGCATCCTAATAGTTTCTCTTCTTTTAGGACCTGTTCACAAGATGGGAGCCATCCACCTGCCCAAGTTCACAGTGGGTTTCAACTTGCATGGCAGGTCTTCCCTTTTCTCTCCTCTCTTCAAAATGGGGGGGGGGCATGTACAGGAGAGGAAGGTGAAGCCCCCCTGTGCAAGCAGAAATCTGTTTGGCAGTAGATGTTACCTTTGTGCTTAAAAAGCAAGCATGTTTTCTAAACACCTACATTCATCGTGCATACACAAATTGGAACCTGGGCTGTCTGTGGTTCCCATTCAAGCATGAATTCAGTGGCAGGCAAGGATATACAGCTAATGTGTGTGATCCCCATGCTAGTTTGGGGTGTGTGTGGTGCTTTGGCCTGACTTTCATGTGTTTTTAAAGCTCATTTTTGTGGTGAATGTGGCCAGAGGAGTATTTAAATGAAAGCAAGCAGCTTAGCCTGATCCTTGATAATGTTTTTCCTCCTAGCTAACAACTGTCGATATTGGGGTAAACTCTTAAACTCATATATTGTCTTGAAATAAATAAAAAAATTAAAAATTGTCCAGTAGCACCTTAGAAAGTTTATACCCAGAACAAACTTAGTTGGTCTCTAAGGTGCTACTGGACAATTTTTTAATTTTATTTATTTATTTCGACTGCGTCAGACCAACACAGCTGCCTACCTGAATCATATATTGTGTGTTTTAGGGAGCCAGTGTTTTGGTTCTATAATCGCCAAGTAAGAAGCAAACACCTTGCCATTAAAAAAATGAATGAGATCCAGAAGAACATCGATGGCTGGGAAGGCAAAGATATTGGCCAGTGCTGTAATGAATTCATAATGGAAGGGACGTTGGCACGAGTTGGAGCCAAACACGAGCGACACGTCTTTCTTTTCGATGGCTTAATGATCAGCTGCAAAGCCAATCACGGTCAGTCGCGGCTCCCGGGCTACAGCAACGCAGAGTACCGACTGAAGGAAAAAATTGTCATGCGGAAAGTCCACATAGTTGATAAGGATGACACATGTGAATACAAGAACGCCTTTGAACTGGTCCCTAAAGATGAGAACAGCTTCATGTTTGCGGCCAAGTCTAGCGAGGAGAAGAACAATTGGATGGCGGCTCTGATCTCCCTGCAGTACCGCAGCACCCTCGACCGAATGTTGGATGCGGTGCTGTTGAAAGAGGAGAATGAGCAGCCCCTGCGGCTCCCCAGTCCGAGTGTCTACCGCTTTGCAGTGGAGGACTCCGAGGAAAATATCGTTTTTGAAGACAACCTTCAGAGCCGGAACGGAATTCCCATTATCAAAGGTGGAACCGTAGTGAAGCTCATTGAACGACTGACCTACCACATGTATGCAGGTATCTGGCTTTCCTACCTAGAGGGTTGATATCTCTCTTCATTGCATTATTGGCATGGGGGAAAGGACCAATTGTTAACTAAAACCAGGTCAGAGATCTTTCATGTGATAATTGTATTTAAACTTATTCCTGTTTGCTTTTCTAGATCCTAATTTTGTGCGTACTTTTCTTACCACGTACCGCTCATTTTGTAAGCCCCAGGAACTTCTAGCTTTGTTGACAGAACGGTAAGTTAAAAAAACCTCAGTTACTTGGCAATTGATTTAGCTGTTACATTTGCAATAAGAAGTGTAAGCAGATTTCTTGTGTTGGCACAATCATCTTGGAGCTGTCTATTCTAAGGGCTTTTCCTAATTCTCTTCTGTTCTCCAGAGTCCATTAAGTGTTTAATTAAATAATGCTTTTAGGCTCGTGTGGTCTCTGACAATCTGAAGCTGAAGCTAAAACAGTCTGGCCTAAACCGAAAGCAGAATGTGTACTGAAAAAATAATGTTGCTTAAGGTTGATTTTCTGTGCAAAATATATCCCTAATAAATCTAAAATGAAGAGAGGGAAAGAAGGGTGGCGTCAAATTTGGCCTATTGACAACATGACTCTGGATCTTAGCTTCTCAGTTGGCTTTATAAACCTTCCAGCTGGGAAGAAAGGCTTGAAAACAAAAGAGAGAGATTGCAGGAAACTGATCAAGTCATTTTTAAAATGTTTTATGAATGTATGATTTTGTGAGAGGCCTGTTAAGAAGCACTGCATTGTCAGCACTAAGGCTCGTCCCAACTGTCCAGAGAATGTGAGGTCAGATAGCAGTCTGAGCAGAAAACGCAGTAGGACTTGAGGAGAGAGACTCCCTTTCTACAGTGGATCAGCGATTTTAGTTTTTAGTTACTGTAGAAATTATCCCTGAAAGTACAGTATTGTGTCCTAGTTTTTAAGAAATTATTTCTTGGTAACTGTTTAAAAAATGGTCCTTCTGCAAATTTTCTATAACATTGGAAACTGCACTTCATTTGTGCAACTTCCATGGGTATGTTAAGACATGCTAATCATGTCCAGAATGACTCTGGGAGACAAATAATATTCCCACTACTGGAATTTAAAGTAGAAGCCAGGAAAGGTAATTGTTGAGATATCGAGGGAGCAGAACTTCATTTTGCAAAAGCATCGAAAGATATAGAAACATTCTTGACCTTTTGCTATTAAAAAAAAAGTCTTGGGGGATGCAAAAATTGGAATATCAGAACTAAGATAGATATAATAAATAACAGGCTATTTGCAGGTTAGGGAATTCAGTGCCCTAAAATCAACAGCCTTAATATGTCTCAATGTTAGCACTTTATCCCCCACCCCTACCCAGTTATGGATCAGAATGTATTCTAAGATAGTTCTCCTTTCTTTGTATTCTGGATGTCATGTAATTCACCTTTCAACTCCTGTTTATTACTAGATTTGAAATCCCAGAGCCTGAGCCAACAGAAGCCGATAGGCTGGCAATAGAGAAAGGAGAACAGCCAATCAGTGCAGACCTTAAAAGATTTCGCAAAGAATATGTCCAGCCAGTGCAACTCAGGTTTGAGCTTTCATCTCTTTCTTAGAATCTGACTTAAACCATCAGGGGGGAGAATGTGTGGGTTACCTCATTTCATGTGAGAGTGCACAATGCTCATGCTGCTTGGGAATGGACCTGGTTTATGTGGGGAGGCCAGACAGTGCAATATTATACAACCCCTTGAGTTCAGTGGGACTTCCTCTTGCGTAAGGACGTGGTAGGACTGCAGCCTGGGAGTTTACCCTGGAAATCAGTGGACATGGTACCAAGAGAGGGTGCAGCATAGCAGCTAAAAATGTGATCTGGGAAATTCAGACCTCTCACTGGGTGTTCTTAGGGGAAAAAAACCTTTTCTCGCAGGATGCACCGTCTGCAAAATGGGGGTAATAAATTGGCTCACCTTACAAATTATATTGTAAGAATTACAGTGATTAAATGTGTAAAGCACTTAAACAGCTAGGAATGATTACAGGGTTCCCCACACAAAGCAATATAAATTACATTACCAGGCTTGTAGTAAAAATTATTATTATTAATGTGATTTCTTACCTGCTCTTCACTATAAGGTCCCAGGGTGGGTTACAGCAATTTAGCAATACAAGCTTAATGCAAACAGTGTAAAGGTCTGTGTTAATGTTAAGTAGTACAGTGGTACCTCAGGTTACATACGCTTCAGGTTACAGACTCCACTAACCCAGAAATAGTACCTCGGGTTAAGAACTTTGCTTCAGGATGAGAACAGAAATTGCACGGTGGCGGCACGGCGGCAGCGGGAGGCCCCATTAGCTAAAGTGGTGCTTCAGGTTAAGAACAGTTTCAGGTTAAGAACGGACCTCCGGAACAAATTAAGTACTTAACCCGAGGTACCACTGTAGTGAGAAAGATAATAGTGAAAGTATCTAATTCATAAGTCACAGAAAGGTCAGGGCAAATGGTGGACTCTCTATTGTTGTTTGACCAGATGCCCACGTAATATTGGAGGTGTTACTGTGGCACTACAAGGGAGAAGGGTGAATTTTCACTAATATTGTTGGAAGATGTTTCTGCTTCCCTTATGAAAAACATGAGCATGATCTTGGGAATTAACCTGTGCCTAAATGTGTCTGAAATAATACATGTACTGGGGAGATTCCAAATTGCATACCTCTAAGGCAGATTATGGGTTGTAGCCAGCTAAGTTTTACCCATTGAAATGGATGAACCTAATTTAGCAATAGGGACGCGGGTGGCGCTGTGGGTTAAACCACAGAGCCTAGGACTTGCCGATCAGAAGGTCAGCGGTTCGAATCCCCGCAACGGGGTGAGCTCCCGTTGCTCGGTCCCTGCTTCTGTCAACCTAGCAGTTTGAAAGCAGGTCAAAGTGCAAGTAGATAAATAGGTACCTCTCTGGCGGGAAGCTAAACGGCGTTTCCGTGCGCTGCTCTGGTTCGCCAGAAGTGGCTTAGTCATGCTGGCCACATGACCCACATGACCCTCGGCCAATAAAGCGAGATGAGCCAGCCCCAGAGTCGGTCACGACTGGACCTAATGGTCAGGGGTCCCTTTACCTTTAATTTAGCAATGTCCATTAATTTCAGTGGTTCTACTCTTGAGTTTGTGTAGCATTGATGCAACTCAATGTTTTGGATTAACTATTAGGAAGTTGTTTTGTGGGTCTTCATATGTGTGTCTGATATCTAGGCCTGTACTTACAACTTTCCACTTGAAACCTTGCCTTCAGATTTCCTACAACAATGAGAGTTACGCGGTTCAAGCTATTTTGGGAGAAGATGTGTGCTCCTAGTCCCTATGTCTGTGTAGAGAGATTTGCAGTTTGTTAGACACAGGGGATTTTAATCCTCTAATCAGAAATTAACTTGGTGGCTCACAAAATAATCCACATTTTTTTAAAAAAAAATCAGAAAATGCCATCCATCTCCAACCTTGATTTCTCCTTGGTTGAACGTGTCTGCCTCAGTCTGGGTTTATGAAAACTAAACTGGTGGCATTTTTTTCTTCACCTCCCACTTCTTTTCACCCCCAGGATATTAAATGTGTTTCGGCACTGGGTGGAACACCATTATTATGATTTTGAGAGAGATCAGGAGCTACTTGATAAATTGGAAACATTTATTTCCACTGTAAGAGGTACGTGTCTTGAGTTGACTTTTGTTTAAATTGCTCTGTCTCATCTGCTATGTGGATTTAGCATCTTAAGAAATTCTGAAAATTCTGCTTGGCTGTGCTTACTCAGAAGACAATGGTATTTACAAGCACTACAAGCCAGCGACATCCTTTCCATTTAACTTTGTTTTGCAACAGGAAAAGCATCTCAGTTTCATAACTTCAATCAGAAGCTCTTTGAATCTGTGTCTTGCTTCTTCCAGGAAAAGTTCACATATAAAGTAGTGCTGTAAATGATTTAAGAGCAACTTCACACATGGCTTTTGTCAAAAACTATGTGTGCAAGGTGGCTTCAGTAAGCTCTCCGGGAGCCTGCATGTTTGCTCGTTCAAGCTAAGCCATAGTTTGTCTTAGCATTATGTGCAAACTGGGACACTGTGTACATAAAGGTGTAGCCCTTTGGAAGAGCTTGACTTGCACTGATATATTTAAACTGCTTTCCCCAGCCTATTCTATAACTCATCCAGTGAAGCTGATAGTTGGCAGATTCAGAGCAGACAAAAATAAGTACCACATTTTTCCGTGCATAAGATGCCCCCATGTATAAGACGACCCCTATTTTTTTAACCCAAAATTAAGAATATGCACTATCCGTGTATAGGACAACCCCTTACTTTAAACTTCAAAAATTTAAGGAAAAATATAGTCTTATACACGGAAAAATACGGTACTTCTTCACATTGCACACAATCAGACTATGGCATTCACTCCGACAAGATGCAGCAATGGCCAGCCAACTTGTATAGCTTTGAAAGAAGATCAGATGAAATCATGGAGATTATGATTGTCAGTTGCTATTATCCATGAAGGCCATGTTCTGACTCCACTGTCAAAGGCAGTATGCATTTGAATACCAGCTGATGGGACTCACAGGTGGAGAGTGCGCTCTTGTACTCAGGTTCTGCTTCTGAGTTTCCCATGGGCATCTAGTTAGCCGCTATGAAGTCAGGATGCTGGTTTAAACAAGCCTTTAGCCGGTTCCAACAGGGCTCTTTTTATGTTCTTACATGGAATACAGAGCTTGCAAAAAGGCAGGGCTGATGAAGAATACTAGATGTGTACATAAGGTGTTAGAGGGGATTGTTGAACAAGATGTCCAGAGATGGGGGGCAGTGGATTCATTGCTCTGTGCAGTGGTACAGCGCACGCTTCTGCATACAGAAGGTGGCCATTTCATTTCCTGCAGAATTGGCCATAAATTCAGCCACCGTAAAATCCCAAACCAGTGAATATGGAACTGAGCAACCCTGCCACAAAATAATTAAAGCATCTGTATGATCTTCCCTTCCCACCGTATCCAATATGTCTTCCAGGCAAATCCATGAAGAAGTGGGTGGAATCCATTGTCAAGATCATCAGGAGGAAGAAGCAAGCTCATGCAAACGGCATTAGCCACAACATAACTTTTGAGAGCCCTCCACCCCCAATTGAGTGGCACATCAGCCGCCAGTTTGAGACGTTTGACCTCATGACGCTGCACCCCATAGAGATTGCTCGGCAGCTGACTCTCCTGGAATCTGATCTCTACAGGTAGAGTGTGTTCTGTTGGACCTCCATCACCTGACGAACCACAGAGTGCTCCTCTCCTATCAGGTTCATTGGTGCAGATTCAGTCTGAATGGTATAGGTAGCAGTATGAGGACTCCCATACCAGTATATGCCAAGTGCTCACCGTCAGTCTGTGGTATTTATGTCATGCACCAATCAGGTGCAACATATCAAAGTAGCTGAGCAGTCAAGGGAAGAGCCATGGTGATGCACATTGTCCCAAGGTTAGTCCCTGATGTTGTTGTTTAGTCGTTTAGTCTTGTCCGACTCTTCATGACCCCCTGGACCAGAGCACGCCAGGCCCTCCTGTCTTCCACTGCCTCCTGCAGTTTGGTCAAACTCATGCTGGTAGCTTCAAGAACATTGTCCAACCACTTCATCCTCTGTCGTCCCCTTCTCCTTGTGCCCTCCATCTTTCCCAACATCAGGGTCTTTTCCATTCTCTTCTCATGAGCTGGCCAAAGTATTGGAGTCTCAGCTTCAGGATCTGTCCTTCCAGTGAGCACTCAGGATTGATTTCCTTCAGAATGGATAGGTTTGATCTTCTTGCAGTTCATGGGACTCTCAAGAGTCTCCTCCAGCACCAGAATTCAAAAGCATCAGTCCTTGATAGCTCCAATTAAAAGGTAGGAATATGGGGGAAAGACTTGAAGGGACAGTCCAGGACTAAATGGACCAATAGTCCGTTTCAAGGTAGCTTCATGCACACAGATGAACCAGAGAGTCTCTGATTAAAATCTCTCTTACCTTTAAAGAGTGCTTGGATAATAAATGTAAAGTGGTTTGTGTATTCTCCATTAGGTATTTGGGAGGCATCCAACCTCATCCAGTTACCCAAAAAAAGGGAGGGTGCTTGGATCATTCTAAAGTGGGTGCTCTGATCTTTCTGAAGTACAGTATAAATCATAAAGATTTATACAGCAAAGCCATAATTGGGGGTTTCTGAAAGGAGAGGATTAGCAGAAATATGTTGTTGTTGTTTTAATCTAGCACTTCTTTAGTTAGTGCATCTAATACTTAGTTTCTTGTACACGTGATCTGATACTTAATAGGGAGGGTGAATTATAGAAACATAGAAACTTAGTATTGGAAGGGGTCCTAAGGGTCATCTCGTCCAACCTACTGCAATGGTAAAGTAAAGGACCCCTGGACGGTTAAGTCAAAGGTGACTGTGGGGTTGTGGCGCTCATCTCCCTTTCAGGCCAAGGGAGCCAGCGTTTCTCCACATACCAGCATGACTAAACCGCTTCTGGCACAACGGAACACCATGACGGAAACCAGAGCGCACGGAAACACTGTTTATCTTCCTGCCGCAGTGGTACCTATTTTTCTCCTTGCACTGGTGTGCTTTCAAACTGCTAGGTTGGCAGGAGCTGGGACAGAGCAACGGGAGCTCACCCCGTCGTGGGGATTCAAACCGCCAACCTTCCCATCGGCCAGCCCAAGAGGCTCAGTGGTTTAGACCACAGCGCCACCCGCATCCCCCACTGCAGTGAAGGAATCTCAGCTAAAGCATGCATGAAAAGATGACTGTGTCATTTGAAAAACGAAACAAGCCTAGAATGATGGAATCGGTAGACCTCAGATTTAGAAGAATTGGGCCACTGATTAACTAGCTGAAATTGATGTCCTCATGTAAGCTCTGATTCCCCTTTCTGGAAAATTGCTGAGCAATTGCTGAGCAGCAGCCCACAGTAGCAGACATGTGACCACCATATCGCATCTCTTGATATCCGGTATCATCCCTTCAGTAGCATTAATGTCTTCCTCAACTTTCCATATCTCATATTCGTGGGCTTGTCTGTTTCTGTTTCAGGGCTGTCCAGCCATCTGAACTTGTTGGGAGTGTGTGGACAAAAGAAGATAAAGAAATTAATTCTCCAAATCTGCTGAAAATGATTAGGCATACCACAAACCTTACGCTTTGGTTTGAAAAGTAAGTGGTGAATCGAGTAGAGGCATCACTTTGGTCACTGCCCTGGGAGGCTCTTGTCATAGAAGGCTATGAGAACACACATTTTTCGTCAGGGAGCCGGACAATAACTTTTTTATCTTTCAGACCAAAGCAGAATAGGAGCAGGAAACTCCATATGCAGCCAAGTCCAGTACCACCTAGTGACTAAACTGTATAATAACACCATTCACACAACTCCTAACCTTTGCATTATAAAACGTTTACTGAACATTTACAGTTTCCATTACAGTCGTACCTTGGAAGTCAAACAGCTTGGTTCCCAAACGACTTGGCTCCCCAACGTCCCAAACACGGAAGTGACTGTTCCAGTTTGCAAACTATTTTTGGAAGCCGAAAGTCCGATGGGGCTTCCACAGCTTCTCATTGGCTGCAGGAGCTTCCTGCAGCCAATCAGAAGCTACGCTTTGGTTTTCGAACATTTTGGAAGTCGAACAGATTTCCCGAACGGATTCCGTTCGACTTCCAAGGTACGACTGTATTTCTTACGTTCTGTTAGTAAGGCTTGGGCCCCTTAAAAAAAAGCATTGCAGGTAACTTGCCTTTTTCAGATTAATCTGATTATAGTCATTCCATACCTTTCTTCTTGTTACTTATAAGCTGAAATATTTTTTAAAAAATATTTGAAAGTAGAAGGATACCTGATGAAATGAACTAGAATAATAAGCCATGATCAACAGGGCCATTCACTCGTGTTGTACCTGATTTTTCGGTGACATTTGCCTTTATAGTATATCAGTTTGAAAAATGCTTAATTTGAAAAGCTGTAGTCAGAGGAGATGAGCATGTCCCTTCCTCCCCTCTTCCCGTTACCCCTTAAACCTCTGCAATAGAGTCAGTAGGGCTGATGGTATGTGATTGCAGTGGCCAGGAAAATGGAATGTTAGGAAGAGGGAAGCAGCATTGGAACAGGTGTTTCGCAATGGTTATTAGGAAGAAGAAGGCAGCAAGGAAGAGGATAGATGGTTGGTAGAAGAGAAGGAAATGAGGGAAGAACTGGGTAAATAAAAATGGGTTTTCTCTGTCTCTCTCTGTCTCTCTGAAGCAGGCATCAAACCAGCTTCATGGTTGATAGAGTGGTTTCAAATCCCGCCTGATCATCATAGATAGATAGATAGATAGCTTTATTGTCATTGTCCCATACAGAACAATGAAATTGAAAAACTACATAAAACATTAAAAAACCCCTAAAAACTCTGAAACCCCATTTTAAAATACACTATGCTATAAAATACACTATACTATAGAGACCCCGTATGCTGTGTTTAGAACCAGAATTGCATTTGCATAGAAACTGTTTCTCAGGCGGCTAGTCCTGGCCTTTATAACCCTATACCTTCTTCCAGAAGGCAGAAGCTGAAAGAGATCATTTCCGGAGTGCGCACTATCCTGCGCTATCTCTGCCGCATTCTTATGGCACCTGGCAGCATAGATTTGATCCAAGGTGGGAAGAGTGCACCCAATTATTCTCTCCGCAGTCTTTACAACCCTGGATAGCATTGTTTTTTCCCTGACCGTGCAGCTCCCAAACCACACACACAGACCATAAGTTAATACGCTCTCCACAGTGCAATGGTAAAATGCCATCAACAGGTCCTTTGAGAGATTGTTTTTCCAGAGGATTCTGTACCATCATGGTACAGAATGGCTTTGAGGGGCAGGTGGGAGCCACCTGCAAAGTCCCCAGTGCAGCTGACAGTCACAGTGTATTGCCCTCTTCCACTTCCTGAGATAGCATGTGTGCGCATATTTCCAAATTAGATTTTAAACTTTGAGGAACTGAAGAGATAATTTTGTGGGAACAGCTAATGATAAAGAGGAGGAAGCACTTTTTATTTAATTTTAATGTATGAAACTGGCAGGTGCATCCTTCTGGAAAACAGACATGGTCTTCATCACGTTCTAGTTTCTTTTATGCAAGGATATTTGTGTGGTATAATAAACAGAACATTTGGGTAGGATCAGAGACGCGTGGGTTTGAAGCGCTGCCCAGCCATGAAGGTTACTGAGTGGCCTTAGGCAAGTCATTCCCTCAATGGACCTCAGCAGAATGAGCCTCCTGAACAGATGGCGTCTACGGGAGGCTCTCAGTTGCAGAGTGCAGCCATTGATTTGGTACATAAGGGGTGAGATTATTTTTTTAGATATCCTGATTCTTGGCTTTATACACCAAAACCAGCAACTTGAACTTAGCATGGTAGCTAAAAATGTATGGAATTTATCTCCCTCTTTCTCAAAAATTAGGTGCATTGTGGAAACAGAGAACTTTGAAGAGCGAGTGGCCATCTTAGGCAGGATTATAGAAATCTTGCAGGTTTTCCAAGACTTGAATAATTTTAATGGTGTGCTGGAGATTGTAAGTGCAATGAATTCTGTCTCAGTGTACAGATTGGATCACACATTTGAGGTAAGCTTTGGTGTCTGGACCAGTGTTGGAAGTGTAGCCAGCTTTTTAAAAACTAAAATTATCCACATTTAAAAGCTAATGAAGCTCTGGGAAAATATATGTGGTTGTACGTGGGGAACTGGGATGGAAGGGTAGAGTTGCTTTTCCAAAATCAAGCCTGTGTATCTCAGAGCTCGCAGAGATCCTATCTTCCCATTTTGCTTTGTGCTCTGCCAAACTTCAGCCTGGTGGATAGTACCGGTAATGTTTTTTGGCAGTTTCTGTATTATGAACATTTTTATTGTTTTTTATTTGCAATATATTTTGCAATTTGCTGAGTATTCCTAGTGTCTGTCTTCATATACTGGGTAAAATAGCTTTGGCAGACCCTAAAGCTGACTTTGTAACTTGATTGGCTGAATAATTAAAAAATGAAGATATTAAATGAAATAATGTATAGCACGATCACAGATTTCTGGCTAGTGTTAAATATACTGTAGTATTAAATATAGCAATGTCTGACTCTCTTTCTCTCCTTGTTAAATTAGGCACTGCAGGAAAGAAAAAAGAAAATTTTGGATGAAGCAGTAGAATTAAGTCAAGATCACTTTAAAAAATACCTTGCTAAACTCAAGTCAATCAACCCACCCTGTGTGCCTTTCTTTGGTAAGTTACAGCACAGAAGCGGAATTAAGGGGCAGTTTGCCATGACACTGTTTTTTGTTTTTTAAAGAAGCTTTCTACATTATTAAACAAGCAAAAGTTTTTATGTTACATACTTCTTCTTTCATTCTGTCTCTGTGTACATTTTAAGAGAAAAGTAATGAGTAGCTGCAGTAACTACTCTCAGACTGCATATGTGCCCAGTCAGGATAAAGGGGTAAAATTTCTAGATACCCTAAATGATTCTGCCCTAGAACGGTATGTATATTATTTATATTTATATGCCACCCATCCGACTGGGTTGCCACAGACACTCTTGGCAGTTCCCAACAAAATATTAAAAACACAATACAACAAAAGACCTAGTGCAAGATGTAAGTGTTGCCAAGCCATTTGGCAACAGTGACTACAGTGTAGTGCTGGCAAATTACAACGAACCTGGCCAATTCCCAAGAAAATCCAGCATGGTCACAATAGACTTCAAGGGAGGAAATGTTCCCAAAAGGCAGAGATTTGTACAAAGGAAGTTGAAATGCAAGGTCAAGAGGGTCAAATCAGTCCAAAATGCTTGAGAGTTGTTTAAAAACAATATCAGAAATTCAGCTGGCATGTATACTACAGATAGGCACCACCAAGGCCAAAAGGCATAGATAACGAGAAGAGCCAGGGAAGCTATTAGAATGAGCTTCCCTTCCTTTACTTGCAGTCTTAGGTAAAGGGACCCCTGACCATTAGGTCCAGTCGTGACCGACTCTGGGGTTGCAGCGCTCATCTCACTTTACTGGCCGAGGGAGCCGGCGTACAGCTTCCGGGTCATGTGGCCAGCATGACTAAGCTGCTTCTGGCAAACCAGAGCAGCACACGGAAACGCCGTTTACCTTCCCGCCAGAGTGGTACCCATTTATCTACTTACACTTTGACGTGCTTTCGAACTGCTAGGTTGGCAGGAGCAGGGACCGAGCAACGGGAGCTCACCCCCTCGCGGGGATTCGAACCGCCAACCTTCTGATCGGCAAGTCCTAGGCTCTGTGGTTTAACCCACAGCGCCACCCGCATCCCTACTTACAATCTTAGTCATGAGCAAAAAAGATGGCATGAATGTGGAAAACTTAAAATCTTTTCCTGTTCCCCAATTAGGAATATACTTAACAAATATTCTGAAGACTGAGGAAGGGAATCCCGACTTCCTTAAAAGACAAGGGAAAGGATTAATCAACTTCAGCAAGAGGAGGAAAGTGGCTGAAATCACAGGAGAAATCCAGCAGTATCAAAACCAGCCATATTGCTTACGGGTCGAACCAGACATACGGGTAAGTGGAGAGCATGGGTGGTCTTGGCTGTGTGCATGTGAAGGTGACAGAAAACTCTTTGGTGTTCTGCTGAGGCTATGACAGCAGCTGCAAATGTGAAGTTGAGGCTCACATTTAGCTGTGCAGATCTCAGAGCATTTTTAAAAAGCAGAGACATCACCTTGGCAACAAAGGTCTGTATAGTTAAAGCTATGGTTTTCCCAGTAGTGATGTATGGAAGTGAGAGCTGGACCATAAAGAAGGCTGATCACCGAAGAATTGATGCTTTGAATTATGGTGCTGGAGGAGACTCTTGAGAGTCCCATGGACTGCAAGAAGATCAAACATCTCCATTCTGAAGGAAATCAGCCCTGAGTGCTCACTGGAAGGACAGATCCTGAAGCTGAGACTCCAAGACTTTGGCCACCTCATGAGAAGAGAAGACTCCCTGGAAAAGACCCTGATGTTGGGAAAGATGGAGGGCACAAGGAGAAGGGGACGACAGAGGACGAGATGGTGTGACAGTGTTCTTGAAGCTACCAGCATGAGTTTGACCAAACTGCGGGAGGCAGTGGAAGACAGGAGTGCCTGGCGTGCTCTGGTCCAGGGGGCCACGAAGAGTCAGACACGACTAAACAACTAAACAACAACAACAGCAGCAGTCTCAGAGCATCCATTTTCCAAGCTGTATTTGCTAAATGTGTCAGTTAAACGAGCCTAGTTCAGAACTGGGCACTGCTCCACTCTGGGCACCCTTTGCTAATCTGAAGTGAGCATCATGTTCTGAAAATGATGTATGTTGCTCAAGACGGGGAAACAGCTAGGCTAGGTGTTCGCCAACTTCCTTCTCATGACATTCTGTGAATTCAGTGCAGGGCATAAGGATGGGTTGGCCAGTCGAACTGCTGCCTCAAACACAGCACCTTTTCCCTCAAAGACGGGTCTGGGCACATCCAAGTTTGTAAATGGGAATTTTTATTCAGTTTGGTTGAAAACGTATTTTTGTCTTTCCAGAGGTTCTTTGAAAATCTGAACCCCATGGGAAGCTCCCCAGAGAAAGAATTTACAGACTACTTGTTCAACAAATCGCTGGAGATTGAGCCTCGAAACTGCAAGCAGCCCCCTAGATATGTAAGTCCCTTGGGGTGTCTTCGATTCTGTTTAAAAGTGTGTACATATGATTTGCACTTTTTAAAAAAATGGGTGGAGCAGGAGCTTCTTTGTACGTAAAGATGCAGGTGGTTGCTTGTCTGAAGGGAGGGGTGGCTGGACCTCAGTCCTATAAGGCAGGTGAGAGCAACCAGTCTACATTCTGGGGGGCTGCATGTGGTACCCCAATGCCTTCAGAAACTGTCTTTTTTCCTTCCCATCAAAATCCCTTCCTTCCAGTTTGTTTACTCCGTTTCTTGACTTTTAAAAGTGTTCCCCCCTCTTTCTATGTAGTTTCAGAACAACTGGGCGGTATTTTATTTGTTAAATATTAATTGATGGGATCCCCCTCCCCGACATTTTGGCTTGGAGAAAATGCGTTGGAACTAACGTTGGAAGGAAATTATTTTTACTTGCTTTGCAGAACAGAATTGGCCTATAGTTCGGCTAAAAAGAAAAACCTTGTGTAGACTTACTTCAGAGTAACCCCGTAAAACCCAGTTCTTTCAGATAGCTGTTTCTTCGTCGTTAAACGTTTCCCGCACTGGTTTGTTTCCTTGCAAGGCATATGTGGGAGGGAGATCTCTGAAATGGCTTATTTCTCACTCTAGCCCAGGAAAACAAACTACTCTCTGAAATCTCCTGGAATAAGGCCCAATGCCGGCAGGCACAGCTCCACGTCGGGCACATTGAGGGGCCACCCAACGCCTCTTGAAAAGGAGCCCTACAAGATCAGTTTCAGTAGAATTACAGAAGCCGAACACGAGTCTGCAGCGTCAGCACCAACCTCGCCAGTCATACCATCCACTCCGCCGGTGTCTGCATCTTCAGACCTCAGCGTGTTCCTAGACATGGATCTCAACAGCTCTTATGGTCTGTGTTCTAAGTAGCCTCCAGTGAATTAGTTACACTGATAAAATGGAGCCAAGTGAATTCTTTGTACCTCTTGGCTTGAAGACAGGCACGGGGGATGGGAATTGCTCTCCTCCTGTGATATCTGATGGGTGACTTGGTGCATATTTTGAGCCTCTCCTTTCTTCCGGTATTCTTCTAAACCGTTGCAGCCTGTTTTAAAATTAGTAGCCCTGATTGTTTTTAATGTTGGTTTTATTGAGCTGAAATGGAGGAGGGGCAACAAGCAGGCTGACTGTGGTTTGGTGGGGTGGGGGTTCAACCAAACACCCGGCATCATCTGATTCATTAAAAATGTGTTGCTCTTAGGACTTCCCCCATCCTTTTTTGAACTTTGAAATTAGGGTAGGAGGTGACTTCCTGCAGTTTCTATAATGCTGATTGGAAACTTCAGACAATTTTGGGCCCAGAATATTCAAAGTCCTGTTCATAAATTAAGAAACAAATGGGTTTATCAAGCACTGGATGCATGTTCATCCTGCAAGAAATGAACCTGAAAGTTCTTTTTAGGTAGGTGTATGCTGGAGTAAATGGTCCAAAGAACCCATGGTGTCCTTTAAGCAAAGTTTGGGTAGCAGAAAATTATGTCCTTATTTGGCAGGCATTGTATGAGCAACCAGTACTCGGCCTTTCTCTTATTTTCTTAGCCGACTGGGGCAACGGGACATGCAAATGATCCCCTTTCCACCTTATCTTTACAGGTAGCAACAACAGCATATTTGCGCCTGTCTTTTTGCCGCAATCAAGTGAGTACTGCAGGATTCCCTTAAACAAATTTGTTAATTTCTATGGACTTTGACAGCTGGCAATAGAGAATATTTGTATGCTAGTTTCTTGTTTAAAAAACCAGCCAATTTCACAAATTTGCTGTACTTCTCTGTTAGAAATGTTGAAGTCATAGAGATTGGCTTCTGAATTCCTTGAAGGCCTTGATGGTAAAGAGCAGCAAAAGTTAGACGTGACACGCTCTCTTACTTCTCTCTCCTCCCTCATTCAGAGTCGTTCTTCAGCTCATGTGGGAGTTTGCATAAATTAAGTGAAGAGGCTCTGGTTCCTCCTCCTCTGCCTCCTCGCAAGAAGTTTGATCACGATTCTTTGAACTCCAAGGTATGTATGTAGCCAGACACACAAACTCAGAATGCAGTGTGCCAGCCGCTTCCATGCTGCAGCTGCGGGAATGTTCAGGGTGGCAGTATTAATATTGTTTATTAATATCCTTCCTAACTTGCATTAGCAAGTTCCTTTACTTAGCAGAGTGCATTCCCCTTTACACAGCAGAAAACTAGTTGCAAAGTCGTGTGAGTTTCTTAAGACAATACGCAGTTCCAGCTGGCTTGTCCAGATTGAAATGTGTTCTAATATTTTCCTGGTAAGACCCCTTGAATCCCTCCTAAAAGAATAAAGATACTACAGTCTTGTTCATAAGCAATAAAAAGAAAGTTTACTCACGATCAGGCAGAGCAGAGTGTGATCCCTGAAGGCAGGCTTAAGGCTTAAAGTTACAAGTGTATAAAAACAGGTTTACCCCATATGTGGGTTGACCTAATGACTGCAGTTAGCAGTCTGGGAAGTTCACAGGACGAAAGGAACATGGAAAAGAGGGAGGGTGGCAGCAGGCCTTGGCCTTTTACCAGGTCTGGAAAGATCACGTCCACCCACTAGTCACATGCAAGGAAGGATGCTCCAGGCCAGGAGGAACAGGAAGTTTTGACTAGCTGGACCAAACATCCCCTGCATGTCCACTCTAGCAAAACAAGGAATGTTGTATTTGACTGCTCCCAGTGGATTACATCCCACAGCAGCAGCCTTCTCAAAAGTAGCTGGACCTATTTGTGCTACTGGAGATTTTGAGATGTCCTTCTCCAGGGGAAGAGCTCCTTTCATTTTGCACAATCAGGTTCGGTTAGGTGGTGTGTGCTTGCATGCCCGAGGGGCTGCTGTTCAGATTGGGGTGTGAGAATACAAAATTTGATTTTAAAAAGCAGATTTGTGGGGAAGATAGAGAGGTATGGAAAAAACTAGTGCAAGATCCCTGCTCTAAATATCCTTCTGCTTTCATGCTACTCTGGGAGCCTTGCTGCATTCTGGGTAACTTCTCTTCTCTCGTGTTCCAGGGCGGTTCCAGATCCGATGATGATCCTCCCGCTATCCCCCCCAGGCACCCACCTCCTCCAAAGATACAGCCCCGAGTCCCAGCTTACACTGGTCTGCTGCTAAGCCCTCCGCCGCCACCTCCCAGAGACCCACCTCCTCTTCCTGACACCCCTCCTCCAGTGCCCCTTCGCCCTCCAGAGCACTTTGTGAACTGTTCCTTCAATCTCCAGCCGCCCCCCGTGGGACGCTTTCACAGGGACCCCGACCGGCTGCGGGAAGCCAGCACGTGCCCAAACTCACCCAACACTCCTCCGAGCACCCCGTCGCCTCGCGTGCTGCGGCGTTGCTGTGCGCTCAGCCCAAATCCCAACAGCCTCGCGGCCCCCCCTGTCCCGCCGCGCCACAACTCCAGCCCTCTGCTGCCCAAACTGCCACCAAAGACTTACAAGAGGGAGCTGTCCCACCCTCCTTTGCACAGACACTCTTTGCTCGAGAACGCGGAAACTCCTCAATGACCTTCACAGCAGTAGTCATGGACACTGGAATCGTAGCTGTAAAGTACCCGTTTTCTTTTAATTTATTCCAGCGAGGCAGTGGATTTGGAAAGTTAACGCTTGTACCCAGAGCGCTGCTGGTCGTTCTCAAGCATTGGAGCAGCAAGAACAACCTCCTGCCGCCCTCAGCCTTCATACCCACTTGCAACAGCGTTCTCCTCAGGGGATCAGTAGCACTGCCTTCTCCTCCTCCTCCTCCTCAGTGCCGACCGTTTTGCCAGTACAAAGAATATAGACTTTTGCACTGTAAATGACACACTACACTACTTCTAAACTGACATCAGTTCATTGCACTGAGCCAAAAAAAAAATTATGGTTGCTAGTGGGATATTTTATTTCCAAACTGGAGCACGTGCAACCTTTTCTACATATGTATTTTTTAAAAAGACCTAGGTTCTCCCGAGCAAGGCTCACTGGGTTGCATTGAATTCTTTTCAGCGGGTCTTGCTTGGGAGACTGCCTAGTGGGTTGTACCTCCAAATGGTAGAATCCCCACCAAAGCATGAAGATGTATATCATGTTTCTGATATTTCTTTAAAAAACAACAGCTCTTCAGCTACCTGCCTTTCAGAAAATATCTATAAATATAAATTCTAAGAGGTTTGTGAATGACCATTACTACTGTTCTCAAGCATTAGTGGATAACATGTCTTATTTTCCATGGATTTTGCTGCTGAAGACTTAGAAGGGATAGGCAACTGAAGAAGAGTAGAGCATGCACTACAAATGTTCTGCACAACATGAGCAGAGCAGGGCGGCCTCATCCAGTTTAGCAGATAGTATTTAGCATGTGTCAGGTCGTGCCTTTATTTGTTCAGGCAAGTGGAGATGTCTTAAGCTAAAAAAAGTTGCCTGCTGTTTCGGCGAACAAAGCTATTACGCCATATTATGTACAGTTGTTTATAGTGTATATTTACAGATTGATAACCTGTATACATTTCTGTGATCTGAGGCCTATTCTGCAGTCTGTTACTCCAGTACACTGTCGTAAGCATTTTCCTGCATACCAGGGAAAAAGTTTTTGCCTTCCAGACTCAAAGCAACTTCAGTTAGGTTTTCGCTTTCGTTTCATTATGAGGTCCCCCTTGGGAAATGTGGTGTTTAAACCAGCAAATACCGAATTTCTTTATCTGGACCTTTTTTGAAACTTAAAAAAACAAGGGAGACCTTCATTTGCCCAGCAGAGTTCTGCGTTCTTGAGCGGCAGCTGGCAACCTGAGTCTGGTCCAAGTACTGTAGAAACCAGAAGCCTTTTCTTGACTGGTCTGTGGCCTTTTACTGTGCTTTGTATCAGAGTTCTTAACCAGATTAATAAATCAATTTGGTCTTAATTTTTAAGAGAGTCTGAGCAAGTTACGTTTTCCTTGCAAAGATTGTCAGGCAGGTTACGGATGACAAACAGAACCTTTCTTGCTTATTCGGACCAGAGATGGCTCAGTATGTTTTAGTGTTGGAAGCCTGAAATCTACATGGCTGCCCATTTGGAGGTAAAAATTATTAACCAGTTGCTGCCCAGTAAAATTGTACTGTATCTCCTGCTTGAGGTGGAATCCCTCACCTGGACTTCTTGGGCTGGTACAGAAACCTAAAAGAAGGAAAAAAGAGAGCTACATTATCAATTTTGGGGAAATAGTTCTGAACAAGGAGATGGAAGAGTGCCTTGTTCCTAATTAGACCAGCCAAAGAGACAAAATCTTAAGTATATAAATTATTATGGGAACACTTGGGAAGCAAATACACTTGGGAAATCTTGCCTTTTGTATAATTTCTCGGTATGTAATTGTTTAGCACTCTGGGCCTTATGAAAAAGCTCCAAGGTGCTTCTTCTGACAAATCATTGTTATACTGTCTCACTGGTATACATGGGTACTAAAAGAATTATTCAGTCCGCACAGATAGGAGCTTGCAGTTTAAAATCGGCCATAGGGCAAAACAGCGGGAGAGAAAGCACAAGGAAGTACCTACTTTTTGTGCCGTTGGAAGATCTTGGGTTCAGTAGCTTGGCATCTTGTATCAGGTGGAAAGGTTTCTACCCACACCCTGCAAAAGCTAGGCAAATAGCTTGACCTGGTTTGAGGCAGATTCCTCTGTCCAAGAATGCAGTCAGCTGCATTGTGCATAATTTAAGCTTTGTTAGAAGGGTTAACAGCCCCTCTGCAGTGCCACAAATCCAACTCAATGGTGTAATGTTGGAAAGTGTCAATCACTTCTCCTACCTGGGCATTTATCTTTCCACGAGGGCCGACATTGATGCCAAAATCCAGCATCGCCTGAGCTCTGCGAGTGCGGCTTTTTCCCAATTGAAGTACAGAGTGTTTGAGGACCGTGACATGCGCAGGGAAACCAAAATGCTTGTTTACAAAGCTATTGTACTGCCAACCTTACTGTATGCTTGTGAAATATGGACCACTTATAAACGCCATCTCCAGTTCTTCGAAAGATTCCATCAATGGTGTCTCCAAAAAAATTTACACATCACTTGGGAAGACAGGTGAATTAATGCCAGTATACTGGAAGAAGCAAAGATCACCCGTGTTGAAGCAATGGTTCTTCAACATCAACTTCGTTGGACTGGTCATATTGTGCGGATACCTGATTATTGTTTTCCAAAGCAATTACTCTATTCCAAACTTAAAAATGGAAAACGTAATGCTGGTGGTCAACAAAAGAGTTTTAAAGACTCTCTCTAGGCAAATCTAAAAAAATGTACAGTAGTACCTCTTCGGCGCTTCTGCGCATGCGCGTGACATCATTTTGAGCGTCTGTGCGTGCGCAAGCGGCGAAACCCGTTACTTCTGGGTTGCCGCGGAGCGCAACTCAAACGCACTCATCCCGAAGCACATTGAACCCGAGGTACAACTGTAGTATAAACACTGACAACTGGAAAACACTGGCCTGCGAGCGCTCTAGTTGGAGAACAGCCTTTACCAAAGGTGTCATGGGCTTTGAAGACACTCGAACTCAGGACGCAAGGGAGAAACGTGTGAAGAGGAAGGCATGCTTGGCAAATCTACACCGTGATCAACTCCCGCCCAGAAATCAATGTCCCCACTGTGGAAGGACGTGTGGATCCCTAATTGGCCTCCATAGTTATTTATGGACCCATGGTTGAGACCATGTTCATGGAAGATCATCCTACTTGGCTGCAAGTGATCGCCAAAGAAGAAGAAATCATAAGAATTTCATTATCTATTATTTATACCCTGCCCATCTGGCTGGGCTTCCCCAACTACTCTGGTGCTAATGTGGGAAAACTGGCTCTCAAAGAGTGGCTGGGAGGAAGGGAGAGCGAGTTAGCATCATGTTCTGCCTTCAGGGATGCAGCTCTGCATGTAGCTTGAATTCCACACAGCAAATACTTTGTGGAATAGGCCTCTCTAAAGATCTGGGTAATGTGCATAACAGTTTCAAATCTTCAACAGCCACCAACCTGTGACGAGGGCATCATGATTCTTGGTGAGACGGCCATGCCATCTTGTATTTTTTGAACCACCCTGAGATCTTGTGACGAAGGGCGGTAGATGATAATAATAATAATAATAATAATAATAATTAATAATAATAATAATGCTGCCAGATGTCAATGGGCTTGGTGGGCCACAGGCTCACTTTCCTGATGTCCATTGCCTGTTCCCCCTCTTCCCACTTGGCTGGCTGGTGTCAAACTGTAGTACAGTCATACCTCGAGTTACAGATGCTTCAGGTTGCCCACTGTGCCAAACCCGGAAGTACTGGAGCAATTACCTCTGCGTTTTGGCGCTTGCGCATGCGCAGAAGTGCTAAATCGCGACCCGTGCATGTGCAGACACGGCGCCGTGGGTTACGAACGCTGTGGGTTGCGAACGTGCTTCCCGTATGGATCACGTTCTCAACCTGAGCATCCACTGTACTGAGAAGGAGGAATGGCCAAAGGAGCTTGCTTGATTTTCAGGTTGCTGATTCGAAAGGTTGCATTTCAGGGCCTTTGTTTTCCAGAGGGCCATTTATCTGTGGGGTTGGTGCTCCTTGTGCATGCGGGTTTTTCACAGATTCCACGACATGGTTGGCATCAAACTGCCACATACCCCACCCAAGCAGGATTTACTCTTCCCAAGAGAAATGCAGTGAATTATTTGTAAAGCCTGCTGCCAGTTACCAGTTTGCCATTTCTCAATAAGCTTTGCTATTAATCTGCCACCTGGCCGGAAGCCACCTTTTGCACCAAAGGTGGAGGGCTATAAATCACTTTAAGGAAGCAAAAAAGTGGGAAGGAGAAAATCTTGGAGGATGGACAGAGGAGTGAGCTATGAGTCCGAACTGAGGCTTCTGCTGGTGTCTTTCTAATATTATAATTAATATTTATTACATTTCTATCCTATCTTTCTTCCCCAAACAGCAAATCACCAATAACAACAAAAATAATCATGACATTGGTTGTTAATGAGTTGCGTTGATTTATGTTTTATCACTGAGACCGTTGGTAGCTTTTTGGACCCAAAAGTGGTGGCATGCTTATTTATTTAGTAAGGTGAATGAAAAACCTCTGCGCGGTTTACAAAAAAAATGTAATAAAATTACCGGTATAAGCAGTAGTTTGGTCTCCCAGACTTGGGTCTCCAACTGTTTTTGTTGGTTTTTTACTACAACTCCCATCATCTCTTGCTAGCAGAACCAGTAGTCAGGGATGATGGGAATTGTAGTACAAAAAAAGCAGTAAAAAAACCCGCCCCGTGCCCTAAGTTTGGGAAACCCTGGCAAGACTTTTGAAAGGTGGTTGAAATAGGGGTGGAGTAAAAACAGATTAGGAGCCGCCCCAGCTTCCTAACCAAAAGTGCTTTTAGCAGGCACCTGTTATAAGAAAAATACTGCTTCCCCATAAGGGAATCTTAAGAGCCCCTACAGAGTCCTTAAGTGGGAGAGGAACCTAGAACATTGGTGTGCAAGCTTTTATATAGACATTTGAAAATTGCCTCCCCTGTAGCTCAAGACCACCCCCCAAAACATCATATATACATCATAGAAGGAGGCGGTCTACAGCAGAAATCCTGTCTGCCAGGATACCTGATTGCTTTTACCTGGGCATCCTGGCCATTCTTTTGTGATGTTAAATACTCAGTTCCTGAATCCGGGTCACAGGCTCACCCTATTCATTCACAGATATGCCCTTAAGACAGGATTTGTAAGCAAAGAGACAATGGGGAAGAAATTTTCCCATTTCCTCGCTCCTTGCAGAGCATAGCTGTCAACCTTCCCTTTTTTTGCTGGAAATTCCCTTATTCCAGCGCTGCTCCCCGCTGCTATCCCGGATTGTTAGATATCCCGCAAATTGTCCCTGGGACAGGTGCGGCTGCTGATCCCTTATTTTCAAATCAGAAAGTTGACAGCTATGTTGCAGAGAAATATTTGAGGTCAATTTGGGGGAGTCAAAACGGTTTCAGGATTGCTCTCCTGCCCTATTTCAGACACGTGGTTTATATGCATACTTATGTGTGTGTTTGCCTTGTAAATTTACGAACATACAATTTTTATATATGAGACCTTAGAATTCCTATAACATGCCGAAAAGAGCCCGGCGAAGGCGCCTCCGTGAGATCATGAGGCAGGGAGTTCCAAAGTGTACTGTTACATAAAGTGAATAATAGCAGTAGTGGCTCTGCTTATCATAGAATCATAGAATCATAGAGTTGGAAGAGACCACAAGGGCCATCGAGTCCAACCCCCTGCCAAGCAGGAAACACCATCAGAGCACTCCTGACATATGGTTGTCAAGCCTCTGCTTAAAGACCTCCAAAGAAGGAGACTCCACCACACTCCTTGGCAGCAAATTCCACTGTGGAACAGCTCTTACTGTCAGGAAGTTCTTCCTAATGTTTAGGTGGAATCTTCTTTCTTGTAGTTTGGATCCATTGCTCCGTGTCCGCTTCTCTGGAGCAGCAGAAAACAACCTTTCTCCCTCCTCTATGTGACATCCTTTTATATATTTGAACATGGCTATCATATCACCCCTTAACCTCCTCTTCTCCAGGCTAAACATGCCCAGCTCCCTTAGCCGTTCCTCATAAGGCATTGTTTCCAGGCCTTTGACCATTTTGGTTGCCCTCCTCTGGACACGCTTCAGTTTGTCAATGTCCTTCTTGAACTGTGGTGCCCAGAACTGGACACAGTACTCCAGGTGAGGTCTGACCAGAGCAGAATACAGTGGCACTATTACTTCCCTTGATCTAGATGCTATACTCCTATTGATGCAGCCCAGAATTGCATTGGCTTTTTAGCTGCCGCGTCACACTGTTGGCTCATGTCAAGTTTGTGGTCAACCAAGACTCCTAGATCCTTTTCACATGTACTGCTCTCAAGCCAGGTGTCACCCATCTTGTATTTGTGCCTCTCATTTTTTTGCCCAAGTGCAATACTTTACATTTCTCCCTGTTAAAATTCATCTTGTTTGTTTTGGCCCAGTTCTCTAATCTGTCAAGGTCGTTTTGAAGTGTGATCCTGTCCTCTGGGGTGTTAGCCACCCCTCCCAGTTTGGTGTCATCTGCAAATTTGATCAGCTTTTGAGGCGGCTTTCCCGTGCGTGTCTGTGACCATGAGGCAGGGAGTTCCAAAGTGTGCTGTTAGGTTTGCCTGCCGATATAATGTGAAGAATAATAATAAATCAGCAGTGGCTCCGCTTCCCTTCGAGGCGGCTTTGTGTCTGTGAGGGGAGAGCGGCCTCCCGCTCCTCCTCCCTCCGCCGCCGCCGCCGCGCCTCCCCCCTCTCCCGCGGCCTCCGCCATGGCGTCGCCGGCCTGCCCTTCTCCGGGCTTCGAGCGCGCCCTGGCCCGGCGGGACGGCTCGGCGGGGCTCCGGCTGGGGCAGCGCTCGGCGGGCGGCACGGGCTGCGTGGTGTGGGACGCGGCGCTGGTGCTGGCGCGCTTCCTCGAGAAGGCGGCCGGGGAGGAGGAGGAGGAGGCGGGCCCGGCCGGGCTCCCTCTCCGCCGCAAGGCCGCGCTCGAGCTGGGCGCCGGCACCGGCCTCGTGGGCCTCATGGCCGCCAGCCTCGGGTACGTCGTCGCCGCCGCGGCTGGGCGGGCGGGAAGGCAAGGAGAGCGGCCGGGCCGGGCCGGGCCTCGCCTCAGCGGCGCCTCAGCGGCGCCCGTCTCCTTCAGTGTGGCCGACACGGACTGGCAGCAGCGGCAGCCTCCAGCCTTTAATGAGAACAACCCCAGCGCTACCTGGAGGCGCTGGTGCCTTCTTGGGATTGAGCATGGGACCTTAATAATAATAATAATAATAATTATACAGGTGGTCTTCCCACTGAGCTATAGCTCTTCCCTTAAAATTAACAGTAAGATTCCAGTCCTCAGGCCCATCTAAGTGGTCCAGTATTGCCCACTCTGACTGGCAGCAGCGGCAGCCTTTAATAATAACAATAATAACCCCAGCGCTACCTGGAGACGCCGATGCTTTCTTGGGATTGAGCATAAGACCTGAATAATAATAATATAATAATAATACTACAGGTGCCCTTCCCACCGAGCTATAACTATAGCTCTTCCCTTAAATCCCCTTAACAGCAAGATTCCAGTCCTCAGGCCCATCTAGTTGGTCCATTTAGTTCAGTATTGCCCACACTGACGGGTAGCAGCGGCACCCTGGAGCCTTCAATAATAACAGTAATAACCCCAGCGCTACCTGGGTTTAACCCTGCGCTGTGGGTTAAACCACAGAGCCAAGGACTTGCCGATCAGAGGGTCGGCGGTTCGAATCCCCGCAATGGGGTGAGCTCCCGTTGCTCGGTCCCTGCTCCTGCCAACCTAGCAGTTTGAAAGCACGTCAAAGTGCAAGTGGATAAATAGGTACCACGCCAGCGGGAAGGTAAACGGCGTTTCCATGCGCTGCTCTGGTTCGCCAGAAGCGGCTTAGCCATGCTGGCCACATGACCCGGAAGCTGTACGCCGGCTCCCTCGGCCAATAAAGCGAGATGAGCGCCGCAACCCCAGAGTCGGCCACGACTGGACCTAATGGTCAGGGGTCCCTTTACCTTTATATAGATACTTCTACAGAGACAGGATACTCCATCTGTCGGGGATTCTTTAGCTGAGATCCCTGCATGGCAGGGGGTTGGGTTGCATGACCCAAGAAGTTCCTTACAACTCTACAATTCTATGATTCTGTATACCGCCCTTTGTCAACAGGCCACAGGGAAGTTTACAACATCATAAACTACTAGAATATTATAAGACGGCCTTATCCTCCATGAATTTGTCCAAAGTCTTTTTAAGGCCATCTCACTAGTAGCTAGCACTCCCATCTTGTGGTCCTGCACCTAGAGCTAAAGGGATTGAGTCCAGGCTCCCCCCCCAACCCCCCCCCCCACAATTGCACTGCTAATCGCACAGATTTAATGTTTATTACTAGAGATTGAAATAGTGTTCCAACATGCCGAAGGGTTTTGCAGCATTGTATTAATCATTGCCACTTTTTATTTTCATTTATATCCCCTTTTTATGCAGGATTTATTTAACCAAGTTATTTTGGTGCGTGCCCTAATTGTTCATGCCTGATTCATTCCCACCAGAACTGAATCTGTGTTGGCTCATATACGGAGTTTTAAGCATAGTCACTTTGGGAAGAACTTAGTTGCAAACAGGACTTTTTCTAAGCTGAATGAGGGATGCTTAAAAACCTGTGCATTGTGTGGTTTCTTGCATATTGTGTGTGTGTGTGAGAGAGAATGAGACGGGCAACTAATATAGCCCCCCCCTTTTGTAGTGCAAACGTCACAGTTACTGATCTCGATGAAGTTCAGGATTTGCTGAAAATGAACATTGAGAATAATCGGCATCTTATCACAGGTTCCATTCAAGCCAAGGTACTGAAATGGTTCGTATGAACTTCTTGTTCTGTAATTTAAAATTTCCTCAAGAAACTGCAAACCAATTTTAGGGAGTGGAAGTCAACTTTAACCAGAGACTGACTCTTAGGTCGGGCCGTGATCTGTAGCGTGAAGTCACAGATAGTCATATGAACACGAGCTTGCTTCCAACTTCCTCCAGCCGTTCCATACTTTGCTTTGAACTGACTTAGCATTTTATGTATATTTGAAGCTTAGAAGGTTTTGCATGGGGGTGGCTAAGCGTTGAACTAAATTGGTAGGTCAGCAGAGGTAGATCTGCCAGGCCCTGCATCATTCTGCCCCCTGCTGCCCTCCTTATACCTTGGACTACATCTCCCATCAGCCCCAGCCAGCATGTGGTCCAAAGTTTTAGTCCATGTTAACAGAATTGTAGAAGGGACTGCGAAGGTCATCTGGTCCAACCCCTCCTCAGTGTCACCAGGTTGGTGAAGATTGGCCTGGCTTGTGCTCTTGGGGTTGCCCAGAAGACTCTGCCACGCACACCTGCATAACTTGTAGATAGACTTGTACTTTTTTATGCATTTAATCATAAAGCTGCTTTGGGAGCCGCTGTCGACTGAACAACAGGGCACAAATAAAACCAAATGTTCTTTTATGTATTGCATCCACCTCTGCTTAGGGGTGAAGAAGTATCAGACTTCCTTCCGGCACCTGATTACATCCTGATGGCAGACTGCATCTACTACGAAGAGGTAAATCACATTTTTTCTTGTAGATTAGCCTTTTAGCTGCAAGTGTGGAATGAAGTTAAGTGGCAAGTGCTTTCTGCTTTACGGACAGTCACTGGAGCCGTTGCTCAAGACTCTGAAGGACCTGGCTGGCCCTGAGACGACCATCCTTTGCTGCTATGAAGAAAGGACTATGGGGAAGAACCCAGAAGTGGAGAGAAAATACTTTGAGGTGAGTCGTCTACCAGTGCAGAATGTCTTGGAGGAGCCCTTGTTCCTGTGGAGAAAAGCCTGGAAGTATCCCAAGGCGCTTTCTAGAGCGGGATATAAAAATCAAACAGAAACCTGCCAGTGTCATAGAATCATAGAATTATAAAGTTGGAAGGGACCCCAAGGGTCTTCTAGACTAACCCCAAGTCTTACTGCTTTTTAAAAAAACAAAAATATGTGCTGTGACACACATTGAATGCTTTCTGGCCACCTCGCCTCCAAAAGGATATTGTAGATCTGGAGAAGTTCAGGAAAGGGCAACCGAAATGATCAAGGAGATGGAGAATCTCACAACATTTGAGACTCTTTAGTTTAGAGAACGCGATAGACCTCTATCATGGAGCGTCTCCACTCCCATTGTTCAGCCTGGACACTGAGGTCCGGCTCTGAGGGCCTTTTGGCAGTTCCCTCCCTGCAAGAAGTGAAGTTACAGGGAACCAGGCAGAGGGCCTTCTCGGTAGTGGCACCTGCCCTGTGGAATGCCCTCCCACCAGATGTCAGGGAAATAAGCCACTATCTTGACTTTTAGAAAACATCTGAAGGCAGCCCTGTTTAGGGAAGCTTTCAATGTTTTATTGTGATTAATGTTTCTAATTTGTTGGAAGCCGCCCAGGGTGGCAAGGCCAGCCCAATCAGATGGGTTGTATATAACTATTAAATTATTATTGTATTATTATCTATGAAATTACACATGGTCTGAAGAATGTGGTATGGATAGTTTTTCTGTGTCTTAGATAGTGCTAGAATCGGGGGTCATCCAGTGGAAGTGTATGGTGGGAGAGTCAGGACAGGCACAGCACATAGTTAAACTACAAAATGACTGCAGGATATTGTGATGGCACCGAATTAGATTAGATTCTATGATAGATTGCTTTAGAAGGGGATCATAGAATCATAGAATCCTAGAGTTGGAAGAGACCACAAGGGCCATCGAGTCCAACCCCCTGCCAAGGAGGAAACACCATCAGAGCACTCCTGACATATGGTTGTCAAGCCTCTGCTTAAAGACCTCCAAAGAAGGAGACTCCACCACACTCCTTGGCAGCAAATTCCACTGTCAAACAGCTCTTACTGTCAGGAAGTTCTTCCTAATGTTTAGGTGGAATCTTCTTTCTTGTAGTTTGGATCCATTGCTCCGTGTCCGCTTCTCTGGAGCAGCAGAAAACAACCTTTCTCCCTCCTCTATATGACATCCTTTTATATATTTGAACATGGCTATCATATCACCCCTTAACCTCCTCTTCTCCAGGCTAAACATGCCCAGCTCCCTTAGCCGTTCCTCATAAGGCATCGTTTCCAGGCCTTTGACCATTTTGGTTGCCCTCCTCTGGACACGTTCCAGTTTGTCAGTGTCCTTCTTGAACTGTGGTGCCCAGAACTGGACACAGTACTCCAGGTGAGGTCTGACCAGAGCAGAATACAGTGGCACTATTACTTCCCTTGATCTAGATGCTATACTCCTATTGATGAGGCAATCAGGCATGGAGAAGAAAGCTAGCAATGGCTGAAAACGTCCTCCAGAATCAGAGGCAGTGTGCTGGGGAACAGCTGTGGCCGAGGGCTGTGGCGCTCATACCCTGGTTGCGGGCTTCCCATAGCCATCTGATTTGCCCCTTTGAGAAGCAGGATGTGGGGCCAGGTGTGCCGTCGATGCAGCCGCTGGGCTCTCCTTCGGTTCCCAGGAGTCTGCGTGGAAGATTTCTGTGCTGTGCTTCTGAGGTTATGGTTACATAAGTGGTGCAATTTCTCTGGGAGGCTCAGATTGAATGAGGCCAAGGACACGTAGCTGCACTCTTTTATTCTTGTGCAATTTTAAATTGCAGCTTCTTCAGAGGGACTTTGATCTGGAGAAGGTTCCCTTGGAGAAGCACGACGAGGAGTATCGGAGCGAGGACATTCATATCTTCATCATCAGAAAGAAGAAAGCGGTAGGTGGTCGCTGGAAAGGCACCAGAGATGGACCAGCTTATGCTCCAGAAAACCTTCCATTTTTTGGAGCCATAACAATATAAGGTTGCTGTACTTGTGGTTGAATGATCCAATCCTGCCTAGATGATGGTTTTGAGTGGAAGCCCACCCAAATCTCATTTCTGTGTTTCCTCCCTCCTCCACCTCCCTGCAGCCCTGTAAAGGATAATCATTGGCTCAGCACGGGTGTCATTCTGTCTTCCTCCAAATCAGAGGTTCCTGAACTTATTTGGCCTACTGCCCCCTTTTCAGAAAAAAAAATACTCAGTGCCCCCCTGCCATTGGCCAAATAGGCAGGTAAGCTGTGATCCACTTCCCAGGCCTGGTTGAAGCCGAAAAGGGTTCCCCCAGGCTCGGGAAAACCCCTCGGCTCCAGCAGGGCCACCACATCCGGGGGGGGGGCATTGTTGCTGTCCCACAACGGTGCACGACGTGGCAGTAAGCCTCATTACACAACAGATGAAACATGCACTAATGGTTTTTCAAAATTATCTTCTTTATGCTTCCACCGCCCTCTTATTTTTATTCAACGCCCCCCAATTGCACACAAAGCTACTCCCGCCCTCCTGGATCATTCTTGCGCCCCCCCCCCCCGGGGGGGCATTATCACCCACTTTGACAAAACACTGCTCCAAATCATAGCATGCAAGATGGGAATCAGGCTTAGGACTGCAAACACCCTTCCTCGCCTCCCTCCCTACTCAGATGCAAACCCCCTTTCCCATATGGGCCCTTATCATAACCATGGTTTTACTAACCAAATTATTTTATAACTATGTTTTATTAACTCACTTCAAACCATGGTTTCAGGTTACGGTTTCTGAGGGAGCCCTGGTTAGCGCTGGTGCGGATTTAGTGTTACAAACTGAGATATGAAAGCCAGGAGCTAAATGCCACCTTGAACCTAGGTTATGGGCACCACAGCGGAATGTCTAGGTGCACTTTTTTTTAATAACAAGAATACAAAGCTGAAAATGAATGAGCTGCAGCTAAAATCTTACGTTCCTTTTTCACATGGTCTAGTCCTTCCCGTGCTCACCCCCCTAATATTCTTATGAGGGTCCCTTCTCCAGTCTTCAGAGAGCGGCTGGAAGTGGGGAGGCAGAAAAAGGTCCTCCTTTTCTTCCAGCAGTGGCAGTTTTAATCTGAAATCTTAGGCTCAGTACTGCGCCCAGAGCTCAGAAACTGCTCGCATTAATGAAATCCCCTGTCACAAAATGTGTCTAGAACAATGGGAGTTTTGAACACTGTGTGGATGTAACAAAGGTAGCTTAGGCCCAGGAGAGCCAGTGTGGTGCTTCTAGGTGTCGTTAGATCATGGCTCCTCTCAGCCTCCACAAGTATCTTCTTGGATGATGAGACTTTCCTAGGCCAACAGCAACTGGAAGATGCCACATGAGCTATCCCTGGCTTATGCTGACAAGCAGGGATTTGTGTTAGAGAGAGAGGCTGGAAGCCTCTTTATAAACAAGAGTTTGTAGGGAGCCGATGAGAAGAAACTAGCAAAATAGTTTGCGCCAAGGTAGTTAGTGGTTTCTTGATGTTTTTCAGATTTTTCCATCATGATGGCTTCTTTAATGACGCTTTGGGAACTGGGAAGGATAGAGCCAAGAGCTCTTCACAGAGACTTTGCAGAGCATCTCTTTGGCAAAAGTGGATCATCGAGCCATCTCCTACTAAGATGAGACACGCAGTCTGTTTTCTTGAAAGAGCTGCAGGCTCAAGGCTCCGGCTTACCTTTCGGCAAGGGCGCTGGCTGCAGAAGAAGAAAAAAGAAGGCTTGTGATGCCAGTGAACAGAAATGGGTAACTCTGAGTCACACGGGTGGCTGAGTGTTTTGTACACATTTTCCAACTACTTCTGAGTAACAATCTGCCTTGCTAGTTACAGTTTCCGAGAAATTTTGTTATGTAAGTAGGGTGATTTATTAAACTCTTCTTCCTAATGCATTCTCGAAAAGGCATGTCTCCCCGACCACACCTTGTCTGAGTTCCTTGAGCCCACAATACAATTTGGGATGTTCCTGGTGACACAGATTGTAAAACATATTGGAGGGGAATAGACACACAGACCCTACACCTGCATGAAGCTTTCAGAATAAGGAAAGAAAAAGGAGAACACAGGGGATGAGGAACTTGTGGCCTCACAGACGCTAAGCGACTCCGTCTCCCATTCTCCCCAGCCAACCTGGCCAGTGGTCAGAGGCGATGGGAAATGAAGTCTTTTGAGTGACCCCAGGGGCCCTGAGATAATCTGTTGAGTTCCCAGCAAGGGTGTGGTCTGAGTTGGAGACCTCGCGAGCTGCTGCCTTCTCCCTCCGCAGCTCTGTTGCCCCACTATGCAGCCCTTCGCAGGAGAACTCCTAAGCTCAGTCAGGCTCAAAGACTGCCTTGAGAGCCTCTGCAGTTTCCTCCTGACCCATTTCTGCCAAGTAGCGGCCTGTCCTGCGTGGAGCTGCAGCAAGCAGAGCTGTGCGCCAGCAAGGAAGGGCTGTGGCTGTACGACATGTACCGGGTGGTGCACAGCCAGCTCCTCATTCATCTCTGGATTGCCACAGGGTGGGAAATCATTCCTGTAGCCGCAGAGGGAGGGGCTGCCATCCAGAGGGGCAGCACAGGCCCTACATGTGGGACAGCCTCAGCTTAGGTCCCTCCAGAAGTTTTGGACCACAAACGCTCTGGCTGGGGCTAATGGGAACTGCGGTCCAGAGCACCAGGAGGGCACCAGGTTGGGGAAGACTGGCGGGGCTCCAAGTCATGCATTGCTGCCGAAAGAATCATAACCAGCAGGGCAGAGGTAGTCAATGTGCCCTGACCAACTTTCATCATCCCTGAGCATCCCAGAGCAGGGTTAGAGAAGACCCTCCCCAACTTGAGACCGGGGAGAGTCACTGGCAGCAGTGGGCAGGTCCAATGGGCCTCTTCGCCTGGCTTCAGGGCAGTTTTATGTGCCTCTGTGAGGTCACCAGAGGCGCCCGTTGGCTTTGGATGAAAAGGGAGGAATCCAGCAGGCCTGTGGGGAAAAGGGTGGAACCGATACTGGAAATGTTTGATTCACGCACTGACTTCGTTTGATTTTACTGCCCCCGCATTTGAGGATGTTTGCAGTGGTCATTCAAAAAGGGCTTATCTGGTGAAAAAGTCAGATGATCCAATTGCCACAAACAAAGCAATTGTATACACAGGATGGCTTTGTGATCTGCTTTGCGGAGCACGCTGCCATGTTTGAAGGGCTGCCTAGTCAAAGTCCAGTTTAAAGATGAAGAACTCTGAGAAGGGGGACCTGGAGGGAACTTGAATTCAGGGCACAGCCGTAGCATGCAGCACCCAGGCAACCGAAATGCAGGTCCCCTTGTCGCAGCCTCCCCCACGAGGGAGGGATGCATTGCAGTTGTATTTAAATTGCACTATTTGTTAGTTTGCACCTGTGCATATAGGTTAGCAAATGCACATCTTTTGCAAAACTGTGCTTTGTCCCTTTTGGGGTGCAGGGAGGAGTTGCGGTTCATTCCTTTTAAAATGCATTAATGGCCCCCCTAAGCGTCTCCATCTTGCCAGGATTCAGATTTAAACTGACTTGATATTTCTTACATCCGGTTCCAAATTCAAGTTGAACTCAGAAAAGCAGATTTCAAGCAAGGTCTGTATAGTTAAAGCTATGGTTTTCCCAGTAGTGATGTATGGAAGTGAGAGCTGGAGCATAAAGAAGGCTGATCACCGGAGAATTGATGCTTTTGAATTCTGGTGCTGGAGGAGACTCTGGAGAGTCCCATGGACTGCAAGAAGATCAAACCTCTCCATTCTGAAGGAAATCAGCCCTGAGTGCTCACTGGAAGGACAGATCCTGAAGCTGAGGCTCCAAGACTTTGGCCACCTCATGAGAAGAGAAGACTCCCTGGAAAAGACCCTGATGTTGGGAAAGATGGAGGGCACAAGGAGAAGGGGACGACAGAGGACAAGATGGCGGGACAGTGTTCTCGAAGCTACCAGCATGAGTTTGACTAAACTGGGGGAGGCAGTGGAAGACAGGAGTGCCTGGCGTGCTCTGGTCCAGGGGGTCACGAAGAGTCAGCCACGACTAAACGACTAAACAACAACAAGTTTGGCAGCCACACTGTGGTTTGGTAGCCAATTTTTCCCAGCCAGAACTAGAGAAGGCCAAATCTCTCAGCTCTGGATTCTTTCAGTCTGTCTTTTCATTTGTTAAGCTGGGTCCACCCCATTTCCACATATATTTGCAAACTTTTTGTTTTAAAAAATGCATATGAGAATTACTACACACTTTTGCGCACATAGTTTCTTAATATACAAAAATGCTTGGTAAGCAATATACTCTGTTTTGTGTGCATTTTTCACTATTATATTTTTGTGTGTGCGCCTGCTTTTGGTTAGGGAAGTGGATTGCATTGCAAAATTCAGAGAAGTGTGGATTTCAAAGAGCTGTGCTTTGATTCATGTGTTGGTATGGGAAACTAAATTTGTGAAAGGATTTCTCTCCCACCCCTACCCAGAAGGGGGCAGCATAAGATAACAGTGCTATCCTAGTCTGCCCCAGTCTCCTTTCTAGAGAGGCGGCATGTACCTTAATACCACTAGACGTGTTTGTTTTACATTGGCTTCTTCCACAGCAAGTGTTCTAGCAGTTGAGCATTGCTGTGAATTTTCTGCCTGAGACCCCAAACACACCTTGCAGACCTGGGCATCCCTGGGGGTGCGAAAATGACCACTGAACCAGTTGAAAGTTGTGATGCAGACATCTCTCACCCCTCTGCCCCAGGTGTATTGTAAAACTGCGCATATCACCAGTTACCAAACTCTCCCAATGCTGGAACTTGAATCATGGTAGCATTAAGGCAGATGTTCTCCCCACCCCATTCCCATAACTGCAGGAATGATTTGTGCCCAGTCCAAAACTGGGGGACTGAGACATCTTCAAATATGGCAGCTTTTCATCTGGGGGTGGTGTATTATGCAGCACTAAAACAGAAGTAAAGAAAAAAAGCTGTATTGCAAGCGGGGTGGGAAACATACACAAACACACATTGAGTGAGAGTCCTAATAGCACAGGGATGGAAGAATGAGGAAATCCCGACCAAAGAACTGTGGCAAGAGAAACTGATGGATTATGGAGAATTAGCGAAATTGACACACAAACTACGTGATAAGGACAACTGACTTTAAAGAAGAATGGCAACCTTTTACAAAGTACTTAAAGGAACAACAAAATGAACTGGACACCTTGGCAGGTTTTGAATAAACATACACAATTTTTTTATTGGTAACATATTGATAGATTAATTAAGGATCTTTACAGTTTATAATAAGCAGAGAATAACATGTGCTGAGAAACCAGAGAGAGCTGAAGGAAGTCTGTGAGGGTGGGTTTTTCTTTTTAGGGGAGGGGGAAATGGGGGGGGGGAATGAGGCTGATGTATTTTTGATAAATTGTTATGTTGAAATTCCTAATTAAAAAAACTAACACACACACACACACACACACACACACACACACATTGGGTGGCTGGGATTCGCACTCAGGTCCTGCATCTGGTTGGCCACTATGAGAACCAAGATGCTGGGAAAGCAGAACGGGCTCTCTTGGAAAGTAGGGGAGTTGCCTTCCTTGGAGATTTTAAGCAGAGGATGGAAGGCCATCAGTCAAGGATTCTTCAGCTGTGATTTCTGCATTGCAGGGGGTTGGACTAGATGACCCTTGGGGTTCCCTCCCAACTCTACTGTTCTGTTATTGTAGGTGGGCCCCTTTTGGTCTGGTCCTGCAGGGCTGCTCCTATGATGGGTCATCTCTCCATGATTGAATGCATATGTTCTGCTTACAGAAACTGCCAGGTTTAATTCTCTGTAGCATCTCCAGGGTAGGACTTTGAAGAACTCCTGTCTGAAACCCCAGAAAGCTGTTGCCAATCAGTGCAGACAATATTGAGCTGGGTAGTCTTGACCCAGCAGAAAGCCATGTCATATGTTCAAAGACACCTGAATACCACTTAACCTAGACAGCATCTTAAAAAGCAGAGACATCACCTTGCCAACAAAGGTCCATATAGTTCAAGCTCTGGTTTTCCCAGTAGTGATGTATGGAAGTGAGAGCTGGACCATAAAGAAGGCTGATCGCCGAAGAATGGATGCTTTTGAATTCTGGTGCTGGAGGACACTCTTGAGAGTCCCATGGACTGCAAGAAGATCAAACCTCTCCATTCTGAAGGAAATCAGCCCTGAGTGCTCACTGGAAGGACAGATCATGAAGCTGAGGCTCCAAGACTTTGGCCACCTCATGAGAAGAGAAGACTCCCTGGAAAAGACCCGGATGTTGGGAAAGATGGAGGGCCCAAGGAGAAGGGGATGACAGAGGACGAGATGGTGGGACAGTGTTCTCGAAGCTACCAGCATGAGTTTGACCAAACTGCGGGAGGCAGTGGAAGACAGGAGTGCCTGGCGTGCTCTGGTCCAGGGGGTCACAAAGAGTCGGACACAACTAAACAACTAAACAACAACAACCACTTTATATATATATATATATATATATATACACATACACATATATATATATAA